ACCAAACACAAAAGTCACAAAAATAGTGACAAATTGTGACAAGGTAGTTACAAAACGCTTGTAACTAGACGTGACGTAAATTTAGTCACAAAAATCGTATAATTTAGTTACCATATTTGGTCGCAAATCCGTACTTATATTTGTGACTATATATTTTGTAACAAATTCGACATAATTAGTGACAAAAATTGGTTACTTTCAATTCAGTCACAATTTTATAACGAAACTGTAACATTTTTATGACGAAATAAATACGTCACAATTTAGTATGTAAATGGTCACAATCTTCTTACGGAAAAAATGGTCACAATTTTTTCGTAACAATATTCAATTTTTTTTGTAGTGAAAATTTGACGGATTCATAGGCTTTAAATATGGTTAAATTATTGTGTTGGATTTATAATAGATTCTAGAACACATATGGTCCATCTTCTTTATTCCATTTGAGACTTATAATTAGAAGCTGATGTGTATTAATGAAATGTTTTGATTGGACGAATAAAAGCTGATGTGTCATCTCCAGAAGAGCCAAAAATGCTGACGTGGCGGAAGGATGGAGAGAGATAGCCTCCTTTCATATATATGATTCATTTCTCATATCTTTGGTGTGTTAAAAATTATAAATAGGTCTTATGAATTTGATACTTATATGCTAACACAGATTTTCTTGTGTACTTGTTGTTTAGCTAGATCGATATTCAAAACTCGAGTTATCATAAACTAGAGTTTTCTTATGATAAACTAGAATTTTTTTCAGGAAATAGTTTCCATGCCCAACCGTACCATGCAATGATTTAAACATTGTTATTGCTTTTAAAATAGTATCATTTTACTATTATATGAAACCAGTTTTTGGATATAACTCAAAACTAATTCTGTAATTTTGACTGCTATAAACCCCACGTTCAAACAATTAAACATGTACATAAAAAATAACAAATTACTCATTTTGACCATCAAATCAAGAGCCAAGCATGTATTAGAAGCATATCTTGGGTCTCATATATTTTGCAGCATATAATATACTCCATTTGTTCCACTATATAAGATTTTCTACTTAAAAGCATAAAGTTTATGAGTTACATAACAACTATTTTTTCTTTGTTTTTTGGCATTAAAAACATCATTTATATCTAAAAAGAAATAATTCAACTAATAAGAGAAAATAGTTTTTACAGAATATAAAAAGTCTTACAAAATCAAATTAAATTAAATAAAGCAAAGAAGATTGAAAAAATCTAAATAAATAAAACAACAATAATTTTTTAAAACATACACTTCGGGGTCTAACTGTTATTAGTGTTTGCTAGAGTAAAAATAAAAGGGCTGAAAAATAAACTATTCTCTTTTCATCTATATTTACACCAAACCAGTTGAAAAAAAAAAAGGAAAAATATTCCTTCCAATTATGTTGCAAATAGAGCAGAACTTTATTTCGGTAAAAAGTTACTTACACACTAGATTATATTATCCACATTATATTATCACCACTTCTTAGTTTTTTCTTATAATTTTATTATTCTTAATTTTTGCTAATCACACCATTCTACTTTAGTGATGTTATAAAATATTTATACTTTATATTTAAAATATTAAATGCAGAATTTGAGAATTAAAGTGAATATGTGAAATATTCGAGGATTAAAAATCTTTTTAAAATACTAAAGCTTATATTAGAAAATTAATATATACAATAAAACCGATGATAATAAAATCGTAACTTAGTTAGTTCATCGCGTCTATTTTTTAAAACAGCATTGATTTAACATATAGCTTAATTTTTACAAAATACTTTATTTAATCTAATTATACATTATTATGGTTTGCCACCACGTGTTTTGTAAATTATGATTATTTGAAGAAAGAGTCATAAAATATGGATAATTCTGTGATTATTTATATGGAATGACGTGGAAAGAATGTAGTCGTGATTACACATTCTAAAGCGTAGTTGCGGATGTTTTAATAGTAGTAGCTTTAGTATTTTAACCATAACCATTATTCTATCATGACATCATTTTTCGCCAAAACAATTTGACAAAATATTTCTGAATTCAGTTTTAACTTTTTAGTTTTTGATGCATAGAAGGGAAGACCATGCTTTATAGAGAGCCTTTTTAGTCACTGGTATAGTCGTATAGACTTTTGTAGTGCAACGACACGTCATTATAATTTTCCCGACTTGCATGCATATGTCCCGGTGAGTGAGAGTCATATATTACATTATATGTTGTTAATATACATTATATTATATTGTTTGGATCCAAAATAGCTTTGAAGTGCTTTCACTCGTTTCGTGTGCCATCCCTCCGCACTAAGCAGTATTATAAAGAAAAAGCCAAGTAATACCAACTTTTTTTATCCTAGAATAATTTATAAATAATATAGAGTTTAAAAAGTATAAATATATTATATAAATAAATAAAGAGTTTAAAGTATAAATTTATAATAGAAATAATAAAAAAAGTTTAAGAAATTATAAATTTATAAAAAAAAATTGGTAGCTCACAAAGTGTAGCAAAATATATGATGCATCCACTTGAACCCGTCACCTGTATGGGCCAATCCACGAGATCCGCTATTTTATAGACATAAAAAATAATGTCTATGCCTGTCGCGCAAAGATACTATTCGGACCAGGCTCGTGGACTAGAAGTCTACTTGACACTTTTAAATACAAATCAATACTAGAAATTTTCAGATATATTAACGATCGGTTCACCGGAATTAAATGTCTATGGTGTTGGCCACATGTCTTTCAATACTTGATACATGTGACCATATTTACCATAAAATTCGTATAGTCATGCATGTATGTAGTTGACAATACATTAATAAATTTGACATGTGTGGCTATACATTTTGTTATACTTGGTGTAGCTAGTAGGAATTTGTTATTTATAAATCTAATATATAAAATAAAATAAAAGAGGAAGAAAGTAGGGATTGAGATTTGAGACTAGCAGACTAAGTATCTATCGCATCCTCGCATGTAAAGAAAAGTATTGTTTGATTTCTTTTGCAAGGATTTGAGGAAAGGTTTAAGATGATTAGTAGTAGCTAGTGAAGAGGATATTAAAGCAAGAAGATTTATGCTCATATGAGCTTATTTATAGAAATATAAAACTAAAATTAGATAACTTATATATTAGTAGCTTTATTATGCAAATTAAGAAACTAAAAGAGAAAGATTATTTTGTTGTCACTAAAAACACAATGATTCAAAATTAATACTTTTTATAAAGATAGAGAAGTAGAGTTGCCTCAAAGACAACTCTCAAAGTTACTAACATTGATTCTTATAATATATATACATATATATATATAAATCTAGAAAATCCTAATGTCATAGGATGATGGGTTTCTCATAGGACAATATTTGGGTTTGTAATAAAGGCTCTAATAGCTAGTAGTAACATCTAAAAACTTTCATTTAGTAAATTATTTATATATTTATAAATTTATAATAAGATATATTTTTTGTAAAAGTATCAGTCTTACAAAGGGAATATCAGTTTTTTAAAAATATTATTATTAGAAAAACTTACTAATATCAATGTGGTAATAGTTTATAAATATAAAAATAGAGAAAATTTTCTCTCGCTTCTCGAATGTTAAATATATATGCAAATTTAGGATGTGTGATCATTCCGTGTCTTATATTTGGTGTAGCTATCATTTCCCCATTTATAAAATCCAACAATTATATATTGTTCTAAACACAACTTTTATTTCTTAACTTATTTTCCTTATAAAAATCTTCATATATATAATTTGTAATTTCAAAAAAAAAATTGTAGCAGAAAAATGGTAATGTAAATATGTTAATTACTTAATAATCAAACCTCTCTCTCTCCCTAACTTGTAGTGTTTTATCTATTCTTTAACAACTTGTGCAAGTAGTGAAGCATAGAGACAATCAGACAAACAAGGTTGATGTATTTATATATATCCTACTAAAATGAATAAGAAAATGAAGTATTTCAAGAACGAATTCCTACTCCTTTTTTTGTGAATTATATAATTATATGTATATATGATATGATACATTTTGGGTGGAAGAGAGTACGTAGTTTCTTTTTTCTACTATTATACTTTAAGAATATAAGTTTTTAGCTTAATCTTTTGTTTTTTGTTCAATCAGGTTATAAAAGTTTATAAGTTTTTTTACAAATTCGGAATTATCTAGTTAACTTATTATCGATAAACTTATATATAAACTATAATCAGAAAAAAAAAAAAGATTTTGGCGTACTATCAAATTATAGAGGGGGTAAGTTTAGAGACAGTTAAAGTATGTTTTTAACTTTATTTTTGCTTATGTAATATAAACTTTCCTTTTGTTTGATGAAATTGATTTAGCTTTATCCAACTTTAATTCTTTGGATTGGAATGATGACATTGGACTCTATTATTTACCATATATACGTCAATTTTTAAAGATTTTGATACAAATTAACTTAAACTAGAGTAAATACAAACATCTTTTTCTGCTTCTTTTTCGCTTAACCAGCCTACCCGAGTATTCAAAACATCTTTTCTACTTCGTTTCTCGCTGCAAAGTATAGTCTATCGCGTACTGACATAACGAAACCAGCAACGCGATTGTTCTCCTCCAAGTATATATGCATGGCGAAACCTCACGCCGTATATTATTTTGTAATGTACAAGCTCATAGCCATTCGAGCTCTCAGTGGTCGTTGTTACGATGAGCTTCTTCTCCAAACCTGGTCCCTTGAATCTAGCCAAAACTCAATTTAATTGCATCAACTCCTCCGCTCTCTGTTTTCTTCATCTTATTTTCAGCTTTTTCTCAGACACTCAAAATTAGAAGCATTTGATTGTAATTAAGTTTTTTTTTTATTATTATTATTGTAATAAAGTTTTGCAATGCAAAAGAAAAAGGAAATAAAAGAAGAAGCAACATGTGGGATAGTTTTCTGAACCGTTGTTACTTGTTAGGCTAGTCCATGTAATTCACCGGTCAGTGGTAATGTGGTATTACAAAATAATGTACGAAGTGAAGAAAAAACAAAAAGAAAAAGTATAATCAAATCAAGGAGTCATTGGAACAACCATAAGATGACCCTTTTTGTATTGTTCATCATCTTCTCCTTCTTCTTCATTAAAACGACAAGGTAACTTCTTTTCACACTCTTCCTTCATTAGCCTGACTTTTCCCAACAAGAATATGTATAGTCCGAAGATTACAACACCAGATCCGATAACACTACACATATCAAAAGAACATTCACATTCAAATTCATATGTTATGTATATATATATATATATGTAGTTCGACGTACCTTCCAAGGAAAATTTGACGATGAAGGATCAAGAAATCAAATAGAGTTGCGAATATAAGCGCCACCGGGGTAAAAATAGAAGTAAAGATAGGTCCTCTCTTTCTGATACACCAAGACGTTCCCACCGTACATATTCCTTGTGCTACCGCTCCCTATAACACGTTGTGATACATAGGTCCGCATAACTTATATTTTACTAGAAATTACAAAATTAAACAAGTACTGCAAAAAAGACCGTCTTGTTTTACTAATATTAAAAAACTTACGGCGTAAATAATTGTAATGATATCAAGTTTATCTGTGAGGATCCAAGCCGTGATATCTCGAGATTTGATGAGGCTTAGAAGGGCGCATTGGATGGTACCAAAGAAGGATAACACAACAGTACTCGAGTATTGACAAGGATATTTCTCGTTCACTTTGGCTTGTATCAGCATCCACGATCCGAAACAGCTACTACCCGCAAAGAGAAGTGCGCATCCGATTATCCAATTTTCGGGTTTCATTGCTGTTTTATTGTATATCAACTGATGGGTTTCGAGTTTGTGAAGTTTTGTCAAGGGAACACCTTTGTACATTGTGAATAATAAAGCTCCTCCTATGCATATCAAAGCACCCATCACCATCCCCATACCTGCTTTGCTTTTCATGTTTAGCTTCTCTACCCTACACCCAAAAAAATGGGTTTTACGTATGAAACTTAATTTGTCAAGTTATAGTTGAAATATTAGAAATTTAGTTTACCTGAATATTAGAGCCATAACGAATGTAACCGCAGGTGTCATGCTAATAAAAGCACAAGCTAACGTAGCCGATGTGTATGATAGCCCCAATAGGAAGAAATACTGAGTCAAACTTGCCCTAAAATTAATATATTAAAAAGGGAAATATATTTCAGTACAAAAAAAAGTTCTACTTAGACTGAAAATCGGTTAGGATAATACAATAACGTGACAATTATATATGAAAAAAAATTCTAAATTTTATATCAAATATAAAATAGTCTATATTTTTGATTAATAAAATAGTATAAATTTAATCTCTTAAATCTTAAACTACTCTATATGCTAAAAGTAAAAGTAAACCAATAAATCCGAAATCCAAAAATCTAAACAAAATGGTTTATGTTTCTTAATTTTTGAAATAGCCAACCTTTTTTTATCTAGAATATTTCTTTATTATTCCTACAACTATATATATATATATATATATATATATATATATATATATAAGTAGTTTTCGGCGAGAATTAAAAACAGAACGAACCCAACAAGAGCACTGAAGAAAAGCTGAACCAAGATGTTCATCGTAAGTTTCGGTCTTGTTTTCCTGAAAAAAAATAAGGAAATCGTTTTTAACGTTAATCATTACAAAAATAGATATCATCAAGAAAAAAGTTAATTAATGAATATAATAAACTTACCGTTCCCAAAAAAATGCGATTGGTGCCAAAAATACGGTGGAAATAGCAAGACGATATGTTGCGATAACCATATGGTTAACACCACCATCGAGTACTATTTTAACCAAAGCGTTACCTAAACCCAGCGCCGAGTTAATCAGAACCATAATAATCACCGGTGTCCATTTACCATCGCAGTAACCCATTATTAGTTACTAGTCGACTACTAACAAGAAAAAGTAATTACGTACGTATTATGAATAAGTTAATAACTAATCTCTCTCTTCCTTTTTTTTTCTGTTTGTGTTTCTCTTAAGGGGTTTGTGTATATGAATGATTGAAGGAAGAAGAAACTGGTATATATAGAGATTTTGTTCACTAGTCAGTAGTCATATATTAGTTATTTCTATTTTAAATTTTATTTATTTTACAATAAAGTAAGAATTTGTAAGACTAAAGCTTCTTCTGTTTCTCTTTTGATTGCCACAACCCACAAGTTTCTCGATGAATTAGACAGATCATGACATTGACGTAGACGATGACCCTTTTTCTTAAAAGAATATTTCTCTCTTATTGTAACCGCTAGTACATATGCTTCATGCAGTACGTTAATTCTTTACTAAAATGAAACTATCTTCAAAAAAAATTGAAACTATTATCCATATATACTATTTTTATACGAACAGAACAAACTCTAATGGTAAATTTCTAACTTTGCTTTCCCTCACGTTTAATTATTCTTATTCTGTAGACTGTAGTTTATAAATGAAATGAATAAATTCTACTTTCTAGCTATTAAAGAAAACATAGACAAATTTGACTAAGAATTCGTACAATTTCATCAAAAGAGTATTAACATTGAATTTTTGATAAACCATAGTGGTGAAGTGGTATGTATTTTACTCTAGTTGTCGTGGTCATCAATTAATTGATTGTTTTTGGATTAGTAATTAATTGTAAGCGCTTTAAATAGTTGAAAACTCATGTTTTTTACATAGATAACTTTTTTTTTTTTTTGGTGAGCCTTTTACATAGATAACTTCTTAGTTCAGGATTTACTCAAATGTAAAAGATACTTAAAAATAAATAAATAAATAAATAAATATATATATATATATATATATATATATATACCTTTTGTTTTCTATATATCTGATCATATTTGATCTAAATTGTTTTTTTCTTCTCCAAACTCGAGTTACCGAAGAGCATAAGAGCGTTTTTGTAACTTAGATTTTATTTGAAAAAATATTAAAATTCACTAAATATACAGAAGTTGCTAGAGATGTAGGAATCTAGGTGACATCTCATCTTAAGCATATTATCTATTTTGGGAAATGTATTTAGAACTGTTAAAAAGTTAGGCTTTTACCCTTTTTAGTAATTTCCACTGGACCTCTAACATGCACTCATGTGTGCAAACCTTTTTTTTTTGGGGTGGTCAGATTTGCAAAGATGTAACATATAGGTTAATATAACTCAAACATTAGGTTTGAATTAGGGCTCTAGTTTTTATTAGCATGTAACTCAAATGAGTTACGTGAGAATACTAAATATTGTCAGATGGTCAGTCTATTGCAAGCAAAAGTGTTATGCTTAAATGTTTTAAAATAACATATTATTTACTATATGGTCATTAGTGTTTTTATTTGCCGTACTATACATTTTCAAATTAAAATGACATACATGGTATTTATGATATGTACTGATTACAAATAATCTTGTATCACTCGACCGACAGAGACACATAGCTGAGCCAGATTTTAATTTTAATCTTTCATACTTGATATTGGTTTTATGTCATTAACCAAACATTATTCAACTGGTTGAACACTACAACTTGTTAATAAATTACAAGTTTTTTCGATCCTATTTAATATTGTTGTTTTTGGTTAGTTAATTTGTCATTATAAAATCTAGTTATGTCGTTTCTTACTTTTCATTTTCATTTTTTTGTTCTTTATGTTTTTCTTTCCCATTGATTTGATCATGTTGGCTTTAATCTTCTTTTGGAAAAGTAAAGGAAAGTTAAAGTGAGATAAAGCTTTTATTTCTTTCAAGTAAAATTATAGCTAGTCGGCCAATATGATTTCTTCGAAAGATAATGGGCTTATATGCAGCACTAAATGAGAGCACAATTTGTATATAAATATAACGGAGTTATCGGCAATAACTAAAAAGTATTGGGCTTTATTTTTTGGCAGACAAAAAAAAAGAGATTGAAAATGCCTCATGATATAAACGAAGTGGCATGACTTCGGTCGTATACCGAATTCAGCAAGACACTGTAACATCTCGAACGTGATCGTTCGTAGACTATCATGTCCATTTTATCAAATTGAGTTAATGCATTTTGTGAATATAATAGTCAAATCAATATTTAACTCTTTTCATACACTTTCAATTTTTTTCAGAAATCAAAAAATATATATATATATATATATATATATATATATATATATATATATATATATAGTTTAGATCCGTTATATTATATATATAAGACCAATTATTCGTCTTTATTTTAATTCAGAAACTTGTTTTTCTTCTAATTTAACATGAAATAGAAAACACTTTTTGACCAGTAGTGCTATTAAAAAGGTATGTCTACACAAGAAAACTCAAAAATGTTATTTGAGAGTGGCTTTAAATAGAATATAATTCTAACTAAAGTATAGTGCCATTTAATAGTTAATCTTAGATACTTTACCAAAATTAATTTAACTGGTTCTTATATTTATGGTGCTTCACTAATAGAGTTTGAAATTCAACATTATATGATTAAAGCTCTTATAGTGATCATTTAAATTTTTATGTTATTCAAATATGATCTCGACTCTGGAACTTATTTCATTTGTAAACTATACCTATCAAAAGATTTTAATATTTTACCTGCATATTATCATAATCATCATAACCTCCGTGTTATTATTATTTATGACACCACTTTAAATTTGTATCTAAAATACCATTCAAAATTAATCTAACCATCGGCCCAATCCTGGCCCAACAGTTTCGGCCCGTTCAGTCCGGTTAAGACGCGAGCCTTATGTACGAAAGATTCATCAAATGTAAACTGTCATTTTGTGTTAAGATATGCATGTTCCCTCTCGTAACACTTTTTTTTTTTCCAAAATTTTATTACATCCAATTTGAATATGCGTGATTGCATTGCTGCAAGCTAGCAGTAATACTAAAACCGTACGTTGATATCAACCTTTTTAAACCATTAGCTTATGAGTTCACGTGACACCAAAAGAAACTTGTCTGCTATATTATTTTGTGAATTTACTTCTAACTTCTTCGTATATCTTTTTAAAATTCTAATTACAATGTCATTGGTGGATATAAGGAGCTATTGGAATCTGAGTATGTGTGCATCAACTTATCTTATTAGTGGAAAATGACTCATAGAGCGAATTAAGGCTGCGAAGCCGATGACGAGACCTAATTAGATAGACACATTACTGGAGTTTATATGTTAGGTAATGATTTTAAACGTATCTTACAAAAAGTAAATCAAATTGTGGTTCTAATCACATTAGAGATGAGACCTAATCGATTAGACAACATATATGGCTTAAGAGGCAATGATATTTTTTAGCTATTAAAACATATAAAAGAGATTTTCAATTTAAATTACCAAAAGAAAAATTTACAGTTGGTATACTATCGCTTAATGTGCTTATATATTAAAATCAACTTATTGTAATTTTTTTTTTGGTAATTTAAGCACATTATAATTTACAGTTGGTAAACTTTCAAATAAACATATACTTTTTTTTTAATTAAGTACATATTTAAGTAAAATGTAATAATCATTGAAATCAATTAATGTAACATAATGACATAAACTATTCCTCCGACCAAAAAAAAAATGACATAAACTATTCCAACTGGTTAATTCGATCTGGACCTCTCTTTTTTATTTCCGATTATAAACCAATCCAACTGGTTAATTACATTGAGTAATTATCTTTAATTCTTTGGAGTGAATTAAACTATCACACTAGCTCCGAATAAGTTGGAAATACATAAGAACATAAGTCTTACAATATAGAGCTGATCAATGACAGTACTATCACGATTATGATAGCCAATATATATCTACCTCTATATATAATATGTCAAACGGGCAAATTAGTATCCTTATGATTTGTTATTACATGGTCTTCGTTTTCATTATTCTGACAAAACTGGGAACTGTTCAAAGTCGTCGAAACAGACTGATCTGTCTCAATCTTCCTTCCCCAAAGAAACACGTAGAGGCCTGTTATAGTCACTAGTGATCCAAGTATGCTGCATTTTTAAAAATATAAACGGGCGTATCAGTGCATGCTTGGATCGACTTTATAGTCTATACACTATATGAGATGATTTGAGAATGAAACCTGCCGAGGTATAAAGGAGAGTGTAAGATGAGGAAGTCGAATAAGGTAGCCGCGACGAGACTGACGGGGCTGAATGTTGAGACGAAAACTGCTCCTGTCATTTTTATGGACCATGACGTTACCACTGTCGACATCGCTTGTCCCACTATTCCCTGTTTTATTTTTCATCAATTTAATCAAACCTTTTATAATTAATAGTGTTATAAATTATCATATAAACTGTTGAAAAAGTATCTTATAAATTACTATGACAGCGTTTGGAAAATAAATATGAAGAGGAAGTATCAAAAAAGGATTACATGTGAAATTAAGCACATTCCATCTATTTATCTTAATAACCTAATTTGTTAATTAGGAAAAAAATAGAATTATACTTGGAAATGATATATATGACTTGTTGAAAACAAGAATCAACGAAAAAACTAAAAAGGAGATTTATAAGAAAGAAGAGATTATAAATTACGAGGAGCTTTTAGAAAAGGGTCACAATAGATAAGATGACATTTAGATATCAAAGAAGCAAACTTTTAACTCTTTAAGAAAAAAAATCAATATTTTACAAGCTTAGCTTACCCTATAGTTTCTATCATCTTCTTTTTAAGTGCCCATTTTATGAGTATCTATATATATCTAATGAAAAGAAGACGAAAAAAACTTACAGCGTAAAGGGTGATGAAAATGACGAATTTATCTTCGATGATCCAATCTTTGACGTCTCTACTCTTGTAAAGACTCAAAATAGCACATTGAAATGAAGCAAAGACTGACATGAGACAAGTGCTTGAGAATTTATTTCCAGGATACTTAAAGCTTAATTTCCCTTGAAACAACATCCATAGAGACAACAACACTGTCCCAATGACCAAATAAAGACAGCCTAGAAGCCATTTTTTTGTTTGGTCGTAACCATTGTTATGTAACGTGTTGTTGTTGTTGTGAAGAGCTCGTGGATGAGAATGCGGATTTGATAACTCTGGGCCTTTGTAAAATGTCAATAACATAGCTCCCATTATGCAAATTAGGGTTCCCATTACTTTGAGCACACCTGCTTTGCTCTTCAGGTTTTGCGCATTCTCTATCCTGTTAAATTTTTTTATTAAAGTTTCTGTTTTGTTTTAATTACTAATTAAATTAGTTGCATTACCTGAAAATAAGGGCTAACGCAAAGGTGATAGCAGGTAACATGCTAACTAGAGCCATCGAAACAGTTGCTGACGTGTACGATAGTCCAAGTAAAAAGAAAAACTGCATCAAACTTGCCCTGCGTTATTAAAAAAAAAACATAAATAAATAAACGAAAAAAAAAAGTAAAGCTTGTAATTAATAAGAGATAACGTGTTAGACAGCTCTTTTATTTATCTTTTCTTATTTTTAAAAGTAAATTAAATCATTAAAAAAGAGAGGAAATTGCGTCATGGAGTATATAACTAGAACAAGTGAAAAGGACAAACCCAAGTAATCCGCTGATGAAATGTTCGCACAAAAGCATGAGCGTTAGCTGTGGCCTTGTTTTCCTATAACAAACTCATTTAAAGAGCAAACTTCATTACTTTTTTTTTTTAGTATCATAAACTTCATTACTTACAACAAGATAATAAAAACTTATAACTTTTATATACATACATACATACATGAGAGGATATCCAATAATATTAAAACTTAGTTTCATCATGTCTCAATAAAAAAAATAGAAAAGTTGATATATATCAACATTACATAACGTTTGGATTTTAACAGATCAAATGGCACATGAAAAGAATAGATGTTGATGTTGTATTACTATAATTCGACAAGTTTAAACAATCATGGACAGTTTAAATATTGACGCATAAAAATCAAATCATATATGGAGAAAAAATCAAGATTAGTCTGAACTTTAGCATATAATGATCAAATCATATATGAATGAAAACAGCTATTTTATCATTGTAATGGTAACAATTTATACGTAGTTGAAATTTTGAATCATACATATTTCTTATCAAAATACGAGAACATACCCAGAGAACTTTTTTTTTTGGACAGAGAGAACTTTACTTGAAAAAATGTATGTAACTAAAGATAGTTTCAAAATCTGAGTTTTGACGCATAAGAATCAAAATGTTCATACCTCTCCCAAATGAAAGAAAACGGAACCAAGATTAGAGCAGAAATAGCCATTCTATAAGCACCAAAGATCATATGGTTAACACCAACATCAAGTGCTTTCTTAACGAGAGCGTTCACTGATCCCATTGCAACACTTGATATTAACATTACTATTACTGGTGCCCATTGTTCTTCCTTCACCATCCCTCTCGATCTCTCTCCCTCTCTCTCTGAATATTTTATTTTATTAATTAAGATTTTTTTTATAGTTTTTGTTTTCTGTAATGTCGAATGTTTTTCTTTGCGTTTGGCAACCACACGCCTTCCCATCTAGTTATATTTATAATAAAGTTTGTGGGTAGTTGCCACATAGGATATATTTTTCTTGTTAACCTCAGTATAATATCAACTTATAGCTTTTTTTCTAGTAATTGTTTTTTTTCTAGTAATTGTTAAAATGATATTTTAGTTTACTGGTGGTAGATCATTTTCAAAGGAACTTTTAAATTAAATTCGGATTCGAACTCAGTAGTTTAAATAATAAACCAAAAAAGTGAGTAAGTTAAACTTTCCATCAGAAACATCACAAAGTTAATTTAAAAATAATCAATATATATATATATGTATATATAGTCATGTGATAAAATATTGTTAAAATTTATTTATCAAATTGTTCTATATAATAATTTAATATTTTATTAATGTAATTATTTATTTAGATATCCATTAAATTTAATACGATTTAATTAATGTATTAATCTGATACTTAGTTATAAAAGTCATAACAATTTTTATATGTATTTAAACCGTAAATAATGTATTAATTTTATTTTCTGTAACAAATATTTCTACATACGCACATTATGTATTGTCTTAATCTAAATTCCATAGGGGTAAATAAACGATTATTAATTGTCAAAAAACAAATTTCAGCATTTTACGCATTTTCAGCATTTTACGTAATTTTTTTGTTGAAGGGCTTACAGCATTTTACGTAATGCGAGACACGCACTTTCATTTGCTTCTCAAATAATGTTCGTGTCATCTACTTTATATATATATATATTTTTTTTTGATATACCCGATCGGCTGATCCGGTCAGCCTCGGTAGGAACGCACCGGAGTGCTACAGAGTGGACTCACTACCACCCCGAGGGATGGGCTACCACACTGCCTGATCCGAGTTTGGAATGGTTTCCGACTAATGCCCGGGGGTAGCTGGATCGCCTGTTACCAGACTACCAGGTAAACTGGTTGGGCCGAAGCCCAAGCCCAGACTTCCCAACAAAGTGTTGATAACAGCGAGGGAGGAAGATCGAACCCGGGTTCGGGGATTTCACCCTCGACGCCGGACTCGCCCTACCACTCGCCCACCACCTTGCGGGCTCTACTTTCTACTTTATATTTTTTACTTACCTTAATCCCTTAGTATTTTTAAATTGTTTTTCATCAGTTAATCATCACATAATTTTAGACGTCTAACAAAATAAATAATCCCTTCAATCCTCCGGAAGTTAGCGGTACAAGCAACCATCTTCCACATATGGAAACAGCGCAACAACATCCTCTACAATTTGACATTGATACCTCCTGCCACATCTTCAAATATGCATCGATCGACACATCAAGAACATCATCATCTCTACAAGAATCAGACGTAATTTCTGAAAGTTAATGGCGTATTGGCTGCGATAAAATCTACCTAAATTTTTCCAAGGATCTTTTGATTTCCTTGTTATTATATTTTTCGCTGAGGAATCATATGTATAGGTTTAACATATTCTGTAAAACCTGACTTTTCATATTAATGATATTTTCATGCTTTAGCAAAAAAAAAAAAAATTATATAATTGGACAGTAAACATAAACGTCTCTTTACTCCTATCATGATAATAGATCCAAATTCTGATATTTTGAAGAAACCCTCCTTTTGTTGATTAATTAATTATTTTAATATTCTAACAAAAAAAAAGAAACTATTAACTATTAATTTACTTATTTTTTAGAAGATAGAAAGTTTCTGTTATATATCATTATAATATCCATGTCCCATTCGCGACGTTAGGTTATTAAATAAGAATTTAGTCCAAAATATCTTAACATATCATGTTATACATTGCTTGTCAAGCTGACAAGCTTCATTTTGAATTTTTGGTTTTAGTCGAGCTCTATTTTACATGGAAAGAGATATTAAAAGTGTAATCAAAAGATATCTATAAAGGTTGAAAATTCTACTACGACAAGTTTATATTTTTTCTTTTTCATTTTCATGTTTTTTTAATGAGTTAATTGATCCATGGGTCTACAACTAGACCAAACTATACAAAAGTTACACAAATATAATACGTACGAACCTACAAATCATTTGTCATTTATTGCTAAAGACATGCATATATATATATACAAAGAAGCACAACAACTCTACATTGATATTAGCGGGAAAAAAACAACAACTAACTCTTCAAAGACCTATTAGATATATGCTCGTGATATTTGAGTTCTTACAAAATGATATTCTACTAGATATAAGAGACAAATTTTGTCCTGGATCTGGATAGACAAAATGCAGTTTGCAACACGCAAACTACATCTGAAGATCTAATTGACCAATTAGAAAATGTGAAAAAAGGGAACTATTAATCGCAAAAATTGATATATTTTAAACTGGGTCTGTATAGAAATTGTTTGACACTTATTTACTTTTTACTCGAAACCGGTTTCATTTATTATGAGAAAAAAAAGATTTATATGAACACTACACTAAAATAAAATTACCTTGAAATTGGAGGAAACGGTGAAAGTATATTGGTATTAAGAGGAACAATTTGCTTAACCTAGTGACACCTCATTAATATAATGCTCTCATACCACCATATCTAGGTTTAACTTTAACCCTAGTAACTTTCTTGTAATAGAAAAAAAATCTTGTAATAAAAATTAGTGTAAAATATAATAGTGTAATGAGAGTGACGAATCTCCACATATAGTCCAATGAGTCAGTGACCAACAAAATAAAAGTAATACTAGTAATGAAAAAAGGAAGATTTATTAAAAGACAAATAGACTAGCTAGTGGGTTTGACATGTATATAGCTCAAGTACTAGATGATTACGAATCTAAACGGTCGGCCATGCCGTGGAATCTAATAAAACCGGTCATAATCGTCGGCCATGCCGTGGAATCTAACAAAACCGGTCATAATCTATATAACACAGTACATTATAATCTATTGCTACAACGATTCTTAATTGTTTGATGTATATTAAATCAACAAATAAAACATCACATTTCGCATAATATTATCGCAAAATCATACTTTTAATTTTTTTTGCACATTTTGGTTTTAAAAACTATATATATCTAGTTTAATGATGCTTGAGGTCATGAGCAAACGCAAAAGCCGTATGAAATGCTCACATAATTCATGATGGTTTGTTCACTAATTTGATTATTATACTGTGAAAAAGGCGCGTGATAAAACAAAGGAACACGCGCGGCGATTTTTCAGAGAGAACGACGCTACAGTAACCAAACCTAGATCTTGATCTCTGCCTCTCTGGTCACGGTGCTCCTCACCGGTGGCCGGAGAGGGCTTCTCTCTCTTTCCCCTTCCTCTATGTTATCTCCTCCGCCTCCCCCTTTGAAGTCCCGGTGGTCTCCAATTCGGCTTGCTCTTCGTCTCTTGTTGGTGATAAAGCGGCGAGTGGCCACACACAGAGCAAAGGACGTGCGGCGTGTCTCTCTCTGTTTTAGGCTGTGGCTTTGATGAGGCGATTGTAGCAGCGAGAAACCGGTGGTGCATCGCCATGTTTCTTCAGACGTCGTCGTTCTTCTTGTGGTTTGGGCACTATGGCGAGTTTTCAGTGTGACGGATCTTCTCTTCTCGGGTCTCTCCGCCTTAGTTTTTTCCAGCTCCGGTGATGGTGTGATTGATTTCCGACGGACTTCTCTTATGGAGGCAATTCACGGAGTCGTTTTGGCTCCTGTGGTTTGTTCGTGGTGGTTAGTGGCGTTGTGGGTTTTCGTTTGGTGGTCGACCTCTCTCTTCCATTGGTGGGCCGTTGAGGATGGCAGCCTCTTCAGCCATGGGTATGGATTCTCTGTGTCCATTGGGTTTCGTCCCTTTTGCTTCGTCTCCGATTTGCTTTCAGGTGGAGTTTTGTTGTTCATGATGTTGTCGGTGTCGGTTCAATTTGTGAAAGTGAGCTTTTGGGTGTTATGGCTAGGTTCCCAGGTGTTGAATAGAGGCGACGGATAGGTCTAAGTGGCATCGCTAACTCGTTGAGCTAGTGTAGAAGTTCGCGGTTGCCTGTACGTTTTTACGTTAGTTCTCGGAGAAGCTGTAGGCTACTATCTCGAGGTTTTGAAGACGGACCTTGGGTAGTTCGGCTCGTGGCAACAACGATGAGGATTCCAATACTTCGATATTGTGGCAATCTCGCAAATTTTCGAGTTTCGCGGACTCGAAATCTGTGTTTCTTCTCGCGAGTTGGCCATGATTTCTCATCAACGATCCCAAGCTTTTTGAGTAGTAATGTTGTTTTTGTATTTTCTATCTTTTATCTGTTCTTGCTTTTTCTAACTTCTGTCAAAAATTTCAAAATGGTATAAAATTTCATCTTTTACCAAAAAAAAAAAAAAAATTGATTATTATAGAACCAAACATGCATGTTGTTCTTGATTGTCCTTCCTTATGGTCACCATAATCATCCTCTGCAAATCAGGGTTAAGCTTTTTATGCCTAAATCACACCTCCAAGGGATGAAAATGCCAAGGTGTTTGTCTTATCCCAAACTCCTTTTTTTTTTTTTTTTTTTTTTGGTTCAAACCATTGCATTCAACTTAAATCCTTAAAACATGAGAATCCATACAAATTGAAACAGAAAAAGTTATAAGAAATGTAAAGATAAAGACTTGAATTTTTTTCCAAAGAAATGCTTAACTACTGCAAAAAGCTTGCATTAAATTTGACGGAAATATCGCTAGACGTAATATCTCTAGACGTCTCGACGGATTTATAACTGAAGACAAACTTAAAAAAATTCTAGACCAACTTGTGGTCAAAAACGGTAAAGCCCAATACTGGTCCAATCCCTGAAACCTAGTAACATTATCGACAGCTTGATCCCAAACTCCATACAAGTTTACATATTAACCCAAGAAATAAAGGTTTGGCCCACTTTACTGTACTGTTCATTTTTTTTTGTTAGTTGGGTCAAGTACAATAAATAGAATGATTAGAGGGTTGGCTGATTTTATAGCCATAAACTAGTTGCATTCTCAGCTTTCCCCCCTAACCTTTTCGCTCCAGCTAATTCCACCATTAACTTAGATAATTCTCACAATTTCAACATGTACTTTCGGATTCATCCTTAAAACTACGCCTCCAATTGAACCGGTCATTAAACCGGTTCTAACCACAAATCCGCGTTTACTGTACCGCGATTGCGATTTACCCGATTAAAAACCCATTACCCGTTAAGAAAACGACGTCGTTTTCATTCTTCTTCTTCTACAAAATCTTCGCCGGAAGTTTCAGTTAACGAGCAATCCACGGCGGCGGAGTCGCCAAGATCGATCAATTATCCAAGTCGGATTTCGAATCAGATTCCGCCAAGAAAAAGGATCGATTCACGTCAGGTTTTGAATCAGGCGCCGAAGGAACTATCGTCTGAATTGAAGCAAGAACGCATCATTTTATTATAAGAAGTGGCTCCTGAATTGCCTCCGCAAGAAGTCCTCTCTTTGCTCGAGCGCTTTAATTGGGATGTGGAGAGAGCCGGGGACCATTACTGTGACCAGCGATATTCGCAGCATCGTACTTCATATGCCGGAGATTGATCAGTCGTCTTTGCAGGGGTTTCAAGAGGGTCATATGCCGATGATTGGGGTTTCGAATTTGGAACGATTCTCACAAGATGAAACATCGACGGCTTTGGCTATGGATTTGATGGACCTTAGTGCTCCGCCTCTTCCATCGTTACATGCTTCTGTGGCTATCAAATCAGCAACTTTTCTTCTTCTGGGTAATTTCCTTTTACTTTTCTTGATTTAGGGTTTAGTTGATTACTGAGAAAATGTTTTTGTACAGTTTGATGAACGTTGATGTGGATGAGATGGGAGATTTACACGATGTACCTATAATGTCTTCCTCTCAAGAGCAGGTAAGTAATCTTCTCTTTCTCTCTGTATTTCTGTGAAGAATGGGAATCTTAGTTGGCTTTGTTGTTCTCTGTTTTCTTAAGATTGTTTTTATAAACAAGGGAACTCTATGTTGATTGATGCACACAGCTTTAGGAATGAAGAACCCTAAACGCCCAAATCGATTTTGTAGAAGAAGAAGAATGAAAACGACGTCGTTTTTTGTTTGGGTTTTGATGAGTTTATCAAAATGAAAACGACGTCGTTTTCTTAACGGGTAATGGGTTTTTAGTCGGGTAAATCGCAATCGCGGTACAGTAAACGCGGATTTGTGGTTAGAACCGGTTTAATGACCGGTTCAATTGGAGGCGTAGTTTTAAGGATGAATCCGAAAGTACATGTTAAAATTGTGAGAATTATCTAAGTTAATGGTGGAATTAGCTGGAGCGAAAAGGTTTGGGGGGAAAGCTGAGAATGCAACTAGTTTATGGCTATAAAATCAGCCAACCCATGATTAGACGATTAAACACAATTTCGATCCCTAACACAACCATTACCCTAAGTATCTTGAAATTCAATTGATATATTTCTCCTAATTACTTGTCGTGTGGCCTTTTCTTGTGGTGTATACGTATGTGATTAATGGTATGAATACAAAACATTTAAAACTAAGTATGAATACAAAAAAAAAAAAAAAAAAAAAGTATGAATACAAAACATTGGTAATCGGTGATTTGATGTGTTCTTACTAAAAAAAACCCTTAAGAAAATACTTGTAGACAAAGATATAATCTGAATTATCATAACGGCATTATTATTTTGTAAAAAATATAACTCACCAGTAATAAACTTTTTTGGTTCTGGTTCTATATATGATTGGTCAATAATTGAAACAACAATACCCAGTAACAAATATCAACCATAGAAAAAGAATATGATAGGACAGAAAATGAAGTTCCATAGAGAAAGAAGTAGTATCAAATTCCGATATATATTATACCATATGTCTCCACTCTCCAGCTTCCTAAACCGGTAGTGTATGAACCCTTCCACTTTCGAATTTGTTTGGTCAGAAATAGATTTATATTCCACAATTTCTCGCAGCTTATATATAGACACACACACTTAATTTATGTGGAATCTGAAATTTATATTGATATAGTAAAATGGGATGTGTTTGCAGCAAGCAATTAGAAGGAAGAATGCATGAAGACATTACGCTTCTTGCTTCTCAAACCTTTTGTAAGCCATGTCTACTTCAAAAAATCCACCACTTCCTCCTATATAATCACAATAATACTGACACATGTGTATTTACTTGCATGGAAAAATAATAATTTTACACGAGTTTGTAGAAAATAACATCATATTAATTGTTTTGGGTTTGCAGTTAGCGAGGCTGAGGTTGAAGTTCTGCATGAATTGTTCATCAAACTCACTTCCTGTCTCAGCAACGACAATCTTTTGACCAAAGTTAGACACCAAACTAAATTATTTTTCCACAATGTGAATATTAATACTGAATTATTATAAACATAAGTGTTTATACTACTTGTCGAAAAGTTGTGTTAGTGTTTGTGTCGTTGGAAAAGTTGTGTTAGTGTTTGTGTCGTTGGCTTTTTCAGGAAAATTTTCAATTCATCTTAATCAAGAATAACAATAGGCGCAGTCTTTCTGCTGACCGGGTAAAGTTTCTAATGAATGTTTAATATAATAAGCGGAAAAATATATAAACTTCGATTGATGTTGGTCATACGTAAAACTTCTTAATTTTATGCTAAGCTTCTTAATCATATCTGAAATGTGCAGATTTTCGGATTATTCGATATGAGAAACGATGGGGCTATAGATTTTGGAGAGTTTGTACACACTCTCAACATTTTTCACCCAAACTCATCCCAAAGAGATAAGGCCATATGTATACTTCATCACTTATAATGTGTTTATTCATTTATTCCATGTTATTATTATTTTCTATATAAAGATCAATGTAAATCTGATCACTTGTTTATAACTAAACAGTTGCATTTAGATTATATGATACTCGTCAGACTGGATTTATTGAACCGGAGGAGGTACGTTTCGTAATATTATATTCGTCGTTTCTAAAAAAAAATAAGTATATTAAGTCATATATATGATTAATTATATTTTAAAGGTTTTCCTCGACTTGGAGAAAATTATAGGTGAAAGAGATGATAATAGACGTTCTAGAGGAATCAGAACTTATGCTATCCGAGAGTATCATCGATTCTATCGTGTCTAAGGTATGTAACGCTTAATTTTTTGGTGACCAATTAACATTTTTAGTTATATTACTTACTGTTTTTGTTTACATTTATTTTGGCAAGACATTTGAAGAGGCGGATTGGAAAAAGGATGGGAAAATAGATTTGGAAGAATGGGAAAATTTTGTTGCCAACTATCCTTTGACACTAAAGAACATGACTATCCCTTTCTTGAAGTAATTCGTTTGTTTGTTTTTTCCTATATATATACATAAAAATATAGTTTAGGGAAAGATGAACCATTTCCGTAATATTCGCTGATAAATTGCATTTTTTAGAATACATCTTCCAAGAACCAGCTTATATGTGTGTGTGTTTATGCATAGATTATCTATATGTAGAGTTTTTCAGTGTATTCTTTGTTTTTTTTTTTGTGTGTATCAGATCGTTATCTTTGAAAACTAAGACATTTACTCCAAAGTTTTTTTTTTTGTTTTCAGGGACATACCAAGGATTTTTCCAACCTTCTTCCGGTAAAATCAGATAAGATACATATGTTTGCTTTGTGCCGCTAGAAGTTCTTTTATTTGAAAAATATTTTTATCCAAAAAGCTCCGTATGTTATTTATAAAAAAGGTTATATTACCATATTAAACTATCTAAAGAAATCGTCTTATCTAAGATCATTTCCAATATATTTTTTTATATTTTTTGCTTCCAAAATAGTGGAACTCTATAATAAAAGTGGTTTGTATACAAATGTATTCTTCTATTTTTTTCTCTAAAAATGTTTAACTCTATTATAGAGGAAAAAATAGAGATTCTCTATATATATAGCAAAAAATAGATATTTCTATTTTAGAGATAAAAATAGAAATGGATTAGAGTAGATTTTACTCTAAAACAGAGTATAGAGATAATAATCGGGGTGAGTTGGAGATGTTCTAATATCTTTAATGTTTAATGAGGATAGAAAATAATTGTTTTTAACCACAAAAGCTAAAGCTTGATATGAAAAGTTAAAAGCAAAGATCGGTTCGTGATGACAAAAGAGGGTTTTTGAAAAAGAAAAGAAGAAAGAAAAAGAACAAATTTGTGGAAGTTCGAGGATAATGGGAACACGGAAAATTGAACATGATATAAGTTGCCAAAAAGAACGAGAAAAAGTTGGCATGATATTACAATCAAATTTTTAAATCATGTTAATTAATCAAATTCAAGTTGATTTCAAAAAGGTTTGAATAGCAGTGAGTTAAGATTAGTTATTGAAGTTAGATTTGGTTATTAACAAACCGAAAAAAAAAAATGAAAGAAAATATTAAGACTCGCAGGAAATATTTTTTTTATCAAATATTCCAGATATATAAATTGACAATTTCAAAAATGCGATTTAAAATATTAGGTTGTATAGTTTTTATTTCAAATTTAACTGACGAGGAAAAAAAAGTTAAGAACAAAATATTGAACGCATAATTTACGAGTTTGTCCACCTACATTTCGATAAACAATGCCATCAAAAATTTTCAATAGAATTAGCGAGATTACATAGAACTGAGTAACTTAACAAAGACATTTTCACACTAACTCACTTTTTTTTACACCAAATTTATATTAAAATCAATTTGCGATTACATCAAGAACACGAACTTGAAAGCTCTTTGCCAAGGAACTCACTTGTCGAGTGTTTGAAATAGAGACAGAATTGAACATAAGCTTTAAAAAGATAAGACAGAAAGTTAAAATCGTAGATGATAATTGGAAACTTCTTCGAAAGGGCTTCGAGAGAGCTCAGATTGAAATCGATCGTCGACTCTTGATCGTCCAATAGATCCGAAAGTGATGCTAGTTCTTTTGCTTTTGAAGGCGAGCGAACAATTAAGAGCTTTTCCCTTGACCCTAATGATTAGTTTTTGTATCTAAAAAACTTTTAGAATCATATGAGTTACAAAAAAAAAAAGAAAAAAACAAGAGCTTTTAATGCCTTTAAAACTGAATTTTTAGAAACTCTCCATAAAAGAGAAGAATACTGAAAAATGTCTTTTTTCAAAGAGAAGGATGATGGAATTGATCTTCCTAGAAAAGAAGGTAAATGCGGAAGTGATGTCTTCATAAAAAAAAGGTTTTTCCATAGAATAGGAAGATAACGAAGAAGTACCGGAATCACAAAGATTACCGGTTGAAATAACAATGTTGTTGAAACAACCGGTTTTGACTTGAGAGGGCTAAGAACATGGCCCAAAGATAATGAACCTACTAGGCCCAACAGAAGGCAGAACATTTGCTTAAATATTCTCTTGTTTCTACCTAAAAGATAAATTTTGTATAGAAAAAGTTTTGTTTGATTAGTTAACAAAGTCATTTGCTCAAAAAAAAAAAAAAAAGATTAGTTAACAAAGTCTACTCTGCACAAAGGATTTGTATAGGTGGCACCATTTTTGTTAGAGGCTAAATAATTAGAAAACATAGAGAATTCTATATGAACATTTTAAAAAGAATGTTTTGATATCAAAACCAATACTCCTTCTCCTTTCATCTCTAAAATCGGACTAAAAATATGATTTCGATTTTACGCTTTCCATTTAACGTGATGACTATGACTCACGATAACTTAAAAAGATTCGAAGAAACTGATAGATTTGGAGGAAACTTTAGTAGTAGAATAGTTTCTCTCAAATTATTCAATTAGCCAATAGGCTTATTTATACAAGAATCATAACTTGATTAGCAAGTTCTTTACATATATGATAATAGGAAATCTACCTATTTAACAATAAGAATATATTATACATATGTTAACTTTCCTTTCAAGTCGATCTCGTAATCCCCGAGATCTCCTAACACCCTCCCGCAAGCTCATACGTGGTAACACGTATGAGATTGGACAATTATCAAATCATCTTCACGGTCTTCATATCCACTATAGAGTCATCAATGGCGTTTATACCTCGCCATAAGGTCATCAATTCAATAGAGGATACTTAAGTAGTTGTGTATCTCCATCGATTTTAGATCACAAGTCTTGGCCGCTCTTCGAACTTCTTGTTCATGAAGAAACTTGTGTAGTAGTCATGGTTGAATTCGAATTCGTCACCGTCGGATCAGCATCGTATCCGTCAGAATCATCTTCGTGGCTTCCATCTTTTTCGTAGTTAAAAAGAAAACCACATGAAGACCGGTTAAAAACCAAGCATAACCATATGGTTTTGTTGGTCATCATCCTTACCAAAGTAAATCGTTTGTTTATGTCATCTTTGTAGTGCGTGACATGAACAACGTCTTCTTCTTCAGGATTTCTACTTCTCCAAGTAACTAGCAAGTTGCTAATTAATAAGAAATCAAGCAAGGTCAATAACTGACCGAGTTCAGCAACGTATCTCCCCAACACGTTGATCACGTCTCTCTTCCTCTTCTTTTTTTTTTTTTTTTTTTTTTTTTTTTTTTAACAAAGAAAGAAAATCAATGAAATATATATGATTTTCCAAAACAAGAACAAAGACTAACAAAATAACGAAACGAAGCTCGAATCAAATCTGTTTTTTTTTTTTTTTTCATAGTTGCGGAAACAAAGAAAACCTTTAATCCATTAGAATTGGATCAAGGCTCTGATACCATGATAGATTTGGAGGAAACTTTAGTAGTAGAATAGTTTCTCTCAAATTATTCAATTAGCCAATAGGCTTATTTATACAAGAATCATAACTTGATTAGCAAGTTCTTTACATATATGATAATAGGAAATCTACCTATTTAACAATAAGAATATATTATACATATGTTAACTTTCCTTTCAAGTCGATCTCGTAATCCCCGAGATCTCCTAACAGAAACAAAATACTATCCACTTATTTAAAACGAACGCTTCATTCAAAACATTAACTTGTGAAGCACAACTACTAAAAATGTAACTAATTTTCAGAAGAATCGAAATGACCGAAACAAATTTACAAAAAAAGTCACTAAATCGGAAAACTGCAAAGCATAATACGAATTCTAAGTCACTGATTATTATCATAAGAAAATAGTTCCGCAATCGTGTTAAAAAAAAGATATGATCAAACCAAATGAGATTTGCATGAAGATGCCATATGTCAGACCAACACAATGAGCTGTTGTGTCGATGAACTCACCATATGCCAAGACAGGCTATTACCGACAATAAATTTGTATAGTCAAATTTCATTAATTAACATCCACAGATCCAACAATTGAAAATATAAAATAAATATCATAAATAGAATGTAAATTAGAAATACTTGTACTTATAATTTTTGGCTTATGCCTCTTAATTTATTATTACACTAGACTCGACGAAACTCAACACTAGCATGATTACAAAAAAAAAAAAGATTACAATTCTAATTTTCCTTTTCAAACTTTTTAAAAACACAAAGATTTAAACAAAAAAAAACATTACAAAATAAAATTAAGACTAGACATCAACTTTACAAGTTGAAGGAGCGAGAAGAGGAACTTGTCCATTAGAAGATGGATTAAATCTCAACCACACATCACACCTGGCATAAAATCCATACCGTCCAGTCTTAATCGCACCAGCTTTCCATCGGAGCCTCCCTAAAATCACCACTCTCATCAAAACGACACCGTAAGCTTCATCATTCTTCAAACCGTTAGCCACTTCCGGCGAAACTGGTATACCGTTGCCTCCCAACACCGGAGCTATCACCACCGTAGATTTATGTCCTAAACGAAGCGGCGGTAACGGAAGCGGCGGTGTTATGATCTGATTTTTGTACGTTACGTACATAGAGAGCTTGTCGTAGTGAATTGATACTCTCCGGTTAGGGTTTCTTGCCAAAACGCTGAACTGAACGGAGGTTGAGATTAACGGCGGCGCCGTGAAGTTGAGGTCGTAGATGGCGGCTCCGACGACGGTGAGACGTGGTTTGTGTGGACGGTAGACGAGCCAAAGGATTAAAGCGATGATACCTAGTAAGATGAGGACCGTGAAGATCGCGCCGCAGATTGCGCGGAGAGCACCTCCACCGCCGCCTCCTCCACCTTCTTTAGAGTAAGATTCCGGCGTTGACGAAGCGGAGGGAGCGTTCTTGTGATCTGCTTTGGCTGCGTGCTCTGCTTTTGCTTCTCCTTCTCCCATGGCTATGTATAATTAAGTGCAGTTTGTGTATGTATATACAAGAATCAGAGGATTTAAGGGTTGGTGAAGAGTGAAGAATTATAAGAAGGAAGAGACGACTAAAAGAAGGAGGAGAAAGAAGATAAGATGCAAAGTTTTTGTCTTGTTTTGTTTTTTCTAGTTAATAAGAGTAAACACTCTTCTAGCAGATTGTACATTTTGTATAATAGTTTATTAACCTAGAAAGCTTGTGGTTGTAATTATGTGTTAGAGGCTAATCTTTTTATAAAGGGGTCCCTTTTATAAAGTAGCCGTATATTACTGTTTTTACATATATTATACGTAGGCCCTGGACAAAATATTCGTTAGAACCGTTTCGACTCGGTATTCGTTTTGATTCGATTCGAAAAATTCGAATATTCGTAAAATTTTGGAGTAAAGCAAATAGGAAAATATAGTATTTATAAAACCGAAGTAAATAACAAATATTGATTTTTTTAAAGTCGGATATCCGCTTCGATCCGTATTTTTTGATATTTTTGGTAAAATTTTCATGATATATATGCATATCATAATATATTTTTGCCTTGTATTTGTAAACTCAGATTTTTTTTTATCTTTGTATCTGTGTTTGTGACACAATTTAATAGTTTTTATTAGTAAAGTAGAATTTATTTTAAAAAAATCAATATCCCTTAAAAATAAGAAGTTGGAATCCTGCAACGATTTTTTTTCCCAATTTTATCTTCTTCTTTGTAGTTTTACACGAGACCGCTTAGCTTTTTAGGATTTTAATAGGGGTAGAAGTATCGAAGCGGATATCCGCAAATATCACAAAAAAATTCCGAATATTCGATTTTCCGAATATCCGGAAATTTTTGGATCAAAGCAAATAACAAAATCAAGTATTCGGTTGAGACGAATCGAATAACGAATATCCCAAATTTTCCGAATATCCGGTTCGTGTCTAGGACTATATTATAGTACTAAAATGTAAGAATATAATTGATAGAGAAGTACTTACGAAAGGCTCCAAATCTCGGTGCAACCGTTCACGTGACGGATCTGATGGTTTTATAAAAAAAATATTTCAATTTTAAAAAGTATTATATAAAGAGTCAAAGAGATGAATGTTATGTGTATATGGCTATACATAATTAAGTACTTTATTGTCTATGATTGACTTATTTGGTGCAACTATGGTTTTCGTGCAAGGTGATAAGTTAACTAAAGCATTTTGGCCGTGTTGAAAGTTTTAAAAACTAGAATACCGGTTACGGCTTGTAAAATTAGCATGTTAAATAAATATTTGTTTGCATTGCATGCCATAAGAATATTAGCATTTTATTCGCTTCTGTGGCCAGATTTAATTATCTATTTGGAATTAAGCAATTTTTCAATCAATCTATCATAGTTCACAATTATTTATCGACTGTATAAAACAATTAACGACACATCCATCGAAATTCGAAGGTATAGTAAATGAATTAGCTTAATAGGTACCACATGTGTCTTATTTGTTCCAAGGTTCAGAAAAGAAAAGTACAACGGCCTTTTTATGTCCACATCTCCAACAATACTGTATTTCTGAACAAATTCCATATAATTCAATATACAATACGTAACAAAATCATATTATTATGTTTTTTAAAAAATCATATTAGTAAGCTTCCAAAAAAAATTAATAATCACATATAGAAGAATCTGTGATTTAAAATCACACTAACCAAGATACCGCACCGACACAAAGACTGAGGACAATCGTTCCAAAAAAAAAAAAAAAAAAAAGCTCTCTTCTCTCTCTTCAAAAACAGATCTAGATCTGCTTTTCCAGTTTCTTCTGTTCTTCACCGCCGGCGTCGGTTCTGCATCCGGTGCTCAGGGGTGAGATCGTTCCTTTCTCCGTCGGTTGTGGTGTGGTCTTTCCAGATCGATGTTGTTGTGGCTCCGGTGTGTCGGAGAAGAGATCTACTACGGATCCTCGCTGGTTAAGGACGCTGGTACGGGTAGTGGATCTCCTCGCCGCTCAGCCGTCGCGCCGGCAGCTGCGACAACGGCGGAAGTCGAGAAGGAGAAGGTGGGTGAATCGTTTGCTGTGGAGGTTAACTGTGGATCTGTGGGTCTTTGATGGCTGGCGTGGAGTTCGGTGTCTCACGGCGGGATTGAGCCTCCAAAGTTTGCTGCCGCCGCGTCTTGGCTTCCTCCTTGGCCGGATTGATAGGTTCGTTTCTCTGTAACTCGGGAATTTGTCGGAATTGGGATTGAAGGGTTATGGCTGAGTGTGGCGGCTAGCTAGGAAGGGGAGCTGTCATCGGCGGCTCGTGTTGTCGGGGAGTTGACCTTGCTGGGAGGTTTGTGGCGGGTTGGTAGGTCGTCGGAGAAGGCACGTCGCCGGGAATCAGAAGCTCCCGTCAACGTTCTGGATCCGTCGATTCCGCCGCAATGTTGTGGACCTTGCTTCTGCCGGCGTTTCTGTGTCGGACTCCCTGTTTCACGTTGTCCACCAGGCCAAGAGCTTCTTTTCCGGCGTCGATCTAGGGTTTCCATTTTGCTTTTTGTACTTGTGTTATTGGATGTATGTTCTCGGGCCAAAGCCCATTTTGGGAAGGAGCCTTTTAATGAAAAGCCCGTTTAAAAAAAAAAAAAAAAAAAAAAAAAAAAAAAAAAAAAAAAAAGATACCGCACCGACACTGTAGTCACCGACAATGATGTGGATAGTAACTGGGCCTAAATCTAAAGCCCATTTATAAATTGGGCCTACATAGTTTAAACTATTGTTACAGCTCGATTTCTGCTCAACTGATTCATCTCACACTTCCAACGGCCGATTTATTAAAAAACACCCCGACCAATGATTCGCCGGCCGATCTACGACTGCTCCGCCGCATCTCGTCACCTAACATCATCGTTATCGACATTCTCGCGTTTTATATTCTATTCTTCATCTGAACATGAAGCTCGAAAACCGAAGGCCTCGGCTTTGGTATCGAATCCGAACCCTAAATCCCCAATCGGGTCTCCGACTCGGGTTCAAAAGCTCATAGCTTCGCAATCGGATCCTCTCCTCGCCAAAGAGATTTTCGATTACGCTTCTCAACAGCCCAATTTCCGCCATTCTCGATCTTCTCATCTCATCCTCATTCTCAAACTCGGCCGTGCTAGATATTTCAATCTCATCGACGACGTTCTCGCCAAACACAGATCAAGTGGTTATCCGTTAACCGGAGAAATATTCACATATCTGATCAAAGTCTACGCAGAAGCAAAGCTACCGGAGAAAGTTTTAAGTACGTTTTACAAAATGCTGGAGTTCAATTTCACGCCGCAGCCAAAACATCTGAATCGGATTCTAGAGGTTCTTGTAAGCCATAGAGGTTATCTCCAGAAAGCTTTTGAGCTTTTCAAGAGTTCACGGCTTCACGGAGTAATGCCTAACACGAGAAGTTATAACATATTGATGCAAGCTTTTTGTTTGAATGATGATTTGAGTATTGCATACCAACTGTTTGGTAAAATGCTTGACAGAGATGTTGTCCCTGATGTGGAGTCTTATAAGATTTTGATAAAAGGGTTTTGTAGGAAAGGGCAAGTGAATGGTGCTATGGAATTACTGGAAGATATGTTGAATAAAGGATTTGTTCCCGATAGATTGAGTTATACGACATTGTTGAACAGTTTGTGTAGGAAGACGCAGCTCAGAGAGGCTTATAAGCTTTTATGTAGGATGAAGTTAAAAGGTTGTAATCCTGATCTTGTTCATTATAACACGATAATTCTCGGGTTTTGTAGAGAAGATCGCGCGATGGATGCTAGGAAGGTTCTTGATGATATGTTGTCTAATGGTTGCTCGCCTAATTCGGTCTCTTATAGGACATTGATTGGAGGATTGTGTGATCAAGGAATGTTTGATGAAGGGAAGAAGTATCTACAAGAGATGATATCGAAGGGGTTTTCTCCTCATTTCTCGGTTTCGAATTGTTTGGTTAAAGGGTTTTGCAGCTTCGGGAAAGTCGAAGAAGCGTGTGATGTGGTAGAGGTTGTGATGAAGAACGGAGAAATATTGCATTCAGACACTTGGGAGATGATAATTCCATTGATCTGTAAAGAAGATGAGTCGGAGAAGATCAAACGGTTTCTTGAAGATGCTGTAAAGGAAGAGATAACCGGCGATACCAGAATTGTTGATGTCGGTATCGGTTTAGGTTCTTTCCTTTCTAGTAAGCTACAGATGAAACGTAAAAATGTTAGAGAGAGGAGGAGACATTTATAGGTTCCTGAGGACCTGTAGGAGAAACCTCAAGTTTGTTTATTCAGTGTCTCGTGATCTTCGTTAGTGGGCCTAATTTGGGCTTTTATTATTAGTTTAAGCCCATCTTGCTTCATATTAGATTCTGATCAATTAGTAAGTGATAGTGGCAACGAATGAGATCTGAGTTTCGCCGATTACTCAGAAAATCATAAAAATGCCGGAGATCGAACAAGACGATGCGGCGGGGGAGACGGTGGATCCCTCCACCGTTAAATTTGGTACACCGGAAGCACTTGAGTATGTACGGTCGCTCACGGACGTTGGCGCGATGACGCGTCTTCTTCACGAATGTATTGCTTACCAGCGAAGCTTAGACTCAGATCTCGACACGCTTCTATCGCAGCGGACGGAGCTGGATCGGAATCTCGTTCAGCTTCAGAGATCCGCCGAGATTCTCGATATCGTAAAAGCGGATGCAGATCACATGCTCGGAAATGTTCGATCGACTTGTGATCTCGCGGATCAGGTCAGTGGCAAGGTGCGAGAGCTCGATCTCGCTCAATCTCGTGTTAATGTTACTCTCTCCCGCATCGATGCAATTGTCGAGCGAGGGAATTGCATCGAAGGCGTGAAGACTGCTTTGGAATCGGAGGATTATGAATCTGCTGCGAAATTTGTACAGAGATTTCTCCAGATCGATTCGCAGTATAAGGACTCTGGTTCTGACCAGAGAGAACAGCTTCTCACGTCGAAGAAGCAGCTTGAAGGTATTGCGAAGAAGAAGCTCTTAGCGGCAATAGACCAGAGGGATCATCCTACAATTTTGAGATTCGTGAGACTGTATTCTCCATTGGGAATGGAGGAAGAAGGTCTACAGCTTTACGTTGGTTACTTGAAAAAGGTCATTGCGATGAGAGGAAGGATGGAATATGAAAATGTGGTTGAGCTTATGGAGCAAGGACTCGGACAGGCTAATTTCGTTGGGTGCTTAGCCAATTTGTTTAAAGATATTGTCATGACTATTGTAGAAAACGATGAGATCTTGAGGGGTCTTTGTGGAGAAGACGGTGTTGTTTATGCGATTTGTGAATTGCAAGAGGAATGTGATTCTAGAGGTTCGTTGATCTTGAAGAAGTACATGGAGTTTAGAAAGTTAGCTAGATTGGCGTCTGATATTAACAATTCTCCGAATCTGAATCTTCTTGCTGGTGGTGCTTCTGAAGGACCAGACCCGAGAGAAGTTGAGCTGTATGTGGAAGAGATACTGTCACTGATGCAGATTGGTGAGGATTATACCGAGTTTGTGGTGTCAAAAATCAAGTCTTTGACGTCGGTAGATCCTGAATTGTTGCCAAGGGCTACAAAGGCATTTAGAAATGGAAGTTTTTGCAAAGTGATTCAGGATGTGACAGGATTCTATGTGATACTAGAAGGGTTCTTTATGGTTGAGAATGTGAGGAAAGCTATAAGGATCGATGAGCATGTACCTGACAGCCTTACCACTTCAATGGTGGACGATGTGTTCTACGTGTTGCAGAGTTGTCTGAGGAGAGCGATTTCAACTTCAAACATCAGTTCTGTGATTGCTGTGTTGAGCAATGCTGGTAGCTTGTTGGGCAATGATTACCATGAAGCTTTACAACAGAAGATTAGAGAGCCAAACCTTGGTGCTAGGTTGTTCTTGGGTGGTATCGGTGTGGAAAACACCGGAACTGAGATTGCAACTGCTTTGAACAATATGGACGTGAGCTGCGAGTACATTGTCAAACTAAAAATTGAAATCGAGGAGCAATGTACTGAGGTTAGTTCTCATACTTCTGATACTTGGTGATTTACTTATCTAGGATACTTAAGGAACAACAATCTGGGATATATTAGACTAGAATTCTCTTGCTTACTCTTACCTGACCCTATATGGATATATCTCTCACTTTCTTTGGGTTAAAGTGTTAACATAGATAGCGATAGCTTCATTGTTTGCTAGAGGTAATGCAGGCTCTGTTCATCTCATGAAAATCATGTATATTGGCATTTGAGGAGTGAAACCAGTTCTCTTTATTTTGATTTGCATTCTTGAATCCTAGACTCCTAGACATATCTGTCTCACTTTCTTTATCATGTGTCCTAATCACAGGTGTTTCCTGCACCAGCAGATCGAGAGAGGATAAAATCATGTCTATCCGAGTTAGGCGAGTTAAGCAACACGTTCAAGCAATTACTCAACTCAGGCATGGAGCAGCTAGTGGCAACCGTAACACCAAGAATCCGTCCGGTTCTAGACACTGTAGCTACCATAAGCTACGAGTTAACAGAAACTGAGTACGCAGAGAACGAGGTGAATGACCCGTGGGTCCAAAGACTTCTCCACTCGGTCGAAACAAATGCCGCGTGGCTCCAACCACTCATGACATCCAACAACTACGACTCGTTTCTGCATCTCATAATCGATTTCATAGTTAAGAGACTCGAAGTCATAATGATGCAGAAACGGTTTAGCCAGCTTGGAGGGCTTCAGCTTGACCGGGACACAAGGGCTTTGGTTAGCCATTTCTCGGGAATGACTCAAAGAACAGTGAGAGATAAGTTTGCTCGGTTAACTCAAATGGCGACGATACTGAACTTGGAAAAGGTCTCAGAGATTTTGGACTTTTGGGGAGAGAACTCAGGACCCATGACTTGGAGACTCACACCAGCTGAGGTTAGACGGGTTCTGGGTCTCCGAGTCGAGTTTAAACCCGAATCAATTTCTGCTCTCAAGTTGTGATGTTACTTCTTTTGTTTATTATGTCATCTACAATTACTTAAACCAATTTTTTCATAATCTGATTGGTTGCACAAATATTTAAATTGAATGAAAACTTAATTAAAACCAAAACGAACCTAAAAACTCCATCTGCGTTTATGTCATTTACCCTGTTAAAAGTATGTAGAATTCTCTTTTCCACTTTAGTTTCAGATAAGTTTAGAATTTAGTTCGACTGTGCGAACGTGAATATATGCCCAAAAAGATGTGATGTATTGCTTATCAATCTCGAATCTCTCTGTACTGTTGTAGCGTGTAATCCACGTTGGATGCTTTTGTTTGATTCGATAAATGTTGGGTCCAAAACTGAGACATAAGCAAAACATGGGATCCAATAAATAATTAAAAACTCTTGTTCTGTACCATGTCTGTCTATAAATAGACTTACATCTTCAAACGTGAGATATGTACAAGTCTCCTCCACTTAAGAAGAATTAGTTTAATATCATTTGCAGTTTCTTACAATGTCTCGACCAATCCCTATTGAAGGTAAAAAACAAAAACAAAAAAAACATAACTTTGTTGTGTCTGATCTCTTTATCATTATCAGTTCCAAGTTATAATAATAATTTTCTCTTCTTGACAGAAATGGTGAGACTGTTTAAATCGCGTCACACAACATCTCACTTGTTCAAGATAGACAACTTCTCTTTACTCAAAAAGTATGGAATCGAAAAGGTCGAATCCTCTGTTTTCGATCTCGCTGGTCACAAATGGTGAAGCTTTTTGACCTTCTTATGCTTATTGACATACAAAAGAAAACAAAACAAAAAACAGTTATGACTTATGACTAACCTCCATATGACTTTGCTATAATAACAGGACACTCTCTGTGTACCCAAATGGGCATAAAAGTGCTAAGGGGACTCATGTCTCCATCTTCTTAATGAATCAAGTTTCAGTAAATGTTTTGCTTACATATAAGCTCTTTGTCGTCAGTCAACTAGAGCGAAAATGGCACAGCAAGAGTCTCTCTCTCTCTCTCACTCACCCTTGAATCATATATCCGTGTGTATATAGGTTTGATATGGTGTCCATGTTGATGTGTTATATGTGCAGGCAAAGACCAATTTGATACAAATCCAGAACCGAGTACTGAGGGGTTTTATGAGTTCATAAGTCTTGCTGATCTTAAGAAAAACGGTTACCTTATTGGGGATTGTTGTCTGTTTGGTGTCAAGTTTTATGAGATTGAACCTGCTAATCCCGGGACAGCAGAATGTTTTAGCTTAATTGAGAAGCCTCTTAATCACAAAGTTACCTGGATGATGAGCAAGTTCTCGTCCTTCAACCCTGGAAAGGCTCATCAGTCTAATGAATTTGTCGTTGGAACCAGGAAATGGTAAATATATATATTAATTCCAACGACTTATTATTCCCGATTCGAAAAACCTTATACTAATGAAAATGCATCACAATATATTTGATCAGGAGAATTGAAGTTCATCCAAGAGGGTATGATGAGGAAAAAGACAAATCATTTTCTGTGTATCTATCCGCAGAAGGGTTTGTCAAGAATGCACCAAACACAAAAACTTACGCGAGCTTCAAGCTGCGGGTATTGGATCAAGTTAGCTGGAATCATGCTGAGAGAGCAGGTTTATATGATCCATCTTTATTAGGAGGAATATGTTTTGGAAATGAAGTCTTGTGAAGGTAAAATAGTAGTAATCTTTCATTTTTGTAGGTACGGAGTGGTTTGATGCAGAACCTGAGCAAAGTGGCTTCGCGGATTTCATGCCTTTGGGGAAACTAGATGAACCTTATTTGTTGAAGGATAAGCTTTATGTGGGAGTTGAGTTTGAAGTCATTTCTACCACTAATTACTGTTAGCTTCTTGGCTTTAATAAGCCTTATTGTGAGCTAAATATAGCAAGAAATATTATAATGTATTGAATAAAATGCTGGAGAATGTACCTACTGATGCAGTAATGACTTGGAGGTGGGACTACATCGACCGAGTCTTAGCCAAAGTCATATTTCTCTTTTTGTCGTTTGTATAAATAAATAATAAAAAGGAAGAACAGTTTATTTGCTTCCAAGTTTTTAGGAACTGTGAGGTTCTTCCACTTTTTGTCATCAAAGTCACACTTGCAATTAAGTAAAAACCTCTGTCTTGAGGGTAAACTGCAAATGGCAATCAAACAAAACCAAGCTAAGACTAAGAGGATGAAATTGTTGTCACATGATCTCTTCTATGGATCAAAAAGATAAGAAGAAGAAACAAACAATTCCTTGTCATTGTCAAGCATGCATCAGATTAAAGAAAAAAAAAGACCTTTATTCTAATTCCATGTTGGACCTGGAGATCTGATTCACACACTTTCTGTTTATTAGGAATCTTAAATTTGGGATAAGATTGCTGATGAACAGAAAGTGGTTTTCTAATTTCTAGTGGTTACTTTCAGTTTAATCGAATTTTCATCGAATCAATTTTATGGTATTTTCTTTCGGCTAGAAAAGTTAAGAAATTCAAATTCACATTTTTTTTTTGCAAAACACAGCTCAAAGGTTGTTCCTTTTTTTCAATTTCTTAGGGTGTTATTCAAATTACAGACATTATCAAACTTATCAGAGATTTGATAACAAAAGCAGAGCAAAGCAAGCGTTTTGATGAGTTTCCTTTATAGGATATTTATCTTTCTCACACTGAGTCTTGAGGATTGAACTTGACTGTTTCACGGTATATAAGCTCCTTAATGTTCTCTTCTGTCAAAGTAGGTTGCTCGAAATCGAAATTGAACGGCCTCACACATACCGGTTCTTCGTTTATATCATGCAGTGGCGCCAAATATGGGTGGCACAACGCCTCATCAACTACATACAAAAAAACTTGTTCAGAAAATAGCAGGAAACCCCGAGAAGCAGCAGTTATATATATATAACGCACCTGTGATGCGTCTGCTTGGATCAAAAACAAGCATTTTCTCCAGCAAATCGACTGCACCAGCCGACATGTTTGGGAATCTAGCAGCAAAGTTCTGTCTCGGGTACTGTGGAAGCTGTCTAACGTATCTTCTTGCATTGTCACTTCTTAAGAATCCCAAGCTTGAGTCATCAGGCGATCCTATTAGCTGCTTTTCAAAGATTCATCAATAAATGCAGATGATACCGTGAAGAAACACTAAGTAGCGATTCTTTGGATGAAACAAATTAAACTAGATTACCTCAGTGATGAGTCTAAGCTGATGAACATAATCTTTACCGGGAAACAACGGCTCTCGTGTCATTGTTTCACCGAGTATACAACCGACAGACCAAATATCGATTGCTGCTGTGTATTCTGAGCAATTAAGGAGCAGCTCTGGAGCTCGATACCAACGTGTAACAACATATTCAGTCATGAAGTCTGTCTCGGATTTGGTCCTCGCAAGCCCGAAATCCCCAAGCTTTAGATCACAATTTGCATTCAGGAGCAAATTGCTGGGTTTCAAATCTCGATGCAATACATTAGCTGAATGAACGTATTTGAGCCCACGCAACAACTGATACAGAAAAAACTGCAAAACAAAATCGAAACCAAATACTAAACACAACAAGCCCAACTTCAAAGAGAACAAGCATAACAATGGCTCACACTTATAAGTATCAAGCAATACTAAAACTAACTGTTGTTTTGATCAACCATAATTCATTAGATGCACTAACACAACAACAGCTGCTCTAGCTGCCTGAACCAAGTAACTTGTAAAGTAGAAACAGAAGATTCATCTGCTAGATACATACCCGACAATGATCATCAGTTAACGGTTGGTTAGAGCGTATAATTTGGTGGAGATCAGTGTCCATAAGCTCATAAACAATGTAAACATCATTGAAGTTCTCTCTCTGCGGTGGTTTTATTATATCCTTGACAGCAATCACCTACACAAATAAACCAATATAAGATTCACAAAATAATGAGTATAAATAAAATCCAGAGATGAGATTAGAGTCACGTACATTCTCATGATCCATATGCTTGAGAAGCTTAATCTCTCTCAAAGTTCTTTTAGCATCGATAATATTGTCAAAAGCATTACCAATCTTCTTGATAGCTACTTCTTCTCCAGTCTCTGAGTTTGTAGCAGCACTGATCAACAAATATGATGAACACAAGTTAAAAAGAAACAGATCCGAAAATTGAATTCCAAGAACAATCCCTAACAAAGTAAATCGAGATTCGATCAAATTAGAAGTTTCTAAGCACGAAATCTGGAGAAAAACTGACCAGACAATTCCATAAGCGCCTCTACCGATGGGACGAAGAGGAGGAACATACTTTCTAGAAACTTCGAAGAGATTGCCATAGACATTATACTGAACATAGCTACCACCATGAGTAGGCAATCCTTTGCTGCTTTGATCACCTGAACTTCCGAAACAAGTCTCCGCCGACATCGATAAAATGAAGAACCCTAGATACACGCACAGAGAAGAAATTGAGGAGGAATTGAGAAGATGGGTGTTGACATTTCGTTATAAAGTCTCCACCTTTTTTTTTATTATTGAACGGCAAAGGCCAAAGGGGATGTCTCCTCTCGGGTCACCCGTGAACCTTAAACCGGGTTTGCTTCTTCTTCTTGGTTTTTTTTTTCTCCTTTGTAATGTCAAATTTGGGATAATCTGATGAATTTTGTAGTGTCTCTTAAGTAATTGATGAATTTTGTATAGTGGAACAAGTTAATGACTTCATGTGGGAATGTTTTTGATATCATAGAATAATGTTACAAGAATTTTATTGACAACTTTTCTCCAATAAGAATTTGAGTATGACTTGGTATATTGGTGGTGTACAAGTCAATGGGCGGCCAAACTGTATTTGACCATAAAACTGACCTTTGATTCCAAATTCATTAATGAAAAAAAAGTATGTTATCATTTTTGTTTTTTTTTTTTAAATCATGGATAAACAACTTATTTAAGTATGTAGAAGTTTGGTGCATTTGTTATTATTAATAGCTTGAATATCTGGTTTGCTTTGATTGATAATGTAACCATGAAAATGACACTGATTCTTTTTTTTGTCTAGTGATTTAAAATGGGACTTAAGCAAATCCATCACGTATCCATTATGCGTGTGGTTATTTACCAACTAAGATGGACTAAAGCCGATCAAGGCAGTCCACAAGAACACCATTTTGACGTTTAATTATTAGCTTTAGTAGAAGCACTTTTAAGTATTTTGTTTCGTTTTAAAATCTCATTTTTTATCTTAACATCAACGAAAGCACTACCATAATTACATGTTTTCTCTATTCACAAACAAGTCTTAACACTTTTAAGTTTAACCATCGGTGGCAATGTAACTCCCAGCTCTTTTGCGTATTTCGTCCAGAGGCTCTCGAACAATGCGTCTCGGGCAGAGATCACCATCTTCGACAAGAAACGTGTTTCCTTGGAGACAAGCTCAAACCTTTCCGAAAGTTCTATCACTGACTTCTTTAATGGCTCCACCAACAAAATAGGAACTGACCCTTCTTGTACCTCTGAGTAAAGCTTCTTCACACCGGTTTCAACAGCCTCGAGATCTTTTATAACCGTGAATTTGTCTGATAAGAATGTGTTTTTGATCTCTGGGTTAATCATGTTCTGCAATTCCATGAAAGCTTGCGCCCATGGAAGCTCCTCCATATCCTTTGGAATGGTTAGATAGAAGAGATTCTTGGAAGAACCCGAGAATGCTGCAGCAAATACGCTGAATATGTATAAAGTCTTGACCTTTACACCGTATAGAGCTCGTAAGAGGACTTTTCCTTCCGCAGAGTGTTTCTTCTTCGCCTTCTTGGAGAGATGATGATGATCCATCGATTCAACAAGCCTACTCAAAACCGCGCCACAGTTTTCGATTCTCCGGTTCTTGGAAACCATGTGCTGATTCCAACTGTCAAGATGCGATAACGAAAATTCCTCGGAACAGTTGTTTGTCTCCAGCTTACTAAAAGCAACCTTGAGTAATAGATTGCCATGGTTCAGACGATCTATCTCTGAGATGAAGGCGTTGCAGAGTTCAAGCAGCTTCAAGCTAATGTCAGAGTATATATAAATCAAATTTTCCTCCAAGTCCGATACTTGAAGCTCTAAATCCGCCACGAGAGTCCTGATACTCTTGTGTGTCTCACAAAGAGACTCCATAGCTTGTATCATCCAAGAAACACTAATGATATCATTCTTATCCTTTGGTATAAGTTCTCTAATCGATACCATCAAGTTAGTCTCGAAATTGTTCAACAGTGAGAGAAGCTTTGGCGATAATCGAGCACCGTTTTTCTTCTTAAACAGAATCTTGAACGGGTTTCGACAGTGGAAGAACCGGTGTGGAGGATCTTGTGTACATTGTTGGCTCATATCAACTGAAAACACACAAAGAAGAACAAAGTTAGTAATCTGAAACAATTAGCAAACTAATAACATTGTTCTGAATCCAAAATCCGAATCAATAGACCTCAAGATTTCAAAGACACAAAAAAAACCATTATTTAAGTAAACAGAACAAAACCCAGGTCACAAAATCCGAATTCTGGAGAATTCACTACCAAATTGGGCATAAAAAGTAAACCAAACTTGTCGACGATTAATATCACCAACGAAAACTGACCTAAAGGGAGAGATTCTTCGGGAATGTTACCGCTTACTTCAATGTTACGCTACTTCAATGAAGGAGAGACAAAAACCTAATCTAACTATGCAAAGAAAAGAAACCAAAAGAAAGTATAAATAGGAGATGGGTTTAGTGTTGTTACCTACCGAGTATAATAATAATAAAATTAGGGATTCGAAGTGTCGAGGAAACGCAAAAGACTTGAAACGCGTTCTTATAGGGAGGAGGAATCAAAGAAACTTGCCGTGTTCTGCAGATCAACGCTATTGCAACTTTAAGTCCCGCGTTGGTTTTGCTAGTTGTAAAGGACCTTCTGTTTCAGCTACGCGGCGGTGACGAAGAATAGAGACAAGTATACACGTGTACGGTTGTGATGTCTCAGTTATTAGTTAGATGTTTCACTCAATCGTTGACATTTGTCAGTGTAGCCGCCGGATTTTTCTCAATCCAAGTGCTAGAAAGTTCTTGAAAACAATTGTTTATTCGGAGGGGTATATTTGTCATTCTCACGTTGCTCCAAACCCATCTCACTGGGCCGCGTTGGGCTTTTATTTTTTGGGCCGAAAACAACTAGAGGGTTGATATTATAATATAGACGCTTATCTGAAATGTGTCTTTGTATCCAAATGTGTCTTTGTATCTCTACTAGGGATAGAAAGTGGAGTTAGATGCAAAACATGATCTATCTTTTTCTCGATCCAAGCCAATCTTCTCTCAAAGCTCAACACACTTCTATGCATATTCCTTGCATCAATCTCAGCGACCATAGCGCAAACCCGTAAAAGAATGTAGTAATCCGCATGAGTCGCGTATATCAATGCTCCATCATCATGTTTCCTCACATATTGAAGATAGTCTAGTCTCTTTACCTTCACGCGAGGCGGTATGTATTGAAACAAATTGTCCCTCATGTCTGTTATTAGTCTTCTTATCGCTTTCTCCTTGGATTTCTCTTCGTGATTATGATTATCTGGTGATGAAACACCTTCAAAAGATGGCTCATCACAATCCATTGACCAGGTTTCGCTTTTTCTTGAACGACTGCTACAAGGGTTGTTTCTATCCGTCGACTGGTCAACGTTCATGGACAGTTTGTTAAGTGATAAATCATTGTCTTCCCAGTCTCTTCCCCTCTTGGACGGAATCCCAAACCGTTCAAATTCCTGCCAAATGCGATTTACAAAGAGATGGTTTATAATTAAAAACACTTCGAGTAAACTTTAACTTACATATTCCATAGAAAGATAAACATGTCTCACCTGGTCTTTCGGGTAACTATTCCACAGATTATCAACAGTTCTGTATGTGTCATCAGCTGATGCTTCTTCTAAGCCAGTAAAGATCTCGTTTTTCCCATGCAATAAATATGACAAAAGATCCTTTTCATGTTCTGCAAAAGAAAAGGACATTCAGGAAGGTAAGGATCTAGAGAGATGAACATATCATCACAGGGAATAAAGGAATTTACCAACGGTTTCAGCAGCGACCTCGTGATATTTCGTTTCAAGGTTTTTCAAAAGCTCCTCAGTTGCTTTGGTGACATCCTCCTCACTAGCATCAAGCAAACCCAAGCTCCGTTCCCATACACCAAAACCATTGATGTTATAAAGCATCCGAATAGCTACGATAATAATAGACATGACATAGACACGAGTGGGAAGCCTGAGCACGTTCTTTGATAGATACAAATCGGAAGGCATTGACCAGTTGTGTAAGAGACGGACCAGATCAAGAACCTCCTTCTCCTTGGGAATAGACGACAACCGCTTTAGATAGTTTGAAGCTATAGCATAGAAATTCACAGGAGGCAAAGGCAAACCGATGATATCAGCAATGGAAGCAGCTTGAGCTTCTAATCTCTGAGCAGAAACAATCTGACTAGGCTTGAACATCACGCTTACAGACACAGGACACGCAGCTGATCTGTCTCCCATTTGCTCTCGAATCTTGAGAAAAGAAGAAAGATACGGAATCTTTCCTTGTCGTGCCCATCTAACTATATCCGTGGGTAGAATTGGTGTTCCAGCTTTGTGACAAGCAAGGAAAGATAGAGCCAAAGAAGACGATAAAGGCAGAGACTTTTTAAGCTGACTTAACCATATCGTTACTGCTCTTTTACCATATAAGTTTTGAGGTTCTTCGGAGGCTTTACCACGCTTAACCTCTGGCTCTCTTACTTCTCCTGATTGGAGCTCGGATTCAAGAATCGCCTTATCAGCCCAATCATCATCGAAGACGCCAGAGAGAGACACAAACCGTAAGCAGATGGGTCCGACCAAACCAATAATCAATGGCGTCACATTGAATTTCTCAACCAACGCATCACACTGATAAGTTATCATCATCAGTAAACCTTTGACGTATCTATCTCTGGTCTCCTTGTAATAATCCTCGTAACTCAATTTGACAAAGTCTGGGTTTGTTGGTGTTTTAGGGCGAGTGTCTTGTTTGCGATAAGTTTCGCCGCCGTCGTCGCCTGTTTGGATAATACCGTCCGCCTGAGTAGAGCATTGTAGGCAGTAAAAAAACCCATCTCCTCCATCTTCAAAGGTGTCGCTCTCGCACACATGGCAAATCATCGTCGTTGATGAAGAATGACAAGATTGCGTCGACGAAACACTCTTTCGGGCGTTCAGGGTTTACTTTCCCATCGTCGACTGTAAGAAGAATATGGGCCTTCGATTCTTTTACTAATAAATGGGCCGTAGGCCCGCCCCTTCTCCACGATTTGTTTATTATATAAAGTAGGGGTCCGAAAATTTAGGCTATCAAATTTGATTATTTAAGTAATTAGATAGAAGAACTCATTAGGAAAAGTCATATGCTGCGATTTGTTTTCTCTAAATGTTCGAATTACTAAAGACTAAAGATTTATTTTGAGAAGCCTATCTACAATGCTTCCATATTAAATAAACATAGTAGTTCGAAAAATGAATATAGAACGCATTTACTTGAGTTGTTACATAGTTTAGCATTATGTATAGACGTGTATAGTTTATTTATTACTCTAATTGAGATAGGTCTGTTGTATCTTATGTTTTCTTTTAAACGGAGGAGAGGTTTTGAGCTTTTCTTGGGTCAAAACAACAAGATTGCGTCGACGAAACACTCTTTCGGGCGTTCAGGGTTTACTTTCCCCATCGTCGACTGTAAGAAGAATATGGGCCTTCGATTCTTTTACTAATAAATGGGCCGTAGGCCCGCCCCTTCTCCACGATTTGTTTATTATATAAAGTAGGGGTCCGAAAATTTAGGCTATCAAATTTGATTATTTAAGTAATTAGATAGAAGAACTCATTAGGAAAAGTCATATGCTGCGATTTGTTTTCTCTAAATGTTCGAATTACTAAAGACTAAAGATTTATTTTGAGAAGCCTATCTACAATGCTTCCATATTAAATAAACATAGTAGTTCGAAAAATGAATATAGAACGCATTTACTTGAGTTGTTACATAGTTTAGCATTATGTATAGACGTGTATAGTTTATTTATTACTCTAATTGAGATAGGTCTGTTGTATCTTATGTTTTCTTTTAAACGGAGGAGAGGTTTTGAGCTTTTCTTGGGTCAAAACAACAAGATTGCGTCGACGAAACACTCTTTCGGGCGTTCAGGGTTTACTTTCCCCATCGTCGACTGTAAGAAGAATATGGGCCTTCGATTCTTTTACTAATAAATGGGCCGTAGGCCCGCCCCTTCTCCACGATTTGTTTATTATATAAAGTAGGGGTCCGAAAATTTAGGCTATCAAATTTGATTATTTAAGTAATTAGATAGAAGAACTCATTAGGAAAAGTCATATGCTGCGATTTGTTTTCTCTAAATGTTCGAATTACTAAAGACTAAAGATTTATTTTGAGAAGCCTATCTACAATGCTTCCATATTAAATAAACATAGTAGTTCGAAAAATGAATATAGAACGCATTTACTTGAGTTGTTACATAGTTTAGCATTATGTATAGACGTGTATAGTTTATTTATTACTCTAATTGAGATAGGTCTGTTGTATCTTATGTTTTCTTTTAAACGGAGGAGAGGTTTTGAGCTTTTCTTGGGTCAAAACAACAAGATTGCGTCGACGAAACACTCTTTCGGGCGTTCAGGGTTTACTTTCCCCATCGTCGACTGTAAGAAGAATATGGGCCTTCGATTCTTTTACTAATAAATGGGCCGTAGGCCCGCCCCTTCTCCACGATTTGTTTATTATATAAAGTAGGGGTCCGAAAATTTAGGCTATCAAATTTGATTATTTAAGTAATTAGATAGAAGAACTCATTAGGAAAAGTCATATGCTGCGATTTGTTTTCTCTAAATGTTCGAATTACTAAAGACTAAAGATTTATTTTGAGAAGCCTATCTACAATGCTTCCATATTAAATAAACATAGTAGTTCGAAAAATGAATATAGAACGCATTTACTTGAGTTGTTACATAGTTTAGCATTATGTATAGACGTGTATAGTTTATTTATTACTCTAATTGAGATAGGTCTGTTGTATCTTATGTTTTCTTTTAAACGGAGGAGAGGTTTTGAGCTTTTCTTGGGTCAAAACAACAAGATTGCGTCGACGAAACACTCTTTCGGGCGTTCAGGGTTTACTTTCCCCATCGTCGACTGTAAGAAGAATATGGGCCTTCGATTCTTTTACTAATAAATGGGCCGTAGGCCCGCCCCTTCTCCACGATTTGTTTATTATATAAAGTAGGGGTCCGAAAATTTAGGCTATCAAATTTGATTATTTAAGTAATTAGATAGAAGAACTCATTAGGAAAAGTCATATGCTGCGATTTGTTTTCTCTAAATGTTCGAATTACTAAAGACTAAAGATTTATTTTGAGAAGCCTATCTACAATGCTTCCATATTAAATAAACATAGTAGTTCGAAAAATGAATATAGAACGCATTTACTTGAGTTGTTACATAGTTTAGCATTATGTATAGACGTGTATAGTTTATTTATTACTCTAATTGAGATAGGTCTGTTGTATCTTATGTTTTCTTTTAAACGGAGGAGAGGTTTTGAGCTTTTCTTGGGTCAAAACAACAAGATTGCGTCGACGAAACACTCTTTCGGGCGTTCAGGGTTTACTTTCCCCATCGTCGACTGTAAGAAGAATATGGGCCTTCGATTCTTTTACTAATAAATGGGCCGTAGGCCCGCCCCTTCTCCACGATTTGTTTATTATATAAAGTAGGGGTCCGAAAATTTAGGCTATCAAATTTGATTATTTAAGTAATTAGATAGAAGAACTCATTAGGAAAAGTCATATGCTGCGATTTGTTTTCTCTAAATGTTCGAATTACTAAAGACTAAAGATTTATTTTGAGAAGCCTATCTACAATGCTTCCATATTAAATAAACATAGTAGTTCGAAAAATGAATATAGAACGCATTTACTTGAGTTGTTACATAGTTTAGCATTATGTATAGACGTGTATAGTTTATTTATTACTCTAATTGAGATAGGTCTGTTGTATCTTATGTTTTCTTTTAAACGGAGGAGAGGTTTTGAGCTTTTCTTGGGTCAAAACAACAAGATTGCGTCGACGAAACACTCTTTCGGGCGTTCAGGGTTTACTTTCCCCATCGTCGACTGTAAGAAGAATATGGGCCTTCGATTCTTTTACTAATAAATGGGCCGTAGGCCCGCCCCTTCTCCACGATTTGTTTATTATATAAAGTAGGGGTCCGAAAATTTAGGCTATCAAATTTGATTATTTAAGTAATTAGATAGAAGAACTCATTAGGAAAAGTCATATGCTGCGATTTGTTTTCTCTAAATGTTCGAATTACTAAAGACTAAAGATTTATTTTGAGAAGCCTATCTACAATGCTTCCATATTAAATAAACATAGTAGTTCGAAAAATGAATATAGAACGCATTTACTTGAGTTGTTACATAGTTTAGCATTATGTATAGACGTGTATAGTTTATTTATTACTCTAATTGAGATAGGTCTGTTGTATCTTATGTTTTCTTTTAAACGGAGGAGAGGTTTTGAGCTTTTCTTGGGTCAAAACAACAAGTGAGTTTGATTTTTGAGTATTTTTGAAACTCTGTTATGCGTATACTTGAAACTCCAAACCCATTACACCAACGAGATACGGAAGATACATGTATTTTTTAAACTCTGTCATTGGCAGATTTTTTAGTATGTTTCTCTACCTCGTCTCAAAATCATGCATTTAATAGACAACAGATCTTGTTCAAAAAAAAAAAAAAAAACAATAGATCATGTATACTAATGGTGCTTTTATGGAGAAATACCTAGTTAAGCTTTTACACCAGAGCATTATATTTTATCACCTAAAACTAGGTCTACATTGAAACTTGCGATAGGAAATTCGTGATCAGGAGCAATATGGTTTTGTTGGGTGTATGCTTTATCTGATTCGATTAGTACTTCAAGAGTACTGAAAGGCTTGGACATGGAATTTACATCTTTGTGTACACATTACTTGTGCGATTTGTTCAGCTGAATTTCGAAGAACTCTTGTACCTGAAAATAAAAGGCATCATTGCTATGGTAGTAAATTTTTGATTTGCAACATCGTACGTTTAGTTGGACGGAATACCGATAAAAATACATGACCACAAAGAATTGTATCACATAGAAGACATATTTCATTACAACACATTGGAGCAAACATTAGTCCATTTGAGAACATGACTGGTTGTTGTATCTATGATAACTTTCCAAGGTTGGGATAAGCGTGAGATTTACCGTGTTCCCTTGAAGAAAGGGATTAAATGTGAAGATCCGCATGCGGTAGTTATTGTTGATTGTGTAAAAATAAACGGAGAAATAGTTGATGTGTGAAAGGGACTAAATGTGAAGATCCGCATGATGTAGTTATTGTTGACTGTGTAAAAATAGACGGAGAAATAGTTGATGTGTGCAAAAGTAGTACCGGATTAGGAATTGGTTTTGATAGGTACATCCGTACATGTGTGTCTCTTGAAGTATTTTTCATCAAGGCTGGTTTGATCCGAAATGCTGAAAAAAAACATATTCTGTCATATTGAACCCAATGTTGTGTTTAGAGATTTAAAGGCCTAAAGTAATATTTAAGAATGTGACATTTTAAATTAACAAATAAGGAGTTAAATATACTTAAACTTAAAATTTGAAAAACAAAACTTTAAAAAGCATTGAAAAAAAAGAAACATCTCTAATAAATGTACGAATAAAACCTTGAAATATTGACCACTAAAGAAAAGATTTGAGTAATTGGACTAAGATAATTTCCATCAAATATGACCTATAAATTTACTATATTTAGTGTGGCCTAAAGCACTTGCCCTTTTGCACCCCTTGCTTCTCCAAAAGATTAGTTGCAGATTGCTGATTATGATATAACATAAAAGATTAATCTTTTAAGACTAATTTATTTTTCTTGACAATATATAGTTAGGTTAAATTCTGAGGGCAATTATTTGATTAATAATAATAATTTAGATATGTCCATTTTGGACAACCATATGGAAATTTATGATAACAATTAGGACCATGTAGTTAGTTTAAAGCTAAAAATACTACCCAAAAATAATAATTCCAAGATGTTGAATAATTTGGATATTAGGTTTGATATGAGAAATTAACGATACAATACCTACTGATATAAATCGAGATGTTGTTAGGACTTTTGTCCATGGATAGAAAAGTGTATACTAATGGTACTATATTTATTTTTATTTATGATTTACTTTTTCCTTCGATTGTCTAAATTTTGGAAATACTATGAGCTTCAACAAAATACAGAGAAAATCAAAACTCTCATAAACAAATGCTAAAACGGTCCGATATAAGTATAACCAGTCATAACATCTCCATCATTTGGATCACATGAATAACTGTGGCCTCTTATGAGTTACGAAAGGATGAGAAGATAAATCCTATCCAACAATTTATCATTTACGCAATTATAAAACATCTAGAGAATATATACATATGGAAAGTGACCACGACGTTGTCAATCGATCGATATGGCATGTGTGAGTGTGAATATAACTCACATCATCTTATGTTGAAAATAACATCTAGGTTGGTCCACAGTCCACACATCATATATAACCAAACCATAATTATTATGCGTTGACAAAATTATTAAAGCTAGCTTCTTTTTTTTCTTTTTCTTTCATTGCGTTTTTCTTTGGTTCGGTGCGTTTAACCGTATGTATGCGTTGGCGATGTTTGGGACAAGAAATATTTGCAGAGGAAATTCTTAACTAGACGTTAGGGATAAGCCTAACAAAAAAGAATATAAATAATAATCATGATTCATGTCACATAAAAATTGATTTAAACAACAAGAATTGAAATACTAATGGTCAGAAAATTTTCAGTGCGTCTCTTCATACATCCTTTATCTTCGGTCTTTTGAACTGTCACTTTCGCTCGTCTCAGCTGCAGCTGCAGCTGCAGAAACTTCAGTCTGTGGCTGTTTATAATCACGGCTTGCATGCTCCCTCGTGGCTCGTCGTTCCTGCTACAATATATTCTGTGAGCAAATTAAACGATCCACTTCAAATATTCATTTTGATTACAATACTTACGTCACGATAGAACAAATCTTCTGCTTCAAGCATGTGTATAATATGACCCATTTTAGGTCTCTTATTTGCGTCCGGATCCACACATCGCAGCGCGACGAGCAACACACGTTTAAGAGCTTTTGAAGTTGGCGGTTCGGGTATTTTTGGATCGACTACTTCCTCAGACCTTCGGTTTCCAACCATTGTTTTCAGCCACTCAACCAAATTCACCTAACAAAACGAGACTATCAAGAACTGATAGAAGAAAAAAAGAACAGTGTTTTGAAAGTTTAAAGCGATAGATGAAAGCCGCGTTTATTAAAATAGAATTACCTCTCCTTGAGGTCTACTATAATCGACAGGGTTTCTTCCGGTAATAATCTCCATGACTAATATCCCAAAACTATAGATATCACTCTTTTCTGTCAGCATTCCCGTGCAAGCATACTCAGGTGCAACATATCTACATAACAAACCAATCAAGAAAAAATTAAATATTTGTTCAAGAATTTGAAATCCTAAAAGATAATCCAACTATATTTATATGCAAACTAAATAACTTACCCAAAAGTCCCCATTACACGGGTTGTGACGTAACTGCTCTCAGAGAACAACAGCTTAGCGAGTCCGAAATCTGATACTTTAGCATTCCATTGACGATCAAGCAAAATATTACTAGATTTTATGTCCCGATGAACGACTTTCGGTTCAAGACCCTCATGTAGATACGCCAAGCTGCAGGAATATCAACAAACAAATCACATATAGAAAAAGATGAATTCACAAATGAAAAGTTCTCAATGGCGTTTCGCAAGTGTACCCTTTCGCCATGCAAAGTATTATGTTCATACGAATATCCCAAGTCAGAGGACTTTTGTCACCAACATCACCATGAATCCATTGCTCCAAGTTGCCATTATCGACGTAGTCATACACAAGCATCCTAATTTCGAAGCCGGAAATCCAAAAACACTACAGTTATCACAACATATACCGAGCGAAATCCGTATCAAGCATGCAGGTTTCTTTTCCTTACCTGTATGCACCTTCGACGCAGTATCCTAAAAGCCTAACAAGATTCTTATGCCTTACACGCCCGATAGCTTCCACTTCCACTCTAAACTCCTTCTCAGCTTGACCCCTTCCAACATAATTAAAAACAATGATCATCAGCAAAGAAGTTATCCTTATCCACTTAATCACAAGGGACCCCATTAATGACACCTTCCCAGGACCACATTTCTTCCCTAAACAAGAAATTTTATACTCAATAAAATCTAGAACTCATCCAAAGGACAAAGCACAAAATCATTCATTTCTCATCTTTACCAGATAGCAAAACAAATGGTATAACTTTCTAAATTCGAAAGACTAAACAAAAACCCAATTCATAATTCCTAAAACCCTTATCCAAATACGAGTAAAGGATCAATTTTGACAATTGGCAATATCCAGAATTGTAATGTAAAAATCAAAACTTTATAAAGTACCTATTGTTAAGCAGATTCTTGACAGCGACTTTAGTTCCATCAGTTAAAATCCCACTATAAACAATCCCATAACCTCCTTCTCCGATCACATTCTCTTCACACAATCCATTCGTGGCCGCTTCAAGCTCTCTAAGAGTATACCATCTTCCCCAACCAAGATGCGAAACCTCAGGTCCAACACAACCACTACCTGAATACGACGCCGTTTCACTAGCACTCACTGTTCCTCTGCTTTCACCACTCGAGACTCGATCCGAGAACACAACACGGTGCTCGATCTTCCCTATATCGACTTGGATCTCCGCCGCAACGGGCTGCGTCGGATGGTAATGGTCTTGCGCCGGAGGTCTAACGATCTCCTGAATCTCCTTTGAAATCGGCGGCGTTGCTACTGCGGCGGATGCGAAATCGGCGTGACGTGGCTTACGGTTTCTCCGGCGAGAGGTTAAACAAAGGGAGAGAAAGAAGAGAGCGATGACTATAAGAGATCCTAGTAAAATTCCGATGACGACCCAAAGCTTTAGACCAAAGATCGATGTTGGTTTTGATAGCTCGTTATTGATGGAATCAGGATTGAATATAGACATCGTCATAGAATTGGTTGATTAATGGGTTTTCGAATCTTTCGCATATCTCGCCGGAAAAGATAAAGCTTTCCGGCGAATCAATGGATATGGATAATAAAAATCAGTTAATCACCGTTGCATGTGGCTTTAGGCAAAATGACGAAAAAAACAGAGAGAGAGAGAAGAATCGAACAGAACCGAAAACAGGGGATTGAGTAACAACAAAGACACGAATAAACAAATTCAATCGAATAATTATTAATTTACAAAAAAAGTTTGAAGGAATTTTAAAGAAAGGCTCTCTCAGTGTTGTGTTGTGTCTGTGTATTTCTGATATGAGTGTGTGTTTGGGATGAGCTGTCTGATTCTTTCTCTCCGTTGTTAGTGACGGCGATAGGTGTAATAAATGACGATTTTACCCTTTTGAGTTAAGAAGAAACGTAGTGGGGCCTACGTAACCCGAGGGGGTTTGTTTGTAATAAAATAAACGACGAGGTGACGGAGAGATAACTGTTGGGGTAATGATACAGTAAGCGTTGGCGCAGTGTACGCTCTCGTGGACTCTCCCTCATCAAACGCCGTGTTAGATCCGAATTTTCTTATTTAACTTCATTAGTCGTCAAATTTTAAATAATGTAATTCTCAGTTTTGTTTGATAATTAAATCATGCTTTGACCAAAAACATAATTGTATTTGTATGTACAAATCCATATTAAGTTTATGTTTTAAGGAAGCTACGTGTTTAGTATTGCTACTATTTAAGGGCATTAATATCGAAATAGTTTTTTGAGAAAAGGAATCACTTTTATTATACCGAAGAGACAGAATATAGACTAGAGTAGAGACTGCATTAATAACATTCGTTTGTTAGTTGAATTATTCCTAATTCGCATTTTTTATTTTTCCTGTTAAAGGGCCACATATATTTTGTTTATCTAGATAAGGATGAGAGGCTAGATGAAAGTTGATGTAGAGTGGCCAGATCAGCATTCCATTTGACAAAAATAGAGAGCGAATATAGTAGATAATATAGTTTTCTTCATTCTTGAATTTTAATAATATAGTAGATCTTTTTGCACTAATAATTTACTAAATTAGGTGGATCAAAGGCTAAAACTTAATTCATTTTAAAATTGTATGTGTCAAAAGACCCATGACCATAGTTTTTATTTTTATTTATAATGTACTTTTTGGGATCCCTTGTCCATATCAAGACGAAGAGCTACAACTCTAAGCTAAAATTTAAATTAATGGTTGGAACTTGGAACCATATGAATGGTCTTTTCACTAAAGCAAAATTTTGAAACTAAAAACTTTCAAAATTATAAACTAGTGAACTAATGAATGATATTATAGATTAATCCAGATTTTAGAAGGGCTTGCTTTAAAGGGTAATGTAATTATGAGAATATGATAAAGAACAAAAGATAAGGTTGGGGCGAAAAGAGAAACCTATTATTGCACCATCATATTCATAGCAAGAAATGTATCATTTTCATAGAAACACCAATATCTCATACAATTCAACAATTCAAAATACAGTTTTTTTTTTACTGAATGTCTAGGTAATTGATCCGTATTACTGGGATTCCGATGTTCCATTCTGTAAATTTGTAATATATTTATAATTTCGTATTACTGATAGCAAATGAAATGGAATATATTTAAATCATTTTGTAAATTTGTTAAATAGGTATTTAGGAAAAAAAAAAGAAAAAAAAAAACTAATTCTGCCATGTTCAATAATTCTGTATTCCTGATTCCCATGTTCAATTTAGTACCTTTTACATGATTTTCTAACAAGTGGTACTGTGGTGTTAAATACCAATCATAACCTATATCACTTTCAAAACAAGAATGATTCATATATGTTATATTTATACTCATTTTACTAAATTAGGGGAGACAAAGATGAATAAGGCCAAAAGATGGTTGATGATGGGTTGGATCAGAAATGATGATATCAAACAGTGAGAGTGACACCACTTTTTAAAACACAAAACTAGTAGTAAGTAACTAAACAAAACCCACTGTAAAAGTAAGAACAAACAAAAGAGGCCTGTGCCTATATGGTTTTTCACCTTTTGTTTCGACTTTCACCTAAAAGACATCAATCCGTACAAGAGACACGATATACGGACTTAATCTGTCTTCTTGTCTTCTCCATCAATGGCCCGAAGCCTTTCAACAAGAGGAGGATGCGAGTAGTGATAAGCTGAGTACAATGGATCAGTGTTCATTGCAGATAAGTTCTCTTCCTGCAAAATCCCAAAAAAAAAAAATACCATTTAAGTATGATACAAATTGAGGAAACAGTTTGTGTTACTGTTGTTGTCTTCTCTGACCTGTAGTTTCACTAGAGCAGGACGAAGATCTTTTGCATAGCCAAGCTTCACAGCAAAAGCATCAGCCTGTAAAAGGAAACATTAACTCACTCAGATTAGTAGAAGAGGCTGGCATTGCAAGAAAGAAACTATAATTGGATCTAGAGGGATGGTTAGATTTTACCTGAAACTCAAAGGCTCGACTAACAAGGTTGAGGCCAAAGCTTACTAGATGTTGTAGTGGTATTACAGTGTGCTGTGATAACCAGACAGGAGATATAAGTTAGGTTTGGAGTTTTTTCCTTCTTGTTTCATAAGATTAGTGTCCAAAAGAAAATGTATCAAACCTGAAATATGATCAAACCAATGAGAACAGGCTGTGTATCAAATCCAAAACTCCTGAAGAGATCAGTGGAGTTTCTAACAAGAGTGTATCCTCCAAATTGCAAGAAGGCAAGGATCTGCAATCAAAACATTGAGAGAGGGTCATAAGACATGATTTCGTAAGTGAAAAGAGTAAAACAAGTTTTTGAACTGTCAGTTGAGGCTCACTTGAACTGCAATGAACGAGTATGTAGTGTGATTCAGTTTCCAATGTCCAAGCTCGTGTGCAATAACCGCCACAATTTCATCCTCATTCTTGCACTGCACAATAGAAGATTATGTTATGTTTCAGAACCGAAATCAGAATGTGAGTATAGCTCGTTTGAAGCATAAAGAGTCACAGTACCTGCTGAATCAATGTATCATAAAGAACAATCCTTTTGTTCTTGAAGAAACCATACATATAAGCCTGTAATATGTAACAAGAAACGTGAGCTTCTAATGGTAATCTAGTAAAGTAGGTATGTAGAGATCTCAAGCCTCTCACATTGCTATGACTTGACCTCGTAGATCCATCGACAACAAACAGCTTCTTCAGAGGAAACTTTAGAGAAGAAGCAAGTTTCTCAATTTTCTCCCTGAGGTCTCCATCTGGAAGCTATAGCCATTAAAATGTGTTAGGTTAAATTGTCTGATAACAACATAGTGCAAACAATAAGTGATATGTAAAATGGCCAAGACATAAATACTCACAGGGGTGAACTTGTTGAAAAGCGGTGCTATCAAGACCGGGTATATAGTCATCATCACTAGAGACAGGATAAACATAAATGCCCACAGATAGATGGCAAGATAAGGACCTCCTTTCTGGAAAAAGATAGAAACTTCATATTCAGAGAAGTAAATTATAACTTTTGAATGCTGTTCAGAGAAGTAGACTTCATGCTCAGAGAAGTAAATAATAAAATTGAAACTTTGAAGCTCACACTCAATGAAGAATAGTCATCTATGTGAAAAACGAAGAAATAAGATGAATCCAGAAATCAAACCTGGACTATAAAAATAATCGCAGCAACAATGGGTGGGCCTAGAATGACAGAGAGGAATGTTCCTTTGATCATGTCCCTAATGAACATCCATATTGTTTGCTGTCAACAGAATTTAGAAGCAAATTTAATCCACATCTCCAACAAAGAAACGCTAAATCACAAGGTAGTGTTGATAATACGACATACTTTGTTGAACCCATGCCGAGACTCGATCACGAAAGTTGAGTACAAAGAAAAGGGCAAATCGGTGATCTGCATCAGAATATAAAAGATATATTATTATCTTAAGAAAATAGATATTATGATCCCAATTCCCAAATGTGTAGTAGGACTATATGAAGGGGTTAATTTGGAAAACCTGTGACCATGTCATAACACCAGCCAAGAATGAAAGAGTATGCAGTATTTCGTTCTCTGGATCGAGGCCCAACCTCGGTAGAACAGCTCCAGATATCTAAGGTAAAAATGAAAAATTTACAACTGTAATATAACAACTCAATATTCAAAAGGAGAAACTATATACTGAAACCAGATATGTACCTTCCAAAACCAAGGCAAGATCCCAAAGAACAAAATTGCAGAGTCCATAAGTATAGTCACAAACTCATGAACAAAGTGAAAATAGCTGCAAAAATGAACGCCCTCAGTCATGATAGGCCTGGCAATTATAACAAACTGACACAATATAATTAAGATAAGACGAACCTTTTGTCAAGACTGTATGCTCGTGATTTCTCAAACTTCTCTTGGCTAATAACTCCAACCAAGGTTTTTGGGAGAGTTGGAAGCTTGAGAGCAGTGAGTTGCCTCAGATCCAAATACGTCTCAAAAATGTACATCACTATCATAAAACCTGTAAGAAAAAAGGAAAAAAAAAACAGAAGATGAAATATGAATCTGCTATAAATACAGATACTCCATCACTGAAAATTCAATAACTTTTTGATCAACCAGATATAAAAAGAGCAAATGCTATTGATATGTTTTAGTTAAGTTTGCATATTTTTTGCCAAGCGATCTCTGTCTGTGTGCACACCACAGGCTCCTGAAATATGGATCTCTTGTACTGACAGAGTTTTGATGCACCAATCCACATTCACAAACGGTTCCACAACACAAAACCCATTTCAAAACAACTCCAAAAAAACCCTAGTTGCTGTCACGAACATAATAATACCCTAAAAAGAAAACCCGAAAGATTTTCCCAATAACTCAAGCTTTATGACTTCAACAAAGAAAAATTTCAAGATTCTCAATTTCCAATCGGGAATGAAGACAAAAGACTCCGACTTTTCTTCCCAAACCCTATATTTTGGTTAACAGAGAAGCTCCGTACATTCTAAAACCGAGGAAGATATGGTGATATCACAAAAACCTCAGATCAAACACACGAGTTAGACAAGAAACAAGTAGGATTAACAAAACCTCAGATCAAGGTACGCACTATTTGAAAAAGAACAAAATTTAGAAACTAGAAGCAGAGACGATGAAACCAAGCAGTCATGGAATCTTAACACACACAACAAAGAAAACAAAAACGAAATGCGAGGAGTGAAACATGATAGTAGAATGTCTCAGAGAAGGTTTTAAAGCTTACCCACGACGGTTTCCATGAAAGGAATCGCCATGGCTGAGAAAAGAGTGACCTTGAGCCGCGATGAAAGAGAAGCACAAATCGAGGAACCAAGATGAACGACAAAAGAGAGGTTTTTGAGTCTCCTCCTCAGGTCGGTGTGGTGTGATATGTAAAACGACAAAAAAATACGGGTACGGGTTAAAACCTTAATAGCCCAAATAGTAAACGGGCTGAGATTTGGGCCCATATTAAACAACCCCTATATTTTATCTAAAATCTCTTGTAACCCCATAAAGAATTATTTGTTGTTAGAACGCCCTTGAGTTATTTATAAATTATAAATATTGGGTGCCTTAATGGAAATATTCTGTTTTAAGGGGGCTAAACGAAAAAATCCTTATCCTCAAACCATCAACAAATTACGAAAGTGCCATTGGTTTTAGACAAAGCCGAACGCCGAGAGCTCTCACTTCTCCTGCAACTTTATCCACTAGGAGCTTCGACAATGGCGTCTCCTTCGCTTCTGCAGTCTTCTGCTTCTTCGTTTCACGGCCGGTTTTCTCCATTAGCGGCTCCATCCTCCGCACGGATGCTCTCTCCGCCGCTCAGAAATGTGGTGAAAGTCTCGGCGTCCGGAACTGTGCTGGTCGAGAAATCTGAGGCTGAGAAAACGCAGCGCCTCAAAACGGCTTACCTCGAGAGGATTATTCCTGCACTCAAAGAAGAGTTCAAGTACGTTAATATTCACCAGGTAAACCCAAATTTTTCCCTCTGTGCCCAAACCTAGTTCTTGTTCTGTTGCGATTCATGATGTTGTTGAAGTCTAATTCTAAGTGAATTCGGATTTTTTGAGGGAATGTTAGACATAATTTGCTTTGCTTGGGTTTTTGAATTGACTTCTTCTAGAAAATGTAGTGAAGAAGCCTAGATTTAAGCTTGTTGTGTTGATAAAAGGTACTTCTTGAGATATTTTGTGTCTTGTTCCATATTTGAACTTGAAGTATGATCATATCGTGCTCTTTGGATGTGCCATTTACAAATGTGAATGCGAATTTTCATTCTCATCTTCGATGTATCTGCTTGGATATCTTCTCTTCCAGGTTCCAAAGGTACAGAAGATTGTAGTGAATTGTGGTATTGGAGATGCAGCGCAGAACGACAAGGGTTTGGAGGCTGCAATGAAGGATATCGCGCTTATTACAGGGCAGAAACCTATTAAGACACGAGCTAGAGCTTCCATTGCTACTTTCAAGATCAGGGAAGATCAACCTCTTGGGATTGCTGTCACTCTCAGAGGAGACGTGAGCTCATTTCTCTTACTCATTTCTTGAATCTTGACTAATCAAACCTTTTTGTATTGAGTTGAATTAGACATTTGTGATTTTGACTGCTGTGACAGGTAATGTACTCCTTCTTGGATCGTCTTATCAACTTAGCGCTTCCGAGAACTCGAGATTTCCAAGGTGTGAGTCCCAGTAGCTTTGATGGGAACGGAAACTACAGTATTGGTGTGAAAGACCAAGGTGTATTCCCTGAGATCAGGTTAGTTCTATTGTATCTTCCCTCAAAATCAAAACTACTAACAAAGGCGTGAAACTTGTTATCCGCTAGTTCACCAAGATCAAGCATGGGTTCCCTTTAGTACACTCTGTGGTTACAACCGAACAACTAAACTCTATGCTGGTTGGTTATTACACTATAGATTTGATGCCGTTGGAAAAACGAGAGGAATGGATGTGTGCATCAGCACGACTGCTAAAACCGATCAAGAAGGACAGAAACTATTGGCTCTGATGGGAATGCCTTTCAGGGAAGGAGGTGGTGGCAACACAGGCGCGATAGTGAGGAAGAAGAAACTAAAGTCTCATCATTTTGATGCTAAAGGAAAAGGAAAGACAAAGAGATGAACATAGCTGCCTGTTGTATGTATTGTCTTCTGTAACCATTTCATGTTTCAGAAAACCCCCTCCGTAATGTTTTTGTTGCATGTTTCATTCCCTTATGATGATAAAAATATGTATGAGTTAATTTGATAATATCAGGGATGTTGTCTTCTCTGTAACCACCATTGGAGTAGTCTTCTTTCATGGGTGACAATTGCAAAGTAAAAAATATATTAAGGTATTTCTGTAATTCTTGAAAGTTTGTGGGAACAGTTGAAATTAACCATTAAGCAATTAGCGCGTGAGTTAACGTGAAAAGTAGGCGCGTGGTTGTCAATTTTTTTACCTTCCTCATTGAGAGAAATCTCTCTTCTTGTCTCTCTCTTCGTTGTAAGAAGACTTGGTTTCTTCGATCTTCTCTTTTTTTTCATCAATCGATCAAAAAACACAGCAAGAGCAAAATTATCTTTCTGCAGATCGAAACCCTAATTGTTCTCCTTCGTTCTAGAATCCGCGACTCTCTTTTTTTTGTTTTTCTTTCTATTTATCTTTTTTCTGATGGATTCTGGAATCCTTGTAATTCCCCATTAGCGTTAAAAAAACCCTAGCTGTCGAAGACCTTAATTAGTTCAGAAAAAACTATAATCTGTCTCATCCTTTCCCGATTTGAGGTTTTTGGATTCGAACTTTTGATTTTCCCGATACGAGAGATTAGCCTTCTGACTTTAGGATGAGCTAGTTTTTTTTTTGTTTTTAGCTGAAATTTTCTTCAGTTGTGGGTGAGAAATCTTAGATTTTCCTTCTCTGAATCTTACACTGTACATATAGCTAGATCCTGATGAAGTTGCTGGTGGTGTGAAACGTGGGTTAAGATTTTTCTAGTTGGGATATTATTGGTGGTTACTAGAGAGAGAGCTAGAAAATATTTTAGGCGCTGTGATATCGAAGATCATATTCACGGTTTTACCAAATTTTAAGAAGATTTTGCGTTTTTGGGGGTGTTTACTTTATAGACAACTACTGTAGAGTTACTTGATTAAGGCGTTGATAAGAGATACTGGTGTTTCTTTGCCTCAATCAGCTAAGATTTTGTGCACCGCCTGCATTGTATCATGAGTATAGCAAATGAACAACAATTTGCCATGGATCAACTTGGCGAAACCAATGATGATTCGGAAAAGTATATCTTTTTTTTTTTTTTTTTTTTTGTAAATGATGCCTTTGTTTTGCTTCTTCTCAGTTGCAGTTGTAATTGTTTTTTCGGGTTGAATCAGGAAACCAAGAATTTCATACACGAGGAAGTTTCTCTTATCCTTGAGCGAGAAAGACGTTTGCAAGAAGCTGCCAGATCTACCCGGTGAATTTGATGAAGCACTGTTGCTGTGAGACTATGTCCCATTGTTTCTTTTAGTTTGTATTTCTAGAAACTGTATAAATTTGTTTGGTCATGTAGTCGTCTTATCTACTATATACTATCTTTTTTGGAGTGACATGTCTTGATTTCTACACTCTTTATTTGAGCAGAGACTTCGAAGATCCTTCACCCGAGCGAGTGAGAATTTCAGGCGATTTTTCATCCCATGGTTTTAGGCGGAATGACTATAGTTCATCGCCTCCAACCAGGGGTGAATTAGGTAGTAACTCTAGAGGCATTCATGGAAGATGGGAGGGGCGCTCAGGTGGATGGAATGATAAAGATAGTGATTCACAGTCAGACCGGGACTCAGGTAGCCGGAGCTTACTCGTATCCCATTCTTTACATGCTGTATGATGAGGTTACTACAGTAACAAGGTGGACTAGTACTCTGAATAGTACCTTGTTGTTATCTTTAACCTATAAAATACTCCTACGAATTATATCTTTGAGCAAAAAAGTGTTCATTATTATGATTTCAACACTATCCAGCTGGCTGTTCAATATGCGTAAATGTAGATTTCCACTTTTTTTACTAAGTGAATGGCATGAAGTCTGCTTGTCTAGTGAACATGAAAAGAAGGCCTTAGCGAAAAATTCTGGAATTTGGGTGTATTATAGTTGATTTTTAACTGTATATTTTGTTAGGAGAGCCTGGAAGGCGTTCTGGTATGCCATCTCGGAGGCCTTGGCAAGCACCTGAGCATGATGGACTTCTGGGGAAAGGTTCTTTCCCTAAGCCTTCTGGATTTGGTGCGGGAACATCTGCCCCTAGACCTCAATCTAATGACCCACATCAGTTGAGTAGAACCAATGAACCTTACCATCCTCCTCGCCCATACAAGGTTAAGTACCCAAATATCTGCTGTCGTCATATTGAATAGTCTCTGCTACCATTGATTACTGAATACTGATCCATCACGTTGCTGGGTTTCATCAGCTGGTGTATTTAAGTAATTTTGTATGAGTTAACGGCACAGATTCCTAAATCTCTCATGTACATTTGTAGGCGCCACCTTTCACTAGACGTGACACTAGAGATTCATTCAATGATGAAACATTTGGCTCTTCTGATTCTACTAGTGAAGATAGAGCAGAAGAAGAAAGAAAAAGAAGAGGTACAGAGGATCTATTGACTTTGATCTGTACTAAACTTAGCTCTCTGCCAGTTTGTGAACTTCTTTCAGTTAATCCATGAGTTTCTTTTTGTGTCAATCTTTATTTGACATTCTCAACTCTCCGTCAGCTTCTTTTGAGTTGTTGAGGAAGGAACATCAAAAAGCATTCCAGGAGAGGCAAAAATCAAACCCAGACTTACGCAAAAACGACTTTGATTTTACTGAACTTCTTGGGGAGTCCAAAGATGAAAAAGGGCGTCCAAGTAGAAGCGATGAAGTCAATCATACTCCAACAATTCCTGGTTCTAATAACACCTCTTTTCCTTCTCAAAGTAATGCACCCAGACCGCTTGTACCTCCTGGTTTTTCAAGCACAATTTTGGAAAAAAAACAAGGGGAAAAACCTCAAGTAAGTCGCTATCTTTCTGAGACCCTCATCCATACCTAATATCTGTGTTCCATGAAGGTTTCATTTTTGTTTGCATATTGATTGTTAAAGTCTTAAGGCTAGCAAAATCCCAGAAGAAAATCAAAATAGAGGGGCTTTATGATAATATTTGAATCTTCTCACAAATTTAAATTACAAATTTTAGAAGTTGCTTTCTTATAGAAATAGTTGGAGAGGGGAATATGCAAGTCCTGATGGAATGATTCTCTGCAATTCATGACAGTAAAGTCAAAGGAAAAGTGCATGCCTAGTTCTTCTGACAAGTGACAAGCTTTGAACATACTCTTTTGATTCTTTCTTATAGAGGGTAAGTCGTGTAGAGTAAGGGAATGTGGGAGTAGAGTAAATAATTTTATTGCTTGAATATCAAGTAAACTAGGAAAATAGAAATAAAAACCTAACCACAAAATCTCATAAAAAATCCCATGATACGAGCTGAACCGTTCATCTTTGATTGATATTATCTCCTAGAAGAAACCCAATTCCTTCAATAACTCCGTCGTTGGGTGTATGTGATCCAAGGCTGTGGTCTCTTGATCTATCACTTCCATTGGACATCATTCTCTGACTGCAAATCAGTGAGGGTTGAAGTTTGAGTGTGGTGGCTTTTGTTTTAATTTATCTTTTCTTCGCAAATGTTTTGTTTGAATGTATTACTCTGATTAGTACTTTCATTTGCTAAGCATTCCACTATCTTTGGTCGGACCTGTTATTTATTGGTTATCACACCATTTGCAGATTGATTCTTCTCAATATGAGCGTAGTCCTTTAAATTCCAAAGGCATTAATGTGGTGAATGGAACATCTGTTAATAATGGGGGAAAACCGTTGGGAATTAAGATAGGTTCAAGTGAGATGCTGATAGAAGGTGAAGATGTTCGTGTTTCCTCCACTGATGCAAATGAACGGGCTGTTAATATCTCTTCATTTCTAGGAATATCTACAGATACATTTAATAAGGATAAAAGTTTTGAAAAGCTTTCGTCAATCTCAACTCCTACTGAAACTCAGGGGTATCCTAGAAAAAGTGAGCAAGCTACAATGACGCTGGACAAGAAGAAAAGCTTGGAGATTTCAGATGGACCATCAATTCTGGATAAGATATTCAACACCGCTATAAATTTGAATAGTGGTGACTCCTCTAATATGAATAAGGTTAGTTTTTTTTTTCCAATGTTATGTAACTTAGCTCGTGTATCCCTGGAACTTAAAATTCTACTCACATGATAGCTCTTCATCGTTTGCTAATCCTCAGATATCTATTATCGATATGCATTTCATTTTTGGTCCAAATGATGCATCTTTCTTTCTGATGTAGTTTCCTCCAGCCAGTCGTAGATGAGGCTTTTTTCCTATAATTTGTATTGATCATGAAAAATGATGGATTACATAGTTTGTCTTTTTTCTTAGTAAGCAAATGGTGGTCCATGTGTTATATAAACCAAATTGAATGCTTCGTCCTGAGGAAATGACTGTTTGTTTGTGACATGATAGGGTACACATGTTTATACATGTCCATGTACATGCATCATATATTCCCTGTGGAATTTGAAGAATCTCATTTGACCTGACATTTGTCCACATCCTTGTAGAAAAATGTCGAAAAAGTAGAAGAAATACGCAGCTCTCAGACCATTAATAAATCCTCCAAGTTCGCACATCTATTTCTTGAAGAAGGTAATCAATTTACTGTTATACTAGAATTATAACGTTTTTCCGTTATAACATCCTTTTTTTGGTGCAGATAACAAACCAGTCGAAGATTTCCCATCCAGCGGGCCACCAAGAGGCTTACTGTCACTACTTCAAGGTGGAGATAAATTGCAAACCTTTGACACAATAGCAAATGCCGAACTTCCAACGGATTTTCCTTTTCAAGGCCATGCCACTAAAAGCACTGATCAGTTAAGCAGCACTTCGACAAGTAAATCAGTAACAGCTGTTCCACCTGTTCTCACTTGTGAAGACCTTGAGCAGTCTATTCTGTCAGAAGTCAGTGACAGCTATCATCCACCTCCACCGCCAGTTGACCAAGACACGAGTGTTTCTTCAGTGAAAAAGACCAAACAACGGAAAACATCTGTTGATGACCAGGCTTCGCAGCACCTTCTTTCTTTATTACAGAGAGGTGCAGACCCAAAAATTCAAGATACGCAGCTACTAACAGTTACAGAGAGGAGACCACCACCACCATCTGTGAAATCAAATACTGCTGGAGAAGCAGATCCAGGGAAGTCTTTGACTCTTGAGAATCTATTTGGGAGTGCCTTCATGAACGAACTGCAGTCGATTGGAGAACCTGTCTCTGGAAGAGCTATGGTTTCTGATGCTCCAGGGGTCCCGCTTCGATCAGAAAGGTCAATTGGTGAACTGAGCCAAAGAAACCAAATCAGACCTGACGGTCTCCCCGGAGGGATACTAGCCCTTCCAGAAGATGGTAACTTACTTGCGGTTGGCGGTCATGCAAACCCACCAAAATACATGTCTTTTCCAGGATCTCATAATCAAGAGCCTGAAGTAGCTTTCAACATCTCTGACAAGTTAGCTGCCTTAAACTCTGGTCCAAGGAACGAAAGACCAACAATGGGAGGTCAAGATGGTCCTTTTCTCCACCGCCATCCCCAACAATACGCGACCGACCCCTCTTCTCACTTGAATGGTTCAGGCCCAGTATTCCATCCGTTCGATTCACGACATGCTCATGTAAAACCTCAACTCGATTTCATTGGACCAGGAAGCATCATGGCTCAACATCATGACCCTCCACCAAATCACCGATTTCCACCAAACATGATTCACCGTCCACCTTTTCATACACCAACCAGTGGACATCCCGAGTTTGATCGTCTTCCTCCTCATATGATGCAGAAGATGCATATGCAAGACAACCTGCAACATCATCATCTAATGCAAGGATTCCCCGGTGGTGGTCCACAACACCATCACTCTCCTCATGTGAACAACCAGATGCCGGGTCTCATTCCTGAGTTAAACCCGTCACAAGGCTTTCCCTTTGCCCATCACCAACCCAACTACGGTATGCCACCACCAGGTATAACATAAGTGAACATATGACTTTCACTCATTTTTGGCCTCAGATCAAGATCTTGTGCGGACTTGAGTCAGCTGCTCTAGGGACCCAGATATTAATATCAGCTAGTGTAGGGACTAGTTGATTCTGAGTCTGCTCTTGTTTTTTTTTGGCTTTTCAGGTTCTCAAGTTAACAGAGGAGAGCATCCAGCTTCACTGCAGACACTCTTGGGGATTCAGCAGAGGATGGACCCAGCTAAGCAGATACAGGCAGTGGGTCAAGCCGGTGGTCCTAATCGCCAAGGCTCTATGGGTCATGAACTCGACCTTGGGTTTGGCTACAGGTAACTCTACTCTGGCCATAGTCCTTTAACACCCTAAGAGGTGTGTCTACCTAACAGTGAGTTGCTTTGTGATGTGCAAGTAATCAAAACTACCATTTGTGATATTTTTTTAAGAAAAAAAAATATACTTTCTGTCACTATGAATTCTCGTTTCTCTTGGTGCTTGTGATATGGGAATGCTTTTAATTAACAGTGGTAGATTTTCTATGAACGTTCGAGTCACTGGTATTTGCATATTCTATTTTAGGCTTTTTGTTTTTTGAAACCGGAGTTCAAGTCTCAAGGGGTCTGTGTCAATAGGTAACACAGATGAGCGTGTGCGTTTGGTTCTTTTTTAAAGATCAGCTTCCCAATACAAATGCTATACTGTTTTGGATAATATAAGAGGAAACCAAAAACAGTGTATAAATTATATATAATTTAAGACGAGAGCTGAACACTTTCAAGTTTACGTTCAACGCTTAATTAAGAAAGGCGTAGTTTCCCTTGTTAAAAGAATATCTGATTCTGTAAACTACCAACCAAGGTTTCCGCCAAAACATAAATCAAGTAAACTACACAAGTGGGCAAGCCAGAAGTGAGGGGACTGGAGGAGGTCCAAACGGAAATGATGGATGGTACCAGTGGCAATGTCGTAAACACCGCCATTGGGGCCGGACCCGAGGCCGACAAAATAGATGGAGTTAGGCCTAAGGCCCGGATACATAGTGGAGGAAAGAAAGAAAGCTTCATTTTTGCCAACAAAAATGCAGAGATCCCCAATGTCTTCCGTGTAGCACATCTCTACTAGCCAATTACCACTCCGAATCCCCATAAATATGTGACAAAACCTAATATTTAAGATACAGATACGGGGTTTGGCTTGACAAAGAAGAGAAACAAACGCTCAAAAACTGGCCTCCTTTGTGGAAGCTTCTTCGCGATCTGGCCGAGATACATCTTTGTTTTCTTGGGTCCAAAGTCGCTCTCACAAGCCCTAGTTCTATATTTTCTTTCAACTTTTTATCCTATACTAATATTTGGGAAGTACATCCTAAGGCTCATAACTTAAGATTTTGTAAAAAATTACAATATATGCCATTAGAGATATCTAATTATAAACATTTTATTCCATTTCACTAATATATATTTAACGGGTCAACAGGTCAACGGGTTTAAAGATATCAAAAGATTTTTTTTATATAATTTCAATAATTAATATAGTTTAATCTAATTCAATATAATCTAATTCAATATAATTCGAGAATGTCTTATTCTAATCAATTCGACAATTTAACACAATGATGTTCAATAATCAATTCGAGAGTCATAATTTAACACAATTCGACAATTTAAAAATTTAACACATTGAAAATGTTACTCAAAATGTTATATATGCCATTATATAATTCTAATCATAAAATTTATTCCATGTCACTAATATATATAAACGGGTCAATGGGTCAACGGGTTTAAAAATATTAAAAGATTTTGTTTATATAATGCATAATTAATTAATATAATTAATTAATATTAAGAATATATATCATATGGAAACTATTAAAACCTCTAAATCGTTTTAATATCTAAATTAGTTAATAAATTATCCAAAACTGATATTAAAAATAATAATTTCAATTTTTTAAAAAAAATTTACAAATCAAACAATCTTCTATATTTAAACAATCGTTGGAATACTAATTATTTTTCAAAACCATAAAATCTAATATATTTTGGAGTAACTCCAAAAATAGTCAAAATTTAAAAAAAAAAATTTGTGCAAAAATCAAAATTATAAATAACAATTAGAAATATTTGGAGATATTCAAAATAAATACAAAATCTATGAATATCTAATATTCCTAATAACAAAAATAATCTTTGAGATTTTTTTTCCATATTCTACTAACCACTTGCTAAATATTAGTATATATTAAATATATCATTTTATTTACAAAATTGAAATTCATATCCCGTATTTTAAGCAACTATAACACACACAAATCAAAACAGTCAACAAAATATTCTGATTTTCTTAAAATATAGTTATCATTAACTATACAAATCTCAAATATTGTGGAAAATTGTTAACCACGTGATTTAAAATTTGTCATAATTTCAGTTAGTTAATGATAATTCCATATTCTACATCTATAGTTAGTTTTGCGATCTTAACCAAAAATATTTTAAACAACTTTAGCAATTACAATAGATACGTCATAAATGATTTAGAATATTTCTTTGGATCAAGCATATTCTTTTTTATGTCATCTTTAGGCCTATAAATATTCGAACAAAACAAAAGAGTATCAAGCCTAGGTTGCCGGTGCATAACATGTATCTTTACTTTTGTTTTTGCGTTTTCCATTCTTCCATTTTAGTTTATAATAATGGCTAATGTATGTATTCTTTTCGTTTACTTGGTTTGTTGAATTTGTTGGTTTTATTTTTTATTAAGTTTGGTTACTAATTTTGCATGACACATCCTTTGGTCACTAATTTTTATTGAATCATAAATTTTGGGATGGTTAAAACTAATCTACGAATCAAAATTCTTACAGATTCATGGAGGATTAAGGTGACAATTTTCAGAGCATGGAAGCCACAAAATAATTTGTGAGAAATGATGGAGTTAATTCTCCTTATATTCAAAGGTTAATCCTACTTTACATCATTTTTATTATAATAGTTTAAGTTTTTAATTTAGATTTTGTTTCATATATATCACATAATATTTTCTTTTATGTGTTTCCTTCTCAGCCATAAATCTTTAATGCTACATCATCTTTTCAGAGGGGCATGACAAAGGTTTATCCTACTTCTCATCTTAAGAATTTTTTTTTTCATTTTAGGTTTTGTTACTAAATTGCATTATATATAATAGATATATGTTTTTTCTTCATCGATAACTTTATTGTTATCGCATGATTTCGTAATCTTTCCTACAATTCTATCATTAATTGTGAATCATATAATCCAACCTGTTTAATCATCTTAGGGCTTCAGACAACAACGTCACCATCTCAAACCGCAAGGTGTCTTCGTCCGAAGATCAGGGTTTGGTGGTGTATTTGAAGAGTTCGGTTACGTCTTTCGTGGTTCCCACGAAACTTTTTCCAATTTGGGATCATGTGTTGCTTCCAAGGTTTGTAAGGATGTTGCTGTTTTGGATTCTTCTCTGCTCGATCCTTTCATGTTAGGGTTTTACTGCGGCAATTATTTTCCGGTAGATCCAATGCCGGTCACAGATAAATTGGGGGCTTTGTGGCAACGATGGTGCTTGGGATCTTTCTTGGATGAATTTGGAGTTTTCCTCAAGACTATTTAGTGGATACGATCAACTTTTGGGAGCCACCGATTCTTTTACGGCGGGCATTTACCAAACATCGGCCATATATAATTTTGGTTTCGTCTTCTAGATTATGATTTTCAGGGTATGATGATAACTATTAACTAGGTTTTGAAATCTATGTAATTCATGGTGATTAATCATTATAGTATCTTAACTTTGTTTTACGTTTTGCTCCAATGCAAATCCATGTTTGTAAAAGTTGTAAAGTAGATTTTAGAAGGAAAAAAATATTTGTTTTTGTTTCTATAATAAATCGTCGATTGAAAAAGTAATAAATCGAATACTCCTAATTATTAGCATTTCATTAACTAACAACTTATTTTTTAAAAAGATTTTTAAAGATAATGAATACAATTTATTGGTGTTTCCTACAATTCTTATTCATAATATTCAAAAAATCGTTTACATATATCCCAACTAAATACCACTCTTAATTCTTAAAAAAGGAATATGCAACCTTTAAATAATGGGAGGCGATAATGGTGACTGTCAACGTAAACGGCTTCTTTACTAGATCAAAATGAATTGCATTCTTCGTGATTAAAAATTTAGATTTGATGCAAAAACGAAGTTTTAAGATTGGCCAATTTGAGCAAGTCTTACATGAGTCTTACATTAGATAAAATCATCAATACTTTTTCTTAGATAAATATAAACAACATTAAATGGTTGAGTTTAGCCGAGTGCAATCTTATATATTGTTGATTTAATTAACCAAAATCTTGCCTAAATCTAATTCGGTTAGAGTATTTAAATAATCTAAATTTAAATTAAGGAAAACATAGTTTTCGGAATTAAATAGCATGATATATATATATATATATATATATATATATATATATAGTTTTTTTAAAATTGTGAATCTTGATTTCAATATTTATAGTTATTATAATTTTTAATTTAGGAAATAAATATGTGTTAATTTAATATTAAGCCCATAGTTAAATCTCTATAATATCGGTAAGATTTTAAACTTTTAATTGACAAATTATTTTAGTAATAAATTTCGTTTACTTAGTTGGAAATATTTTAATAACCTCAAATCTTCTCCATATCAGGAAAATAAATCGAAACAATTTAAAGAAGGTTTATGATTTTATGATCACAATAAGAAACTAAAGAATATTCTAAAGTTTGTTTAGTTGGAAAAAAGAAACTACCAATTATTTAGTGATTTCGAATATATTTCATTTGCTTGATCTTCAAGATATTTTATGATTAAAATATCCTATACTAATATTTGGGAAGTACATCCTAAGGATCATAACATTGATTTTGTAAGAAGTTACAATATATGCCATTAGAGAATTCTAATCATAATCATTTTTTTCCATGTCACTAATATATATTAACGGGTCAACGGGTCAAATGGGTTTAAAGATATTAAACAGATTTTGTTTATATATAATCCGAATTCATAAAAAAAATGTTATATAATTCGAATTTATAAAAAAAATGTTATAAAACAAAATATACAATTTAATTCATAAAAAATATTAAACCCCATACTTAACATAAAATCATATATGTCGCATCTTCTTCTCCCACAACTCATTTCATCGACAACCTCATTTTCGTGAATCTCATTCAGTTTTGCAATCAGATCGGGAATTTTTCATTGTTTCTTAAATCGATTCAATCATCAATCAACTCATGAACTTAATTAATCAATTTCTGTAACTTATAAACAAAATCTTTCGGTTTTAACTTTACCTTTGATCACCACTCCGCTACTTCAATTACTCGAAAGATATGAACGGATTGGACAAGATCTTCAATCTTTGTCGTGTCTGAGGTCGAAATTGAAAGAAATTTGGGTAGAATTCGACATTAGTTTTCTGGGATTAACTGGGATCCGATTAACTGTCGGAACTTTGGACGTTTGCCAAACTGTTTTTTTGTGTTTTTTTTCTTTATTTTTTTTAAAAAGAAAACAACAAACAAACTGGGCCAAATAAACCCAGAAATAGCCCACTAAACATCTCAGCCCCAATACAACAATTTCTTATTTTTCTAATTATCAATTACTACTTAAACTAATTAAATTGTTAATCTCATTAAACAAAATACAAATCTAATGCAGCTAAATATATTCAACTCTAAAATACAATATACTACATCATTTTATTATCAATTCATGTTTTCAACCAAATTAAAATACACAATATTTAATAAATATAATAAAACTATCCAAATATTGTTTTTAAAATAAATCTAAAATACATTGTATAATATTATTTATTTATACAAACAAAATAAACAATTATTGTCAAATAAATACTATACAACATAATATCCAAATAGTAATAAACATAAAATTATATGATTTATTCCCTTTTATACTAAACTATGACACTATCTTAGATCTTACATATTTCATATTAAATGAACAATATAATTCAAAAAAAATATAAAATCCCGTGCTGTATAGCACGGGTCATGATCTAGTTAAGACTTTAAATTGGAAGTTCATACATTTTATACAACTATTAAAAATAGAAAAACGATCTAAACTTTAATCATATCAACAAGACAACAAAGAGGTGAGATTGCATTTTAGGAGTTTCAGACTATTTATTTATTTGATTATTTTCTATTACTTTTTCATTGCTTACGGTTTGATTACAGACCATTTATTTGAAATTGATTGATGTATAGTAAAGAGATTTTTTCGTTACTATTCATACGACTATAGAAGCCAAAATAATACATTCTACATTCATATTATATTTTATTTTATGTAAAATCATCCTTTGCGTATACAATTTTTTAAAAACGAAAATTTTAACCCTGCTTTCTCTGCAACCGTCTTTGTCACTCACTGGATCTGCACTTAGAAAAACATCTTCTGCTGACTGCCAGACCAATATTACACAAAGGCTCATCGAACACTCTCAAATATTAACTTGAGATTGATCCAAACTCACTTAGTCACTTGTAGCTAACTCTGACTTTGCAAAACCCTCTATTCTCTATCTATACATACACATACACAAGAAAGGACAAACAAGTGTGCTCCACCAAGACTTACAGAGACATAAAAACCACAACTCAGTAGCCATCTAAGAGTCCTTGCGATTGGTTCTGCTCAAATCCAAGGAATGCACATACCTTGGATGAATGTCTCTAGCTCTCACTTAAGGTACATCGTTGTTTTTTCCTACCTCTATTTCAAAGCTTTAGCGCTGTATGATGATATCAACCTCCTCTGCATATAACACAGCACCAAATAAGTAAAGACGAAATCACTCAAGTATTCACCAAGAAAGTATTAACCTTTCAATTAAATTCAAGGCGAGTGCAATCAATTAAAGTATGGCACTACTTACTTGCTCTGCAAACTCGGGACTTGTCAGATTTACAGACAGGTTTTGCATCAGTAAAAGAACCTGATGAATCAAAAAGAAAAAAATACCAAATAAGATTCTCTACCAAAATCAGGATTGAAGTTGTGAACAAAGTTTCAGAGTAGGGGTAAAACGTGTCTCATACCGTTTCCATATTTATTGGATCCATCTGCTTTAATCTCTGGAGGTGGCCTGATGTGTTAGGATCAAAGACACTTCCAATGAAGCTGTAAACTTCAGCAAAATTCGGCATCACTGCATTGAAAACCGCCACCAAACAACTCATTCTCAGCGTAAATCTCAAAGATGTGTAATAGAAAAACACATATAATGTAACACAATAACAAGTCTTACCTCTATGTGGCTTTTCACAACTTTCTTCGTCATTCGGCTTTGTCACTGCTCGTACCCTCCGTGTATCTTCCTTACCGCAGCGATTCTTTGGGAGAGGAGCAGTGGCCGAGACTCCCGGTTCCTCTACTACTATCACAAATTCATTACACCACAATGTTAACACCATTCACAGATACAACAAACTCAAACTGTCATCAACCGAAAGCAAAACCACTCGTAAAATTTACCTTCAATCACCGGTTTAGGCAGATTCGTTGATTCATGATTCCACGAAGAAGAGCTAGATGCACAAACAGCCTGGTTTCCCAGCAACGGCTGTGAATCAGAGCTGTACAAATAACCAGGCTCAAGCAAAGGTAGTGTGCTCGAAGACGGAAGGGATCCAATGACGTGGGAGGTAAAAGCAACTGCAGCATAACAAATAATCAGAAAATGATTAAAGAAAAAAAGCAAAGAAGAAACAGAGTAAGAAGATGATCATCAAAGTCACCATTTTTTGGAGCCTTTATCGGATAAGGATGACTCGCTTTCCTCTTTGGTCGAGGTGGTGGAAGATGTTCGTTAGCACCACTCTTCTGAACTTTGAGAAAGTATTTCTGAGCATGGCTTCGTATCTGCCAAACACACATATTACTACTCACAATCATTCTCAAAACAAAACCAAAGAACATTGTAAGATTCTTCAATTTATACCTGAACCACTGTTTTTGATCCTACAAATGCCTCTATCTTCTTCCAATCCCTATCGAATCTGTAATCAATTGATCGATTAGCTCATAACAACAAATCTCGAAGCTTTCAAACGAAAACACAATCAAATTCCTGCAATACACGTACAAGTGGAGAGCTTCTAGAAATTTATCGTGTTCTTGATCTGTCCAATTCTCTCTCGACTTCTTGATTGTGTACGGCTTCCGAATCTTCGTAGTCGGATCTTCAGAAAACGACACCGTACTGGTCCGTCCGGTGGCCGGAATCGTAGCAATCGGATTGGAACCAAATCCATCAGAGCCTGGTAAACTCATGTTCACGGGATCGAAAATTGGAAAACCCTTAGGTCTAGGGTTTACGGACACCATAGAGCTCGAAATCGCGATTCGCTTTGGGTACAGCTTTTGCGTTTCGCAATTCTTCTTCAAAAGTCCTTTCACTGTCAAAAGATTTGACTTGGACAGTTTTTTTTGTGGCTGAAGAAGAATAGATGGCTAAAATCGTCATTTTAAGAGCATAAATGAATATTTTTCTTTACACGTGTTAGGATCTTGTTGCTCTGGTCCCAATGACGCCGTTAAAATAGTGTTATCACTTAAGAAAGAATCAACGGCTATAAAGATGTCGCGTGGAGAGAGGACGGAGAAGCTCTCACGTTTTAAGGTCGTCAAATGTTTCTAGCATTATCACGATTTGTCCATTCTTTATGCAACAATTAGCCAAATCTTTAATAGAAAAACTATAAGTTTAAGTGTAACCAAAGTTTTGTTCATCCCTAATCCATTATTTAAATAGTATTAATCTTCACTCTTTTAACTATAGTGTTTATTAGCCCCAACAAAAAGTTACATTAGAAAACAATGAAAGACTAATTAATCGTACATGATAATCAGATAGTTGTATGCAAAGCATATCTAGAGATGTTATAATTCTCAGACAGATGATGAAAAATTAGCGATTAGTTTTGCCAAAATAGTGTTCGATCTGCAGACAACCTTGAGAGGACGAGCCACTTGTTTTAGTTCCAAGCTTGAATCTCTTACCACTACTTCCTGAGCTTGTATTGGCGTTCTATGCAGTGCAACAGTAGAGGAAATTGTGGAAATTGCTTTATAGTGTAGAGATTGCAAGAAGGGTAAAGGAAAGAACATCAAGAGAGAAGAATGCAGAACTCACAGAAATTTGGGGTTTAGATCTCAGCACTTTGATTCTTCCACCTTTACCATCAGGTCCAATAGCGATTAGATCATCTTTGCTTGGAACAGAACCTCCTAGTGATGGAGTTGCTTCGTTTCTCTCTCCATGTTTGCTCCATCTACCAAGGTTTCGATTTGACTGCCAAATGTTTCCAGCACCTGCATTGAGTTTTTGAAAAATCTTCAAATTTACTACACTCGGAACTTGAATTCATGATGTACAACAAAAGTACCATTGCTGTGAGGTGAGACTGATGATGTCGGGTTTTCTCTGATGTTGAACTTTATATCCTTCACCACAGGATTATCACATTTCTCTTCAATATTAGTATCCGAATGTCTGATGCCAGAAATGGTGGTTTCGGGAATATCATCATCTACATCTATAACCGAGTCTGTTCTGCTAACAAAGGAGCCTTCTCTTCCCCTTAAACATGATCCTTGGTTGGTATAGCCATCATTTTCTTCTAATTTACCAGGTGGTGTGGAAATTTTCTCCATTTTGTTGTCTGATGGAAACATTCTGAAAGAAGCCATGCTCTCGGTTGCAGGCTCGGATAATTCTCTGTAACTGCAATTCTTTGAGACGTTTATGTCCCGTAGAGCTCTGTTCTCTCTCGCTTCAGTTATCAACTCAAGTTCCCTCATTTGCTTCTGCTCATAGAATAAAGATATTAAGAGCCAGATATAGAAGACACAAACAAGATCGGGTGCAACACCAAAAGACACACCTTTAGTTTATCTATCTTTTCCAAAGCTTTTTCAAGTTTCTCAGAAGATCTCGCTTCGCCTCTGCCCAGCTGATTGCACTTGGCCAGCAATTCCTTATAGCTCCTGTCAGAGTAAGCAAGAATGGTTTGTATTAGAGACTTCATAAAAGAAACTTAGAAGACCTAAGAGAACAGAAAGGCAATGTTCAATCCTCCTTTCCTCAACTTCTTGACCATACCTACTTGCTTATGAAATTTCGTAATTTCAGTTTTAAAAAGTTGTTGTAAGAGACTAGAAAACCAAACAAAGTACTCTAGTCTGCAGGAATCAACAGATGAACTAAGGTGAATCACCATCTTCATTACTGAAGTTCAAAAATTATTATTTTTGAATCGCATTACACTGCAGCAGCGAAAAAGTCAATGACAAATGGGAAATAATGAACCAAGTTCACAAAAGTCGATGACCAAAATGAGACTATGGAAACAGTGACAAACTAAATGCTATGTATCTACCTATTTCAGATAACCAAAACTAAGTGGAACTAAGTGAAGCTATGTGAACTGAGTGGAACTAAGCTATGAGACCAACCTATTTCGGATGACCAAGGACTTGACTAGTGTGTCTATTGTATCTTTCGTCTTAGCATTATTCCCCAACAAGGCTAGCTTCAGAACATCATCTTCCTCCAAGCTTAAATCAGAAACCCTGGATACAAAACAAGATATAGTCTCAGAAAGATTTTACAAAAAGAGTGAATTAGAATCTGAAGACATTAAAAGAGCAATATGAAAACTTTTATCGCACAATTTAAGCGCAGCGAGCTCCTTAGCAAGAGCCATAGTTCTCTCCTGTAGCTTAGCACACTGTGAACTAAGCTGGAAACATTCCTGAAACAAAACATACTAACAAACTCAACAAAAACATTCTACTGTGAAGCAAAAGGATCTAAAAATGTAAGGATGATGTAAAGTTTTAATCAAAACCTCAGATTTTAACTTAAGCAAGTGCTGAGTCGTTGATATTTCTTGAATAGCCTCCCACCTTTTCACTTTATCCTCCTTCAATTGTTCATTGCATTGATGCAACTGAGAAACAACAAAAAAAAAACCAAACTTTTCACATAACAATTTATATTTTAAAAGTTAAAACATTCTAATCAATGAAATGGAGAAATTAACCTTATCAGAGACTTGAACATTCTCTTTTTTCTTCGCCTCCAAAGCCGAAGTAAGATTTTGTGTCTTCTCTTGGAGCCGCTTCACTTCTCCTCTCAACAAAACCGGATCTTCTTCGATTTCAACGACTTTTTCCGAGGCGATTTGATTCCCGGAAGACTGAAAGTAAAGTCGGCAAGGATCCTTTAGAGAGCACTTCTGCTTACAAATCGGACAATTTCGCTTATTCGTACTCGGGCAGTACTCAAACCATTGCTGTAAACTAGGGTTTCCGAAAAAAACAATCGATTAACACATAAATCTATAAAATTTCGGAGATAAGAAAGTTTATAAGATCTTTGATTGCTCCGTACTAACCAAAGTTCGTGAAAGACATGGCCACAAGCGGAGATTGATTGCAGATTCTCAACAACCGGTTTGAGATCTTCGTAGCAGATTGAACAAATAGCATTCCCCGCCGCGTTTTCTTCTGCCATAGCCATCTCTCCGGAAATCCCCGACTAGTCAGTCAGTCAGTTTCCGACTCTTTCAGTCACCATTTTTCTCGAGAAAATCAAAAAGGTAAATATCAGAGGAAACACATGGCGCGGGGAGAAATGTTGAAATTTCAATGGTAAGCGCGAAAATCTGGGGAAGAAAAGCACGTGTAAGTCACGTGAGAATAACCAAAGTGGCTTGAATAAGCCCAACATTTTGTCACTTCCGGCCCATTAAGCCCAAGTCAGCTATTGATTAGTGGAGGAGTACTAAATTTTTTTTTTTTTTCCGTTTAACGAACCAACAGTTATCAGGCTCAGGAAGCCCATTTTGGCACGTAGGCCCAAAAAACTCACAAGGCATAAACTGCCCAACATGGCACACAAGCCGAAAAAACAAACAAAAAAACAAGGCACTCAGGCCCAACAAACCAACACAAGGCTCACAAGCCCAGCAAGCCAACACAAATAGCAAAAGGCCTAGCCGAAGAGTCTGAACCAGGTAGAAAGCAGAGAGGTTCCAGGAAGAGCATTACGTTGTTCCCTAGCAAGAGGATCAAAACGAGCTCGCATAATCTGCTTGATCTCTTTGATGATTATATTTGGCGAGTGAATGCGGAGGTTGCGTTCCTTCCATAAGAGATAGATGGAAGCTTGGAACACGAGTTTTTATGATCAGAGCAAGATTTGAGTCCTTAGTAGCTGAGATTACCCACAAAAGAGTAGACAAGCGATGAAAGGAGAGGGGGGCACCATGAAGAGGAGTACTCATTTTTAATTCCTCCTACTAATTGCGTGGGGTTTACCAAAAAATGCATCAGTTGTGTGAGTTGTCGAACAATCAAAGTGACTATCAACAACAAAAAATAAATTAAACACTAACTTGATTAGATTAAAATTAAAAATTCGGCTAGTCAAACACAATGTTTAAATTAATGTTGACTTTACTCGTTTTTAGTAATATTTTATGTATATATTTATTTATAAAAAAAAACTTGGGTCCACGCGGTTTGATACAATGCCTCGTGCAGGCCACTTGTAGCTAAATATATTTTTGCTAAAAAAACTCGTCCCCGAAGGTTTCACGTGGCTCATGCACCCCTGACTGGGTCAGGAGAATCTCGACCGTTGGATAAAAATTGAAGCATTTAGAAAGCTTAAAGTTAAGATATGACCGTCCGATGAATCAGTCTAAAGATTGTGATTCGTTATAAACCGTACGATTGACTAACACAAAGAGGAATCAACATCACGAGGCGAGAGATAATGGTAACAACGGCATAAAAGCATTTTTTCGACAGCTGTAGGAAAGTCCACGTCATCTTATCTTACTCGCCGTGTGAACCGTTGATTTTTATGAATTTGTCAACCTTTTTTACTCGCGGAGATCACGCGCTCTCCTCGTTTGGCACGTGTGTCACACTCTGCTACACTGGTAGTCTGGTATGGTTAAATTCTCTCTTCTTCTTTTTTTCTTCTTAGAAATAAAATGTTTCTAAAATTTGTGTTTTCTTCAAAATTTTATGTTACTCTATTAACGAATGTATATATATATTTCTTCCTGATTTTTTGTAATAAAGAAAACATGGAATTAATGTCTAGAGTGAAAAATTAAATAAATCGTCGAGTTTGTGTATACTATTTTTTTTTTTAATATGTATACAAACCAAATTTTAGTCGGATTTAAAACACTTTTAAACACACTACTCATATTATTTTTTATAAAATTATTTAAATGTGCTTTGTTGATGCTATTCTCAAAAGATAATGAATGATACAACAGTATCCCATGTTTAGAGTATGTGGCAGAGTGATCAACACTAATACACTATGGTGCTAAGTGACAATCACTATCTTTCTATCTACATACTTTTTATATACATAATACATTGATGCACATTTTTTGCAAATATAAATGGATTACATATATGTTATCCATGAATGGTTTTTATTTAAAAATCAGTTGTTGGATTGACTATTGTGTAATGTCGAAAGCTCACAATGATCTGGAAAGGGAACAAATTAAACTTTTATTCTTATCCCTTCCATATAATTTTTTATTTTTTTTTTCTAAATTAACCTTGACAACTTCATTTCCATAATCTTAGGTGTAAAAAAGATATAGCAATTGTTTACTTGGTCTTGTGCGCATCGATAAAAAAGTAGGCACTACAACGAAAGTATGGTTTCCCACTATTTAATCAAACCAAAGCAGCCCCAAAAGCGCGTGTGAGAGACGCGTGGAAATGTCCAAAGGAGTGTGAGGTTGACAAAAGATGAATTAAGATAGATTATTCAAAGCCTTTGACATTTTATCAAAGTCAACCAAATACAAGAAACCGGAAACCACCTCTGGTTTTAGTCTCTAATTACACTAGGCGACAAAGACAGGATAAGCATCGAGATACCTTCTTCAAGCACATAATTTTCTCTCTTTCTAGAATTTCCCAACAAAAGCCAAAGAGACTATTCCACTCTCTCTCTATATACATATAAAATATTCTATAAAACGTATTATATATCGGCATATACACGTATTGTGATTCCGACAGTGCTCATCTTTTTCCAAGTGTGTTCATACTTATTTGCTTTTAAAACAAGATATATAGATGTCTAATTTAGTTAGTTTCGTTCTAATCAATAAAGGGAAAATATGTCAAATAAACACTAACATTTATAAAATTTGAATCGATATATGTTGGCACAATAATGGAATCGGTTTTAGAGGAGGATTCCTAATTTAATGTTATGATTCAAATTAAAGTCGTTTGCTAATTATAACATCTCGTATTAGTTTTGTGCAATCGTCACATGTTCTTCTTAATTTCCTGTTTTATATACAAATGATTCAATGTGTTTACCAAGTACCACACCATCCGTACACAAAAATTTCTTTTTAGTTTATGTATTTTATAGTCACAAAATATTTTACACAAAAAAAAAATTTCAGGTCATTTTTTGTAACCTATAAATCTATGTACATTAATATTTATCAAAACTAATAAACTAATCTATGCGAGATACATATATAGATAAAGGGTTCACATGTAGAATAATTGCAATGTCAAAAAAAAAAGAGAGAGAACAAAACAAAATTGTATTATACACTGTATTTATTTAATCACCAATAATAATTTAATAAAATATATCCTCCATTTTTTCAACCCTTTTTTTTAATTTTCCTCCTCTCACTCTCTTTATAAACATCTCTCTCTACCCTTCAAAAGTCAGCGCTCTCTTTTATCTCCTCTGCTTTTCTCTTCTCTCCTCAGAGATTCGAAGCTTTTTTGTCTCCCCTGAGTAGTAACCAATTCAATGGCCGACGATTGGGATCTCCACGCCGTAGTCAGAGGCTGCTCAGCCGTTAGCTCATCAGCAACTACCACCACAACCACCGTATATTCCGGCGGCGTTTCATCTTACACAAAACCTATATTCACCGTCGGACGGCAAAGTAATGCCGTCTCCTTCGGAGAGTTTCGAGATCTCTATACACCATTCACACAAGAATCTATGGTCTCCTCGTTCTCTTGTCTAAATTACCCAGAAGAACCTAAAAAGCCACAGAACCAGAAACGTCCTCTTTCTCTCTCTGCTTCTTCCGGTAGCGTCACTAGCAAACCCACTGGCTCCAATACCTCTAGATCTAAAAGAAGGTTCGTTTCTTCACCAATTTTGTTTTATCAAAACCAATAAAAAGTTTCAACCTTTTGTCAAACCCATCAAGAAATTTTTCATTTTTTTTGTTGTACCAGTCAAAATTTCGAATTCTGCTGTAAAGAGATGATAAAAAAAAGTCTCAATTTTTGTCGAACCCATCAAGAAATTTGTTGAACCCATCAAATTTGATTGAATCAAGATGGCTAAAAAAGTCTCTGTTTTTTTTTTTGGTTGCTTGTTACAGAAAGATACAGCATAAGAAAGTGTGCCATGTAGCAGCAGAGGCTTTAAACTCCGATGTCTGGGCATGGCGAAAGTACGGACAGAAACCCATCAAAGGTTCACCATATCCAAGGTAAATTTTATATTTTACCCACACAAAAAAAAAAGGTTCATTTATTGACTAATAAATGTGTGTGTTCTTTCAAGACAAAAGAAACTTGTCTGTTTTTGTGATTCTGTCTGCTTTTGGTTTGTTAAATTATCTCCGTTACAATTTTGGTAAAGCATTCTAATTTATTTTATTTCATGAAAACAGAGGATACTACAGATGTAGTACATCAAAAGGTTGTTTAGCCCGAAAACAAGTGGAGCGAAATAGATCCGACCCGAAGATGTTCATCGTCACTTACACGGCGGAGCACAATCATCCAGCTCCGACACACCGTAATTCTCTCGCCGGAAGCACTCGTCAGAAACCATCTGATCAACCGACGACTAAATCTCCAACGACCACGATTGGTACTTATTCATCGTCACCGGTGACGTCAGCCGACGAATTTGTTTTGCCTGTGGAGGATCTAGCGGTGGGAGATCTTGACGGAGACGAAGATCTGTTATCTTTGTCGGATACGGTGGTGAGCGATGATTTCTTCGATGGATTGGAGGAATTCGCAGCCGGAGATAGCTTTTCCGGGAACTCGGCTCCGGCGAGTTTTGATCTCTCTTGGGTTGTGAACAGTGCCGCCACGACCACCGGAGGAATATGATTAGATTACGACGGCTTTAGAATACTCCTTTTAGGAAAGATATATAGGATTAAGGAATTATTCTCGGATTATATGTAAAAATAGGAAAAAAGAAAATGTTCTTTGTTACTTTTTTTTTTCGGCTTTTCTTCCTATTGTTTCTAAATATCTTAGAAAATTTAATTGTATATTCCTTAAGCCCGATATTCGTAACCGATTTAAATCATACCATAGTATTGAGATGAAGAATATTAGCTAGAATATTGTTACCAAAAAAAAAAAAAGAAGACTAGTTACATTTCAATATTTATCAACCGTAGATAATCTTATATTTTTCGTTGTTGATACTCTGATATTATAGTATTTTGCTATTATCATCATAAAAATGATTCAAAATCTCAATTTTAATGATAATTTTATTTTATTGAAAATTAGTTTGGAGCTCAAAACCTGGCTTTTTTTTGTTTGTGTGTACCCGTCTCCATCGTTGGAATCAAAACATTCCGAGTTCGTCTAGCTGAAGATTCATCAGAAGAGGAGGTGTTGAAAGATGTCTCTCACTTCAACGATGATCCTTGTGTCCATGGAATCCTTGTTCAGTCGCTTCTACCATCGCATATGGATGAGCAGAACATATTGAATGCGGTTAGTGTTAAGAAAGACGTTGACATATTTCACCCACTAAATATTGGACGGCTTGCGATGCGCGGAAGAGAACCGTTATGCATTCCGCGAACACCAAAAGGATGCATTGAGCTCTTACACCAATACAACTTTGAGATCAAAGGAAAGAGAGCAGTTGCTATCGGAGGGAATAACGTTTTTGATATGCCAAATGTTCTGTTACTGCAGGTAAATGATACATGCCATTTGATAATTACTTAATTTTTTGGATATTTCATATGATGTAAGAAATAGGTAGAGAGAGGATGACTGTTACCATTGTAAAATTATAGGACAAGCTGATATCATATTTTCGGCTGTTTGGTAACCAAACATGGTCAGAGGAAGCTGGATAAAACCGGGCGCAGTCTTCATCAACGTTGGGACTACTTTTGTTGACGTAAGCAAACAAAATTTTGAAATTATTATTGGTAATGAAGTTATAATTGATTAACTCACCAATCAATATGTGATATTCTTATACACTATTGCAGGATCCCAGCGCTCTGCATGGCTATCGAGTGGTAGGAGACATTTGCTATGAGGAGGTTTGCAAAGTTGCATCAGCCATCACCACACCTGTTGTTGGTGGTAAAGGAGCAATGCCCTTAACCATGCTTCTTTCCAACACTTTGACATTAGCCAAGAGAAATCACAACTTCATGTAACCTTACATTCAATGCAAAAAAAAAATGAAGCGATTGCAGTTTCTCTATGTGGCATTAGCTCCTCTCCCCATTGGCACCATTTCAGACATCAGCTGTTTCAAACAAGTGAAAGAACTTCGCTTGCCTAGCTAGCTAGCAACACAACAACGCGAAAAGGGTTTTCAAATGCCCTGATTTGCTTGAACCTCACGCACCACAAATTGCCGAGATGGACGAACCAAATTGCGGATTTCTAAATAGTAGAAGTACTCAGAGAATTAATTTTGAGAGATTAGAATCGGATTATTTCAGCATTGGCGCGGGAACTTTCGTAATGTGGGATTGAGAGAACAAAAAACTAATGAATAAAACATGGGTTTATCGTAACATGGGAAAGAGGACTAGTCAATAAAAAAAAAACTTCAAATCCTATATAGTAAGTAAACTAATTGATGCAATAAATAAAAAGTAACGGCTGGAAAATATTAAAACGTTATTAAAGTCTAATCAATTAATTGAAATGTGTAGGATTTCGTAAATAACAGTTTTGTAACATGTTAAAATTTTGCTCAGGACAAACAAAAATAAAGGAAATAAGGCCCAATCGTTGCCTAGGGACTCGAGCTTTCTCTCTCGCGTGAAGACAATTGTTTGGATCTAGATCTGGTTTTCGGGTTCTCTGAGCTTCATCGCTGGCCGCCGGCTTGCCTTTCGAGAAGCAGTGGTGAGGCGGATTCCATCTCCGTCAATGGGTGTGGTGTCTTCTCCGACGATGTAGCCGTTCCTCTGGTTTGGCGGTGGAGATCTCTGTGCGCTAGGCCTCGGTTAAGGACGCTGGTGGCTGTATTGGAGATCCCCAAGGCTCAGCCGACAAGCTTGACGGAGTGGCTACGGCGGAAGTCGTTGGAGGAGCGGTGGGTTGTATTGTTGCGTTTGGTAGTTAACAGCTAATCCCGGCAAGATTGGTTGGCTACCGCGGATCTCGGGTCTAGAGGGTCTTAGTGAGCCGTTAAGCCTCTTGATTCGCCGTGGTGGTGTCTACTAAACCGGATTGATGGGATTTCGTCTCGGAGGAATTCGGAGCTTCCGGTGGTGGTTTGGGAGGTTAGATCCCAGTTTGTCGGTTGCTTGGCACGGGACCAGACAACGTGGAGCCGGTCGTCGGGGAGTTGCGCATACCGGGAAGAGTGTGGTGGGTATGGTGCGTCGGCGGCGTGAAATCGTCGGAGGGAACTGGATTCTCCCACCGTGTTTTTCATGTCTCCGATGCTGCCACAAAGCTGTCCTCTTTGAATCCACCGGAGATTGTGCCGCTGACTCTTTCGCCTCCGGTCGTCAGCAAGTTCCGAGTCTCGAACAGTCACCGGCGTTAGGTTTCCGATTTCCTTCTTTTTGTAACTGTGGTTTCGTTTGTAGGCCCAAAAGCCAAGCCCATTATGGGATTTATTAATATAATTTAAGTTTTTTTTTAAAAAAAAAAAAAAAAAAAAATTTGCTCAGAACGTTCAAAATTTATATAATAAGATTAACAAAAAAATTATTTCCTTTTTTCTGTAGAATAAAGAAACATTTACCTTTTTAATATATATGTATATTATATACATATATATATATATATATAATGTTTCTTTATTCTACAAAAGAAAAGGAAAATTTTTTTAAAAAAAACTTTCAATAGAACTAAAGTCAATAGTTTAATATATGAATATGGTTTATAGAATAATTTTTTTTTTACTTTTTCTAATATATAATAGATATTATTTTTACTTTTATATATATATATATATATATATATATATATATATATATATAAATATATTTTTTGGGTTATGATTATAGATTTTTCTATTTTTATTTTTAAATATATTAGCAAATTTTATATTTGACATGTGGCAACATATGTTTTGCTTACACATTATATAATATGATATTAGAATTTATTACATTTTTTGTTAACTATATATATATATAGAGGATTAGTTATACTGAATATTAGTTGATTTACAGCTTATTTTAAGGTAAATATGAGGCATCAAATCAACATTAATTTTCTGTCTTTAATTTTTTTAAAGTAACTCTAAATAAGCGTTAAATATTGGATATATTGTTTACTAAAAAATTTAGAAAATTTATTAAAATAATTTTTTTAAACAGCAAAAAGATTAATTCATTAAAATAATTCTTTTTGGTTAACTCATCAAGTTAATTCAATCGATATAAATGGTTGGTTTTTGAAGCCAATGGTTGTTGATCTGATGTTCTAAAAATGTACCATTTTTGTTTTATGAAACCAAACATGAAATTTTTAATTAAGTCAAATATAACATGGTCTTTTAACATTTTTTTTTTAATCTCTTGTTTGTCTGATCTCGTTATTTGACTCGGAGCTTGAGGGCTTACTTGGTTTGATGGTGGAGAGGGCTGCTATACACTTCCACCTTATGATTGTCTTTTTTAACACCTTAATGATTTAAATGATCAATGAGGTGCGATGCTTCAAAGGTTGAGGATGAAGTCGTGGAGACTATGATTTGGGGTGAAAAAGCTGTAGAATTGGAGCGTGAGGCCACAAGACTGCTTTATAGAGAGCACTGCAGTCTTCTCTTTTTGACTCTCAAACCCAAAAATCAACCCAGGGACAGATGTTGGGTGAAAACACTACTGTTCATAATGTTTTGAGTGACATGGTTGATAGAGCCTCATCAGAAACTAGTTTGGAGGAACTCTGGTATCGACTTCATACTGCGATAACAGAATTACAAGCTGTCAGATTCAGTAACACCATGAACCGGAAAGTCATAAACGAATTGATAGCCCTACAAGATAAAGAATCCAATGTGTCCAATGAAGTATGCATAGCTAGGGAAGCTGTTCAGAAGGCTACTTTGGCATTATCTTTGGCTGAAGCGAGGCTGCAGGTTCTAATGGAATCAGCGCGTCACGATGCTTCTGAGGTTGAAGATGAAGTCTTGAAAACTATGATTTGGGGTGAAAAAGCTATAGAATTGGAGCGTGAGGCCACTCAAGACGTGAAGGATGCAGAGGCTGCTTTTGAGAGAGCACTGCAGGCCTTGGACATGTTTTGGATGGGAAAACTACATTTGTAGACGAGGATGAAATAAAGAGGAGCATGGCTGAAAAAGAGTTAGCAGTAGATGAAGTCTACACTTGTGAGGTAAGCTTTTTCTATGAAAAAAAACCCTATAATTGTTCTTATAATCTTGTTTAAGATGTTTGTCTCTGACTTGTTTAGATTTGCACCCGTTGAGTCTCTCGAGCTCTCCAAACCCCGTTTCCCATCACCAAGTTACTTTATGTTGTGTGCTCTTTGTTCTTCTGCAAAATCGTTGAGAAGAATTCATTGGATTCTGTAGTTTGAGACTGAGCTCTGATCTTTTGAAGCTCCTGCAACTTAATGGTTTCGATGCAAAAGATTGAGGAATCGTGTTGCCATTATTCTTCAAAGCCTACTCCTTGAGTCCCTTGTGGCATAAATCCAGCGTTTAAATTGTTATATTTTGTGTATTTCCATGCTACTCTGTAGATTCCACTTTCTTGTTTGATGATCAAGATTTGTGCTTTGATTTCAGGAAAGACCAGACATGCCTATACGCCCAATTCCTTAACAGATCTGGTGCAAGAACTTTGGAACCAAGGACGATAAGGAAAGAGAGCACTAAAATCATTATTTCCTCAAAAGTAAAATTGAGATGATAATTCAGATCCACTGTAAATAATTTTCTTAAAGGTTTCTCGTTACTTGCTATTAAATTTTCCGTTTTAGTTTATTAATTTCCTCCTTAAATTATGCAACTTTTCAAGGGTTTTAGCCTTGTACCATCGTGGGATTTCCTAAAAATTACAGAAATCTGCATGTGCATTCTAAGCTTGTGCTTTAAGTATGTTGAATATTAGATAATTTCCCAAGGATTAAATTAATTCCACTAATCCCTAGGTAAACTGCAAGATGAAGTTAAAGTTCATAACTTTATCTCTGCAACTAGATTTTAAGTATTTTGCTTCTCATTGAGATCTTCTCTAAGAAAAGACAAAGAAGATGGTTTTAGTTTGTGTTCTTGTTGAATCTAGTTCAAATGGGCATATTTGCTAATGTCTTTTCAAGATTTTTGTTGATTTTGTGTTTGTATATAGCTTGAAGGATGGGGAAGACGAATGTATTATCGAAGATTAGAACTTTCAATGGCGTCAATAGACCCATCTATGTGTTGGCTGGTTTGGCTTTTCTTATCTCTGTAGCTACATTAGCTAAGTTCAATTACATCACACCACTACGCTTCTCTGATCGGTTCTGTAACTATCATGGAAGCTTTGACGGCGACAACTATATTATCGGAAGCCAAATGAGAAAAACAATCGAAACCGCCATTTTTAAAATCCACCAAGAAATGGATGATCTCAAGGCTTTAGAAGCTAATTCTTCTTCTGCTCCATCCTCTGTTTCATCAGCTTCTGGATCCATGTTTAGGCATGTAGCTTTTCTTGCGGATGTTCTTTCGCTAGTTCAGTCGGTTCATATGGATTTGCCTTCTTTCGAAGAGAGATTCGTAGCGGATCATCCGTTGAAGCAGCAGAACGGTGACCCGGGGGAGCATTTTATGAGAGAAGAGATAAAGAAGTACATAAAGATCAAACCAAACCGGCTTGGGAAGCAGAACTTCATGGGAGCTAACGGAACTTTCACCTCGATCGGGCATGCTTGTTTTGCGATGAAGAAAGATCTAGAAGAGTATATGGACTATGATGTTGGGGAAATCTGCAACGATGATTGGAGATTAGCTCAGAAGCTTATGGTTCACGGATGCGATCCGTTGCCTAGAAGACGGTGCTTCTCCCGTGGCCCGCAGTTGTACCACAAACCGTTTCCAATCAACGAGTCTTTATGGAAGCTTCCAGATAACCGGAATGTGAGATGGGGACAGTATAAGTGCAAGAACTTCGCTTGCTTAGCTAGCAACACAACAGCACGAAAAGGGTTCTTTAAATGCACTGATTGCTTCAACCTCACACACCACGAATCGCCGAGATGGCTTAACCGAGGCGAAATCGATCCTGAGACGAACCAAACTGCGGATTTCTCGATAGCTGAAGTACTAGAGATTAAACCAGGAGAGATTAGAATCGGATTGGATTTCAGCATTGGCACGGGAACTTTCGCAGCGAGGATGAGAGAACAGAACGTCACTATTGTCTCAGCAACAATCAACCTTGGCGCTCCATTCAACGAGATGATCGCTCTGCGCGGTTTAGTCCCGTTGTACTTAACCGTGAACCAACGGTTACCGTTCTTCGACAGCACGCTAGATATGATTCACACGACGAGGTTTCTTGATGGATGGATTGATCTAATACTTCTTGATTTCGTGCTGTATGACTGGGACAGGGTTTTAAGACCAGGGGGATTGTTGTGGATCGATGGTTTCTTCTGTCTGAAAGAAGATTTGAGTGATTACATGGAAGCGTTTAAAGCGTTGAGGTATAGGAGGCATAAATGGGTTGTGGTGCCTAAGAAAGATAAAGATGATAAAGAAGTTTTCTTCTCTGCTGTGTTAGAGAAACCTCCAAGACCCTTTAGATGATTGACCATTGCATAGTCTCTGTGTTTACTATTATTATCTTTGTAATAATATTCTTAAAACAAAACAGAATGTCAAAATAAATTGAGATATGTTTTAGTTATGTATGTTCCAATTTGCTTGTATAAAATTCAGACGAACTATTTCATTCACCTAAAAACTAGTAAGTGTTATTTTTTTCAAATTACTTTAAAGTGTTGTTTGATTGACATTATGATTGTGTAATGTAAGATATGAAACGACGTAGTTTAGCAGTCCTTTTAAGCAGAAGCACACTTACTTATGTAACTCTCTGAGCGACAAAGAGGGTTCTAATCAATCTCCACTAGGTTCGGGCTGAACGAACCACAAGGCTCGGACCGAGGAACGCGCGGTATATAAAACAAATTTGCCTCTTATTTATCGATTCCGTTACATCGGCTCATTGGAGGAAATCGGAGAATGGAGGAGGAAAAGTTAGAAATCGTCGGACCATTGGAGGAGCCGTTGATGGGAAACATTGTACCAGAGGAGATCAACGGCTCTGATTCGCTTTCGTCGTCAGATACTGATAGCGAGAAACCAGATTCTCCCGTTCCGATCAATGCTCCGATCTACCGGATGTTTGGAAGAGAACGACCAATTCACATGGTTCTCGGCGGAGGTAAACGTACGAAACACTCTCTACACTCGTTTCATTTTCATTTCTCACAGATTGGTTCGGTCTCATGATATATCTCATATAGGGTTCTTTTGGATGATGATTAGATTGCGTTTGTAATTGTAGAAATAGAGATTAATGGTAATTGATTGATTATGTGACCTAATCAGCTAGTGGTTGGGTAATTTGTTGAAGCTGCTGATGTGATACTATGGAGAGACAAGAAGGTCACCTTAGGATTACTCAGTGTAGTGACTGTGATTTGGCTTTTGTTTGGATTTTGTGGTTGTCGTCTTCTCACATCAATTTGTCGTGGCTCGATCCTCTTTCTGCTTCTATCATTCCTCTGGTCCAATGCCCTCAACAAGTAAAGCCTTTTTTTTTGGACCTTGAAATATATATGTAAGCAAATCTTGATTCCTTGTTTGCTAGTCTTAGAATTTTACATTATCATTTTATAGATCTCCAGAGAACATAATGGAGATTTATATTCCTGAGAAGCCATTACTCCAAGCTGCTTCTGCGATGACCTTTGAGCTTAACTGTGCTTTTGCAACCTTAAGGAGCATTGCTTTAGAGAGAGACATCAAAAACTTTGTTATGGTACTTGTTTAGTTTCTCAAGTCTTTTTTTAGAAAAGTCTTTGAAATGATTCATTGACTTGTTTTTATGTTTTGGTTCTGAAAACATAGGCACTCATCGGACTTTGGCTTGTATCGATCATCGGAAACTGGTTCAGCTTCTTGTCATTGCTCTACATCTGTAAGAACACATGCTGGTTCTTCCCAGACTCTTGTTTTTTTCTATTTAGGGAATTATGTCTTGACCTAACTGAAAACAACAGGTTTTGTACTGATTCACACGGTGCCAATGCTTTATGAGAAGTACGAAGATGAGATTGATCCCATTGCAGAGAAGGCTGTGATTGAGATGAAGAAGCAATACCAAGTTTTTGAAGCCAAGGTTTTAAGTAAGATCCCTCGTTAGCCAAACTACTTGAAAATCGAAATTGAATTAGATTCGATATTTACTTAGTTTTTAGTTCATTCATTTATTTTTTGGAATCCAAACCGTTTCGAGTCATTCCTCTGTTCATGTGGTTTTGGTTACTTCTTACTCAAGCCATCTAAACTTTTGTCTTGTGGATACTACAAAATAGGCTGGACCGTGAAAATAATTTCTAAAACTCTCCCCCTATTTTCTATATACATAGCTATGGAAATCTTAAGCTTAGAGTTTAAACTAGTTAATTATCACCAATACATTATTCTGTAACAGAAGATATTTGATTACAACAAATCACAAAAAAAAAAAAAAGGAACACAATTGGTTGGGCTTAACTTCAATGTTTCAAGCCCATTAGACACCGACAGATCTAACATTTCAACCCGATTTTAAAAACGGGTAAACAAATACTAAACACTTCCCAATCGCCATTGTTTCTGTTTTGAGATCTCCCTCCACGGCCGTATCATCAGATCTACACTTCCACTCTGTATATTTCCCTCACACTCTCCAATTCAATTCAGTTCTCAAACTTGTGAATTAAAACGAAACCTTATCTACAATTTTTTCATCTCCAACTACAAAAAATGGCGCAGCAAAAGTTTCTTCACCAACGTCCAATCCAAAACCCATTCACAAACCCATTCTCTTCCTCTCCTCTTTCCAATTCTTCAACCTCAAATCGTCCAATCTCTCTTCTCAGCCGCAACGGTCTCCTCCTCCTTCTCGCTCTCCTCGTTATCCTCGGTGTATTCTTACCTTGGGCAGGATCTCCCTTATTCCCGTTTCCAAACAGACTCTCTGCTTCTCAATCCAAATGGCGCGACTATTCCCTCCCTCAAGCCGTCAAGTTCGTCGCTAAGAACGGGACTGTGATCGTATGCGCCGTGAGCTATCCTTACTTGCCTTTTCTCAACAATTGGTTGATTAGTGTTTCTAGACAGAAGCATCAGGATCAAGTTCTCGTTATCGCTGAGGATTACGCTACTCTCTATAAGGTTAACGAGAAATGGCCTGGTCACGCCGTTCTCATTCCTCCGGCGCTCGATTCTCAGACCGCACACAAATTCGGTTCTCAGGTATAATATATCTTCACAGAGTTTTCATCTTCTCGATCCAATTTTTATCTCTAGCTTGAGATATACTTAGCGTTCAGTTCATGAAATTTAGCTGAGAAATGGCTTAGAAATCTGAGATTGCATACTTAGTTTTCATTATAGTGATTCACTTAGTGTTATTTACAGAAATCATAAGTTTGTTTAGTCCCTGAGGTTTCGGTTTTGAGCTGTGCTTGTACATATATGGCTGATCTTATGAATAACAAAAGATGGTGAACTTGTGGTGGATGTAGTAGCAGCCATGTTTTCCCCTGTTTCTGGATGTGATAGTCTATGTTAAGAGCTTGTATTGCAATGGAATCGATTGTTTTAAACTAATTTCTTGTATTCGCTTAGGGTTTCTTCAATTTCACAGCTAGGAGGCCTCAACATCTCTTGCAAATTTTGGAGTTAGGTTACAATGTTATGTACAACGATGTTGATATGGTCTGGTTGCAAGATCCATTTCAGTATTTGGAGGGAAAGCACGATGCGTACTTCATGGATGATATGACTGCGGTATGTATTTTCTCAGACATCTCCTTCGTCGATGGGTATTGAATTAGTGTATTTATTATCTTCTTGATTATGGTGTCAGATTAAGCCTTTGGATCACTCTCATGATTTACCACCTCCGGGTAAAAAGGGAAGGACTTATATTTGTAGCTGTATGATTTTCTTGCGTCCCACTGATGGGGCAAAACTTCTCATGAAGAAATGGATCGAGGAGCTTGAAACCCAACCTTGGTCCAGAGCTAAGAAAGCAAATGATCAGCCTGGTTTTAACTGGGCACTTAACAAAACAGCTCATCAGGTATGTTCCGTCTTCTTAGTTCCACAATAAAACAGTAACTTCTCTGTAAATCGGTCTCAAGCTTTTATTACACAAATGTTGAATTCAATGAAATTGAAGCAAAAGACTGAACCTTTTGCTACTCAGAAATTCCGGATTATCTAACCTTAGCTAATCATAAGTCATAACTCTAATCTACTTAATGTTCAATTATGATTTTCAAGCTTTTTTCAACTCTGTAATCTACTTATGGGTGTTTAGTTATTATAACCTTTTTGTTACCCAAGTTAATGATATCATCATATCAAAGCTTAAATTCTCAAAAGACTGAACCTTTTAGTACTCGTACGAATGTTGTTTCAATCTGAGAGATAATTTCATTTGTTTTGAATTCATTCTCAACTCTTTGATGCTATCTCTGTACTGCAGGTGGATCTCTACTTGCTATCTCAGGCAGCTTTCCCAACAGGAGGATTGTATTTCAAGAACAAAACATGGGTTAAAGAAACAAAGGGAAAACATGTCATAATCCACAATAACTACATTGTCGGTTTTGAGAAGAAGATCAAACGTTTCCGTGACTTTAATCTATGGCTAGTCGATGACCATGCTTCCGAGTCTCCATTAGGGAAATTAGAGTAAATCCGAATGGCAAGAAAAAAAAATTGATTGTTCGTCTCACTCTGCCTCTCTCTTTTCTTCTTGTTATTGGAATGAATATTCAGGCTGCACAAAGGAAGAAAGATCTAGTGAGTAAAATTTTTTTTGTGAGTAAATTCTTTTACATTGTTGGGGGTCTTTAAAGTTATGTGAAGAGGTGATATATTGGCTAATTCAATACGACTTGAGTTGAATTTGGTAATGTAGACTGCTAGAATTGGTATTTGGGTCTGACAATTCATTCATTCAAGTCATATTGAATCAGCATTTACACCATGGACATGAACAAAAGGGGAAATAACAAAACCGTATCAATGTTTTTGGATGATTTTGTCATACAAAGACGTAACTAATATTTTGTTTGTTGGGATACCAATTGATTATATTCATGGATTATTGTTTTTTTTTTTCTTTTCATGATGGCAACAATGAAAATAGTTTAGTTATGACTCTGATAGATTTTCTTTTCATGAAGTATTGAAATTGATTTACAAACGGATTTTGGTAAAAACGAGTTTTGCAAATTTTTCTAAAATAATCCAAAACAATACTGACAGCTAGCATATGAATATGAGGAGGGTCCACATGATTATGAAACATATTTATTTGAATTATAGTTGGGGTGTTATTTCAATACTTTAGAACATGTGACTAATTTTACAAAAATCTTTAGACTTTTTGGAGGATGCCTGCTTATGTAAGATTTACCGTAAATGAAAAAAACATAAATTAAATACTAGTTCTTTGACGTCCATTGTTGGTCACTCTAGACTTTTCATTCGTGTGTTACTAAAACTATTTATATTCCTAGATCTGATATATTTATTGCAATTACTAAATCCATTTTCCATAAATAATGATTTCTATGTAAATTATGCGTGTAACAACAACATAAGAACAGAATATTTGTAAATATTTTTCGTGGTTACGCAATTAAAAATACCATAATGATAATAAAAGGATAATATATTTTTCAGTCACACCAAAAAATTGATAAGAAAGAAAATAAAAAAATAAAAAAGAGTGAAAATTAGAAAGACAGAGAAGCAAAGATTCTTGCTTCCTGCGAATCCGCAGCTGCTTCGAAACGCAAATCCGATTTGTAAAAATTCTCTATAGAGTTGATTCTGCCATTGACGCCAAGAGATATATAGCTTCTCTCTCTCCTTCTTCTTTTGCTTTTACTAAGCTCACAAGAATCTACGCATCTCTACTGTACATGCTCTCTACTGAATCATCATCACCACACGCACTTCAGATTTCTGGAATTTTCTCTGTGGGATGCGTTTGAGATTCATCGAATCTACTTGATTATAGATTGAAAGTTAGGTGGGGATTTGAGTTTCGTAGCTTGTGGTAGGTTTGTTTACATTTTCTTGTTTGAGATTCAGTAATCTCTCCGGAGTTGCATGTAAAGAAATGGGTTCTCTGGAATCTGGGATTCCGACGAAGAGAGATAACGGCGGCGGGAGAAGTGGAAGACAACAACAACTACAACAACAGCAACAGTTCTTCTTGCAGAGAAACAGATCGAGACTCTCCAGATTCTTTCTATTGAAGAGTTTTAATTACCTTCTATGGATTTCCTCAATTTGTGTGTTCTTCTTCTTCGTTGTGCTCTTCCAGATGTTTTTGCCAGGTTTGGTGATTGATAAATCTGATAAACCATGGACTAGTAAGGAGATTTTGCCACCTGATTTAGTGGGTTTTAGGGAGAAAGGGATTTTGGATTTCGGTGATGATGTTAGATTTGAGCCCACCAAGCTTCTGATGAAATTCCAGAGAGAAGCTCATGGTTTGAATTTCACATCATCTTCTCTTAATACGACTCTGCAGCGTTTTGGATTCAGAAAGCCTAAACTAGCTCTGGTTAGTAGTTCAGATTAGAGAATGAGTTGTTCTAATGATGCATTGTGGTTGGTCTTATTGAGATCTGATGACTGCATTGTGGTTTTTTCTCTTGTTAAAGGTTTTTGCCGATTTGTTAGCTGATCCAGAACAGGTGTTGATGGTGTCTCTCTCCAAGGCACTGCAAGAGATTGGCTATGCAATTGAGGTATAGATTTGTTGCTTCTTCGTGGATTTCTTTTTGCTCTTTTGTTTATCAGTAATATGATAACAGGAAACCTTAAACTTGTCTTGGTAGGTTTACTCGCTTGAAGACGGTCCAGTGAATAGTATTTGGCGGAAAATGGGAGTTCCTGTCACAATACTCAGGACTAATCATGCATCGAGTTGTGTTATCGACTGGCTGTCGTATGTCTTCCCTATCCCGTGCTATTTGAATTGCTTGGAAACTGTTGGGGAACTAGTAAAGCATGTCTTGATTAATTCAGAACTGGGATATAATCTTGAGGCTATGCTTAATTTGATTTACTCATGTGATTGAGTTTAACTGGATAATGTGGATCTGAGGGTGATCAATTGCATTATGGGTGCTATTCTTTTAATATTATAGTGCAAACTTAGTTGACTTGACTTGGTCAATGCAATGATTTTTAATCATTGAATTTTTTTTTGTTTCTTATCTTGAAGCTATGATGGCATAATTGTGAACTCTCTCCGAGCTAAGAGTATGTTTACTTGGTAAGATTTACGGTTCTTTAGTATGATTGTATATCACATAGTTCTGGTTTTGGTTTTTAATCATGGTATATTGAAATGAGAATTTATGTATACTGTATATATACACACGTATATTTGTTACCTATGTGGATTTTTTCCAAAGTTCTTGATAGTTTAAACTATTTTTATTCTTTGACAGCTTCATGCAAGAACCTTTCAAATCTTTGCCTCTTATTTGGGTCATCAACGAAGAAACTCTTGCTGTTCGGTCTAGACAGTACAACTCAACAGGGCAGACTGAACTCCTCACTGACTGGAAAAAGATTTTCAGCCGGGCATCGGTCGTAGTCTTCCATAATTATCTCCTTCCGGTAACGTGTAGGATTAGAACCACAGAAAAAAATATTTTTGTTTCTGCTTTGCAATAGGTTTCTGGAGTATGTTGGGTCTTTTGGGTAATTATCTCTTTTCCCTTTTGCTTCATACAGATACTCTACACCGAGTTCGATGCTGGCAACTTCTATGTGATTCCCGGATCTCCTGAAGATGTATGGAAAGCAAAGAATCTGGAGTTTCCTCCACAGAAAAATGATGTGGTCATTTCCATTGTGGGAAGTCAGTTCTTGTACAAGGGTCAATGGCTGGAACATGCCCTGCTTCTGCAAGCTCTACGGCCGTTATTTCCAGGCAATTACCTTGAAAGTGATACTTCCCATCTCAAGATCATTGTTTTAGGTGGAGAGTCAGCTTCCAACTACAGCGTAGCTATTGAGGTATAACAAGGTCTGCTTTGCTATTGGTGAAATGGTTTGTAGATTTTAAAGATAGAGAATACAAAATCACTAACCTTGTTACTTGTTTTTTTCGAATTTCTTAGACAATTTCCCAGAACTTGACATATCCCAAAGATGCTGTGAAGCACGTAAGCGCCGCGGGGAATGTTGATAAGATACTTGAAAGTTCTGATCTTGTTATATATGGATCATTTCTTGAGGAGCAGTCTTTTCCAGAAATTTTGATGAAGGCCATGTCCTTGGGAAAACCTATAGTTGCACCAGACCTCTTCAACATTAGAAAACATGTATGCTCCTTCTTCCCTTGCCTGTGTCTTGATGGAAATGTGTTGTTGCATGTTCTCTGTTCATTTCCTTATTCACTGACTGTATTTGCAATATTAAATAGGTTGACGACAGGGTTACTGGGTATCTCTTCCCCAAGCAGGATCTTAAGGTTCTATCGCAAATTGTGCTTGAAGTGATAACAGAAGGGAAAATATCTTCATTGGCTCAGAAGATTGCCATGATGGGGAAAACAACTGTTAAAAATATGATGGCTCGGGAAACCATAGAAGGTTATGCAGCTCTACTAGATAATATGCTCAAGTTTTCTTCGGAAGTTGCTTCTCCTAAGGATGTACAAAAAGTTCCTCTAGAACTGAGAGAAGAGTGGAGTTGGCATCCGTTTGAAGCTTTTCTGGATACATCGCCAAATAATAGAACAGCAAGAAGTTACGAGTTTTTAGCGAAGGTTGAGGGGCATTGGAACCATACCCCAGGAGAAGCTATGAGATTTGGAGCTGTTAATGATGATTCGTTCGTGTATGAAATTTGGGAAGAGGAGAGATATCTTCAAATGATGAATAGTAAAAAAAGACGAGAAGACGAGGAGGTAAGCTTTAGATGCGAGTTTTTGAAATGACGTTCTCATCTCCGTTTCCTACATGCCAATTTGATTTGTTTTGTGTTATTACGCAGCTGAAAAGCAGAGCCTTGCAGTATCGTGGGACATGGGAAGAAGTATATAAAAGCGCCAAAAGGGCAGACCGAAGTAAGAATGATCTACATGAGAGGGATGAAGGGGAGCTGCTAAGAACCGGTCAACCTTTATGCATATATGAACCCTATTTTGGTGAAGGAACCTGGTCGTTTCTACATCAATATCCCCTCTATCGTGGGGTTGGCCTGGTGAGTTTCCATGTGCAATATATTGTTTTTGCAACCATAAGATGGTCCAAAGGAGGGAAATTGTTCTCAACTGATTTGAATGCATGATATTGCAGTCAGTTAAAGGACGGAGACCTAGGATGGATGATGTCGATGCATCATCACGTCTTCCGCTTTTCAACAATCCATACTATCGCGATGCTCTTGGTGACTTTGGAGCATTTTTTGCAATCTCAAACAAGATTGATCGTTTACACAAGAATTCATGGATTGGGTTTCAGTCCTGGAGAGCGACTGCCAGGAAGGTAAACAACTCTATCTTTTTTCTTATAAAATCCTTCATCCTTTGTATAGTAGAATGCTACGTCCAGTACTAATATTACCCTGTGATGTAATGTGGGACGTCAAAACAGGAATCTTTATCCAATATTGCTGAGAACGCATTACTTAATGCTATACAAACACGGAAACACGGAGATGCCTTATATTTTTGGGTTCGCATGGACAAAGATCCCAGAAATCCTCTGCAGAAACCCTTTTGGTCGTTCTGTGATGCCATAAATGCTGGGAATTGCAGGTAGAACTCTAGAGATTCTTATATATCATAGTTTTATAACAAATGTTTGAGACTTTGGTCATTTACCTGACTCTTTGCAATTTATGGGCTTGGATCAAGGTTTGCTTACAACGAAACTTTGAAGAAAATGTACAGTGTCAAGAACTTGGACTCACTGCCACCAATGCCTGAGGATGGGGATACATGGTCTGTGATGCAGAGCTGGGCATTGCCAACAAGATCCTTCTTAGAGTTTGTCATGTTCTCAAGGTACTTGTTTACGACATTACCCATTAATTCTCTCAATCTTGCCCTCTTTGGAAAAAAAAGAGAGTACATAAGAGTGTTTTCGCTTCTGTTTGTAGGATGTTTGTGGATTCACTGGATGCACAGATATATGAAGAGCATCATCGAACAAACCGTTGCTATCTGAGTTTAACCAAAGTAAGAAACTCATTCCTTCTTCTGCCAAAGTACATATGTGTTTTAGATCTAAATCAGATCAATAATCCACTTGGGTTTGGATTTATGTGTTCAATTTCTCACAGGACAAGCATTGCTATTCGAGGGTACTAGAGCTTCTGGTGAACGTATGGGCTTACCACAGCGCAAGACGCATTGTCTACATAGATCCTGGGACTGGTTTGATGGAGGAGCAACACAAACAGAAGAACCGGCGAGGGAAAATGTGGGTGAAGTGGTTCGATTACACAACTCTGAAAACAATGGACGAAGATCTAGCTGAAGAAGCAGACTCAGACCGTCGTGTGGGTCACTGGCTATGGCCATGGACTGGTGAGATCGTGTGGCGCGGTACATTAGAGAAAGAGAAGCAAAAGAAGAATTTAGAGAAAGAGGAGAAGAAGAAGAAAAGTCGAGATAAGCTAACTAGAATGAGAAGTAGAAATGGTCGTCAGAAAGTGATCGGAAAATATGTAAAACCCCCGCCTGAGAACGAAACTGTTACCGGAAATTCCACTTTGTTAAATGTAGTAGACGCATAAAAAAACAAATTAAAATTGCTTTTATTTTTTTAGGTCACACGATTTGTTTCATTCATTGTTTTTTAGAAAGATTACTGTATAAAAGGTCTCAGGTCTCAATCATTAACTCTCTCTCTCTCTCACTCTCACCTCTCTTCGATTTAACCGACGGCTTAAACTCTCCGGCGGTGGAGCTTCACTGTAACAAACGAAGAAAGAGAGAAGATGGAGGAGACGCACGTTCTTGAGATCAATCTCATCTCTGCGCAAGGACTTAAAGAACCGACGGGAAAGCTCCGGCGATTGCAGACTTACGCATCCGTCTGGGTTGATTCTTCCAACAAGCTCCGGACTCGAATTGATCGGATCGGCTCTGAGAATCCGATCTGGAACGACAAATTCGTTTTCCAGGTCTCGCCGGAGTTTCTATCTAGCGAAACTTCTGGCGTTTCAATCGAGATCTATGCCGTTGGTTACTTGCGAGATCATCTGATCGGAACTGTTCGCTTTCTCGTGAGTAACTTCCTCCCAACCGCCGCCGTGAAAGTTCCGTCTCTCGTCGCGCTTCAGATCCGTCGTCCTTCTGGAAAATTCCACGGCGTTCTTAACATCGCGGCTATGGTGATGGATGCTTCTGAACTTCCAGCTGGTTTCTTCAAGTCCGTTCAAGAAATCCGTCGGAGTCGAAGAATGAGAAAATCGAGATCTGCGGTTAGTTCGTCGGAGAACGGTTTCGCTGACGACGGCGAGAGTTCGAAAGAGAATTCGGTTTGTGGTTCGGTTAATTACTCCGACGACGGTACGGACTCGACGGCGTCTTCTCCGATGCCGTCTCCTCTCAGAGACTGGAACGCTGTTCGAAATTTGGCGGGAAAGAATCACGTGAGATCGTCATCGGACGGCGGAGGATTGATGTGCTGTTTCTTGATGAAATCGTCGGGCATGTTACCACCAAGAAGAAAAATGACGGACGGCTGAGATCTGTTATCCAATTTCCAACGTTTCAGATGTTCCTTTGGTTTCTAAACCATCGATCTTCGCCACGCGCATCTCTCTATAAACGGTTAAGATCTCCCTTTATCCATACGCCGTCGTTTAGGCACTTTTGGCGGTTATGAGTTTGGAAATTTTTTTTGACTCTTGTTACTGAAAAAACATAATATTCAATTTTTTTTTATTTTTTTTTGTGAACGATTTAAAATTCTTTTTGATATGATGATTGATGAATATGAAACCAAATATATTTTGTTTGGTCACATTAATAATTCTAGAATCACAAAAAAAATATGTAAAAGTGAAACAAAAACGCGGGAAGTCGTTTATGAAGTTTTGAGGAGATAATTGTTAGTTTAACGGCCAGATTAGTTAAAACCACCGATTCCGTCGTACCAGAAAAAACAAAATCATCTTATAATACAATTCACTCTCTCTCTCTCTCGTCTTCTTCAATCTTCTCTGTTTGTGACTTCCCTTCTATCAGAAACTGCAGCTCGTACGTGAAAACAGGTAAATCAATGTTTAGTTTTAGGGTTTTTAATTATTAAGCTCATATATATATATATATATATATATATATAACTTGATGTTTTTGCTATGATCTCGATTTTAGGTTTGATTATGGCAAAGTTTACGAGAATGATAACAGCCATGGAGCTGAGGGCCACGGTGGAAAACCGAATTCGATACTCTACAAAACACATTAAACACTTGCCACCTGGCACAATCACTGAGTTTGATTGGAAGGATTACTGTCCCTTGGGTTTCGGGTAACAACATAGTTTCTTGTTTGATAAAAACATATATATAGTTTCTTAATTGTTTTCAGGTAAAATTAAAGAATTGATTTTTGTAATTGTTTGTAGACTTATACAAGAACTTGAGGGTATTGATCATGATGATTACTTGCTTTCCATTTGCACTGATGAGACTATTAAGAAGCTTTCTTCTGGTAAAATTGGAAACGTCTTTCATATTTCCAATGATAACCGTTTTCTCATCAAGATTCTTCGAAAATCCGAAATTAAGGTACTCCAATCATCTTCATATTCTACCTTTTTTTGTAAGTAGTGTTCTCGCCATTGAATCTTTCATCATCTTGTGATTAAATATTTCTAGGTGGCACTAGAGATGCTTCCCCGTTACTACCGACATATTAATTATCACAGATCATCACTATTCACAAGGATTTATGGTATTCATGCTGTCAAGCCTGTTGGAGGTGTTAAGGTGACAATGGATTTTTTTAGACATGAATCTATATATGATTAGAATTTTATCAGCCACTAATATAATTAGTTACTTTTTTTGGATACTGCAGACATATTTTGCTGTCATGTCAAACATGCTACATCCAACGGTCTTTATGAACAAGCTCTATGATCTTAAAGGTTCTCCTAAAGGTCGATCTAACAAGAAAATTGAAGTCAGAAACACCACTGTTTTAAAGGACATCGATCTCGATTTCTCTTTCTACGTTGATCCATTAGCGAGACAACGCATCATCAAGTATCTCTCCCCCGCCCCCTCTTTCTTTCTACCATCTTTTAATTGATTCTAGCTAGTCAACAATTTATTAAACACAAAAGGGTCATGTTCATTACAGGCAAACAAAGATAGATTGCGAGCTTTTGGAAGAAGAAGGTATAATGGATTATAGCTTATTGGTTGGTTTACAATCTAAAGGCTCATGTCAAGGTAAGGTTTCTTCATTTTAATTCTTCTCTATTTTTAGTAGTGAAACTATTCGCATATCGACTTCCAACTTCTCTGATCATAATAAATCACCTCTTAACAGGTTCACTTGATGGATTGAACCCGGTTTACGGTAGCTGCGCACCTCCATGTAAAAGATCTATTCCAACATTCTTTTATCTCTGTTTTATGTTATTATATAGCAAGTCTACAACATAAATATATATGATGCCTATCAATTAAATTGGCAGGCTCGTTCAAAAGCGCTAGCACAAAGTCGATGAAAACGGCTTCTAGTTCTCCTGATAGATCTTCTGTAACAATGTATTCATGCTCTCCCGATAGAGGTAAATATTCTTTTGTAACAATGTACTTTAATTCTTTGGTATAATCAAAGACTTAGGAACATAAATTACAATTGTTATAATCTTTACAGATATAGTCGAATGCGAAAAGTCAATGACTATACAATCAGTGACAAGCAATAGCTCAGAAACAAGTCAGATAAACAAAAAAAGCATAGTAGCAGCAACACTCAGTGACTTCTTTCACAATAGGTAAAGAAGCATCATATATAACATTGTTAGAAATTTCACATCGAAAAAAAAAAAAAGCTAACGTTTCTTGTTTCAGCTCAAATATCAGTTTTGGGATGAAGATTCCGGCCAAAGCACGGCGAGTGACGAGAGAGACCGGAGAAGAAGAATGGTACGATGTCGTTTTGTATATAGGGATAATAGACACATTTCAAGACTATGGTATGAAGAAACGCATAGAACATTGTTACAAATCCATCCAACATAACTCAAACTCAATCTCGACCGTCCATCCTAAGATCTACTCTTCTAGATTTCAAGACTTTGTCTCCAACATCTTCTTACCTCACGATGACGATCTCTCTCTGAAATATTGATTTTGTTTGTTATTATAGTTACGGTTTAATTTCCAAGTGGAATTATTAGAGTGTTAATTAGAGGTACTCTTCTTACGACCCAAGTTTGTGTTGGTGTTTGTTGTCCAAAAAATCCTCTCTTTTCTTATTTCATTGTTGATCGATCAACAATATGTAGAGAAATTCACATGCAATCTTTTCTTTCTTAAACTAAAGAATTGCCAATAAAATTTCGAAATCATCTAAGTATGTGTACCAGTATCACTTGATATTTTGTAAACATTATATAAGTATATTTATATATTAGCTAAATACTAATAAGATTACGGTCGGATCAGTCAATAATACTATCTTTTATGTTGATTCCCGGAATAATATTCATTTCAAAATTGTTGAATCGTCAATGAATATCAAAAATAAGAAAGATAAAGAGGAAAATCTAAACTTCATTAATCAAATATAAAATATCGAATACGCCAAACATAAAGATTTTGTATTAATTTATAATCTCAAAAACTCTAAAACCCATTAATTCATATAATAATCATTAAAAATTAGATAAAAGATAACTAATAAAATTTAGAGAAATTCTTAAAAATGGCCCTAAAACAAGTTTTATTGACAATAATAGCACACACTCCATAAACTTCCAAAAATAGCACTAGTTAACTTACTATTAGTGTTTTTGTTCTAAAACTTTTATCACTAGCTTTTTTTTTTCAATAATACCACAACTTTTATATAAAAGCTATTCAACAAAATAAATTAGAAATAAATTTAAAATATTATATTTGGGTTCTCTATTTCCAATTTAGGGTATATATTTCTACCATTTAAAATAGATTTTGATTCATTTTAATGATGAGAAATTCCCCAAATTGGCACTAAAACAAGTTTTATGGACAATTATAGCACACACTCCATAAACTTCCAAAAATAGCACTAGTTGATTAACTATTAAGTTTTTGTTTTAAAATTATTATCATTAGTTTATTTTTTCCAATAATATTACATTTTTTATATAAAAACTATTCAACCAAAATAAATAAGAAATAAATTTAAACTATTATATTTGGGTTCTTTATTTACAATTTAGGGTATATATTTCAACCATTTAAAAGAGAAATTGATTCATTTTAATATTGAATTTGTGTTATTATGTTTGGGTTCATTAATTCCAATTTAGAGTATATATTTCCACCATTTAAAATACATTTTGATTCATTTTAATATTAGTTTGTGGGATTATATTTGGGTTCTCTATTTCCAATTTAGGGTATATATTTCTACCATTTAAAAGAAATTTTGATTTAATTTAATATTAGGTTAGTGTTTGCTCTTATTTTCTATTTTAATTAAAGTTTATGGTGCTATTTGTGGAATTTTTAAAATGTTGTGCTAGTTTTGGAAAAAGAAATTTTTTTGGGGCTATTTATGTCAATTGTTATGGTATTATATTTGGGTTCCCTATTTCCAATTTAAGGTATATATTTTCACCATTTAAAAGAGATTTTTATTTTAATATTAGTTTGTGGTATTATATTTGGGTTCCCTATTTCCAAATTAGGGTATATATTTCCACTATTTAAAACAATTTTGATTCAATTTAATATTAGATTAGTGTTTGCTCTCTTTTTTATTTTCTATCTTATATTTTCATTAAGTTTAATTGAAGTTTATGGTGCTATTTGTGGAACTTTTCAAATGAGGTGCTATTTTTGGAAGAAACAACTTTTTTGGGGCTATTTGTGTCAATCTCCCTAAAATTTAGAAATAATCTAATTATCCTGCATATCAATTAATTTATATAACTATATTTTGATTCCATATCTTTCTTGAATTTCGTGAATTTTTTTTCTGAATTATGTGAAATCATCCCTGAATATTTCATGAAATTCAAAGAATCCTTCGTGAATTTTTTGGAATCTTTTCTGAATTTTGTGGATTTTTTTGGCCGAAAATTTTTGACGGAATTTTTGGGCGGGGAATGTTAGAAAAAAAAAATTTGGCGGAAAAATATTTTTACGTTGCGGAAATATTTTGGCGAGAAAAATAAATTTTGGCGGGAAATTTCTAATTTTATTTATTTATTTTAATTAAACTAATTATTTATATTTAATATTTAATTAAAGTTTATAGTGCTATTTGTATTTGTAAACCTTTTCAAATGTAGTGCTATTTTTGGAAAAAAACTTATTTTAATGCTATATTCGCCAATTTCCATAAAATTTAACACTTAAACTAATTTAAAAAAAAAAAAAAAAAAATTTCATAGCTTATTCTTAAGTTTAAGTTTTAAATTTGTTTTAAATTTTATTAAAAATCATTATTATTTTTCAAAATGAGTTTAAGTGTGAAATCTATATTACGTGAAAACATTGCCGAACTTCGAACACCAAAGCTTACGGACCAACTAAGGACAGGATGCCTAGGCGCGGTTAGTTTTTGACGTGTTTAAAATTTAACACTTAAACTAATTTTTAAAAAGTAATATTGAAGTTAACATGTTTTAGTTAAAAATTATTAATTATTTTCTTAAATTTTAAGTGTTAAATTTGTTTTAAATTTTATTGAATTTTGTTTTTAAATGAATTTAAGTGTTAAATCTATATTACGTGAAAATATTGCCGAACTTCGAACACCAAAGCTTACGGACCAACTAAGGACAGGATGCCTAGGCGCGGTTAGTTTTCGACGTGTTTAAAATTGAACACTTAAACTAATTTTTAAAATGTAATAGTTAAAAATGTTAACATGTTTTTAGTTAAAAATTATTAATTATTTTCTTAATTTAAGTATTTAATTTGTTTTAAATTTTGGTAAAAATTATTAGGTAAAAATTATTATTATATTTTAAAAATGAGTTTAAGTGTTAAATCTATATTACGTGAAAACATGCCGAACTTCGAACACCAAAGCTTACGGACCAACTAAGGACAGGATGCCTAGGCGCGGTTAGTTTTCGACGTGTTTAAAATTGAACACTTAAACTAATTTTTAAAATGTAATAGTGAAGTTAACATGTTTTAGTTAAAAATTAGAGAAATTGTTAAAAATGCCCCTTTTTCAATACCCCTTTTCAAAAATGCCCCCTTTGAGAGTCCATTTTTAAGTTTGCCCTCTTTTAATTTTTAATGACCATTTTACCCTTATTTGAAACAAAATTAGGTCCACAAAATACAAAATATTTTTTGGCGGGAAAAGTGATCCCGCAATTTTCCCGCCAAAACACTTGTAAAAACCTTTAAAATACCTTGTAAAATTTTCCCGTAAAATTTTTCCCGCCAAAAAATTTTTTTTGCGGGAAAAGTGATTCCGCAATTTTTTTGGCGAAATTTTTTTGGCGGGAAAAATTTACAAGGTATTTTAAAGGTTTTACAGAGTATTTACAAGTGTTTTGTAAGGTTTTACAAAGTATTTTAAAAGGTTTTACAAGGTACTTATACCTTGTAAAACCTTATAAAAAACTTGTAAAACCTTATAACTTGTAAAACCTTATAAAATAGCTTGTAAAATCTTATAATATCTTATAAATACCTTATAAATATGTTGTAAAACCTTTTAAAATACATTGTAAAACCTTATAAATACCTTGTAAAAAACCTTTTAAATACCTTGTAAATTTTTCCCGCCAAAAATTTAACGCCAAAAAAATTGCGGAATCACTTTTCCCGCAAAAAAAATTTTTTGGCGGGAAAAAATTTTGGCGGGAAAATTTTACAAGGTATTTTAAAGGTTTTACAAGTTTTTACAAGTGTTTTGGCGGGAAAAATTGTGGGATCACTTTTCCCACCAAAAAATATTTTGTATTTTGTGGACCTAATTTTGTTATATTTCCTTATATATTTGTGATATCTTTTATTAAAAGAAGGGTAATTTAGTCATTTTGTACATAAAAAGGGGTATTTTTAAAAATGGACAGCCAAAGAGGGCATTTTTGAAAAGGGGTATTGAAAAAGGGGCATTTTTGTGAGTCTCCCTAAAAATTATTAATTATTTTCTTAATTTAAGTATTTAATTTGTTTTAAATTTTGGTAAAAATTATTATTATATTTTAAAAATGAGTTTAAGTGTTAAATCTATATTACGTGAAAACATGCCGAACTTCGAACACCAAAGCTTACGGACCAACTAAGGACAGGATGCCTAGGCGCGGTTAGTTTTCGACGTGTTTGAAATTTAACACTTAAACTAAATTTAATAAAATTGCATGGTTTTATTCTTAAATTTTAAGTGTTAAATTTGTTTTAAATTTGAGTGAAAATCAATATTATTTTTTAAAAATGGTTATGTGAAAATATTGCCGAACTTCGAACACCAAAGCTTACGGACCAACTAAGGCCAGGATGCGTAGGCGAGGTTAGTTTTTGACGTGTTTAAAATTTAATACTTATATTAATTTTTTAAAATTTTTAATGAAATTTCATTGTTTTATTCTTAAATTTTAAGTGTTAAATTTTTAAAAATAATTTAAGTGTTAAATCTATATTACGTGAAAACATTGCCGAACTTCGAACACCAAAGCTTACGGACCAACTAAGGACAGGATGCCTAGGCGCGGTTAGTTTTCGACGTGTTTAAAATTTAATACTTGAACTAATTTTTGGAAAAAAAATTAATGAAATTTCATGGTTTTATTCTTAAAGTTTAAGTGTTAAATTTTTTAAAAATCTAGTGAAAATTATTTTTAAAAAAATTTTAAAAAGCTTATGAAAAACATTTAAGTGTTAAATTTAAATACGTGAAAACATGTTGAACAATTTATGACACCGCAAGACTTACGGACCAAAGGATGGGATGCTAAATCCGGTTAGTTTTCACGTATTTAAATTTAAAACTTAAATTTGAAAACATTTTATTTATAAAAATATTTTGTATAGTTAAAAATTATAAGAAATTACTTAAAACATTAATATTAATATTAAGATAGGATAGAAATTGACCTGAATAATAATGGGCTGGAATTGATATTATTGGACTCTGAAGAATTGCAGCCTAGGCCTGACCACACACGTCACCATCTCTAGTCTCACGGCAAAGCACTCCTCCACCACCGTGATCGGAAACGAATCTCCGTCGGTTATTGTCACGAATCACAACGCACGAAGCCCAATGTTGTTTTGAAATAACCATTAGAACCGCAAAACAGAGCAGATCTCGGTGATGACTCGGCGGCAGATGGATGAGTCTTCTATAGCGAGTTTCTTCAACGCCATAGCTTTCAATTCATGCAAGTCTTCGTCACCGGATCTTCACTAATCACTCCGACGATCCAATTTATTAGAACAGAACCATAACCGTAAAAGATTCTCTGAAACACAGATCGATTAAGAATTATGTTTTTCTACAAAGAGGAATTTTGTAAAGAGGATTCGATTCTAGGGTTTTTTTTTTTCTTCCTCAGTACGAGAATTTTGATATCGTAATGACGAAGTAAGGAAGGCTCGTATTTAAAGAGAGGTGTGGGTTAATTAATTTCCTTTTTTATAAAACAAAATATTACCGTTACATTACATATTCCCCGTTACTGTTAAGAGAGTTACCGTTGCATACAATCGTTTACTTTAAACGTATATATATCTAGGGAAACGAGTTGTTTTACGATTTCAAATGTATTTAGAAGACTAGTAGAAGAAGAAAAAAAAACGGTGATAATCTTATTAATAATAGTTGTATTCATTTCATACAATAACGTCAATTTTATTTATTAATTTATTTAAATTAAACTAATTATTTATATTTAATATTTAATTAAATTTTATAGTGCTATTTGTGAAATTTTTCAAAGTGCTATTTTTGGAAGAAAAATGTTGCCTTTGTCAATCTCCCTATAAAATATTTTGTATTTATTAAAAGCTCAAAAACCCTAAAACCCATAGACTCACAGAATAATCTTAAAAAATAAAATAAATGATAACTAATAAAATTTTGAAATCATCTAAATATACCGCATATCAATAATTTAAGTAACTATATTTTGATATGTTTATATTCATTTATATCGAATCAACAAACATAAAAGATTTTATAGTAATTAAATAAAAGCTCAAAAACCTTAAAACCCATAGATTCATATAATAATATTAAAAAGAAAAACAACAACACTAATAAAACTTGGAAATCATCTAAATATACCGCATATCAATTAACTTATAGAACCTTATTTTAATATATATATATATATATATACACATATATTCATTTATATAGAATACGACAAACATAAAAGATTTTGTATTAACTAAAAAGCTCAAAAACCCTAAAACTCATAGATTCAAATAATAATCTAAGACTATAAAACAAAAAATAACTAATAAAATTTGGAAATTATCTAAATATACCGCATATCAATTAATTTATCCTATAACTTTATTTTGCATATGTATATATTAATTTATATTGAATACGACAAACATAAAATATTTTTTAGTAATTGAAAAGCTCAAATACCCTAAAACTCATAGATTCATATAAGAATCTTAAAAAAGAAAAAAAAAACTACTATAATTTGGAAATCATCTAAATATACCGCATATCAATTAATGTATCGAATACGACAAAAATAAAGATTTTGTATTAATAAAAAAGGTCAAAAATCCTAAGACCTTATATTCATATAATAATCTAACAATCTAAAAATATAAAAGAAAAGGTAACTAATAAAATTTGGAAATTATCTAAATATACCTCATATCAATTAACTATATTTTGATATGTAATATATTCATTTATTTTGAATACGACAAACAAAAAAGATTTTGTTTGTATTAATGAAAAAGCTCAAAAACCCTAAAACCCATAGATTCGCATAACAATAACTAACAAAATATGGAAATTATCTAAATATACCTCATATCAATTAATTTTGGTCTTATATAAATTATAGTAAATATTTATTTTCTACAATTAACTATTTAGAAATATGTATATAAAATGGTACTTTGTAAACAGTATATAAATACATAATGGCTAAGTACTAATGAGAGATTACGGTGGGCGCGCAACGTTGAATAGTTCAGTTCTAGAGAATTACTAAAACTTGCAAACTCTCTGATAAATCTATATATAAGTATCTTGAAAATAAATAAGTAAAAAAACTAGAAATCTCTCGCTCTCTTGCGTTGTTAAGATATGGATCTCTCGCTCTCCGGTGGGGATTTTAGGTTTGCTTTCAACAATGTTATTTTTTCCGATCGTCTTCTTCGGATCGAGATCACCCGTAGCAGCGGTGCCGGTGAGGTTAGCTGTTCTAGTATCGTCGATTGGGCTAGGGATCGCAAACGCAGAAGAGAAGAAGATGTCACTGACACTACTCATACCAATGGTTATTTTTTTGTGTTTTTATTTTATTTTTGCCTTAGCATGAATATATATATATAAAGTATGAAATGTTTATTATTTTTCAGATGCTACATGTCACGTGGAGTCTTATTTAAACAAGAACTCGTGTGAGACGAATAATGAGAACATCAACAACAAAAAACATGAAGAAGCATTGCTAATGGCTGAACAAGAACCAAAATCAGGTAATATATATTTTTATCTTTCCATGTGACGATTACTTAGTTCTTTAGATGATTCAATGGTGTTTGCAATTTCAGGTGGTGAAGATCATGAGATTGAGAGGGTCACTAATAATACTTCAGTTCTAAGAGTTAACGAATTACATATAAGCTCTGCAATTTTGGCAGCCAAAAGTCCATTTTTCTTGAAGGTATATATATCTTACTCGATTATTTTATACAATTGATGCTAATGAAATTAACTAAAACAAACCATATTATATCAATTATTTGTACCATATGGTTGAGATAGCTCAGTCTAATTTATGTTTTGTCGCTGTCAAAAAAAAATATATATATATGTTTTGTCACAGCTATTCTCTAATGGAATGCTTGAGTCAGAGCAAAAACAAATGACCTTGAAAATAGATGCCTCTGGTACTGTATTTGAATACTTAAACAAAAGTTTTTTTTTTCTTGTTCTTTCTGATGATAATATATGTGAAAGTGATTTGGGAGACTTTTTCAAATTGCAGAGGAAGCTGCTGTAATGGAGCTCTTGAACTTCATGTATAGCAATTCACTATCAGTCACGGCGCCCTCTGCTTTACTCGATGTGCTAATGGCGGCCGACAAGTTTGAGGTTGCTTCGTGTATGAATTATTGCAGCCAATTGTTGCTCAAAATGCCCATGACATTAAATTCTGCATTGCTTCTACTTGATCTTCCTTCGAGTTTGCTAATGGCTGATTCAGTTAAGCCTTTAACCAATGCTGCTAGGCATTTCATCGCCTCTCGTTACAAGAATATGTCCAAGTACTTCTCTTTAATTTGTTTCCATCAAACTTTCAAAGCATAAAAAATTTCATTCATTAATTCTCACATTTTAAGTGTTTTGATAGGATTACAATGGAGGAGTTGATGGCTTTGCCGTTAGTAGGTATCGAGGCGATACTAGCGAGTGACGATCTAGAGATCCAATCTGAAGACGTTCTATACGAAGTTGTCTTGAAATGGGTAAAATCAAATTACTCAGTTCTTGAAGAACGCCAAGAAATACTAGGCTCTCATCTCGCTCGCTACATCCGTTTCCCTCACATGACAATTGGCAGACTCATGCATATCTTGTCCTCAAACGACTTTACACCTTCTGTGGCATCAAAACTAGTCATTGAAGCTCTCTTCTTCAAAACAGAATCGTTGGCCCACCAACGCCTTCTACTAGCCCATGAACAACCCTCCTCAACCAGCCGCCGGTTTGCTAAACGAGCCTATGTACACAGACCCATCAAAATTGTTGAGTTCGCGGCTCCTCGGCCCCAATGCATCATTTATTTGGACTTAAAACGCAAAGAATGTGAAAGCATCTATCCATCAAGCAGGTTATCATCTCAACCGTTTACCTTAGGAGGACAAGGGTTCTTTCTCTCAGCTCAATGCAACATGGACCATTTATGTATAATCCACTGTTTTGGATTGTTTATTGGGATGCAAGAAAACGGGTCAGCGAGTGCGACTGTGACTGTGGACTACGAATTTTCAGTGAGGTCGAAGCCAACGATGGAATTTGTGGGAAAATTCAAAGGAAACTATACGTTCACCAGAGGTAAAGCTGTTGGATGCAGAAACTTGTTAGCTATACCATGGGATATTTTCACAGCCAAGAATTGTCCCTACTTCATCAATGATGTTCTTCATCTCCGGGCCGACCTCTCCATCCGCCTTTAGAACCAACCATATCATTTGAATCTCGTTAATTGTAGCCTTTTTCTATTGATTTAATGGCAATGATAAGCCACAAGTACTGTTTTAGGTTGCGTGCATCTGAAGCAACCATGAAATTCAACAATTCCATCTAATGTATAATATTATTTTCATGCATGTTTTGATCATCTTTGTCTTTGTTTTAAAGTGTGTGCCTCCTGAAACTAATTGTGGATCCAAGATAATAGTTTGAGATGCAACAGATACAATGTTGAAACAGAGACATTGTATAATAACACGATATTACAGGAAAACATACAGAAAGAAAGCTGGTTTATTTGAAAATGAATCTATTCGCTTCCTGCGATCTTCTTCTTCAAGGATTCAATATCCTCAGCCAATTCCTTTCTGCTTGACTGAAACAAGATGATCATTTCATGTCAGAACATTAATGCTTACAAGTATCCAAAAATAAGTATAGTTTTGTTACCTTGAAGAGAAGGTATCTGTAGACAAACCATCCAGTGTACCCGAGACCGACAAGTTCCATAACTTTCGGAAGCTACAAACACAAGAAAAAGAAACATCATTTTAACTCAAACCTCATTTACACATTCTCTACTCTCAAAAGGGTTATTTAAAGATTTGTTACCAGAGGAACAGAGTTGATGGCACCAACAACAATGGAAGATAACCAAACAGCAACAATGGCTCCTCCTCCATATACAAGTACAGTCGATTTGTTCTCAAGACCATCCCACTGCACCAACAAAAAAACCAACAATCAAAACATAACACACAAAGCCAAACCAAACCAACTCGTTTTTTTCTTCGATAAATAGCTCACCTTTTCCTTCAAATCTGTGATGAGTTCGTTGGTGTCAATGGACGAGGTGTCTTCTGAAGACGCTCTTGTCTTCATCAATTCAACTTTTTGCAATCCATTCCCTGCAATTAAACCGGAGAACCAAATGTTTTGGTTTAGATTCGTGAATTTAAACACTAAACCCCCAATTTCGGTTTTGAAATGTATCCCACTTGGCACTTGCTTACACCATCCAAACCGGATCTATTAAACCGGTTCAATTTACCTGAATTTGTAAACATTATACCGAACGCCGCATCGCTAAAAGTTCAATTTTCCGGGCCGGAATATTCTAATTTGAGGCAATTCACACGATTTCTCTGGACCCAGAAAGAGAGATTATTTAAAATAAATCGGTCACCTGAAACTAGCTTCAACGGAACGGTGAAAGAGGATCGGCCAAAGGAGCGAGGAGGAAGGTAAGGGACGGCGGAGCAACGGGTGGAGATGGCGGGGACACGTGGAACTATCACGGCCACAGAGGACGAAGCTGCTACTGATATCGCCATTGAAGCACACCGATAACTTCTTCTTCTTCTTCTTCTTCGTCTGCCTACTTCTCTACTCGATTTTTTTTGCAGCTGCGCTTTTTACTAAACAAGATTCCGATAAGTGACACGTGGAATCTTCTCGCGCTCTTATTGGCCGCTCCTCTTATCTTTAGAAATCCAACTCAGTGGTGTTTATAGAATGCTCGCATTCTGTGGGGTTTAAAGGCCTGTTTTAGGCCCATCTACTTACTCTCTAGGCCTCTTAAAGCCTATCGTTTAATTGTCTCTTTTGTTGTCTTTTCGTTTTCATTTTCTAGGTGAGGAAAAATGGAAAAATCATGCAAACCTTTGATTTTTGTGTCTAACTATAATATAATTTCGACGAACAAGGAACTTTAAATATTTTAGCTATAAAATTCTTTTTTTATAAGCTGACCATAAAAAGAGAAACTTCTTGTAATAAAAGAAAATTAGTAAGAAATGTGGCAAAAGAGTGAAATAAATAACAAACCCACTAAAATTGAGTGATGGTACAGCTCTTCCACCCTTGTACTTCGCTGGCGCTTTCAACTACTAACCAATACTCCATTTCTCTCCTGTTATTTAACAAAATAGTTGAAATTATAAAATTTTAATTTAATCTTATTTGGTAGTTTTTGTATGATTAATATACTCAAGATACGTGGTCGTCTAGGAAGAGTTGGCATGAAAAAAAGACAAAGAGTTCGCTATCTAAATTTTTCCACCAGAATTTAAAATTATTTGAGTCCATAGATGTTAGATAGAATAATCACAAGTTCACAACATATAGTATAATGGTTTATATTAATGTTGTTTGTGCATTAACACTTAAATTCAAAACTTAAAAAAAAAAAAAAAAAAAATTTTAGTACAAATGATGATTAACTCATTGGAGATGACAATCTAATTAATTTTCGACTGTATTTGAAGAAGAAAAAAAACGAATGGTTTTACGAACGATCCCATAAAAACTATTGTACATCAAACTAGTCCACGATAAAATATAAATATGTCAAATAATAGAATAAAAATAAAAATTGAAGAAAATTAAATAAATTGATAAATTTTAAATAGTGGTAATGGTATTATGATTTTTATCATTTTCACAGCTATTTTTATTACTACTAAATTCACATAATGGTTGAACAAAAATTCAATATTTCGTATAATCATATTACATGGAATCGTAAGAAACTAAAAACCAAAGAAATTGCATGATCGTTACGTCATCGGCATATAATCATAGCCGACATTTTATTTTTCCTTATCATCTCCATTGAAAATTTTGATTCAATATAATTTTGGGTCAATAAGCTTTTCTTTTTGTTTTATAACCAAAAAAATATATAGAAAACAAAAATAAAAACATCCACCATTAATACAGCTCAAACCCAACTTTCTCTCCCCTTTTTTCTTACAAGTTTGAATATCTAATTACGGTCTCTTTTTCTCTATATTCTATAATATATTTTATAATCAACCATACACATTCATCAAATCCATATTCATGCAGCTGTTACATTTTTATTATATGTCCTCTTACTTCCTTTTGAGTGTGTATATGTGCTTAATTATATTCCCTCATCACAACCTCATTCTCAATCATGTTTCCAAATCTCAATCATGCTTCTTCCACTTTGATTCTTATCTATCTGGATCATAATTCTATTCACACCCTTTAATCAAAATCATAGCTTTTTTTTTAATTACTAATCTTGATGAAGATCACCAAAACTCATTTGGGTCTTCTTCATCGCCGTTCTTGATTTTCTCTTGGCAATGGGATCTACAAATCTTGGTCTCATCATCATCGTCTTCGTCTTTTGCGTCATCTCTAATCTACAATCGATGGTTCATTGCATCAACAATATTCAAGATTTGGACGATCTGATCCGTTCATACGCGGCTCATGCCACTACTAGAAGACACACAGGCTCGTTGTACAAAATTTCACTTCCGTCTAATCTTTCCGACATCAAAGCATCGGTTGTTACGGTCCGTAACAGTATGTTCTGGAGAAAAGGAACAAACTTTAGTGGTGTTTTGATTCCTCCGATGGTTAAAACGACGCCGTACGCTAAAAGAATAGCTTTTGTCTACGAGAGTTTCGGTGATCACTCTTCATCGGTTTACTTCCGGTTACCTGATAATTACTCTTTCGTTTCTCCGGTTACTGGATTTACCGGTTACGACGCGACCAACATGAATGATCTCAAAAAATTGAATCTTTCGATCAAGAGAGACAAGCCAATCTTGATCAAATTCGAGCCTTACGCTTCTCGTAATCGCACAAGAGTCCAATGCATCGCCTTTGGAGATAATGGTTTGTTGTTGAACATCAGCAATGCGATACGGAATTACGAATGTGCCACTACGAATTCTCATGGGCATTACGCACTTGTTGTCCTAAACCAGCAGAAACCCAAACCGAGATACGAACCGGAGTTGGCTCGGAGAAATTGGTGGTGGATTGTTTTAACCGGGATTGGAGTTTCGGTTATTGTTGTTATGGTGATCATTGTTTTGGTGAAAGTAGTGAAGAAGAAGAGGTTAAGAGATATGGAAAGAGAGTCGGAGAAGAGTGAAACGATCGGAAATGTTTGGATTGGTCGGAGTAGAATGCCGGCGGCGGCGATGGTTAGAACTCAGCCATGTTTGGAATATCATGAAGATCTTCCTTCATCTTCGAATATACCTTGATTTTTTTTTACTTTTTGTAGTTTCTGGCTCTGTGTATAGAAAGTTACATTCAAAGTTTCAAGTTTGTTATTTTACCAAAAAAAAAAAAGTTTCAAGTTTGTTTCTTTTTGAACTTCTTCCCGTTTTTCTTATGTATGAGTAAACTGTTCGTCGTTTTCGCCCTCCATTTCTCTTAGTTATTATGGAGGGGGCAGTTCATAAATGTTTGAATTACTCAGCTAATAACTTACTATTGGTTGGTAGGTTGTGAAATGTAATAATATGTTGTAGTAAATTAAACATTCGAAATGTAAACACATTTAATTCAAATGTAAACGGATGGGACTACAAAACATGAATAAATAAAACATTAATATACAGTAATCCTTTATAAATTAATATTCAATAAATTAATAAACGCAATAAAATAATAAATTTTGCAATGATGGAAATCATATTTGAATAGTAATTGACGCATAGATTAGTGAAACAAAAATGAACTGTGTTTATACTCGAGAACTTTGAATCTTTGATATAATTAAATAATATGTGGTATTTGATTAGTAGTTAACGCATAGCTGATATATAAGTAAAAAGTAATGTCCATATGATTTAAAATACGCCGCAACAAGATAAAAGATCGATCGTCACGTAAACTTTAAACAAATAAAAATCTGGCATGGACGAAAAAGGTGACGAAGAAATGTCACTAGTTTTTTTTTTTTTTTTTTTTTCCTTCTGAAACTTTATTAATGCATGAATCCATAGTCATTGTGTACAACAGTTAACAAAAATAATGGGCAATAATGATAAAGTCGCCAATGCTGAGGACAAATAGCTGCTTTTTTTGCCAATATATCTGCGCATTTGTTTTGCTCGCGGTGGGTGAATGAGAATTGGATGTCAGTGAACATGTTCCTCCATTGCCGAATTGTTTCCAGGTAATGATGTAGCCGCGGATTGGTTTGGTTGGTCGTGATGAGACGGGTTACGCTTAAGTTATCTCCTTCAAAGATGACCGTTTTATATCCTAATCCACAGGCAGCCTGAATTGCCCAAATGAGGGCTGTGCATTCAGCTTCTTCTGTTGTCATTCTTCCTTGGTATTTCCCCATGCCGCAGTCAAGCACCGTCCCTTGGTTATTCCGTATGATCCATCCGAGTCCTGAGTCACTCTCTCCTTCATGGTGTGAGGCGTCATAATTGCATTTAACCCAACCTTGAGGTGGTTTTTGCCACCTTTGATCCCTTCGGTGACCCACTTGCGGCCCTTGGTTTATTTGTTGGGCGTCTGTCTTTGTGACAACATTAGTCAGCCATTCTTGTGCATCCAACGTTGACTGTTTTAGAGTTTCCGTTGGATCAATGACTCGCCGGTTGAAAAGGAGGTCGTTACGGCTCTTCCATATTCGCCACAGGGCCCAGAATGGAAGGTATCTAATCAACTCATCCGTATGTGAATCCTTGTAAAATGTGAGGAGGTACCTGATTTTATCCTCCAGAGTTATAGTTGGGTCACAGAGTGAGTTGGTAGGGATCCCAGTTAGTCGCCATACAGACGCAGCACGAGGGCAAGAGAATAACACATGGTCTGATGTTTCTGTTTCGGAGCAACACCAGCAGCAGTAAGGGTTCACAGCCATGTTCCGTCGCCGAAGATTTTCTGCCACACCGATGGCTTTAGAAGCTATTCTCCACAAGAAATGTTTGAGTTTTGGTGCTATATGTAAGGACCATATGCCTGTTGCAATATCCGGGTTAGAAGCCAATGGTGGGGTAGTCTCCTCCAGCCCAAGATCCTGTGTTGCCGCGAGCCAGAATCCAGATTTGACATTGTAACAACCATCCTTAGTGTAAGACCATATATGTGCATCCGGCGTAGGTCTATTAGGAATATAAATTTTCCGGACTATGTGTTGGTCAGAAGAGTGAATAAGCTCCGCTAAGGTTTTTTCATCCCATTGTGATGTAATCGGATCCATGAGGAAGCTAACTGGAAGTTCTGGATTAACCACAGGCAAGAGAAGTGGTGGTCTTGGTGGATTTGTTGGTAGCCAGGGATCAATACCGAGTTTCGTTTTTTCCCCATTCCCAATGCTGATTTGCGTTCCTCTGTTTAGTAGTGCACAACCGAAACGAAGGGAGCTCCAGCCATATGATGGTTGGTATCCTTTAGGGGCGGAGAGAATGTCACTATCGCGGAAATATCGCGACTTGAGAAGACGAAATAGGAGACTTTTTGGTCTGTTCATGATCTTCCATGCCTGGTTTGCTAAAAGGGCTTGATTAAATTGGTGCAAATCTCTGAATCCGAGCCCTCCACGCGTTTTGGAAGTTGCCATCTTTTTCCAAGAGACCCAAGATAGTTTGCGCTTTTCCGATGTTGTTCCCCACCAAAACCGTGCCACCATACTGTTTATTTCTGAGCACAACTCAATGGGGAGCTGGAATACATTCATGGAGTATACCGGCATTGCATAGGCTACTGATTTGATCAATGTTTCTTTTCCCGCAGGTGTCAGGAACTTGGTTTGCCATCCATTTATTTTTTGTAACACCGCCTCTTTGATGTATTGGAACATTTCTTTCTTTTTTCTTCCGAACTGTTCCGGTAGCCCAAGATATTTTCCTCCTCCACCGATTTTGTGGATTTGGAGAGTTGTCATCACTTGTACTCTGTTTTGGTGATAAACGTGAGTACCGAATGTGATTGTTGACTTCTCAAAGTTGATCGCTTGCCCTGACGCTTCTCCATAATCTTTAAAGATATTGCGGAGAGTGTTGCTGTTCTTGTGATCGGCCTTTAAAAAGAATAGTGAATCATCGGCAAAGAGTAGATGCGATATTGCAGGTCCACCATTGCTCACTCGTATGCCTTTTAACTGTCCGGTACGTTGAGCGTTGGCCATAAGAGAGCTCAGCACATCCGCGCATAGAATGAAGAGATAAGGAGATAAGGGGTCTCCTTGTCGTAAACCACGTGTGGCCTCAAATCTGCCATAGGGACTGCCATTAATTAACTATTTCACTAGTTAACTATTTCATAATCCAATAAATTAAGGAAAATCAAATGATTAGGAGAACAATCGATCTGTAAAGCATATAACGCAATTTTAAACATATACATATATTATCTGTATATAATTTTGTTTGTCACAATATGCTTAGTTGGTGAATAGTTTAAATACTCATATTTAAACAATTAAACACCTAATGTACATGATTATATCAGAATTAAGGCGGACATAGGTTATTGAGTATGAACGGAGGATATGATATCGAACCGTCGAGAATGGCCGTGGAAATGTGGTGGTTTGCGGCCTCCGTCGCATGAATTCCATCCCAGCTCACGTAATTGTGTGGATCACGGCAAGCTTTGGCCGTCGCAGAAAAATTTCCAATCACTTTGGTGTTACCACAAAATAACTTCTGATCGAAATTGTATGGACGTCCACCATATCCACAACAAGCTTTAATACCGTGTTTCATACCTTTGATATGAAAACAAAACAAAAAGATTCGGTCAAGTAAAATACCAAAAATTGAATAATATCGGTTAAGTACAACTAAACCAAACAGGTTACGATAGACATAACGTACCGTAGGATTTGGGGTGTTGAAAGAGGTCGAGCAATATCTTGTGAGTGTCTAAGTAAATTACGGTAGCGTTTCTTAGTTCGGTTCTGGTTTCGGATAACGTTTTTTTCAGTAACGTGTTGTAATATTTGACAGCTTTGTTTACAGGAATGAGACATCCAAATTTGTCTAAATCCGAAACGGTATGAGTGTAACCGGTTAAAATCGCCGGGTAACATCCAACCGGTGCTAAATTCAATACCAAAAATGTCCGACCACCTATCCCATATATCTCCTACATTCAAGAGCAAATAACTTAAGAGGATATGAACCATTCAATATAAGAGATTATAGCATTAGAAGTGTCAATTGGCTTAAGAGAATATCCACGTAAAAATGTTTCGAGATAGAGGAAAGTTTAAATTCTATAAAAACTAAAAACCTTATGGTGTAAGCCGTTGGTACCTTAATTGTTCCAGCAATTTGGCCTATTACTTGTGGAAGATATTGTTTCACTCTCTCAACTCCAATACTCGCTAAATTGGATGTGAAATCGTTTTGACCAATATAAAACGTGTATAGCGATCTTCCAAAAACATTACTACTAGACGGTAAGATATTCATTCCTATAATACACGGGAATTTACGTCATTTGCTTTATTAGATTCATCATTCTTTTCATTAATCGTTTAGAGACCTACCTGGTTGGTCTGAAGAATGTGACTCGTCCACTTTAACCTTGAATTGTTTAATCTGATTCAGCTGAATAGCGAGTGAGAAAGGGCTGATTCCGGAGACAAATAAAGACGTGTTTGGCAAGAGAACCGTGGACGCCAACGTTGCAAAATTTGCTCCGTGGCGGAAATCCGATCCAATAGATTGCAAATATGGGCTTAGGAAAGGCATTCCAAGAGATTTAGCTAAAAGAAAACAACATTACATTTAGTACTACATAATGATCATTGCCGGCTACTAATAGTAGTAAAAAAATATTATACAAAATCGAAAATACAAGATACCTTAAATATTATATTTTGGATCCTAAATAATAATACAATTTTTTTGGTAGGTTGTCGAGGGTCAGTGTGCAAAAAAATACACACTCCGCGTATAATACATAGAACCGATCTTAGTATTGCTATCATCTCATCTATCATAAATATTTGAAAGTATTTGTTAGTCGTTACCTAGAAAATCAATGATGAGACGACCGTCTGAAGCACGACCGGCCGGTTTCTTGAAATAAGTCATTCCCCATGGACCGGATTGAGCCGGAAAAGCAGCCCAAAATCCGCCAGTGTCCGAATTCGAGTCTCCGAAGTTAAAAATTGCTTCGAAATCACATTTTGAATCAGCTTTATGCCCATAAAGCATCACAATAATCAAGACTAGAAGAGAGAACGATCTTCTTCTGTTTAGATCGGAAGCCATGCCTCTCTCTCTCTCTCTCGGTGGACAAAATGTGTGTTTGTATGTGAGAGTGAGGATGAGATATTTGGTGCTGTATGATTCTTGTAATCATCCGGTCCGTGACTCGATGTACGTGTAATTGTGTGTTGGCGTTAATGTTAGTGACTTAGTGTGTTATGGGTTTTCTAGCTAGAGTAAAGAGTACCAAGTAGGCCTAGTACCAAGTGTCCAACAATTCCCTTTAAACCCAAAAAGAGATAAATAAAGCCCATTCTATTATATTGATTCCAAGGTTCAATATATATGAGAATTTCTAACCATCCATACATCAAAAAACTAGTTTGGATAACTAATATTTCTTTCACTCACCGAAACAACACATCACTATCGATTATGGATTGGATATGAATTAGATGTCATCTATGCATCAACCAAATTGTGACATATCTTTTGTTATGCTATAGAATAATAGATAAAGAACATGATAGAAAAAATTGGGTCTAATAATTCAACAACGGCCCAATAATAACCCAATAAAGGAGGGTATTGATGTAAATTTCTGTCTTGGATCGGGGGTCTAACTGTACGCGTAAAGTGGCTCCCACTAGACTTGGCATCAAGAACACGTCACCTTGTCGGATTTGTCTGAAAATTAATCAGAAAAAGACCATAAATCATTTTACAAATTAAACTTTATTAGTAATAGTCTGTACCTGAAGAACTACTACATCAGGAAGATTTGAATTCATTATTTTTTTAGTTACTCTCTTAAATTGGAATTAAATCTTCAATCAGAATCTTGATGATTAGTATAAACAAGATTATATCTGTATCATTTTCGGATTTAAACGACATCGTTAATCTCAACTAATTTACATTAAGATAAGATTTTGTTAATAAGTATTGGGTGGATCCAACGTGGCGAAATTTGAGTCATCCTCTAAAAAGATTTTCGAGAGAAAATAAAATATAAATGAGCTGGCGTCGAATCCCACGTTGTCCGTAGGGACCACAACGGTATTCCTTATTCAGTGGGACACGTCAGCTTTATAAACCACTAACGGCCGACACAAGTCAGTAGATCCTAGAGTGGGGACCACTCTAATCTTTTGGTAAAAAAAAAACAATATTTTACCTTTCATGAAAATGAATATCAGCGGTCGATTAAATGGTAAAAAAAAAAGATGCCCGATTACCTGTCCACGTTTCGTCATCAGTGGATCTCAAATGGATTATACATTATAGTTTATTCTGTATTCATATTTTAAAAGGAATAAAATCAGCAGCACGTAAAGACTACGTAGACATCTCAAGATGAACGGTGGTGATTATGACTACGTGTACCAATCAATATTTTAATTGAATATTTAAATTGTCCAGCGCAGATCTAGGATTGCCAGCTCAGCATATGAGTTCCCTTTGCAAACCCTTCAAGATTATGACACGTGTACGGTGACGTGTTCATCAGCCTCTTGGCGCTCCATTGTCTCTCTCTTTTTCTTCTCTCCTCCTTCCTCTCTTCTTACCGAACTCTGGTTCTAGAGAGAGAACCGAATTTTTTATTTTTATTTTCTTTCTGAGAGAAATTCGAATTGTTTCTCCTGAAAATCCAGGTACGTATTTGGATTTTGGTTTCGTTATCTTCAATGAATTTCTGAATTTAGCTTGTATAGAGTGATTCTTTATGAATTTCTCGAGAAAGTTTGTATTATAGTGAAGAAAGTTCTAGAAAAGTTGAAAGGTAGATTTAATGGTGTAACTCTACTAGTTGTTGACAGTTTTGAGTTTTGACTGAGGAAAATCTGAGAAACCCGCGAAAAAACTAAACTTTGAATCTTTAGTGGTAGATACTTTATGGTTACTCGGATCTCTGTAGTATTTATCGTTTGTCTTATTTTAATCTATAGTTTGATGTTGAAAATTGCAAGATCTAAGTGTAATTGAATACTGTTCATTTAGATTTATGCTTTACACAGGAACTACTAAAAGATCTGATCATGTTTTTTTTTTTTTTTGAAGTTGCTGTGTCACTACTCGGCATTGAGAAATGGGTAGCAAAGAAGAAGGAAAAACCACAAACTCTGATAAGCCATCGCAAGCTGCTGCTCCTGTAAGTAATGAACCAATGGAAACTGTGAGATTGGTGTAGTCACAGATTTGTGTTTAGTCAAAAGTTTTCTTTGTATATCTACAGGAACAGAGTAATGTTCATGTATATCATCATGACTGGGCTGCTATGCAGGTGATTTTCTTTGACCTTGTTTTGTTTCTCCTGTGTGAATTGTGTTCATTAGCCTGAGTGATTTAGCTTGTTTTTATGATATATTATTGTAGGCATATTATGGGCCTAGAGTTGGTAGACCTCAATATTACAACTCAAATGTGGCACCTGGTCATGCTCCACCCCCTTATATGTGGGCGTCTCCATCGGTACTTATATTCAAACTTGTTGAATTTATATATATGCTTATCTGTTACTCTGAATTGAGTTTGGTTTTTTTGTTATTGTAGCCAATGATGGCTCCTTATGGGGCACCATATCCACCATTTTGCCCTCCTGGTGGAGTTTATGCTCATCCCGGTGTTCAAATGGTAATCCTCCCTTCCTTTGATTGGTTACTTTATATCAAAAATACTTGAAAGGACCAGATTTACTGATTTGTGTTTTCCTACTTTGCTTTACCAGGGCTCACAACCACAAGGTCCTGTTTCTCAAGCAACACCTGGTGTAAGTCATTGTCTTGTGATATTTCTGTGTGAAAATGTGCACTTTAAGCTATATGATGGATATTGAAATGTGAGAATGTTTGCAGGTTACAACCCCTTTGACCATGGATGCACCAGCTAATTCAGCTGGAAACTCGGATCATGGGTTCATGAAAAAACTGAAAGAGTTCGATGGACTTGCAATGTCAATAAGCAATAACAAAGTTCCCAGTGCTGAACATAGCAGCAGTGAACATAGGAGTTCTCAGAGGTTTGTCAATCTAGCCTCAACTCTTCCTAATTCAAAAGATACTTGTGCTTTATTCTTATATATATATATATATATATATATATAATCTGACGTGGTTTTGATATCAATAGCTCCGAGAATGATGGCTCTAGCAATGGTAGTGATGGTAATACAACTGGGGTATGGACTCCTCCTCTCTACTCTGAACTAGGTTTAAAGTCATTTTTTTGGATTCTTTGTTCATATTCGTCTTTTTTACCACAGGGAGAACAATCTCGGAGGAAAAGAAGGCGAGAAAGATCACCTAGCACCGGTATTTCTTCCTGAAAAAAAGACAACCGAAGTAGTTGTATGCTTCAATGTTTACAACTATTTAAAGCTAATGGTTTCTTGTCTCTTGTAGGTGAAAGACCCTCATCTCAAACCACTCCTCCTCTTAGAGGTGAAAATGAGAAACATGATGTGACCTTGGGGACTCCCGTTATGCCCACAACAATGGGTTTCCAAAACTCTGCTGGCATGAACGGTGTCCCACAGCCATGGGTACAGTACTCTTGCGCCCTCTCTAGCTCGTTGAATTCATTTTATTCGTGATATCCTCCTTTTGTTTGTTTATTGGTGTTGTTGGTGTGTGCTTATCTGCAGAATGAAAAAGAGGTTAAACGAGAGAAGAGAAAACAGTCAAACCGAGAATCTGCTAGAAGGTCGAGACTGAGGAAGCAGGTGATTGCTACTAAATTTTAGTAACTAATGATGAGAGCTATTAGATTTTCATATTTACTTAATGGATTGTGTGTTGTTCACATAGGCTGAAACTGAACAACTCTCTGTCAAAGTTGACGCACTAGTAGCTGAGAACATGACTCTGAGGTCCAAACTAGGCCAGCTAAACAATGAGTCTGAGAAACTGCGGCTGGAGAACGAAGCTTTACTGGTAACAATCTATTCGCATTTTGAACAAAATCATAAGTGTATTGATCAATAATAACATAAATTATTCCTCTCCAGGATCAACTGAAAGCGCAAGCAACTGGGAAAACAGAGAACCTTATCTCTCGAGTTGATAAGAACAACTCTGTATCAGGTAGTAAAAATGTGCAGCATCAACTGTTAAATGCAAGTCCAATAACAGATCCTGTCGCGGCCAGCTGATGGTGGCCGCAACAATGAGAGCCCGATATTTCTTCCTTTGGGTTGTGATTGTAACTTAAAAGAAGACTTTTTTTGTTTTTTCTTAGATTTGTAGCTCTCTGCATAGTGAGCAGAAATTGATGTAATATCGTTAAGAGATTCGGTGTTGTCTGGTGTATTACTGCGACCACTTGATTGGTGATAGGTAGGTTTAGTTATATAAGCGAATGGATTAGAGATAAGGGAGACATATTTGATGGTCTTTCGTTTCGTAATCGCTTGTGTATTCTTCTTTAATATATACACTTTCGTATCTCTTTTAAAGATTATCTTATGATTCTCATTATTCTTGAAAGTCGACGTGCTTCCCTTAACCGCTAAACGTGAGTACTTTGACAGATAAATTACTAACAGTCTTAACACCTACCCCAATTATACCATTTTCAGATATGTGTTACTCGGTTTATATATATTTGCCCAATAAATTTGTATTTTGTGAGATTCCTCGTCGTGAGTAGAATATTAAAATCGGTCTGATTAATTCCATATTTGCCGTTGTTCAATATCTTGGGATGTTTGATTACTGGAATAATGCATGTTCTAAGAAAATTTTGTATAAAAAATCTGGAAGTCATAATACACAAATGGGTTCATTATCCCAAAGGCTCTAAACACATGACCAAGTCCAAATACTGCCGTTGGTATATTTAAAAAACATTGAACAATTCACATTACAGAGAGCCAAAATCATTTCAGTAAGTGGCCAAAGTGTCGGAAAAATCAAACTATTATTGTGTTTGTTGGTAGGACAAGATATACACCACAAGACTTATAAATTTTATAGACGAAATCATAACATTTAATATTTTAAAAGATAATGAAAGATGACTATTCAAATTTAATCTCAATTTCATTTCGTAATTATAGATTTATAGTTAACATTACATGGAGAAGAACAGAGATCATCAAAGAAGTTCAAAGACCACCACCGGCGACGAAGAAATGGCGGGAGAAACTCTACTTAAACCGGTGCTTCAAAAACCACCGGGCTATCGTGAGCTCCACTCGCAACCTCAAACTCCACTCGGATCATCATCATCATCAACGCTTCGCCGCCCACCAAAACATGCGATCCCGGCGTCATTTTATCCGACGAAGAAGAAACAATGGAGTCGTTGCCGCGTCTTTTGCTGCTGCGTCTGCATCACCGTCGCTATTTTCATCCTCCTCCTTATCCTCACCGTCTCCGTCTTCTTCCTTTATTACAGCCCGAGACTCCCCGTCGTACGTCTCTCCTCCTTCCGCGTCAGCAATTTCAACTTTTCCGGTGGAAAATCCGGCGACGGTTTATCGCAGTTGACAGCGGAGGCGACGGCGAGGCTCGATTTCAGAAACCCTAACGGGAAGTTACGTTACTCTTACGGTAACGTTGACGTGGCGGTGAGTGTAGGAGAAGGTGATTTTGAAACGAGTCTTGGGTCAACGAAAGTCAAAGGTTTCGTGGAGAAGCCAGGGAATCGGACGGTTGTGATTGTTCCGATAAAAGTGAAGAAACAACAGGTGGATGATCCGACGGTTAAGAGGCTTAGAGCGGAGATGAAGAGTAAGAAGTTGGTGGTGAAAGTGACGGCGAAGACGAAGGTGGGATTGGGTGTGGGAAGGCGTACGATTGTTACGGTGGGGGTTACTATCAGTTGCGGTGGCGTGACATTACAAACGCTTGATTCGAAGATGACTAAATGCACCATCAAAATGCTTAAATGGTAACGTACCTATCGAAATTAAATTTATAATAATTCGATTTTAATCTTGGAAATTAAAATATTAATGTTGTGTATATAATTTCAATGCAGGATTAAATTGCACTCATAAGTAATGATGATTGATTGATGTATCTTTTTCGTCGGGATTCAAAACTTCTAAAGATGTGTGGCGAAAAGTTCAGCTTTACGAATGATCACTGTGTATGTATTTGTGTTTTTCTTTTCCCTTCTTGTTTTTACATTTCATTTTTCATATAATTACGATCCAATATGCAATCATTTTTACAATGGATATAGATATTATGAAGTTCGCTCTGTCTTTGTTCAACAATTTGCGCATACTAACGACACAAGCACACATGAAATTTACCTTACACGATACAAATTCATAAGCCAAGTAAGTACAGAATCGCAGAAATATTCAACTAAATCGCAAAGTAACCAATAAGAGTCATAACAGTGTAATAATTGAATGCGTAAAGAGCAGCCCAAACATGATGTAGCACAAACTGCAGTACCAAATGTAGTTGGCCACTGACTTATTTGATTCAGCATAAAAGCATAAACCCAATCATCTATAAGTAGAAGAAAAAAAGAAAGAAAAAAAGAGTTTGGCTAAGCCCTATAGCCTTTTATCCTTCCCACCGGATGTTGAAAGGAGATAAATAAAGCCCCCTAAATTTGTTGAACTTCTCTTCTGTCTCCTCTGGCTACAAAAATAGAAGTGCGTTTTCTTGTCGGCGAAACGTATTGAGATATCAAATGACTCAGTCTGATATCCTAAACTCCACTCCTAAAACTTCTTTCACCATCTCATATGTCACAAATGCAATCGCAATGGATGGTACAACCTATATAAGAAACACAAATAACATTTAACTTCCATGAGGAAAATTGGTTCATCTAATAAGAAGATCAAGAAATAGGGCTTTGTTATGAGACAAACCTTCACTGAATTGGGGACCAAACCCTTGTACAATGCTCCAAAGCCTTCATGACGAACTGTTTTTCTAAATGCATCCATCATTCCAGTGTATTCAAGCGAAGCCTTGCTTCTCCCTTCGCCTGTAACAACAGCGGAAGCATCTTTCCACCCGACCATTTGCATTCTCCTACGAATCACATCCAGTGGATAAGCAATTGTTTGACCAACTGTTCCAGCTATTGCACCACAAGTGAGCCTCGTTACAATGGTCAGGTCATTGTTTTCTACAAGACCGAATGGGTTGTCTTTAAGTAGCCAGTCCTTTAGAGACTCATACACCGCAAAGTTCAAGCCCACATATGGAACCTGCATTATTTATCAAAAGGCTCTCATCAACTCGTAAAAATTTGTAGTATTAAATTCGATTGAGTGGAAAAAAAAAACACGAGACTTACAACTCCAATCACTGATGGAAGCCAACCACGGTACAAGGCCCGTGGACCTTCCTCTCGCAGGACAGTTGACAAAGCATGGGCAATTCCTCTATATTGATAAGGAGAATTTGCGGTCTGTGCACATACCCATATTTGCAGAGTTACAAAGATGAGCAATAAGGCTCTGGCAATTACAAACTTGGGGTACGAAAAGCTACCTGGACAGTTAGCCTTCCACGAACCATATCCATCGGGTACGTTGCAGACATGGCTATTATCCCAGCGGTTGCACCAGCTCCAAGCCGTAAAAGAGGAGTAAGTTGGGCATTTTCTGCAGAAACGGCATAAACCCATGAACAATAAAAACTTACAAACAATGAGCCCTATTATTTGCACCATCAATGTGGAAGGCTAGTGATATCAGTTCAACATAGCTCAAAAGGCTCAATATAGAAACTTAAATGAAAGGCTGAAGCGATATGTAATAATACCATGCACAGATTCTTCAACAGGGAATAATAAAAATCTTATGCTGAAATCAATTTACCATTTCCCGTCCGCTGACGATACATGTACAGAATGCCCCTATGAGAGAGAGAAAAGCATAGATTAGAAAAAGATCTATAGTATCAAGTATGGTGCCTTCTCTAAAATCAAGATAACAGAGTAAAGAGAAGATTAGAAGTCTTACTTTGAAGCTTGCTCATAGCTGAAAAATTTCACAGCCGAATTTGGAACAATACGAGCACAGTTGGTGCCATTTCCTTTGAACAATCCACGAAGGCCCTCGGTTCTCCAAATATACTTCAACCCTTGGACAGTCCCACTATACTTTATACTATGCGGATTTTGGACCTAGAGATTGACAATGAACATGTTAACTCTCCAGTCATTTAAGTGTTCCTAAACAAAAGCTATCAACAAAGTAAAAAACCTGAAGTAATATCTTCATCCTTTCCAAAGGTGCAACTGCAGTTCGTGACCTAATAGAAAGAAGCATCAAGCGGTGACATGTTAACAAAAGAAACAAAAATGTAACACAAAGACTCAAAGAAAAAGTGACTAGCTGATTTTTCTTTTACATGGTAATCACAGGACTCCACCTAAATCGAGTAAAGACGGCTTTTTTCTGCTCCTCTTATCCTTTGGACATAAGCCCGTATCTATATTTGACTGCTTCAACACGAATTTCGATCTCAACGGAAAAAAAAAAAAAGTAACTGACTGATATACTACATTTATCGTCAGCATTCAGCAACCAGATGAATATCAATAAAGTTGTGATTTTTAATGTTAACCTAAGACAAAACAAACAATTACACTAGTAAAAGATAACAAAAACTATAAGTTCTCAAATCTAATTTGACGTTGTCGAACAAATGTATAGTCAGTCCTACTAAACATTTCAGGAGATGTTTCGTTATTAATCCCAAAATTCATCAAAATTATAAAACAGTGAAAGAATGAGAAAAACGACTCACACTCCACCAGCGACACCACCGGCAAAAAGAGACTTGCAGATGCTTTTAAAAGCATAACTCGGAGCTTTGACTCCTTCCCTCGCTTCCTCCGCCAGATTTACGATCGTTGAAACAGCTGCTGATTCAGTTCTTTTCACATCCTCTGATGCCATCGATTGATAGAGACGATTCAGGAAGAAACCGCAATCAGTGTAATAGCCACACCAACACGATTACGATCCCTAGAGATTTCTTCACAAGTTTCTTTCTTTAACAAAAATCTTCTTCGATCTCGAAGCCCTAACAGAAATCTCCGATTAGAAGTGAGTGGAGAAGAGAGATCAAAGCACTTCTCGAAAGCACAAATCTAAGCCTCTTTCTCTCGTTTGTGTCCCGGCGGCGATGATAAAAGCCAAAGGACACAACCTACTGATTAAGTCTGAACCATGACGACGCCGTTTTAATGGCACCTTTTGTTGTGAAAATTTGCAAACCAACCCCTTGACTTAATCATCTTTTGTAAAATAGCCCTTTTACTTAGAAATGTGCAAAATTATTCTTCATTTGATTAAAAATCTTTACGTCAGTGGTGAAGTTGAGTGTGTGGCGATTGGTAGCCGCTTTTGTGATTTGTGTTTTTCGTCATATTTAATTATATGTTCAACGTCACCTATCTCTTAAGTGCTTAAAAGGTTAAAGATTTAAACTATTATACACTTGAATATTATATTTAAGAGGTTAAGAATCTTTTTAGAAAAAGAGAAACAGTTTTAAAATGTTGTACACTCGAATTTCGACACTCTCGTTATTCAATTGTCAAAGAGGTTAGTTTAGAAAGAAAAAAAAGTCAAGGCGTATATGCAGAGACAATTGTTAATTTAAGGATTTGTTTGCAAAGTTTTCTTATGTTGTGGTACAATCTGGTGTTATCCAACGCGCGTCACTAAGCGCGTAAGATATACTCTCCTCGTATATGTACGCCACGTTATGATGGTACAACTGTGATAGTGCTTGATCCCGTTTGGTCAATAATGGTCAGTATGATCCGTTTCTTTGTAGTAAGTTTCGTAACCACATAAATTTTGGGATCATAAAAAGTCAAAATCAAAAAAAAATTGATACTGACCAAACGGAATCATTTTGATTTCTGATAATTTATCAAAAAATATTTCTGATTCTGACGAAAAAGGCAAATCAATTTCTGATAATTTTAATTTTCAAATATTTTCATGATACATACTCCACATATTTTAAGATTAGTTTTGTAGTAATGAGAAAGTTGTATTTATTTATTTTATCAAAATATTGTTGGGCTTAATATGGAAAGAATGACAAAAAAATAGATATAATTTTCCCAAACATTTTCTTTTTGTAAGTAAAGCAAAGAGACCGTATCTTTTTCCAAGAGGAATCATGTAATGTATAAGAAAATTGCAACTATGACATCAATCTTGTTTCTTGTCTTTTCATACTTTGGAGGGGCCATACCCAAAAAAACACATCCACATCGAGTTTTTATGTTTAGTTTTATACTTATCTACTATCACTAGTTTCAAACAAAAGAAAAAGCAAATTTTAAAGCCTTTAACAACAACAACAACAATAAGAAAAAAAAACAAGTGGATGTGTATAAAAGTAGATGTCGGACCACAATTGATAAGAATCAAATACCGAAAGCCTTATGGCTATTATTCTATGTGATAATCTTGTAGATCACACACATAACATTAAAAAAAAAGGTACACCAGCTCAGACCCACTTACATTGTCCAGTTATTAAGATGTAATAATCTATTTTAAGATATTCTGTTTCTAAGCCCATATTTGGGCCTGTTATGGACCCAAACAAATCAGGCCGTTCTATCAATTTACGGGCCTAAACAGCTAAGAAGTTGTGTCCATGAATTCTATGTTTTCTTAGCCGAAAAAATGGGTAGTACAATATAAGTCAACGTTAGTTATCCCCAAAATGCATATTAATATTTGTCAAATCTGATTGGTGTTGGACTATCTATAAATCTTTAAATGATAGACAGAGGAGAAGACTTTTACAGCTGTACGTAGCTTTTCTCACCACAAAAAAACAAAAAAAAAAGTCAGAACTCAGAAGGCGACCTATACTATGTGATCAATTTCACTTCCCCTGCCCATATATCTCAAGTCTTAACCTCCTCATTAAATAGACAGCAAAGTAATCGTTTACGAGGTTAATATTTATCAACATTTAGGATTCAAGTTTATTTTAGAGTAGTATTTTTTTTATTTCAAAGAGGGAAGTGTAAGAATTATTTGGGGGTCATAGTGTATCAATCAATGTATTAGGGTCATTATTTAATTAGTTAAAACTTATGTGGTCACTTTGGTATAAAGTAAATGATATGGAGCATAAGTGTTATGGAAAATTAATGTGTGGATACATTTAGTAATTCCTAATTTGATGAGGGGCCGAATTAAAAATTATCTCTATATAAATACAGGGTTATGGTCCCCAAAGCAACCCTAACCAGAAATAAGGAAACTCTCTGTATCCCCATCAACAGAGATTTAAAGCTATTTAAGGTGTGCTTTGGAAGACCTAATCTCAAATTCAATGTATAAAAAAAGGAGAAGTTTTGAGATCTTGTAACATGGAAACATAAACTTGACGTTTTTTGTATTATAGATATAAAAACTTGATCAATGTATAATAGTTTCATTTGACTAGCTAGTCTGATGTCGTACAAACACACTCACAAAAAATACGAAAATAGGAAGTCGTCTTAGTTTTAGAAAATATAACTATTGCTGAAATTGTATATCAATGCATGCTTGCTATTGAAATGTAATTAAAAATAATACTAAGAATTGTAAGGTCTAGATTTGAATAAGTAATTGAATTTTTCTTTGTAAGTTAACAATTTTGGAAAAGTGTGATACTATCTGAGAACGTATTAATTTACCTGTCGGTAAACAGTCAGACTCACATTTCTAGATTTTTGTATTAGTAAAAGAGATTTGGTAGTCTCCTTATCAGCGGGTCAACGAGACCCGGTCCGCTCACCGTACTACAGTCTAAATTCTAGTTTCACGCGCTTACGTACATACGCGCTCAAGTACGTCTTTCCTCAAAATCAAAACTTTTTAAAGGATTATCAAATCAAAACTATCAAAATTTGATTTTTGCTTCGATCGTTTCCTTTATCAATCTTCTTCCCCTCCTAATTCATTTTCAAATCTCATCACTAATTATTCTCTTTCCCCCTTAAGATTCCCGGGAAAGCAATGCAAGAAAATTAATCCTTGTTTAAATTTTTAATTATTTCTTAAAACCTTCCAGCTCAAGTTTGGTAGTAAGTAAGCAGCCATTTAAATCCCCATTGATAAAGACTTTAAATTCTTCTGAATTTTTTCTTTCCAAAACCCTTTTTAGAAAATTGGTTGGGTTCTTCAAAGAGATTAAGCTTTTGATTCATTTATTTCCACCGGAGAAGGATCATCAAATTCGTCTTCTCACCTAACTCGGCGACGACATTCTTCAAGGTTCGTTTGGTTTTCACCTCTGTGATTGTGCCCATGAACTCATATTTTCGTCAGAGTAAAAAGTTTCAATTTTTCATTGTAATTTTACGATTTCAATCGTTTGGTAGTTTTATCTGATTCAATCGGAGATATATGTTGTTGGGTTCGAATTTGATCTAAAATCTCGAAGAATTGATTTGAATTGCAGTTGAAAGAAGAAGCAAAACCCTAGAAACAGTTTTCTTCGGGTAATCGAAGAAGCTGATGAGGTCACGAGGTGATGTCTCTGAAGCAGAAGGTACGAGATCAGATGCTGGTTCTTCAAGAAGCGAAGAAGAAACGACTCTCAAGGAGAAGCACTCAAATTCGCGAGCTGGGTCTCAAAGATCTGGAAAAAGCTTGAGAAATGAAGAGCTTGGTGAGCCTAATTATGGATCAGATTCTTCATCTAAGAACACAACAAGCAGCAGCAACCCAATTGAGTATACTGAGCAAGAACGAGCTGAGCTTTTAAGAAGGTTAGATTCAATCAAAGATCATCTTCTTCGTGGTGGTGGTAATAATGTAGTTGATAAACCTAAAGAACCAGATCATAATCAGCCATTCCTTAGACCAATTCATCTTCATGGTCCTCCTAATCATAATCCTGGTCCTTCTTATTACCATCCGTATCCTGAGCCGATTCCGTACCCTGGACCGGTTCATGGAATGTATCCTCAAGCTTATCAAGATCCTTACGGGTTCCAAATCCATAGAAGACCACCTCCAGTTCCTAATCCAAACTGGTATCCTCCTGGTCATTATCCTAATCAGATGGCTCGTCAGTTTCCTGGTGGTCAATATGTTGAAATTGGTCCGGATATAGTTGACCCACATTCTTACTTTCCAGCTACTCCGGGTAGGTACGGTGACCTGCCTCCGTATAGCCCGGTTTCGTCTCACCATCGTGGCGAGAAACTCGCATCACAGTACAGTGATATGCCTCCTTATAGCCCTGTTTCTTCTCACCATCGTGGCGAGAAACTCACAACACCTTATAGTTCACGTGTTGATAACAGTTCGAGTTTTCCTTCTTCGATGGGATCTCCAGGTCCTCGAGGTGGTTACGCAAGGTGGCCGAGTGAACATGATTCTGAAATGGGTGGTGCTTTTGCTCGTGGGTATGTTAAGAAAGCTGTATCGGATACTGATGCTCGACGTTGTCATCCTCTTGCTGGTGGTGCTCCTTTTATAGCTTGTCAAAGTTGCTTTGAGCTGCTTTACTTGCCTAAGAAGAAGCTTTTGGCTCAGGAAAGGCAACATAAGCTGCAGTGCGGTGCTTGTTCTGAAGTTATTCGTTTCACAATCGTCGATAGGAAACTCGTTTTCTCTTCTGGTAACGAGGAAACAAAACTGGTCTCTCTAAAGGTTGAAGATAGAAGCACAACAAACACAGTAGTGGTTGAGGAACTCTCTTCTGTTGATTTCAACAACTCAGGTAGCGATATTCCGCCTAAGGATGAAGAAGAACCAGTGCAGGAATTTAGAAGTCATCAGGATACTATGCAAAGCATCCGGTCTGAATCTCAAAACTCAGATGATGAAGAGAGATCTAGCATTTCTAGTGAACAACAACAAAAGGAGGTCAAATCTGTTCGTCGGCGAGGTAAAGGATCAAAAGCGCCTGAACCCGCTGCTCCTGATAATGCCAGTCTACTTGAACTTTTTGAGTATTCTAATGTAAACAGAGCTGCACTCGCTTACGGAATGGCGCAGTTAGGTTATGACAAGCCAGATAAGCAAAAGTCTTTCATGACACAGGACTCGCTGCAAACGGAATCAGTAGCTACAGAAACAGAGGTTTCTTACAACGGATATTCTAACACCGAGATCTCAGAAGAGTCGAGGTACTCAAACGGAAGAGAAGACGACAACAGACCAAGAGCCAGAAAGGGTAGTGAGTACGGTTCCACAGAGATCACAACGAGGTCCTCTACTGATCGAAATGAAGATCAGATGAAGTCATTAGAGGTTTGGGTTAACGGACATCTTATACCAGAAGATCTGGTTAGTAGTGCTGAGAAATTAGCTGGACCAATCCAAGCCGGAAAGTATTGGTAATGCCATGAACTTCAACATACACTGTTTCTCTCTTGTTTTGTTTCCCTCTTTTTCTGATTTATGTCTCTGATTCAGGTATGATTACCGAGCTGGGTTCTGGGGCGTGATGGGCAAACCGTGTCTCGGTATAGTACCTGTAAGTACTTTAACAATGTTCTTTCAAAATTGATAATTGAAAACTGTATCATCAAATTGATAAAGAAATGGTTGACTTACTCGTTGTTGTTACAGCCATTTATTGAAGAGTTTAGCCATCCAATGCCGGATAACTGTGCTGCGGGAAACACAGAAGTGTTTGTGAATGGAAGAGAGCTTCACAAGAGAGATTTCGAGTTACTTGTGGGCCGTGGTCTTCCCCGAGACAAGAACCGTTCTTACATTGTTGATATATCAGGAAGAATCCTTGATGGAGATTCAGGGGAAGAACTTCATAGCCTTGGCAAATTAGCCCCAACGTAAGCACATATCACACAAAAGTCTTTTATGCTTTGAGATATTGAGATTAGATTCTAAAATTTTAGTGAAATTTGTTTGAAAAACTTGAAACAGGATTGAGAAGGTGAAGCATGGATTTGGTATGAGAGTTCCAAGATCATTAGCTTCATGAAAGCTCCCACTAGTAACGAGTAAACTACAACACAACCAAATATGATTCTGCCTCTTTTTTCAATCTTCATATTATTTATTTGTTAAATTTGTAAAGTGTGCTTTTTTTATTCACGACATCGGTTAGATTTTGATTTTTGGTATTCTTTTTAAAAATATCTTTGGGGAAATGTCTGTATTTTTGTTTTGCTACCAGAACCGGTTAGGGGGTTAAGACTCTATACAAACCGGGTTATCTCGGTATAACGTTTGTAATATTTCCATTTTTTTTTCTGGTTCCAAGCAGACCTAACTGGTTTATGATTCTTGGTCCAGATTACCATATCTTAAAGACTGGTTAGATTATATTTTATGGAATGATAAAAGTTTGATTATGAGAACCTTATCTATATTTTTTAATCACAATTATGACTTTTCATCTCTTTTATAACTCTTTTTCTTTACACTAGTGTTTATACGGTTTGCTAATTCCTCTTTAGGCTTTATATTCAAGTTCTTGCACGTTTCTGAAGTGGGTCCTTCCTACATGACAACAGATTGTAGACTCATGGGCCCAATATCAGAATCAAACAAAATAGAGAATCTATTCTATTCATAAACAGGCCTCGTGGTCCATTCGTTTAGTTTTCATGTATCCATATTTTCTTACAAAAATACTAACATAGAGTAAGAACAAAAAGATAACTAACCAGTAGCGAGCATGAGAAAAACGAGTGAGCAAAAATTGTCCACTAATAACAAAAGAGAATTGTGAGGAATCATAGCAATGATTGGAGTCACTTGGAAATGTTTCATATATTTTATATACTACTAATACTAGTGTTAGTTCATTCACACAAATTTTAAAAACCATTTCTACCATGGTAATACCTAGGAAATGGACCCGCGCGTTGCCGCGCGGAGAAGTGAAATTCTAAATAAAAACAATAATGCTAACTCATTTCTAAACAAATATATCTGATCAATAGAAGATAGAAATGATGATTCTTGGAACCGCGTCTTCTAAAGATTAGACATCTAGCATAAATGATTAGAAAGGTAAAGTTGGGAATGGAGCTCATGGCATGATGTTTGGAATCTTCTTGGTCCACTCATTAGATTCTTAGGGGATAGACGACCAAGATCACTACATATCCCTCTACATGCTAATTTATCTGCTACTTATAATGAAAGGGACTCTATTATTCAGCCTCCAAGATCTAAGGAGATTCTAATTTTGCATATTCATCTCAGTACCACTGTGAAACTTTCAAGTATATCTTATTTGCATGACTCCAATGGCTTGTATGTTGATAGTGTAAAGTTCTGGGGAATCTTCTCTGCAAAGACATGGCATGTACTTAGACCGACTGAACCTGAAAAAGATATGCATGACTGTGTATGGTTTAAAGGAACAACTCTAAAGTACACCATGGCCATGGGTATCACAATTTAAACTAATATAGAATTATTTTCGCTTACTTATCACAGTGACAAAGAAGAAGGTGCCACCATGGGTAATTATATTATGAAGGAAGCGTGTGAGATGATGTATCATGTGAGTAGTACAGTGACAACCTAACCCATCCATATAAACCCCATTCCACAAAGTGTTTCTTAATTGGAGCACAACCCAAAGAAAAAATATAAGTAAATATCTTGAATAAAAGTATAACCACATGGTGGTGGGCGAGTGGTTCTCGTTTGGTTGGAAGGATCGCCCTGTTGGTCTAGGCCAGGGATCGATCCTCCCCAGACGCAGTTTCGCTCTCTCACTCCTGTGGCCACCTGGGAATTTACCTGCGGACTTGCTCAGGCGCCCCAGACCACCAGTTTATCAGGGGGCCCTTAAGTGGAGGCTTAAAAATCCCTGTGACGCGGGCTTAGGCCCAGTGGGCTAGTCAGATCACTGTGTGGTCTGGATACTGGGTTATCAAAAAAAAAATAAAAGTATACGGCCTCTCAATTTTCAAATTTGAATAGATTTTGTTTGTCTCTACCTCTATATTATGCATAAACAAACCCAAAAAGTCAACACTACTTAGAAAAAAAAAAAACACTATGTGAATTGCAATTGTATCGTTATAAAAAGATGACGGGAGTTGAGAATAGAGGATCCCTACCTCAGTAGACGCCAAATCGAATGCCCCGGTAGATAGAGGGTTAGTGAGCACAATACATCGTTATTGCTGGATAAGATTCATAAGACGGTTCTCCAAATTAGATTAATGATTTTTGTTTGGAAAGGTTTCAGAAAAGATTATGAATTTTAACGATGAAAAAGCACAACAAAAATTTTGTGTAAATAGGTATATTTTATGTTTGTTTGTACATTTTATGATCAATAATCATCCATTGGGAGAAGCGATGCTTCATGAAAGATTGCTTCCTTTGTTTTGCTGATTTTTTGGAGAAAACAAATATTAATCATATTTTAGATTAATTTATAAGTAGATATATTGCAGTTTTCACTAACTAAACCAAACTTTTATATAGTGATATGTTGTATGTACATCTTCAATTTTCTTCAGCTATTTCAATTTTCATTTAAAATAAGTTAAATAGTATAAAAAGAGTAGTATAGATAAATGATACAAATATTATCAGGCGTAACAAAAAATCTTGAAAAAATAAAAGGCAGCAATAAACTTAATTAAATAATAAAAAACAATAACAATTTTTTTCTAAACAGATCCAATTCTTAAACGGAAAAAAAACCATATGCTCCGGTTGCAAACGATTTATACGAAAAATGAAAACACAATAATTTAAGAGTCCTTGGAGAAATAGCGGGTATTAGTGAGAGAAGGCGAGAAAAAAAGATCGTGGGCGGCGTGAAGTTAACATATGATCAACGATGGCAAATTGTTGGAGAAGTGAATAGTTGACAATCAAGAGATCAACGACTATTTCAACACAACAGCATGGAAATAAAATCTATGAATAACAAAGAAAGCAATCAAAGACAGAGAGGCTTTAGACGAGTGAGACAAAACAAAGCAAGTACGAACTCTGATTTGTAACTTAGGCAAAAGACACGAGAGATGTGAAAACTTAAACTTGTATTAACTGAAAATCTGAATATTACAAAACACACACAAGGTCATTATATAGACTTGAAACAGAACGACATGAAGAGTTGCGTCTCTTCTTTATTTGTGACTCTTGACAAATAACTACCTTCTACAATTCATGACTCTTAATACATAAAACTTTAACACACAGACACATACTTTAATTATATAAAATAACAAATGACCAAACTCAATTATCGATCAACACTATGTAAATCATTGAACCATAAAAATTAAGAGTGTACCATAAAAGTGAGGGTTTACCTAAAAGATGAAATTGAAAAGCGGACACTACAACGATGGTAAGAGTGTGGCGTCTCGATGGGTCAAAGGGAGAATCACTAAAACGATGAACAACGTGGCGATGAATCAAAGGGAGAATCACTAGAACGATGAACCGAGGCAAGATCAAACGGATATAGCGAGGACGAGTGAATAAAGAAATTGTATATCGAGGATTCTATAAAACTGTGAATCAACAATGATTATGTGAAAATGTAAAAACAGCGATAGTGGCGTTCCAGTTATGGAGGTTTTGCTTCAGATTAACATGACGACGACGATACGTTATTAATGACGCTTGCTTGAAATTCATTAAAAGGAAAAAAAAAACAAATTACAACGGGAATTCGATGGGCTCTAACAAAGAAACATCCTTTTCATGACCATTCAAACATCATGCATATAGATATAGAGATAAGATTTGTGAAAAGAAAACCAGAGAAACTGCAAGGCGTAGAACAAATTCCAAATATAAAGTTCTGAAAGAGGCAATTGAACAGGTTTTTACAAAGAGAAGCGTTGATTCGGCAAGGAAGCAAAGAGAAGCGACGATTTGGGGAAAGGAGCACGGCGAGCCGGCGAGGTGCCTTTTCATTTAATAAACGAATCTAAGCCGTTAGATAAGTAAACAAAACAATCTCACCGTTGGATTAAAAAGAATGACATCAGCAGCCCCAAAAAAGTGGGTTTGCTATTATATATAGATTCCGCCAAATATTCAAACTAGTTACGTTCATCACTCTAATAAGTAAGTGTCAGGAATTCACAAACATATCAATGATTTGAATAACCCAATATATCATCAAAATGTGTGGTGCTTGCTAAGTTCCAAGATTCAAGAGAAAGGTTGATATTGTTGTAACGGAGGGCTGTGGAGATACAACCAAAGATTGAGATAAAGGGTGTGAGGACCAAAAGCAGGGCATGTGCTTCTTCACATAAATTGAAAAAACTCAACTTATTCCTAATATTTGGAATTAATAAACATAAGGACAATGAAACCATCTGGGTTGGTCCAACCTTTTGTGGATGACCTAAGCAAATTTGAAAAATTAAATACATTTATATGTTAATTAAAAAAAATTAAAATCAGAATTCCACTATCAAAAGTCATAATTGTAAATAAAAAAAAAACAAATCCAGAAATAATGTTAAAATTCTACCTTATATTGCTATCACAAAAAAAAAATATATACACATATAGGAGTATTTGTTATAACATAAAAGAATGCCCAACAATTTAGCCTTATGTATGCATGCTTCTTGGAACAACAATGCTTATTAATTTATTTATTTTTTAATTTTGTTGACCACAGTTAAAATGGCCGTTCGGTACTTCGGGTCGGTTCTTTCGGCTTTCGGATAATTCGGATACAAAAATTTGGTAATGTATATAGGAGTATTTGTTATATACGTATGCTTCTTGGAACAACAATGCCCAAGAATTTAGCCTTATATATGTATGCTTCTTGGAACAAAAATGCTAATTAATTTATTTTATTTTAATTTTGTTGAGCACAGTTAAAATGGCCTTTCGGTACTTCGAGTCGGTTCTTTCGGTTTTCGGATAATTCGGATACTAAAATTTGGTAACGCAGTCGGTTCCGTTCGATTCGGTTCGATATAAGTACTTGAAATTTGAAACGGATTCGGTTCCGATTGGTTACAAACCAAAGTATCTGGTTTAACCAAAAGAAAAAACGGATTTGTTTCGATTCGGTTTCGGTTAATATGTCCAGGCCTAGTTAAAATGATTCTTGGTATGTTGCTTGACATGTGAGTCTACTACACTCTACAGTACAATAGACGGTAAGGGGTAAAGAAAGGGGAAAACATCGCTTTCTTGGTCACAAAGATCCTAAAATTTAATCTCAAACCTAACCATCTCTCGAGGCCAAGTATAAAACCATTGAATAGCTTCACCAACCATCGAAACAATTTCACTGTTCTCTCTTCTTCAATGGAACAACAATTAACCTTACTATTGCTTGATAGCCCAGAAGGCGCGAAATATGTAGAAGAAACCCTAGAAGTCGCTTCTTCTTCTTCTTCTGTTCCCTCCTCCACTGATCACCGCCATCGAACCTTCGTCAAATTCTTCGTTTACTTCTCTCTCGTCGCTCTCGCTTACTATTTCATCATCTCCAGTTTCGCCGTCTCTCCAATTTCCCCAACGTTGCCGCAGCAATCTTCTTCCGGAAACGGTAATCTTTCTTTCGCAGTTCTTTCTCCTCCAATTTCGAATTTGATTTTTGATAAAGATTCCAGAATCTTTCCAATTATGGAGATTTAGGGATTATTGGGTGTTCAATTTTGGAAATTCTAACCTCTTAATAGTGACATTAATGGAAATTTCTAAACTTTCGATCAAAATTTGTAATTTAGGGTTTAAGTGTTGTGTTTACCATGTGTTTGATTAAATGTTTGTGTGAAATTTTCTTTTGCAGTTTCATCAGCAAAGTGTGATCTTTTCACCGGAGATTGGGTTCCGGATCCAACAGGTCCTCTGTACACAAATGTCTCTTGTCATCACATTCAAGATTTTCAGAACTGTCTATTGAATGGACGGCCAGATGTGAATTATCTCTTCTGGAGATGGAAGCCTCGTGATTGTGATCTTCCTAGGTTTAGTCCTTCCCAGTTTCTTGATTCAGTGAAGAACAAATGGTGGGCTTTTATCGGTGATTCCATCGCTCGTAACCATGTCCAGTCTCTCATCTGCATTCTCTCTCAGGTTTGTTAATTCTTTATTCAGAGAATGAGTTTGGTTTTGTATTAATGAAAGTTTCCTTAGACTACAAGTAACAAGGCCTTTGATTTATCGCTCAGGTCGAAGAAGTGGAGGAAATCTATCACGATAAGGAGTTCAGATCCAAGATATGGAGATTCCCTTCTCACAACTTCACACTTTCTGTCATTTGGTCTCCTTTCCTTCTCAAATCCGAAACATCTAGCAACTCGGATATCCAGCTTTACCTTGATCAGCTCGACCACAAATGGACCGTCCAATACTCGAAATTCGACTACGTTGTTATCTCTGGAGGCAAATGGTTTCTTAAAACCACAATATTCCATGAAAACAACTCAGTCACAGGCTGTCATTACTGTCAAGGAAGAAACAACCTAACTGATCTCGGCTACGATTACTCCTACCGCAAAACCCTAAACCTTCTCCGCGATTTCGTCCTAAAATCAAACCACAAACCGCTGGTTCTGTTCCGAACTACAACACCTGACCATTTTGAAAACGGAGAGTGGAACACTGGTGGGTATTGCAACAGAACGATGCCGTTTAAAGAAGGTCAGGCAAAAATGAAAACCGTTGATGATGTGATGCGTGATGTTGAGCTTGAGGTGTTTCAGAAATTTGGGAAAGGTTTCGGTTTAGGTTCCAACATCAGACTATTAGACACGACTGGAATGTCTCTTCTCCGTCCAGACGGGCATCCGGGACCGTACCGGCATCCAAATCCTTTTGCTGGAGTTAAGAATAAGAGCCATGTTCAGAATGATTGTCTGCATTGGTGCTTACCTGGTCCAATTGATTCATGGAATGATGTGATGGTCGAAACCACGCTTAACCGGGAACGGGAACTATACGATTTAACCGGTTAAGGTACCACGATGTTGCTTGTAGCTAGTTACAGTCTATAGCCATTCGTTTTCCCAGTTGTTCGTATATATGCTAGTTCTATAAATAAAATTTGTACTTGTTCTATTCAAAATAAACGGTGCAAAATTTTGCAGTGTGAATTTTTGTTTAATACGACGCCGTTGTTCTAATGATTTGCAAACGACATCGTTTAAAAAATGCCGTTTCGCAGCAGCGTGGTTCGAGTGGCTTGGTCTACAGATGTTGTTAAAGCCCAGCTGTTGGGCCTTTAAAATTATAAAACGACAACGTTTTCTGGAAAATAAGTTTCATGGACAGGAGAAAAACATCGTGTCATTCTACTTCATCAGAAGTAGTCGTCCTGCCGTTTTTGTATAGCCTGTGGGGATCGTCCATTGATAGTCGTCACTAATGACATATGCAATACGATGAATAATTTCAGCAAGTTTTGGCAGATATCGAAACAAATAATGCATAATTTAGTAATATTGTTTAATTCGGCTCATTTGGTAGCTATAACAACTATATCATTTGTAATGGCTCCGGACGGAGAAAGCGTATCGGATCAATATTGATGTCACGAGGAATCACTCGGTAACCAAAGAACACAACCGGTTCAAGCGTATCAAGCAGATCTAGCGGTACAAATGCGGATCAAGCAGTTCAAACGCTTTAAAATATGTGTTGAATGGAAAGCGGATCATGTAGTACAAATAAAATATTTTTAGGGAGACTCACAAAAATGCCCCTTTTTCAATACCCCTTTTCAAAAATACCCCCTTTGGCTGTCCATTTTTAAAAATACCCCTTTTTATGTACAAAATGACTAAATTACCCTTCTTTTAATAAAAGATATCACAAATATATAAGGAAATATAACAAAATTAGGTCCACAAAATACAAAATATTTTGGCGGGAAAAGTGATCCCGTAATTTTTCCCGCCAAAACACTTGTAAAAACTTGTAAAAAACCTTTAAAATACCTTGTAAAATTTTCCCGTAAAATTTTTTCCCGCCAAAAAATTTTCCCGCCAAAAAAATTTTTTTGCGGGAAAAGTGATTCCGCAATTTTTTTGGCGTTAAATTTTTGGCGGGAAAATTTTTCCCGCCAAAAATTTACAAGGTATTTTAAAGGTTTTTTACAAGGTATTTATAAGGTTTTACAATGTATTTTAAAAGGTTTTACAACGTATTTACAAGGTATTTATAAGATATTATAAGATTTTACAAGCTATTTTATAAGGTTTTTACAAGTTATAAGGTTTTACAAGTTTTTTATAAGGTTTTACAAGTTATAAATACCTTATAAAACCTTATAAGTACCTTGTAAAACCTTTTAAAATACATTGTAAAACCTTACAAAACACTTGTAAATACTCTGTAAAACCTTTAAAATACCTTGTAAATTTTTCCCGCCAAAAAAAAAAATTGCGGAATCACTTTTCCCGCAAAAAAAAATTTTTGGCGGGAAAAATTTTTACGGAAAAATTTTACAAGGTATTTTAAAGGTTTTTTACAAGTGTTTTGGCGGGAAAATTGCGGGATCACTTTTCCCGCCAAAAAATATTTTGTATTTTGTGGACCTAATTTTGTTTCAAATAAGGGTAAAATGGTCATTAAAAATTAAAAGAGGGCAAACTTAAAAATGGACTCTAAAAGGGGACATTTTTGAAAAGGGGTATTGAAAAAGGGGCATTTTTAACAATTTCTCATATTTTTATTAAAAAATTAATTTTTAATTAAATATTTTACACATACTAAAAATAATTAGATTAACAAAATTTGCAATATTGATTTAACATATTCTTGACTATCTTTTTAATATATATATATATTTAATATTTTTTAAACATATATTTTTCCGTAATTTAATTTACCAGTTTTTGATAGAATTTACTTTGCTAAACTATTCTAATAATTACTACAAAACATATTATAGTAAATTGTAGGGTTTGTGCAAATAAAATCTTTAACTCGCCAATAATATGTCAAATCAAAACTCTTGCGACGAATAGTTTAACTCTACCTTTAAAATTTTAAAAGTCTAATATATGTAACCGTACAAACGTTTACAATATACAGATAAAGGTTACATTGCGTATTATTTTTTAATTCGTAGGATTAATCTGTATTTTTGTAAATAAATGGTAAATTTGAAAAAATTAGCGAGTTTGATGATTTTTTTTTGCGCAAACTCCTAAATTATATTAAATAAAAATTGTTAAATTATTTTACATCTTTTTTTAACATGTAATTTTCTAATACCAAAAACCTAAAAATCTATTATCCAAATGATATGTGTTGTATTACTTTAACCATATCTGTTACATCTTCCTTAAAATATTTTTAACATTTATTAAAAGAAAAAAGAGAACCGCTATTAAACCAAAGAACCGCTGTGTAATTCATGCGTTCTCACCGTTCATAATGGATCTCAAATTTTGCTTTAAGAAAGTGAACCACATGTGGTCCATCCGTACCGTCACTGAACCGCATCTCGTGGAAATATATATATATATATATATATATTATAATTTATATATGTATGAAATTATAATAACATATCTGTTTAAAAGTTGTATTGATGCGACAGCTTTATGGACATGATTCTTTTGATTTAGTCCTACCTTATACTCGTTCAAAATGACAACTTTAAAAATAAATAAATAAATTGTTAAATTCCAACCACTTATCACTCTCCTTTATGTGATTATAATTTTAGCTTGGCAATGTTATGCATTAAAAATTGTTGATGCACAAGTCGAATGACGAAAAAATAAAAATGCACAAGTCGAATTGACAAAGATATAAAAACATATAAGAGCATCTTCAACCCACCTATATATTTGCCTCTAAACTCTATTTTAAAGGCAAATTTACTCCAACCCACCTTTATTCTCATCTCTAAAATAGAGATCTCTATTTTTTTCTCTATATATAGAGGTGAGGTGAGAATAGAGAATTTCTATTTTTTCCTCTATAAATAGAGTTAAACTTTTTAGAGAAAAAAATAGAGGAATACGTTGGAGTAAAAATAGAGAAAACTTACCTTTATTATAGAGATAGAGCTAAAAATAGGGAAATACATTGGAGATGGTCTAACATCATCGTCGTCCACAGGTAATGAGTTACTTAGGCTTTATGATTAAGCGGGACATATTCAATTTAGTAAATCATTACAAAAATGATGGGCTATGAGATAAATCCCACTTTCACCTTTTTCACTCAAACAAATGCTAAAGTCTAATCTATCGATGAATGATTATTTGCCTTTTTATCGTCACCACGATTACCCAAAATATTTCAAGAAGTCATTTATATAACAAAATGTTTGGCAAATAAAAGGAAAAATTGTTATAAAAGAAATTAATAGTAGCAAATTGCTGTTTCAAAAAATAATAATTTTAGCAACAACAAAAAGGAGCGAATGAAAAAAAAATTATTATGAAAAAAAATGAGAAAAAGATCATTGCGGAAGCATTACGTTTGCATTTCATCACACATATTCACACGTGCGCTCAAGACATTTCACACGCACAATTATAATTGACCCACAATCACAAAAAGGCTGGTCATCACTAATTTTCAACAATTTCGCTACCCCTCTCCAATAATTGAACATTATATATATTGGCAGCCATATTATATATAGCTTTTGGTTTTCAATTGTAGGATATTATATAATAGCATTATGTGTCTCTCTACTATACAAACATGAAACATTTTGATGTATCATTCCCAATTCCTATTTTACTTTATATTTTACATGAAAATCGCAAAGTATGAATATATCCACAAAATTGTTTATTTTCATATTAACATGAAAAATCACAAAACAATAAGTAAAAAAATAAATTAGCTAAATGATGAATTTTTATTTTAATTAATAGGTTACCAAACTATCCATATTCGAACATTGTCGCCACAAGGAACATTCTACAAAAAACTACAACTAAATAAAAAATAGAATTTCTCCTCTTTTTTTTTTTGGTAAAATAGGAATTTCTCCTCTTGCTTCAGACAAGCTCTCTATATAAAGCCATTTACTCAATACCTCACAAATTACAAAAAAGAAAAAAGGAGATAATAATCACAAACTACAAAAGTAGAAAGAAAAAAAAAAAGATATTAGTTCTTGAATCTTTGCATCAATGGAGGAATCAAAAGCGTCTCACGTTGCGATCATACCAAGTCCGGGAATGGGTCATCTCATCCCACTCGTCGAGTTCGCTAAACGACTCGTTCAACGTCACGGCTTCACCGTTACCTTCGTCATCGCCGGGGAAGGTCCACCGTCAAAAGCTCAGAGAACCGTCCTTGACTCTCTCCCTTCTTCGATCTCATCCGTCTTTCTCCCTCCCGTTGATCTCACTGATCTATCTTCGTCCACTCGCATCGAATCTCGGATCTCCCTCACCGTGACTCGTTCAAACCCGGAGCTCCGGAAAGTCTTCGACTCGTTCGTGGCGGGAGGTCGTTTGCCGACGGCGCTCATCGTCGATCTCTTCGGTACGGACGCTTTCGACGTGGCCGTAGAATTCCACGTGTCACCGTATATTTTCTACCCAACAACGGCCAACGTCTTGTCGTTTTTTCTCCATTTGCCTAAACTAGACGAAACGGTGTCGTGTGAGTTCAGGGAATTAACCGAACCGCTTAAGCTCCCTGGATGTGTACCGGTCGCCGGGAAAGATTTCCTTGACCCGGCCCAAGACCGGAAAGACGATGCATACAAATGGCTTCTCCATAACACCAAGAGGTACAAAGAAGCTGAAGGGATTCTTGTGAATACCTTCTTTGAGCTAGAGCCAAATGCTATAAAGGCCTTGCAAGAACCTGGTCTTGATAAACCACCGGTTTATCCAGTTGGACCATTGGTTAACATCGGTAAGCAAGAGGCTAAACAAACCGAAGAGTCTGAATGTTTAAAGTGGTTGGATAACCAGCCGCTCGGTTCGGTTTTGTACGTGTCCTTTGGTAGTGGCGGTACACTCACATGTGAGCAGCTCAACGAGCTTGCTCTTGGTCTTGCAGATAGTGAGCAACGGTTTCTTTGGGTCATACGAAGTCCAAGTGGAATTGCTAATTCGTCGTATTTCGATTCACATAGCCAAACCGATCCATTGACATTTTTACCACCAGGATTTTTAGAGCAGACCAAAAACAGAGGTTTTGTGATCCCTTTTTGGGCTCCACAAGCCCAAGTCTTAGCACATCCATCCACGGGAGGGTTTTTAACTCATTGCGGATGGAATTCGACTCTAGAGAGTGTAGTAAGCGGTATTCCACTTATAGCATGGCCATTATACGCTGAGCAGAAGATGAATGCGGTTTTGTTGAGTGAAGATATTCGTGCGGCACTTAGGCCTCATGCCGCGGACGATGGGTTAGTGAGTAGAGAAGAGGTGGCAAGAGTGGTAAAAGGATTGATGGAAGGTGAAGAAGGCAAAGAAGTGAGGAACAAGATGAAGGAATTGAAGGAAGCAGCTTGTAGGGTGTTGAAGGATGATGGGTCTTCCACAAAAGCACTTAGTCTTGTGGCCTTAAAGTGGAAAGCCCACAAAAAAGAGTTAGAGCAAAATGGCAACCACTAAATATTTTACGTTCTAATATGATTTGTATAATCAACGGTGGGATTTGTGCAAATGTAATTCTGTATGTATGTATGTATGTTCTACTTTTCTTTTCTTCAGCTGTCTCAACTTTTATCTGAATATGTTTTTTTGGCTTTTGATCAATTCGTAAGTTTTACATGGTGCAATTAAGATCCGCCGTATAGTAGTACAATATTGTTCAAGAAACTCGTCAATAAATACTTTCAATATCTTACAAGATAACAGGTTTTTTTTTAATATAAAAATGTAAATATCATTATAAAAAGTTTAGATTATTACATGATGCACACAACCTAAATACATGGTCGGATAGTCACATACCAAAAAAAAAGTAAAAAACATAGAAACATAAACCATTCAAACCTTTATCAACAGATCTTAAGCGATTAGGCTTTTTTTTGGTGCGAAGATGTAATGAACCATAACCGTTTGTTTATTTTTTTTTTTTTGCTAAAGATAACCGTTTGTTTAAGTTGGAAACACTTGTTGTAATCTCAAGAGTACATGGCTCATCAATGAGACATAAATGTCAACAATTTGTTTGTTTGGTAATGAGATACTACGCTATGTGTTTTGATTAAAAAACGTCCGTTACGGATCAGAGATTAAAAAAAAAACTAAAACGTGGATGACGAAGAAAGTAAGTGTGTGTGTGCCTGTGTGGAGTAGGTGAAATAGCGTTAACGACAAATATACATAAACATGTGTAGGACCTAAAGACAGCATGTCGTTTATGACTTGTAAAACGACTACCACTTTTGTTTTGTTTTGAAGTAGGTTATTTGCCACTTTCACGTGTCAAGTGTTTTAAGCAGTGAATTATCATCCATCCATCCACATTTCTACAATTCACCTTCTAGTATGAAATTTCTGTTTTTGTATCAACTCAATAATTAAAAAAAAAACATAAAAAATCAATTTGGGCCTAAGAACTCCGCTTAGGAGAAGTCCAACAATGCTTTCACTTCTTGGAAGGCCTACTATATTCACAGTCCACGATAAATGGTTCTTGAGAGTTAATTATTTGAGATTTAAGAAGTTTTTCTTATAACAGAGTTGGAAAATTTTAAAATACTAATATAATCGAAACAATTAGTGAAACTACATAGAGATATTTGATCACTTTTCAATTTTCATCATCCAAAACCTCTCAATTTCTCCAGCGGTTCTTCCTGGGATCCTCCCAGCTATCAATTCCCACCTTTCATCAAATAGAGGCAAAATAAAACACAAAATTTAACTTTAATTATAGAGTTTAATAAATTATTTTCCTACAAAAATAAACATTAATTAATTAAGAGGACCAAACCTGTCACCGACAAGCTTATGCATTCTACAGACCAAATCTTCTTCTTCTTGACTCATGTTCACAACTTCCCACTCAAGACTACTCACTTCTGTTCCTTGTCATCACCAAAATTCACATTTCTCATTATATAGAAAAGTAAAAAAAAAAAAAAAAACACATGGAAAAATTAGAAAACGAAGGTGTTTACGTTTTCAGCTTACCTTCAGAAGAAGAAGTAACGATGGAGTTGGTCTTGGGTTGCTTAGTCCTGCGATGGTTATCCATGTTATACGGCACCGTAGTACAAAGAAGAAGAAGACGAAGAAGAACTAAAGAAACTAAGAGAGACTGAGAGAGAGAGAGAGAGAGAAGAGAGAGTGGTCGTATTTTGAAGTTTGCACACGAACCATCCTTTCTACTTATAGCAACTAACCAAATCAAGTAACCAACGAGTTTGGTCGGTTTCTATGTTAAAGAATCTTACTTTACTAAATTGGTTTTGTTCTCATTAATTAAATTAATTATTGTTAGCAACTAGTAGTATCTTGCAAGTTGCAACCAATAAAAATCACAAGTACCCGTGACTTCATTTACTTCGTTGTGATGATGGCTCTTGCCTCTTGGAACATAAGTTGAATAGATATTGATACATGCCGTTAATTAAGTTAAGATCATTAATAATCAACAACAATTGTTTTCAAAGCTTTTCTTTTATTAGTAGTTCAGTTCATAAAGTGATCAATCATTTTAAATTATTTTATTATTATTTTTTGTTTCAAACATTTTTCAATGACTATGAACCAATAGTAATCTAATATATTTAATTATTTTTAATTATTGCGTTTTGAAGTTTACGAAATAATGATTTGGATGTGTCATATACTCATATAGTATACAAAACTATTGTCCTCTTGTACGTTTGTAAAACACAATAATATTTTTCAACCATTATTCATGTTTTCTCGGCGAGTTTGTATCACTTAACTGATTGTTTTCATGATTTAGCTTAATTGTAATAACACATAACTTTCTATAAATTGGACAAGTAATACGTTCAACATATATAACCATTAGCAAATATAGAATCTACATTATTTAAAACAATGATCCCCCAACTACTGTATGTCTCTTTAATATATAAGATATAGTATAATGTGGCCATCACAGAAGTAAATGAGTGTCACTACGAAAGATGGAAATGGGTTGGATACTTGCATCCTCAATCATGCAAAATTGGTCTAAATTGGCTTTACGCCAAAAACAAAATGGTCCTAACAAATAAGCAACGTGTCGTGTGTTCGTTACAACTGCTTTATTGGTTCGGTTTATTCAACATTGTTACCTACATAAAAATCTAGTACTCCAACTTCAACATATTGTTAGATATTTTTTTTTTGACGGCAACATATTGTTAGATATTATAAACATAAGAAGACCTATAAATTTATGTAAGTCATCGAAGGGAATATCCCAAGGCAAAACTATATTTAATTTCCATCCCTAGCAAACTTTCAACTTAACTTTTTTCAGTGCTAACAATATATTCTCATTAAATTCCGAATTTAATTTTGGAAGGAGGAAGAGATACGTAAGTTATATGATACCATTTTAATATATAAATGTGGTCATGTTCTTTAATAAGTTAATATTATGAGTGACACTAACTGATTTATTGGTTTTGTCATTTGGTTTCAAAGAGCAGTAAGAGTACATGGAGTTAATTCCTTATAGTTCGATAAATTACAGTTTATTAATTAGATCACTGTCTTATTGGATTTTGACAGAAAGCAAAAGGTGACTTTTGTCTTTTGAAAGAATGGTATAAGAAATATGTTTTGGACGAAGCGTCCTCAAGCTTGTCATTTGATGCAATGTCGTGGTAAACAAAAAAAGAAAAAAAATCCAAATTGAATAAAACTTGGCGATTAAAATGGTAATCTAGAGCAACATGTTTCATTACCTAATGAAAAACGGAGTCATCACATAAAATATGTCATCATACATTGTCACAATATATACGTTTAGTGGCTTGCCAATGAACATATTTTAGAGGATGCATAAACTGTGACAATGAGTTGCATGCAAAAGCTATATATAACCATGCAATCAATCGTGAGATACGTTAATTGGTTGATTGATTCACAAAGGGAACTATTGAATGAATCAATTAACAGGCTAGACATTCATTTAATTTGGTTAAACATTTAGTTAAACGTCTAGTTACTAGTTAGGCTTTAGGCATCCACTTTTTTTTTTTTTTTTTTTTTTTTGAATAAAATGTTAAATTAAATTCAAGAAAAAAATAACGTTTTGTACATCAAAAGCAGAGGATGCTGAAATATTTTTGAAAATATAGATACATCAAGTTGATTAGAGGCTTCTTGATGCAAACCATGCTTGGAGGCTTGGTTCGTATCGTGTGTCTCCTTCCTTCCTAATGACCGAGAGCTTGTTCCGAATTTGTTTGTCCAAGTGAGGAGTCGGCTTCTCTCCATGCTTCCTCCCATTACGCTCCCGCCAAATCGTATGAACTGTTATTTGAAAGCTGTATCGAAGTAGGCATCCACTTTTTCCATCAATGCTACACTTTTTAGATGCCGATTAAGGCATAGCACTTAGCCACTTAATAAAGGAATCATGGATTATTCTACATATAGGTTTATGCTAAGTATATGTCACACTTTTCATTACCCCTTTTAACCTTTTGTCATATAGGGAATCTAGAGTAAGAGAAAGAAAGAGATCTTTCCAACAAAGATCCAGTAATCACAAGATATTTGCAAATGTCTCTACTATTTTTATTTCGTCCAATAAAACCCATCACACACCTTCTGATCCCCTTTTCATTTGTAACTCACGAGATGACCGACTCTTGTTTGAACTTGCAACTGATAAAAGCACTCGATAACGGTATAAAGGGAAAAAAAAAACAGTCTACTTATCTCAGATTCGACACAAGGTAGCATCTAAGTTCGAGAGAAAAAAAGAAAAGAAAAAGAACAAGTTACAAGATTCGACCAATTTTGTTCTTCTGTTTGCAGCAGGACAAACCAGAATAAGTAAAGAGAGAGACTGCTTCTTAGCTGTTTTCAGGGCTGCGATGGCATCGGAGAAGATGGAGGCTTCAAGTCAGGGTACTGCAAAAGAGTCAAGAAACACATCAGATTAGTGAACGATAACTAAAACCCATGTAAGACCTAGTAAAGCATAAAGATATTTCTTCAAGGATCAACGGAGGTCCAAATTGTAACTATAAACCGCTTAAAGGTTTGTTTATTTTCCACCGAAAAGAGCTCTCTATGAGAAAGCAGAAACATTACCGATGCATATGGAGAGAGAGGTCTTGAGTAAGGTTTTGGTTTGGCTTCTGTTTCGGTTGGTTCTGTGATTACTTGTGCAACGGCAGCAGCAGCTTCGACCACTGGCTCTGGCTCAGGCTCTGGTACTGGTTTATCTACGGTGGTGGTTGTAGCTGCTCCTGCTTCTGGCTCAGGTACTGGTTTCTCGACAGTGGTGGTTGTAGCTGTAGCTGCTTCTGCTTCTGCTGCTACTGTTGCTGGTGCAGGAAGAGCTTTGTTGCTTGTTGACTGAGGAAGAAGAGCCTTTCCTATTTCCTGTTATTCAAAGTTGAATTAGTTATAGAAAGGGTTTCATTACTAATGTAGATATGTACCTAAATTAGTCACCTTTAACTCGTCAACAAGTTCTTTAGGAGCAACCTTTGTGTTCAAGAACTCATCCACCTGTTTTAGAGTTTGCTTTCGGTCCTGTAGAAGAACCATCAAAACATCACCAACTCCGATAAATACATTCAAATCGAATCTTGAAGAAAGGAAAGATGGGAAGAACTTGCCTCAGCAAATAGAAGTTTCTTGCCTGCAAGCTGAACAAGTGCAGCTGAACCTAGTAGTTGGAGTATGGTTTCAACCTGTAGGGATGATGATAGAGATTAAGATTAATTCGGAATTTTCTGGAGACAAGAACATGGAGAAAGAGGGATGATACCGAAAGACTCACCTCTGTAAATGCAAAAACACTTAATCCAGCAGCAGCGGCTACTCCAAGAGCGACAGACACACCATCAGAACTCTCCTGTACATTTATGTTAAAATCATTTTCCGATATTTGTTACAGAAACTTAAATTAAATGTATGTAAAATTCGATACTCACACCAAATACACCGCTGATGCTATCCGTCAAACTGCTCAAATCAAGACTGAGAGTCTTCTTTGGCTCTACCCAAGGCAAGCCGCTATTCTGCAAATCAGAGGAAAAAAACAAATGTGAATAAGTCGAAATTGAAATGAATTGAAGAAGCAAATAATATGGGATGAGAGGAAGAGGAACACACACCAACCAGCCTCTAGGTCCCTCTGCACCATCTTTAATCGCGTAAGCAGATTTGAATCCATTAAGAGCCACCAATTCAGCAACAAGCTCGGAGTTTCCATCAAACCTGGCTTTCCATTCAAATAAATCAGACTGTATTAAACTACTGACAAATGATAACAATGTGAGAAATCTATATGATTCTCAATTTCTCTCCAAAAGCAATACAATAAGACATAATTATCACTACTCAAAGTTTGAATATTCTTTCAGAAAGCAAATGAATGCAGCAGCAGAGCAAATGAAGGAAAGCTGCAACTATATTCAGTGATCAGACAATATAAGAAGCTAAAATGATTCAATGTTCTCATAAGCCTCTCGAGATATATAACTTTCATAAAAAAATAAAGGAATCTTTTTTAGTTGCCGAGAGCCTTACTTGTCCAGAATGAACAATGTGGTGTTTTCAGGATCTTTAAACTTCAAGGAAAGCTTCTTCAGGAAACCAGGCTTGTCTTCACCGTTATAAACAGTAGAAACAGCTTTTTTACCCAAACCCTTAATATTAGGACTGCCCACTTGTCTGAAATCAGCGGTGGCTCTTATGTCAAGTAACTGAGCATTATCATCAGTACCCAACTTGGTATAAGCATTCTTAGCAGATTCTACTCCCCAAGATTTGGGCTTTTTGTTCAGAACCTGAGACAGAACAAATGGAACAGCCAATGCAGCAACTCCACCAGCAATAACCAAAGGATTGTCCGTGACAAAATTGGATACCCCTTCAATCAGACCATCCGAATCAAAAGATGAAGAAGTGGTCATAGATTGTTGCAAAGCTTCCTCGTACGTCAGAGATTTAGCAGGAGCTGTTGCACTGCTTAGAACAGAGGTTAGAAGAGCCAATCCACCATTGAATCTCTTCAAGAAGCTTTCTTGGGAGATTGGTCTCGGTGATTTTGGTGGAAAGAGGTTAGGGAGCGAGAAAGGCTTTCGTGGTTCTGATCTTTTCTCGGATAACACCGACATAGGGCTAAAGGTTGCGGTTTTCAGAGCTTCCATTGCTCTATCTCTCAATTTCTCCTTCTACACCAAGAATTGTGCTCTCCGTATCATCAAACTCTTCCCAAAGATTAAAGATGATGAAGAAGAAGTGGAAGAAAAGTGTCAAGGACAAGCATTGAGCTGTTTCTAGTAAGCTGACGTGGACTGTGTAATCAATCGTAGCCACCGCTTGCTTGACACGTGGCATATTCGGATGAGATACCTCTTGATCATGTTTTGGTGTGAGAGGAGAGCACTGTGACTACTTACTTTTAGTCCCCAAATTGCATGTCAAATGTGTGGCCACGGAATATTGAAGATGTTTCAAGAGAAGCCTCTGCATATTTACCAAAATGTCCTTTATCCAGAACACAAAAAACAGAGACTAGACTAACTACAAAAGGTTCCTCAGCATTTGATTAAGTGAACAAAGAGGATCAAGTATAACATTAAGAAAACAGAACATGATGCAATGTATGGAACTTACAATAGATCAAAGAAATAATCTAAACCTTGTCCGATTTCCCAGATTGAAATGCCGATACCCCAGAGACGAGCATTCTCAAGCCGTAGAAGGATTGACATCAATGTAGGATAGAAAACAGCATGCTTGATGTTCTTGTCATCTCTATACATGAAAAGATGCTCGCCGCTCTCTTTATCCCAACGAAAAGTTGGCTTGTGTTTTTGGAGTAATGTGAGGTAATCCCTTCCGGTGATTGCTCCTCCGCCTCCTGAATCTTGCTCAAAAGAAAACAGTTTATTCAGTTAGGTTTGAAAGAAAGGCCAGAAGAGAACAAGCTGGTTAAATAAGCTTGGATGGTTCATATACCTCCAGAGATTACAAAATCGTTGCCGTAAAAGTTGATACCAAGAAGAACTTTTCTGGCTATGTTTGAGTCTATGCTATTGGATGAACCAAGCAGGAGCTTGAGGGTCAAATCTATCCACTTGATAGGAGCATTGGGGCCAGGGTTCTGGGGATTGGAGAAATCATAGGTCATAAGAGAGAACCCATCAACCGAATCTTTCAAGAATTGAAGATCTTCGGGCCCAAAATCGTACATTTGGAGCTTCTCTGAACGAGGTGGACCAACGACATACATGAACTGCATATGTTGCTGGTTATTTCTCAGTGAGCTTGTTGAGTGAAGGGCGTCTCCAAGTTGTTTTACGAATTGCAGTGCCTAGAAGATTTATTATGAAGGTTGCTGACATGATGCATTATGTGAAAACAAAATATCGAAGCGGTCTGAAGGAGATTACAGGGCATACCATTTTCCGCATATCTGGGTCATGCAAAACGCCATAAGCTGCCCACCTTGACCAAGACTCTAACACGATACCATCATATTCCATTTCCCTAGAGTTCAAGGCAAACATGATGACAAGGTAAAGTTAAAATTTACAAGCTCTATGTAAAGACATTCATCCTTTTCAGAGCATGAACTTTACAGGAATTTTAGACTTATGGGAGACCCTTACTTGCACTCTGTGACAATAAGATTGATAGCTTTCTCCCTTAGTTTCTTTTTCTTAAGCATCTCCCCAGGAATTGCTTCTAGAACAACTCTTGGTAATATCTACATAAAAGGGGAAGAAAAAAATTCAGACACGCACAGAAGGGAAAAAACAAATTAACCATCAGCATTTTCACGGTATCGATCTCTGGCCAATACAGAGAAGGAAAGAAAATGGGTGAGTTGGTTAAACTACCAGCGCATTTCCTCTTGATCGAAGCTCTTGGATCCATCCCTTATCAGCATTATGTCTCCCTTCCAAAACCAACCCAGATCCTTGGCCACTACTAGAGACAGAAACCAAAAAATGTCACTACCATTTTCTGGAAACCAGGAGATAACTACAAGCAGTTAGAACTCATTAACTGCTGTATACCGCATACCTCTTCAGATCGTACCATACCGGTGATAAATGTGTAAACTTTGAGTTAAATATCTTTGCCATATCATAGCCTTTAGAGTTCCTGCACAACATTTTCAGCATAAGAATCCAATCTCTACTGTTCTCAGTGACAATGACAACAATTTGTATATTTCAATATCTCAAAATCTGAAATTGTTCCAAGAAACCTACCATGGAGTAATGTAAGCTAACACTGGATAATCATAGTGCCTAGTTGTTGAATTCTCTGCGGCCTTGGAATGTTCCTGAAACAAATTCAAACCAAATTTGATGAAAATTCATCCTAAAGTTTTCAGCTTGGATCCCAACATTGACCCAAAACTATGGAACTCACAGTGAGGATTTCTTGGAAATTAATATCAGTTTTAACGATTCCCTTGTGACGTATTGATGGTTCCGTTTTGATGACTCGATCAGCGAATTTGACTTTGTACACGACAATCGAAACGGCGGGAATCACGATGAAGAAGATTACGAAAATGGTGATGAGTCTCCGATCTGAGTCTGGTTCTCCGACTTGATTAGGTGATGAGTCTCCATCCTTCCGCCGTTTCAAACTCTCCACCGCCGATGAACGTCGTCTCCTCGCCATCGAGTTGTGAATAAACAGAGACCGAAACGACGTCGTTAGGGTAGGAGATTTGTTTTTTTTGATTGATGTAATTCCATATTTACCCCTGCTTCTAGTCAAGTATTACGTTAAAGACCTATAAGAGGATATCAGAGAGATGCATCATTCTTCTGGGAAAAAGAGGAGGGTTTTATGACTTTATCGTTAAACCCCAATCCAAATCTTCGCGACCAGAAACAGATTCTTCTGCAGAACCTGTAACAATATAGAACCGAAGCGATAAAGGTGAGATTTTTTTATTTCCTGGATTCAAATTTCTTTATTTTTCATAGTAGAAGATTTATCAGGAGTTTCAATTCACAGGCTTCGAGTCTCAAAAATGGAGCCCAAGCTTCTGCTTTCTGCACATAAACCCTTGTTTGTATCTTGTAACTCTCCGTTCAATGAAAAAACCAATCTTTCTGTCAAATCCGGTTTGCCCATGTCCACAATTCGAGCTGCGAGGTCTCAGTTTATGGGGGAAGGTTTGATTTTGGGGAACAAATACGGGTTTTGGAGTGCTTCTAGGAAAAATCGTCTTGTTGTTGAGCCTGTGAGAGCTGCTGTGAAGAGAAGGAAAGAGCTTACTTTCGATAGCGTTGTTCAAAGGGATAAGAAACTTAAGTTAGTGTTGAACATTAGGAAGATTCTTGTGAGTCAACCTGATAGGATGATGTCTCTTAGGGGTTTGGGTAAGTACAGGAGAGATTTGGGTTTGAAGAAACGTCGTCGGTTTATAGCTCTGCTTAGGAAATATCCTGGTGTGTTTGAGATTGTTGAAGAAGGAGCCTATTCTTTGAGATTTAAGATGACTTCAGAGGCTGAAAGGCTGTACCTTGAGGAAATGAGGATTAGGAATGAGCTTGAAGATGTACTAGTTGTTAAGTTGAGGAAATTGGTGATGATGTCTATCGATAAGCGGATATTATTGGAGAAAATTTCCCATTTGAGGACCGATTTAGGACTTCCTTTAGAGTTCCGCGACACGATTTGTCAGCGTTACCCGCAATATTTCCGTGTGGTTCCTACGCCTAGAGGTCCGGCTTTAGAGTTAACGCACTGGGATCCTGAGCTTGCAGTGTCAGCTGCTGAGTTATCTGAGGATGATAATAGGACTAGAGAGTCAGAAGAGAGGAATTTGATTATTGATAGACCACCTAAGTTCAATAGGGTTAAGCTTCCAAGGGGTCTCAATCTTTCAAAAAGTGAGACGAGGAAGATATCTCAGTTCCGTGACATGCGGTATATATCTCCTTACAAGGATTTCTCCCACTTGAGGTCGGGAACACTCGAGAAAGAAAAGCATGCTTGTGGGGTTATTCATGAGCTTTTGAGCTTGACGACTGAGAAAAGAACGTTGGTGGATCACTTGACTCATTTCCGTGAGGAATTCAGATTCTCGCAACAACTTAGAGGAATGCTTATAAGGCACCCTGATCTCTTCTATGTGTCTTTAAAAGGAGAAAGAGACTCGGTTTTCTTACGAGAAGCTTACAGGAACTCTGAATTGATAGATAAAGATCCTCTAACTCTTGTGAAAGAGAAGATGCGCGCACTTGTATCTGTACCGAGGTTCCCAAGGAGAGGAGGACCCAGGAAAGACGAAGAAGGAAGAGACGAAGAGATGGATGGAAGTGATGCAGAGGGTGAGGAGGAAGAAGAAAGTGATGCTGAAGAATGGTCTGATGTTGATGGTTACTTGGAAGGTGAAGATGGTCGCAATGATGATGATGGTGATTGGACTGATGACGAAGGAGAAGAAGATGTGCCTCCTAACTTTGATGATGATGAAGAAGAAGAAGACAGCGTTAAGATTGGATTGAGTCCTTCAAGTAGAATATCAAGTAGTCCTAGAAAGAAGGAAGTGAAAGTACTTACTCCTGTGTTCCCTGATGGTACTCCAAGGGAAAAATGGTAAAAGCATTCTTGAAGATGTTTACTTGTCTTGTATCATTCTTCACTAATAGCTCAAGTTTATGTTATTTATGTATGTTGTTGTTGCTTTGGTTGTAAGAACACTTGAGAATGATGTTTAATCTTTCTCAACTTTTTTGTAGTGTTTATATATGAGTATCTTCCGCAAGTGAATCTTAAACATATAAAACGCTGCGTTTTGAGATCGTAGTGAAATAAAACGGATAGTGTTCTCTCTCTTATCCGGAAACTGTGAAGTGAATAAAATGGAGAACTTCTCTGTAACGTACCGCCATTGTCACAGCTCCTTGTTTCTTCATCAGTCACAGCGAAGATATCTTCTTAATCATTCTTCGGCTTGTTTTTCTCTGGACATCAAACATGCGTCGTTTGAATCTATACCAACCTCAGTATCTCTGGAACCGTCGTCTTCAAGTTGGGATTTTAATCCGTTGAAGGAGCTAAATGGATGCAAAAATCTTATTTCTGTTAAAGCTACTCATGCTCGGATGATGAAGTTATTCGATCGATTCGAATTGGAGTTCATTGCTAAGTGCTTGATCACTCGTTACCTTGAATTCGAAGAATTTGGATATGCCAGTACTGTGTTCTTCCTGGGATTCCCAAGGAATCAAGTTTCATGGAGGGATTTCTTGGAAAAGACTGAGAATTTCGGAGTAGACAAGTATAGGGTCTTGGGGGAATTTGTTCAGCTACAGAACAAAGGAGTAAATTTCGATGAAGTAGTTCTCGCTATGGTTTTGAGAATTTGTGCTGTTCTAATGTATCGGTTATTGGGTTTAACTATCCATGGTAATTTGATCAAGAGAGGGCTCGATAATTCAGACACACGAGTGGTTTCTGCGTTGATGGGTTTCTATGGAAGATGTGTGAGTTTGGATCTTGCTAACAAGATATTCGATGAAATGCCTAAAAGAGATGATCTTGCATGGAACGAGATCGTGATGGTAAACTTGCGGAGTGGGAATTGGGAAAAGGCTTTGAAACTGTTCAGAGAGATGCAGTTTTCTGGTGCAAAAGCTTATGATAGTACAATGGTTAAGCTTTTGCAAGTTTGTAGCAACAAGGAAGGTTTTGCAGAAGGGAGACAGATTCATGGGTATGTTCTGAGACTGGGGTTTGAATCAAATGTGTCCATGTGTAACTCCTTGATTGTCATGTACTCGAGGAATGGCAAGCTTGAATCATCCAGGAAAGTTTTTAATTTGATGAAAGATCGGAATTTGTCTTCGTGGAACTCGATTGTATCGAGTTATACGAAACTTGGTTATGTAGATGATGCTATGGGTCTCCTGGACGAGATGGAGACATGTGGTCTGAAACCAGATATAGTGACATGGAACTCTCTTTTGTCAGGTTATGCTTCTAAAGCCTTATCCAGAGATGCCATTGCGGTATTGAAGAGAATACAAATTGCTGGTCTGAAGCCAAACACGAGCTCAATTAGTAGTCTTCTTCAAGCTGTTTATGAACCAGGGCTTGTTAAACTTGGGAAAGCGATTCACGGATATGTAATAAGAAATCAGCTTTGGTATGATGTTTATGTAGAAACCACTTTGATCGACATGTATATTAAAACTGGCTACTTGCCTTACGCCCGGATGGTTTTTGATATGATGGATGAGAAGAACATTGTTGCTTGGAATTCACTCATCTCGGGACTTTCGTACACCGGTCTTCTAAAGGAGGCTGAAGCGTTAATAAGTAGAATGGAAAAGGAAGGGATCAAACCTGATGCTGTTACATGGAACAGTCTGGTTTCTGGGTATGCGACTTGGGGAAAAACTGAGAAAGCTTTCGCTGTGGTAGGGAAGATGAAAAAGAACGGGGTGGAGCCTAATGTGGTTTCATGGACTGCCATCTTGTCGGGGTGTTCCAAAAATGGAAACTTTGGGAATGGTCTCAAAGTTTTCATGAAAATGCAGGAAGAAGGTGTCTCTCCAAACTCAGCTACCATATCCAGCTTGCTTAGGATATTAGGTTGCTTGAGTCTATTATACAGTGGCAAAGAGGTTCACAGCTTCTGTTTGAAGAACAATTTGATCCGCGATGCACATGTTGCAACTGCACTAGTAGATATGTACGCAAAATCAGGGGATCTGCAAAGCGCGGCTGAGATTTTCTGGGGCATTAAGAACAAACCGCTAGCTTCTTGGAACTGTATGATCATGGGTTATGCCATGTTTAGGCGAGGCGAAGAAGGGATTGCGGTTTTCAGTGCGATGCTTGAAGCGGGCATTGAACCTGATGTTATAACGTTTACCTCTGTCTTGTCTGTTTGTAAGAACTCAGGTCTTGTCCGAGAAGGATGGAAATACTTTGATCTTATGAGGTCTCATTATGGTGTTATCCCGACTATCGAACACTGCTCTTGCATGGTAGAATTGCTCGGGAGATCGGGTTATCTTGATGAAGCCTGGGACTTTATCCGAACAATGCCATTAAAACCCGATGCAACTATTTGGGGTGCATTTCTTTCATCTTGTAAGATCCATAGAGACCTAGAACTCGCTGAAATCGCTTGGAAGAGGCTTCAAGTACTAGAACCACACAATTCAGCTAACTACATGATGATGATAAACTTGTACAGTAATTTGAACAGATGGGAAGATGTTGAACACATACGGAACTCAATGAGCAATAATAGGGTGAGAGTCCAGGATCTGTGGAGCTGGATTCAGATTGATCAAACGGTTCACATGTTCTATGCAGAGGGAAAAGCACATCCTGATGAAGGAGAAATTTACTTTGAGCTGTACAAATTAGTCTCTGAGATGAAGAAATCAGGTTATGTGCCATACACAAGATGTATACACCAAAACGTAAGTGAATCAGAGAAAGAGAAGCTGCTTATGGGACATACAGAGAAGTTAGCAATGACTTATGGCCTTATCAAGAAGAAAGGCATAGCTCCTATAAGAGTGGTCAAAAACACAAATCTATGTTCCGATTGCCACACTGTAGCCAAATACATATCGGTTTTAAGAAACCGTGAAATTGTTTTACAAGAGGGGGCAAGAGTTCATCATTTCAGAGACGGAAAATGTTCCTGCAACGACTCTTGGTGATAATATAGATAGTCACTAGCTCTGTTTTTTCTTACAATGGTGCGTAAATACAGACACTGTCCAACAAACACCAGAAAACAAATTACATCAAAACTTTCGCTGCTGGCTCGAAAATGGCCTATGGAGTGGATCTGAGCAAAGCAGCAGAGAAGCATGATCACACATGCTTCTATATATCTACATGACCAGACTAAAGAATTTCTTAGTGGAAGATTCTAAACGCACTGGATCTTTCTTCATTCACTGAGTTTGTACGTGGGACTAATCGAGCCATATCTCCAAAGGTTACTGTATGATTCTTCTCTCCATATCGTCAAAGGTTGGTTGCTGTATGATTCTTCTCTCTGTATCCATTGGAAGTGTTACAGAAACTGGCGATTGAATTGGTAATGTCCTGAGCAGCCAATCTTTCAGAGACACAAGCCAAGGATTTGAGGTTACACTTTATGAGTGATTCCACAAAGTAACATGTATCATCTTTGGTGTTGCCTTGGGGAACATCCACAACAAAAGACTCAATCACCATAGTTCCTGACCTTCCATCGATCATCTCCGGATGTACAGTCAAGATCGAAGAGTAATTCTGCGGAATCAAACAAAAACTACTATAACAACTGCCAATGTTTCTGAAATCTGTGTAAAAAGCTATTGAAATTTTGGATATATTAACCTTAAGTCTGTGATCACCACCAATGATGTTGATACCGAGGATGTGTTCTTCATCATCAAGCTGTTCCAATCTCTCGGTACTGGTAGTCGCAGGAAGACCAGATTTGACATTAACTTCTCTGAGACAACCAATCTCAGGATTACCATTAACAGTGCATCTGCTTATAAATGGTTTGTATTTCTGCGGCTGGTCAAATCTCCGCACAAGTGACCAAACCTGAGTCATAAATACACCATCGTTAGCTTAAAGACTAAGAGAGACCAACAAGTAATCGGTACCCTAAATCCAGCTAATTTCAATTCACAGCGAATCGTAAAAGAATAAACTAAAAAATCGAAACAAAAATAGAAAGATCGGAACCCTAAATCAGGCGAATCCGGCAAAATAATTTCAACAAATTCGTAATAGAAATAAAAAGATAGACAGAGCGTGAGAGAATAGAAGGGCGTACGAGATGAACAGGAGCTTGAATGTATTTGACGAGAACAGAGGTACACTGGTTCTCTTTGCAATGGTGACGATGATGCAACCGTAAGGACTGCGCCGTCACCAGAGCTCCGATCATCTCTCTATCGTCTTCTCCGATCATCTCCATCTTCCGACCAGATATCTCTAATCTTGTTGGGAGTGGATAAAGTAGAACCAAATAAAGTAAAGAATTGGCTTTTATGGGTTTATTTTTGTTTTGGTTGGTTAGGCTCAAAAATCAACGAACACACACCGACATATATTAATCCAACAACGGATTTACGATGAACCGACAAATCTTTAAGATAGATTACGTGTCTTACTTTAATTGGTTTGTCGTCTACCTTTTTGGATTAGCTTTTGACTTTAAGCACGTGTTTATACTCTCTTCTCCTGCCAAATAAGCTTCCCAATTTTGACGACACCTATCTATCTCCAAAATATGATCTCATCTTCTCTACTTATCAAAAACTATAGCTGATGTCAGCATGAGATCACAATAAAAAATGTCAGAAACATGATTATTTGGCAGCAAAACTCATTATCCATATATATATATATATATATTTGAAACTCTGTTTTGACGTGTGAGTGCATTTAGCGATTCACACGTTCCACATGACCGTCTTCATTACCGCAAACGCTTTCGCCATATTAGCTTTAGCCGTTTCCATCGTCTCCTCAGCTTCTTGCACCATATCTGCCGCCATTGAAGCCGTTTCTGCCGCCTTTGTCGCCATAGTCGTCACTTTTTCCACCATTGTTTCAATCTCCTCCACCATTTTTACAGCCTTTTCCGATATTCCCCTCGCGTCATCCGCCATTGTCGATGCCTTTTCCAACATTGCTCTCACTTCCTTCACCATGGCTACAGAGAAACATCACCGAGCGTTTTGTAAGAGTAGTTTTTTGGTGTCAAAACAGAGAATTTGGCGTTTTAACAAACCTCTGGCTTTCTCACGTTCTTCATCTATTCTTTCCTTGATCTCCACGGCTGTGTTGAAAACCCCTAGAGTTGGCTCTTTACACACAAAACAATTATCGTTCTCAGTTTGATGCTGCATCATGAAACAAAATAACAAGGAAGCTCTGTTTCAAAAATTAGCTAAACCAGTCACGAGACTTGTTGAAGATTAGATAATGTAACCTTTAGAGCACACTTCTCACAAAAGTAATGGTTGCATTTGGTGACAACAGGATCCATGAATGGTTTTTTGCAAATGGAACATGCTAAGGGCAATGCATCATTTTCCTCCCTTGGCTCAAAGTCAGTTTGAAGCTTCCTCGACGTTGCTTTTTTGACCTTCTTCTCTAATCTGGAGCTTTCGTTTTTCGAGTCTCCATCTTCGTCTGCATCGAGACTTCTTTTCTTGAAGTTCTTATTAGTTATTTCACCTTCTCGAGTCTCTGTTTCTTGCTCAGCAAGTTGAGATTCTTCCTCTGACGTTTTAGCTTCACCAGAATCTGACATTGTTGATCAGATTAACCAGTCTGAAAGATTACCAAATACACATCAGGATTAAATATCTGAATCTAAACATCTACAGAATTCCAATCTCGATCATCAGATTTGATGACAAATCATAAACACTAGAGATCTGATTACCAAATTTAGTTTGAAAATAAAACCAAGAAAAATTATTTCACCTAAGCGCAACCTAATTCTAATCAATACTTCACCTAATTAAAACCCTAGTTTTTAGATATATCTAGTGAATGTAGAATCAACCTTTTACTGAAAATGGCGGCAAAGTTTCTGACTTCTAAAGAAAGAACATAGAGAAGAAGATTTGAAAATAAAGAACAGATAGCTAGCCTCGCCTTAAGAATAGAGCAGTGATGATTGGAAAATTACGCCGGGAATAATAACACCGACGGTAACGACGTCTTCCGATTGCGAGAAGCCGAGAACTACGGTGAGAAAGAAGTTACAAAAATATTTGGGACAGTCAACAGTTAGTTTTAGGCTTGGGCTTTTATTAGGAGTAGGCCCATTAAATGTTATCGGCTAAAACCTACTTTGACTTTTAATTAATATTTCCCTCTCTTTTTGTCTTTTATTGTAATTTGTAAATGCTCACAATTTCGAAGAAACTGCCATTGATGGAGTCTCCATTTTCCAGCGCCATGCCAAGCTTGACTACTATGAAAACTTATTTGACTGCTTGAAAAAAATTCAGAGAATTTTCCAATTTCAGTTCATTGGAAAATTCTTACTACAATTTTTCTTATTCGCTTCTGATCAGTTACTTTCGTCCTTCTGGTAAGTTTCTACTTGATATCAATGTTCAATTTTTTAGTTTCCGTTTCTTCTTCTTCTTCGTTTGATATTTTTTTTTCCTGTAACTGTAAACTTGGGGATAAAAAAATTAAAGAGATTAAATTTATGTGTTACTCTCTCTCTCTCGTCGGCAGTTATTTATTGGTCCTGTAATTCCCAGATTTTTATTGAAGAAGATTTGAAAGCTAGCTTTGATCGGAACCCTAATTTTTGTTCTTATGATTCAGGATCCGTTGACGAATAGCAAAAAGCTTGATTTATGGCTTTTGGCCGCGACAATCGTGTAAGGTTGTTGTTTGCTTGCTTTAATCTCGTCTTTTTTTTTTTTAAAGAATCAATTCACAATGTTTTTGGAAGATTCTCAGAGAAGATTTTTTGTTTAGGTTCAGAGATTGGATTTCAGAAGGATCATTAACCACAGAGTATGGTTACGGAAGAAAAGTTAGACCATCTCTAAACACAGTTTTGAAGAATGTTCGTAGAGGATTTGAGAAAGGTTCAGATAAAATCAGGACTTTTAAGAAAAGAGATTCTAGCACCACCACAGATAAGAAGAATATTATAAACCCACAAGGCTCTTTTTTGCAGAACTGGAACAAAATATTTCTTTTTGCTTCTGTGATTGCTTTAGCCATTGATCCATTGTTTTTCTATATTCCTATTGTTGATGGAGAAAGACACTGCCTTAATTTGCATCATAACTTGGAGATAGCAGCTAGTGTGCTTAGAACATTTATAGATGCCTTCTACATCATTCACATTGTGTTTCAGTTTAGAACTGCTTATATCTCTCCTTCTTCTCGGGTTTTCGGAAGAGGCGAGTTGGTTGATGATCCGAAAGCAATAGCCATTAAGTATCTCTCCTCGTACTTTATCATCGATGTTCTTTCTATCCTTCCACTCCCACAGGTAAATGACTAGCTACTTGTGACCTTGCTAATGGTTCCTTGATGGTTCTTTAACATTCACTTGTTTCTTCTACAGCTTGTAGTCTTAGCAGTTATCCCCAATGTCAACAAGCCGGTCTCTTTGATCACTAAGGACTACTTGATTACTGTCATATTTACTCAATACATTCCAAGGTTTCTTCGTATTTATCCACTTTACACTGAAGTTACAAGAACATCTGGCATAGTTACTGAAACCGCTTGGGCTGGAGCTGCTTGGAACCTATCTCTCTATATGTTAGCCAGTCATGTGTTTGGAGCGTTATGGTACTTAATATCAGTAGAACGAGAAGACAGATGCTGGCGTGAAGCTTGCGAAAAGAGACCAGAAGTGTGTACCTTTAGATTTCTCTACTGCGATGGAAACACTAGTGTTAGAAACGATTTCCTGACTACCTCGTGCCCGTTTATCAACCCTGATGATATAACAAATTCAACGGTCTTCAACTTTGGCATTTTTACTGATGCTTTAAAGAGTGGGATTGTTGAATCAGATGATTTCTGGAAGAAGTTCTTCTACTGCTTCTGGTGGGGTTTGCGTAATTTAAGGTTTGTAACTCTCTCTATCTAGTTAGAACAATTCTGAGCAAGTGCGTCTCTAGTTGCATCTTGATGGCTGGCTAAGATGACGAGCCCTGCCTCTCTTGTTGAATCTTTAACCAGATATGCATCAAAAACTAATCTGATGATCACTTGCTTTTACTCGCTCGCTACAGTGCATTGGGACAAAATCTCAATACGAGCAAATTCGTTGGGGAAATCATATTTGCTGTATCAATCTGCATATCTGGACTAGTCTTATTCGCACTACTTATCGGCAATATGCAGGTAAATCCTTTCATTGTCTTCTTTTCCATCACACACTTAATCCACAAGGAAGAGAAAACAGTACTCATGTTTCCACTTTCCATTACAGAAATACTTGGAATCGACAACAGTTAGGGAAGAGGAGATGAGAGTGAGAAAAAGAGATGCAGAGCAATGGATGTCTCATCGAATGTTACCCGATGACTTGAGGAAACGTATCAGAAGGTATGAGCAATACAAATGGCAAGAAACTAGAGGAGTCGAAGAAGAAAACCTTCTGCGTAATCTCCCTAAAGACCTCAGGAGAGACATCAAACGCCATTTTTGCCTCGATCTTCTCAAGAAAGTAAGTGCTTCTAGTTCCAGCTTCTCTCTATGATCCTTCAATTGATATTACATTCAAATAATCTTTGATCGTTTCAAATATAGGTACCTCTCTTCGAGATAATGGATGAGCAATTGTTAGATGCCGTGTGTGACAAGCTAAAACCCGTGCTCTACACTGAGAACAGCTATGCAATTCGAGAAGGAGACCCAGTGGAGGAGATGTTGTTTGTTATGAGAGGAAAACTGATGAGCGCCACCACAAACGGTGGCCGGACCGGCTTCTTTAACGCCGTATACCTTAAAGCTAGCGACTTTTGCGGCGAAGATCTTCTCACATGGGCATTGGATCCTCAATCTTCGTCTCATTTTCCGATTTCGACGAGAACAGTTCAAGCTTTAACAGAAGTAGAAGCCTTTGCTCTAGCAGCAGATGATCTCAAGCTTGTTGCTTCACAATTCAGACGACTCCATAGCAAACAGCTTCAACATACTTTCAGGTTTGGTCTCTTGTGACTGATCTCTGTTTCTCTGATTTCCGGTTCTGTTTGGTTTAACTCGGTTTAAATGTCAGGTTTTATTCGGTACAATGGAGAACTTGGGGTGCGTCTTTCATACAAGCGGCGTGGCGGAGACATTGCCGGAGGAAACTAGCTAGGTCATTAACCGAAGAAGAAGATCGATTCCGAAACATAATCGCAAAACGCGAACGCGATGCGGCGTCTTCGTCGAGCCTGGTTGCAACGTTATACGCGTCGCGGTTTGCTTCAAACGCGCTTCGCAATCTGCGTACCAACAACGTTCCTTTGCTCCCTCCTAAACCCTCCGAGCCTGATTTCAGTCTTCGAAACCCTTAAATATCTCCAGTTACCACTTGTATATAATATTGTCAACGACATACATTAAAGCTTAAACTAATTACAAAAATTTAGAAATTTTGTTACCTAAAAAAACTTTGGAGTAAATACTACAAATTTATATAAAAATGGTTCTGAGGACTTCAAGTGTATGTGTTTGACAAAAAAACAAAGAAAATGTTAACCAATAACATAAGTACAATTTATGATGTTATTTTATCTACGTGTAATTTGTTCCATATATATTTATTAGATTCAATTCAATTGTAGATAATTTTTACTTGATAAGTAGTTAAGTACATCATTTACAGTGATTTACTTGATAAAACAACAAAAATTAGATTGACCGACATAAGGGGCCAATCCGTAACCGACTAAGATTCAGACAATATAAAAGCCCTTTTAGTCATAAACCCAAAAGTGTGGATAAGATTATTATCTTAGCCCAACAAGTACTCAAGCAGCGAGAGAGAGAGAGAGAGAGACTTTTTAGGGCTCCGTCAATTTTCCCCAATTTCTCCAGAAATCGAATCAATCTTCTTCTTCTTCCTCTTCGTCCAAGTTTTTGAATCGAAAATCGATGGCGGATCAGAGCTCTAAGCCGTTACAGTTTTTCGTTAGACTACTCGACGGAAAATCATTAACCCTAAGTTTCTCCTCTCCATTAGCTTATGGCGAGCAGGTTAAGCAGCGGATCTTCGAGCAAACGAAGATTCCGACGCATCTACAGCGATTGATAAGCGGAGGATATCAAATCTCCGACGGATCCGCGATTTCTCAGCCTGACGCCACCGTGAATCTTGTCCTTTCCCTGCGTGGAGGTAAAGGTGGATTCGGATCGTTACTTCGTGGTGCGGGTACGAAAGCTGGGCAGAAGAAGACAAACAACTTCGATGCGTGTAGGGATATGAGTGGACGGAGATTGAGGCATGTAAACGCCGAGAATAGGCTTCAGGAGTGGAAGGAAGGTGAAGAAGAGAGGAAGCTTGAGAAATTGGCTCTTGAGTTTCTCAAGAAGCAAGCTAATAAAGTTAAACAAGGTGTTGGAAATGGAGCTACGCAGAAGTATGTTAACAAGTATAAGGAAGAATCTGATAAGTGTATTTTGGCTGTTGATTTGGCTTTGAACGAATCTTTCAAGAATGGGAAGAGAAAAGGGAAGATTGGTGTTGAATCTGAAAAGAAGAAGCGACTCAAGATATGGTATGCAATCTCTTTTTCAATGATTTAGAGAATTTGATAGTTTATGAAGCTTCTTAAGTTGATTGATTGTAAAAGTTGTTCTTTTTTTCTGTAATTGTGATGCTAATGGTGGGTATGTAGATTCAGTAGTCTCGTATATTGTTACTTGAGTTCTTCATATCTCTGTTGCTTGCCTTTGATGATGTGTTTATTTTTTTAGGAAGGGAAAGAGAGCTGTTGAAGATAGTGACAGTGATGATAGCAGCGACGAGGAGGATGAGAAATCTGTTGTTATAAACAATGGTGGCCAAGTTGTTTCAGATAAGGATACTGATGAAAGCTCAGGCTCTGGTAAATCTTCATGCAATAGCGGTTCGGAGGAAGAGAACGACTTTGTAGTGCACCACCGAAGATTAGATGTGGTTAAGGGAGAGATCACCGGTGTTCAAGGGATTAACGAAGAGAAGATGGATGATTTACCTGTTGCTGTTGCTGTTGCTGATGCAATGGATCAACCTGAAAAGGTGGAGAAATCAAGTGGAGACGCAGGGGAGAATCTGGTCGATGTAGCTTGTGAAACGTTAATTACGGCTGCAGCTGTTAAGAATCAAGGAAATGATTCTGTCGTAAAGAGAGGAGGAACTGCGAAAGAAACAGTGTCTGTTGATTCAGTTTGTTGCAAACCTGTTGGACCGCTTAACTTTGACGACTTCAATTCAGCTACAGATATGGAGGTACGTATGGAATTTTTAATACGCAAGTTAAAAACTAAATTGGTGTCTTTGTATAAACTATTAGAAACTTTAATTGCTTTGTACAACGGTGTGTCATATAGTTCATGTGTTGCATAAATCACACTACTAAACCTATTTGAATCCATCTGTGATTTGGTTTCAGGTTTTGGGGATGGAGAGATTGAAGATTGAGCTTCAGTCACGTGGTCTGAAATGCGGAGGGACATTGCAAGAGCGGGCTGCGAGACTATTTTTACTTAAATCAACACCACTCGATAAGCTCCCAAAGAAATTGCTGGCCAAGAAATGAGAACAACATCCTAAGTCCAAAAAAGTTGCTACCCTTTTGAAGTGTTTTTGCTTGTAGTACAATAATACAATCCACATTGTGTAATATCAGCTGTAATTTTCACTAATCCACCAAGATAATCACTTTCGCAATGACTCTTCTCTTTTTCCCATTTATCTTCTACAATATAGATCTTTCTTCTCTTTTTATCGAATGGTCAGAATGACACAATTCTGTCCACGTCCATGAACAAAATCCTGTGGTTAGAGAAGAGTTTCTGATCGAAGACAACAACAACAACAATCTTCCCAACTCCTAAGAGGGCACATATAGATCTCTTGCTTATTATTGTTGCCAAAAGCTTGATTTTGTCCGAACCAGGGTATGTAAAGCAACATGTTGATTAAAACTTGAAGTAAACCGATTCTTTTACATAATTCTACAACTCGGTAATTATAGCTTATGCCTACACAACCCGTGGTTATAAACTTATCTTACATTCTCCCCAACTCTACTATTTTAAAGTAGAGGAAGAATCTTACTTTTGATGGTACAACAAGTCAAATGAGTAGGAATAGTTTACGGATCCAATAAACGTGGGAATTTTTCCTGTAACAAATCAGAAAAGAGGGTTGCTTAGATTTAATCTTTGAGGACAAACCAAGTCGTACAATGTGGAGATAGATGTCCAATTTGAAGAACAAACCTTGTCATTTGTTAGGCATCACTGCTTCGTGGAGTTTTGCATTAGCTCCTTTACCTCTCTTATGGCTGAGCTCGCAGCATAAAGCGCTATTTTCTTAAGCTGCAATGCAGTGAGAAGAGAAGTGATTAGAGGTTAAGCTGAACCTAGATTTTTTAGCTTCAAAACGTGTAAGTACCTCCAATTTATCTTCGCTAGATCTGTGGTCTTTAGGTAATCTCCGGAACTCCTGTGTTAGTCTAAGGCATTCTTCAACGCTTTCGGGAGCCACAAAGTCTAGTGCCACCTTTATGCAAGACTGGAAACAGTCTGAATTTTAGGACCACTAACATAAAATGTTGATTTTTTTGCTTTTTGAGGAAAGAAAAACAATGAATGAGCAAATCTAGATGATGAAAGAAGATGCAAGTTCCAGATTCATAAATATGATATGTCGAAAAAAGGGAATTTCACCAATTGCTTACCTGTCTATTCCTCACTTGGTGAGGACAACCAGCAGGTATGAAAACAGCTTCGCCGAGGTGTTGCTCAAAGGTCCATGGTTCTATATCTGCATATGAATAAACATATATTCACCGTTTGCCATAGCAGTATAGCACAGAAAATAAATCAAGAATGTAGTATGGTTAAGCGGCACAGATTTTATGTACAGACCAGAATCTTACCAAATTCCTCCTTCAGTTGTTCCTTCTGGCTTTCACTCAAGAACAAAGTCTGGTCATGAATTGGGTGAATAACCTGAAATTAAACAGTGCACCAAATTTTAGATTTCTCACGCATTAGTGACTAATTCAATATGAATCATTTACAATGAGATGATACTTACGGATTTCACGGGTTCATTATTGATGTGACGAAACTCATGCTTGTGCCTTTTCAAAAACTGAATAAGTTTGGGAACATCCTCTCTTCGAAAGATATCCCAGACAGCACCACCATGCACAGCCTTTGACCTCTCATTGGCATTGCCATCAGTTTCTTTTGGAGCATCCAGCTTCTGCTCTTGTATGGATTCCACAATTGTACTCACAGCAGGTTGTGTGGGATTATCCTCTGTATCACACGGGGGAGTTGCAAGAAGTGTTGGCATCATTAGTCCCTTCTCCACCGAGTGATCATCTTCTCTTTGGTATTTTGGAGATAATCTCTCTGCCTTTACACAGATGTCATGACCTAGTTCCATAGCAGTAAAGCTAGATGGTGAACCAGAAGACCCTTCCATAGGATCAGCTCTTTCAATGTTCGTACAGTCACCTGAGATTAAGCTATATTCAGTAATATATGTATTTATACATAAGAATGGGAAAGCTCTCTTTCAAAATTCTCGCAATACCTTTTGAACTAATTACTTTCTCAACTTCTTGTGAGCCCGGTCTTGAACTGTTATTTGATTGTTCTTCGTTAGCAGTCTTGTCCTTTAAATACTGTTTATCTTCATCCACTTCTTTCAGTGACTTGTTTTCAAGTTCGCTGGCTTCTGTCACTTGACCACTGTATTGTTGTTTCTGCAACATGGCTTCTGCATATTTTCTCTGATGTACTTTTATGTTTTGGTATTTGTTGGGAGGGATTTCCACTTTAGCTGTGTGTGTCAACACATTGACCTATCCCACAATTATACAGAACAATTAATCTCCGAAGTATAAGGGATAGAATGGACAGCCCAGTTTCGGTATGAAAACTCTTTAATCAGCTTAAAAACACCTCAGAAAGTAAAAATCCATGGTTTATGTCTCTGAATAATTAAGAAAGTACGAAAAAGAATTGGTGCACGTACCGCGTCAGAAATATCACAATGTAGTTTTGTCACCGAATCTCCTCTGTTAAGCTCTTCATGGAAACCGTACGCAATGTATGTCTTGGGTCCAAGATCTGGCTTCAAGGATTTTTCTGGAAGTCTTGTTGCGAGATTTAGGATACCAGACTTTGGGTCAGTGTAATCAAAGAAAGGCAATGCAGCAATAAACTCAGCATTATGCCTTGGAAGGCGCTTTTCAAATAAAGTTGAGGGAGGCCAATCCTTCAATTTCAACATTTCTGGCCAACCGTTTTTATGCATGCGGCCTTCTAAGTAGCCGTCAAAAAACTGATGAATATTTATTTCAACCTACAAGAGAAAGGATGGTTATGTGTATACTTCTTAGAGAGCATTTACATCAAGTATTAAACACAAGGAATTGGGTTGACTGACCTCACACCAGTCCAAGCAATCCAAAGCTTTGACTTTTTTCGTCTCTTCTTCTTTACATTTATGCTTTGGATCCATTTCCCTACAAGCCCTCCACATAACCATTGGTTCCCAACTTAGTCCAGATGTCTTCTCGAGAACATTTCTAACTATTACAGGTTCTGCCCTCATCCAATGCGACTGAAAATGAGCAATATCGTCTTCAGCCAGATCAACAGCATTTGGGGAGTATAAGAAATTATCATGAGCATTCTTCCTAAACGCTGCCTGCCTTCTAACGGAATCAGAATTGGTAGTGCATGAGGAACATTCATGAGCAATATCCACATCTGAAGGCCTAAAATGCAGAGTACATTCCTCGGCACTCGTTATTAATTTTTCAACCCAATCTTTTTTCCATAAGCGTCTCAACTCCAGTGTTGAAGTACCACAACCACCACACTCTTTTGGAGGGCATGGAATGCTACTGTCTGAATTAAGCTTCCAAGTAGAGAAATGCAGTGGAACATAGGCTTCCGAATCTTTTCCTTGACCTGCTTGGGTTCCCCATTCATATCCTTTCCCTTCTGCATTTTTCTTCCCATCTCTCTCTTGATGGAACCCCTCACTTAGTTCCTTGCAGCAAGAAAGACATATATCGACTGAACAATCCGGGTTCGGACAGCTTCTGTGAAAATTGGCAATGGATGTGCGGCAGAGATCGCTGTAGTACAGGGATGAAGAGATTGTCAACAAACAAGGAAAGATAATGTAATGCGTAATGCACCATCAAGAATCATAGAAAAATACGTTAAATCGAATATGAGATACAATCAAAGAAATGGACTAACAAATGTGTTTTTATAGATGGCTAACGAAACTATGTCCTGTTTTATTCAATATGAAACGTCTTCACGTGTTCTGGACATAAAGAACATAATGAGCAGTAAACCCCATATACCAAATCCCAAAGATACCCAAAAGTATCCCAACAAGGTATAGAACCCTTGTATTCCTCGGGCATATGATACTGATAATGATGAACCAACTCTCAGCCCATTGCTTTGCCTTCACATGTGAAGCTTATTTTCGTTCAAATGAAGATACAAGAAAAAAGAACAACATAAAAATATAATAATCTTATTAATCACCTCCCAATTAAGTCAACCTACTTATTCCCTCAAACCATTCCTTTTTATTGTTCCACTGATTTAACAATTTGATTGCTATCAGTGCTGCCCACCCAAAAATGGCCTTGTCCACTAAACTACAGGTCTGAGATTGGCATTTTGAAACTGGAGAAATGAACCTTCCTCTGGAGGTAGTCTTTTGTTGTTAGATTTGATATCAGCTTCTTCTGCCTGAATTAGTTCCAAAGTCTGAAGCTTTGTTATTTGGACCACTACATTGGATGGAGGGTCCGACCCTCCATACACTTAAAAGACACCAAGACCATCACATGGTCTTGTGTGCGTTGGATCAGTAAAATACTCAGCCCGTGTTAGTAGAAGACCAGTTTTATTCCGGAACCATTGAAGATGCTGTTCTTCCCGCCTCAGCATCCGTCGGCAGGATCAATAGGTGTTGGCCCTCATTAATCGAGGGCGTGGAACCTGAATTAGGTTTGAGAGCAACTTCCTGAAGACCATAATGGACTCCTCCTGAGACGTCAATCTCTAGTTTACCTATTGTAGGTTCTTCTTTGTGGCTTCCAACCATGCCATCCTTTGAGAGCAATTTCCCACAGAACAAACCAATTTGATAGCGTAAAGAACTGATAAATTGATAAAACGAAAGGAGTGCAAAATTTACCCCACAAGAGATTTACTATGCCCCCAAAGATAACTGAATGTATCCTAGAAGGTGTAGAACCCTTGTGTCCCCTCGGGTAAACAGATATTTATGAAAATGGCTCCCTTCTCATTGCTTCCCAAGTGAAGATTATTTAAAATCAAATGACAATACAATAAAAATGAAGCTACACCTTAATTAGATCATAATCTCATCAGTAATCTACCAATCAAACCACCCTGATAACTCCCCCCAAATCATTCCTTTATTTTCCATTGATTAAGAAATTAGATTGCTACCAAATCTCCTCACGAAACTGGTGACAATCGCTACATTTTAACTTTCTCTCCCCTACTGTCTATTTGCAAAGGATACAAGAACAGTATATAAATTCAACAACATTGGTTTTCCCACATTATAAAAGATCAGCCAAAAAGGAGCTCACCGAGCTTTGAAATTTTACCAGTATATGCGTTCACTTGGGTCAAGTTTGCACCTATTAATGTTAGCTTCTGTCACAGGGAGTCCTAGAATAAAACAGGTTCGTGAATGAAAAACAGAAACAAGAAGAAAAAAGAGGATAGCACAAGTGAAGACAAAGAGCCCATACCTCTAATAGTTGCTTCAATCTCAAGTTCACGGTTCTGCTCCATATAAATATCCTTAAGAATTGGGAGAACTTTAACTAATAGATACTGCAACTGCTTAAACTTGACATTTGTTTCTTTTTCACTTCGAGGCTGAGATTCAGAAAAAAATCCAAAAATGAAGGAGACATTTCATCACAGTAGATTCACAAGAAAACAGTGATCCCAAGCCCCCTTACCTTGACAACCAAAGGCAACCGCAAACAAGCTCTGCAATTGCAATTCTTCATACAGAATGGACAAGCAGCTCTAACTTCCTCATTTGTTCTTTCTGAATACCTATCAAGATTAAAAAAAAGTGTAAATTCAAAGGAAGGAAACTGCAAATCATAAACTAGTATAATGTAATAATACTAAAGAGTGCAGATACTTACCATCTCTTGATACACTCATTGCAATACTTCTTGTTACATTTTGAACAGAAGATAAGCCCACTCTCACTCGTCAAGTTCTTACAATGATGACACGTCAAACCCATATACTTTCTGCTTCCATCAGACTTAATATCCTGGAAGAAACAATGTTCAAAAACATATTCCTCTGTCAAATCCGAACTAAAAATACTCAGCCAAATTTGCAGCTTATTAATTGCATGAGAAAGCAAACAAAGGAAATTTAAACCACTCCACAGAATCATCAACAAACCCAGAAATGCAGAATCAAGCTCTTTACAAGTATTTAGAAATGCAGGAGTTGAATATAGGCAATTATTACAGAAATGAATTAACCTTATCGGGATTAGACATGTCGATTTCAATAGATCGCTTCGAAACCTCTCCGTCATCAAATTTTCTTCTTCCTCTTCCTCTTCCGATTCGTCCTTTGTTCACAACATCATTCTCCTTCGTCCTCGCCTTACGCATGTTTTGAGATCTCCCATCTTCGAATAACTCGTCGGAATCTCCTCGTCTGATTCGCTTCCCTTTCCTTTTCTCCATACTCGGAGACAAAAAAAAGAGCGACCACCGGAGTTTCTAAGATCGTCGTTATCGCCGTCGCAGCTTTGGGACTATCATCAAAATAGCTAAAGGAGAGTGACGTGGCAACCATCCAGAGGGTAGTATGGCTTTAAAGTCGGATCGGATGGTCTACTTCGTGATCCGTACGTAATTAATTAGGGAAAACAAGACGTTTCTTTACTTTTTATATTCTACCGTTTTTAACTTTTTGTTATCTTACCAAATTCAACCAATTTTAAAAAAATAGGCTAATAATGCCTAATATAGATTTTTCTCTAGCTAACCAAGTGGTCCGGTGGTTATTGATATTGTAAATGGGTTTTCGTCTTGGCTCTTGGACTCTTGGGTTAGAGAATTATGGGCCAATTTTCATTTTAAGTGCTACGGGTTAATTGTTGACCATTCAAGCGAAATGTGAAATGCACATTGTTGGCCATTAACTAGCTTTTAGAGGTGACTGGAACATACTTGATTGATGTATTATCTTGATTCCGAAGCTATGACTACTTTTGATCGATCTAGTTTAATGAATTTACTTCTAGCACCGCCTTCTGGATATTGTTACTGCCATCACAGTTCAGGATGGTTTTGGGATTTCATAAGCATTGATAAGCTTTAAGAACAAACCTTTTCTTTTGTTAGCATCACTGCGTTGTGGAGTTTTGCATTAGATCTTTTGCTTCTCTTATGGCTGAGCTCGCATCATGCAGCACTATTTTCTTAAGCTGCAATGCAGTGAGAGGACAAGTAAAAGGAGGTTAACATGCATAAGCTCAAACTAGACTCTCTTTAGCAATATATGATGCAGATATAGTGAAATATATAAAGTACTTTTAACTTATCTACGTTGCATCTATGGTCTTTTGGTAATCTCCGGAACTCTCTTGTGCTAGCCTAAGGCATTTTTCCACGCTTTCAGGAGCCACAAAAGCTTGTGCCACCTTTATGCAAGACTGCAACAGTATGATTTTTAGGATCAATAACATTTCAAATGCCACTAGAACCGGAGAACACGAATAAACAAGTCTAAAACCAAATAGAGATCAAGTTAGTCACAACAACTTTTAGGTTATCACCATGTTATCTTTCTTTACCTTCTCTTGTTTGGGCTTAGTTTCTGAAGATATGTTTGTTTTCCGCTGACTTAGTTTTTTTAAGGGTTTGACTCTTACTGGCTTTGTGTATCAAAACTGTATCCCACCCCTATATTTCTCAATCGTATCCCACCCATGCATTATTATATAGTGGAAACGATCTAGATTGGGGAAAAGAAAAACCCATAAATTTAGAAATATATACTATTAACTGCTCAGGCAATAACAAAAAGGTTCTATGGTCTAGCGGTTAGGACATTGGACTCTGAATCCAGTAACCCGAGTTCAATTCTCGGTAGAACCTCATTTTTTTCCCACTCCGACCAGACTTTTCCCCGGCGATTTATGAACCCTAGAAATAAACGCCGGCCAACAACTAAAACTCTACGCTACATTAGAATCTCCATTGATCTCAATACCACTGCGGAATCATTTTTTTTCTTTTAGGTAAAATGGAGAATTCGTTGCTTGATTCTGGTGAAACTATGGAGATGGTTACTATACAAAAAATCGAGGAAACAGTGAAGGGCATACTCAGAGAAGCTGATATGGACCAAATGACAGAGTTCAAACTCCGAATTGACGCTTCGGCTAAACTCGGTTTCGATTTATCGGGAACGGATCACAAGAAGCTAGTCAGAGATGTTCTTGAGGCATTTTTGCTATCGACACCCGGTGAAGCAACCGTACCGGAGACGGTGGCTCCGGCGAAGGATGAGACAGGTTCTGGTGCTGCCGCTTCCGTTGGTGGTGAAGATGAACGCTTTATTTGCAAGGTTGCGACTTTTTCTTTTGTTGATGTTTGATCCACTGTATAGAGTCGAGATTGTGATCATCTTGATTTTGAGTTTTCAGTGGTCACTGTAGAAATTGTTGGTCTTTAACTGTAGTTATCGGAGAAGCAAAATGCTAGGGTTCAAAAATACAGAGACCAAGCTTTTCTATCGATTGGTTCTCAGGAAAATGGAAAGGCTTTTAGAGGTAATTTGAAACACACTTGGTGTCTTGGTCTTGACTATGAAGCTATAAGCAGCCATTTTTTTGTTCTAGCTATGCTTTTGTTGATTTCAGTTGCTCTGTTTCTGCTAGATTTTGCTTCCCAGATTCTTCTTTTGATTATTTCTACTTCTCTTTCCTCTGCTAATATCGACTTCATGCTGCAACTCTGGTTTCTTCTATATCAGGAGCACATTTGTCAACTAACCAATGGTCTATAATCAAGAAGAATTTTGCAGCGATAGAGGATGGTATTAAGCAGTGTCAATCAAAACTAAAGTAAGAATGTTACTTTATTCAAGTCTATAAAGATGCATGTTCCCTATCATTGCTTTTAGTGTTTATCGTCATATATTCTTCATGGTACTGGGCATTACTGCTAGGTAGCAATGCAGGCCGCTTATCTTTGCTATAAAAACGTTTTGCAGATCTGAATCAGCACAAAATGGAGATACTTCTGAGGCTGTGGATAAGAACAGCTCTCACGGTTTTTCTCTTATCATGATTTCACGATTTGATGGGAAGAGTTATCTTTCCTGGGCATCACAGATGGAACTCTTTTTGAAGCAATTGAATCTGACTTATGTTCTCTCTGAACCTTGTCCCGGTACTGGTAGTTCTCCAGGCCCTGAAATAACTCTAGCTGATTCTGTGGGGAAAAAATGGTTGAGAGATGATTACCTATGCCACAATCACTTGATGAACTCCTTGTCAGATCATCTGTACCGTCGATACTCAAAGAAATTCGAGCATGCCAAAGAATTGTGGGACGAGTTAAAATGGGTCTACCAGTGTGAGGAATCCAATTCAAAGAGGTCACAAGTTAGAAAGTACATTGAATTCAGAATGGTGGAAGAGAGAGCGATACTCGAGCAAGTCCAAGTCTTTAACAAGATTGCGGATTCCATAGTGAGTGCTGGTATGTTTCTTGATGAGGCATTTCATGTGAGTACAATCATCTCCAAGTTTCCCCCGTCGTGGAGAGGTTTCTGCAACAGACTGATGGAAGAGGAGTTTTTACCAGTCTGGATGTTGATGGAACGAGTAAAAGCTGAGGAAGAGCTTCTCAGAAATGGAGCACGAGGGGTTACATATAGACCAGCCACAGGCTCTTCTCAGATGGAAAGGAGACCGAGTCTAGGAACAACACATAGAGAATCTCAGAGTATAGGTTGGAAGCGGAAAGAACCCGAGAGAGACGAGAGAGTCATCGTCGTCTGTGACAACTGTGGAAGGAAAGGACATCCCGCAAAGCATTGCTGGGGTAATAAATCTGATGAGAGAGCTTCCGGGAAGCCAAACCGTATTAACTCTTCAGTCCCTGCACCTGTGGAATCAGAGACTCAAGCAACAACCAACAATGATAGGGAGTAGTAGCTGATAATTGCTGAAGACAAAATATTTATATCTCTGGATTGAATGGAAGATGAGAGTCAAGATCCAGTTCAAGAGGTGCAGCCTCATCATTAACATCTTAAATCATCAGTTACCTTTTTCTCAGCTTATGGATATGTCTCGCCTGATGATATTAGATTTGTTACTCTATAGTTGAGGACACTGAATTGTATAAAAGGAAAACAAATAGATTGGAAGTAGATCACTTTTGGCCTGATTTAATGTAAAAGTAACTTTTATGAATGAGAATACTTGTCAAAATTAGTTCTTAAATCCTATATGGAGGAACAAAAAACAGAAACCTAGAAGAAGAACTATATTCAAAACTGGTTTTTCATACAAATAATCACATAACAAATCTTTCACAACAGATCCAAAAATCATAGTGACATTTTGAATTAAACTTTTAAGCAAATAGAAAATTCTATTTTTGTCTTTTACACAGTAATTTAACGAGCATCCAACTCAGTAATTGTAACATCATTCAAAGACGCAATATGATTGATCTGATTGTTGTATCTTGGAAATGATTCTCCATCTCCTGTGTAAAAAGCCGGTTGTGAGGGTCTCGGTAAAGTGATAGCATTTGCATTGAGCATTACAACAACAGAAGCCATTGTTGGTCTACTCTCTGCATTCTCCTGGACACACAACAAACCAATGTGAATGCATTTCATGATTTCATCACTTAGACCTCTTGTTTCAATCAAACTTGGATCCACAATGTTTAACACTTTCCCTTCTCTCCAGCTTTTCCATACCTATACATATAAAGACAATATATGAGTAAAAAATTCCACAATTAGAATCCCAAACTCAAACTCAAAGACAATAATATGACATAACAGAAGTTTTATTCACTTACATAACTAAGGAGGAATAGTGAGCTGTCTTCTTCTGGAGACCAATTGTTTTTCTTACCTTTAATGATCTCAAGGACTAGTACACCGAAGCTAAATACGTCGGTTTTCACCGAGAATTGCCCGCTCATTGCATACTCTGGAGCCATGTAACCGCTGCAACGACCAAACATTTTCGGTTTTCGTTTTTTTATATAAAATTGATAGAACTTAAAGGGTACATTTTTAGTGGCAGCTTACTAGGTTCCTGCAATTTTGCTTGTAAACCTGGTCTGACTTGTTTGGTCAGTATTAAACAACTTTGCCATTCCAAAATCCGCGATTTTCGGATTCATTGCATCGTCCAATAGAACATTGCTAGCTTTCATATCTCTATGAATAATTTTGAAACGAGAATCTTCATGGAGATAAAGAAGACCTCGAGCAACACCTGAGATGATCCTATAACGTGTTTCCCAATCTAAGATCATTCTCCTATTAGAATCTGCAAAAGAAAACAACTAGTTTGGATCGATCATTAAAAAAGTAACCATAGATAGAGAGAGATAAATGTGTTTAGGGTTTTAGTTTAAGGTACCAAATATGTATTTGTCTAGGCTTGTGTTCTTGAAGAACTCATAGATGAGAATTCGTTCTTCTCCTTCTAAGCAGAAACCTAAGAGCGTAACAAGATTACGATGTTGAAGTTTCGCAACCAGTGAGACTTCGTTTACGAACTCATTGTCTCCTTGTCCTGATTTCATTGACAATCTTTTCACAGCTATCTCTTCCCCATAATCAAGAACACCCTGGTGATTATTGAAACACATGTTAGAGAGATCATTCTTGATTTGTGATGTGCTTAAATGGGATTATACACATTATCATTAAAAAAAACTCATCATCTCTCTTGGCCTATTATTCATTTGGGCTTTGGATTGCTTGGTTTCAAAATTAGGGTGATGTCTCTTTTTGATGATGATGATGATGACGACGATTACTTTGCTTGGTTAATTAATTAGAAACTATCATCTCATGTCATTCGTATAAACCGCAACATGAACTACTCATCTCATGTGAGATTGGTTTTTATTGGGCCGAATCAGGTCTTTGATATCGGACATTTAATTAGAATCGGATCAGACCTTTGATTACGGGCTTTATTAAGTTTAAATTTAATTATGTAATTAGGGTTGATGTACTCTAACTAAGTATATATACGTATGTCAAGTTTATGTAAAATGGTTCTCTATTTGCTCGAATAAACTGGATTCTAGAGATTAGTTTTTGTCTCGCTCACATCGTTGGCTCTGATGATACATATGAAGTTTTGGCAGTGTCGGGTTCTGTTGAAAATACCCTCAAGCATATTTTTTGTGGCACCAAAGACATTCATTATGGCAACAATGGGTAAAAAGACTACATAGACTTCCAAAGGAAAATAGAGGAATATTTCTACAGGAAGCATATGAGTATATTGATTTCAACGAAGAGACAAGATCTAGAATATCTCCAACAACATTGAATTTTATATAACTCCAAATACATTTTGGAATCTTAGCAACAAGCTGATAGACAATAAAAAATATTTTAAGAGAGAATATAACATATATATCTCTTAGCTTAAAAATCTTAAAAATAGTTTGGTTACTTACTCTTCACTCCTTCATCGAAATTGTTGTATTTTGTAAAAACATATGTATATTTGATTTATCGGAAAAACAAAAAAAAAGATCATAAACATGAGAAAAGGTTAATAACCTTATAAACTGCACCGAAGCCCCCTTCTCCGAGCTGGTTGTTTGGAGAGAAGTCATTAGTTGCTAATCTTATGGTATCAAAGTCAAGTTGCAATAATTGTGCATCTTTAATCATAAGCTCTTCGAGATCTTTGCCTGATCCAAAAGCAACAAAACCAAAAGGGTCTTTTAAAGTTAAAACTCTTGAGAAGATAGTTTTTTAAACTTTAAAGATTTGACATTTTGACTAAAAATTCCACCTTCATGTCTCTGTTTTTCCTTTCTTCTATTCCTCCTTGTCAGAAAGAAGTAAAGACAGACTAGGATTATAGCAAAACCAATAACAGAGCAAACCGTGGCAATAATGATTTTTACTTTGTCATTTCCTGCCAAAATTAAATTTGTCAAGACAAACAAGAAAATAATTCTAGATTTCAAAAGTTTATAATCACACAAGTAGCTAATGCAAATACTCTGTTTTTTTTTTTTTGTTATATGGTAAGAAACGGATTACCTGGTTTTGGATCAGGCTCATACTCGGACTCGAGAAGGAAGAATCTCAAGTCACTCTCTATCTGAAAATTACAGCTTGGACAAAACCACCTGATCCCAACTCTCCCTTTCGTCGCGTTACCGAAACCATAAGAGAGACAGTCGTTGCAGTCTTTCTCAGACAAATCCGGCGTGCACTGCACGGCACCAAAGAATGTGCTGTAAGGCGGAGAGCCAGGATCATTTCCTTGAGCATACTTCCTCTTAGAGCCACCTGCTGCAGCCATGGATCTGAGTCGGTTAAGTAACTCGCTCTGCAACCGAATAAGCTCGTTTCTATCTCCCTTAGCGTTGCTCAGATTCGGTGCTTCCAGAACAGGACTCGTTTCGAGTTTCCCGTAAATGGGTTTGTCTGAGTAACGAAACATACATTTCGTGGCACGCACGTAAGCTTCCCTACTTTGTGGACAGTACATTGTAGTTAGATTCACTGCGGCTTGAGCGACACAGTTAAGACAATCTACTCGATTGACTACTCTGTTGCAGATCCCGATAGCCTCGACTCGTTCTTGATCCGAAATTCTTCCGACAAAGAGAGTGTAGAAGTTGTAGGTGTTGGACTTGAGAGAAGGGATTGAAGAGACAAGACTGTTTAGGTTTTTGGAGAATTGGGATTCGGCGAAGTTGCTTTGTGGGGATAAACATAATGGGTTTGAGGGAAAATCCCATACAGTACTGTTTATGTCAACGGAGATTTGTTGTGCTAAGCTAAGAAATGGGACGAACAAGAAGAAGAAAAAGAACAAGTGTTGTGGTCGAGAAAAAGAACAAGAACTAGTCATGACTCCAAAGTGGACTTCCTGGTTATGAATGAATGTTGTAGTTTGTTTTTTTGGTGAGGTGAATGTTGTAGTTTAGTCATGGTTTTATATAGTTTTTATTTTATTTTTAGCGGGACCAAATTTAATAAGTCTTTGTTATTGCCACTTTGAAAATTTCTAGTCTTTGAAATTTCTCGTGACGTGTTTTTTTTAATACGTCAAAGTAGGTTAGCTGCAACGTAGCTGTATAGCAAAATAACAATCCGGAACTTTTAAGAATATATGATTTTTATTATTTTTACATCGTATATGATTTTTTTTAATATGTTTAAAATGGTTTTTCTTCTTGACAAAAAAAACAAAAAAAAAGAGGCAAGCTTAAAATGTTACGGGGAAAAAATGAAGTTGCGCTTGTAAGTTGTAACCTATGAGAGTAGAAATCGCAATTCGCAACCTTGCAGAAGAAGATAAAAGAGGAAATTACAGTGTTTACCTTTCATTTAAAAAAAAAAAAAGTTGAGTGTTGTTCCAAAATAAAATAAAATTGTAAATCGTATTAATTATATAACTTGTCTACCAAGCAGATCAGAATATATGGTTATTAATCATTTTTGCTTTCCGTTGGATTTTTTTCGTTCTGGTATTCTTTTATTCATTCCTTTATTTAGGTGTCAGCGAATGAGACATCTCGAGTTTTGTTGAAAAATCAAATGATGTTAGTTGGGAATGTGGAATATTGATAGTTCTCAACAATTTAATGCGAACTTGCAATTAACAAAAAAAAAACAATTTAATGCGAACTGTGGAAATAAGTGCTACATTTGTTATTTGTAGGAGGACTATATAAATAAAAAACTCTTGTCCAAATTTGAAAAATGAAGACCAAAAAACTGCCAGCTAGTAATTCCGATCCAGAGGAATTATTGATGAGAAATGCGATGAGTGTAAATACAGTGACTCACATGAATATATTTCAATGTATTGAATAACGAGATTTACAAGAGTATATTTATACATAGCTAGAGAAGGTTATAGAATACATAGAAAAGGAAGTAGAGAATATTTACAATTCTATAGAGTATCCTCATTAGAATATTGATGAGAAAAAGCAAAGGGAACCACACACAATTGAGGTAAAAGGGATGAGTGTAACTGTAAATACAATGACTCACATGTTTGGTTACAAGATTGACACTACAAGTCTACAAGCTCAAACAACATTCAAGAGTAATCAAGACCATTGATCAAGAGATAAGGAACATCATCACATCAAGAAGGCACAAGGTCTCAGCTTATCGATATGGCTAGCTGGCCTGATGATATTAGATTTATATAATAGTTGAGGACACTGAATTGTATAAAAGGAAAACAGATAGATGGGAAATAGATCATTTTGGCCTGATTTTAATGTAAAAGTAACTTTTATGATGATAATTTTTGTCAAACTTACTTCTTAAACCCTATTTGGAGGTATAAAAAACAGAAACCTAAAAGAACAACTCTTCAAAACCTGTTTTTTCATATAAATACAGCTCTTGCTTACTCAACAAACTGACTTAAAATGAGATCACATACTTACCAAATATTTTACAACACAACCAAAAATCATAGTGACACATTCTGAAGTAACTTTAAAGCGAGAAATTTTTTTCATTTTCGTCTTAATTTAACGAGGATCTAACTCAGTAATTGCAACATCATTCAAAGACGCATAACTTGTGTGATTGTTGAGTCTTGCAAAAGATTCTCCATCTCCCGAGTAAAACGCGGGTTGTGAGGGTCTCGGTAAAGTGATAGCATTTGCATTGAGCATTACAACAACAGAAGCCATTGTTGGTCTACTCTCTGTATTCTCCTGGACACACAACAAACCAATGTGAATGCATTTCATGATTTCATCACTTAGACCTTCAATCAAACTTGGATCCACAACGTTTATGTTGGATTAAAAAGATATAAGAGTGATACGATGTTTCTCCTTGTCTTATGTTGTTATCAAATAGATCATTTTGCAAAGGAAAAATGATCATGAGTTACACAAAGAGGGCTTGTTCTTTTTCCAGTCGCCGCGACTGTGTCTGCGACAGCCCAAAACGACGATGACGGCAGCCAAACAAAAAACAAAACGACGGTGATGATCTTACGGAGGTGTCGCAGGAGAGAGACGGAGTTGTCCCGTTAACACAAAAAGGATCGCCGGAATTTTGAGCGACTGTTGCGAAGACTCTTTTAACAAAAGCGGCGACTCCTTTTATTGATTTGAACTCCGGCAACGACTATTTTGTAATCGCAGAAAGTGGTCGCTGCGACAACGTAACGAACAGGGCCGTAACGTCTGGTTCCTCGCACCAGTCTATCAAGGAATGACGTGGCGCAACGAAAATGGCGGAATACGTAAGCCCCATATCATGCAAAGGAAGGAGCCAAAGGATTGCATTAAATGAATGAAGAAGCCTGCAAAATACATTTAATGCTCCACGAGAGACAGCTTTTTTTTTTTTAACTTGAAACGATACAGATCCCATCCAACATAACATCATCCCACAGTTCGCGTTTTCTAACCACAACACACCCCACGCGTGTGGCTTACTCGCGCTACATAATAATAATACTAAAAAAAAACACAAACAAAAAGGATAAAAGGGGGTTTCCAACCCCAGTCAATACCCGAACCACCAACTCCTCCACCGTGATCGGACCCGAACCCTTCTATGTCGTGGCCCCATCACGGTGACAAAGGAGTTGGATTTCGCCACTCGCGCGGTTCGTTCTTGACTCGACACCCCCCCAAATCCCATAGTACAAGACCAAAAAAAGTTATAAAATTCACAACTCATTAAGAAAGAGAAACACACGCCGCCTTCTTGATCAGGATTAGCTTTCGCACTGTAAAGCAGCCCGAATCTTCTGAACGGTGCATGATATTAGGTTGTTGACAGTCTCCACCGACTCAACCGTGAGTTTTGCCGTTGGGAGATTGTTAACAAGGATTTGAAACGCCACCGTCAAGAGGGATCCACCACCATCCGGTCGCTGTTCACCATCACCTGACCCACCACCGTCAATGCCTCCGTCAGGTAGAACAGCAAAACCGGACGGAAGGAGAGCCACGTAGGATGAATCACCACCGTTCATCACAACATGCATGGCGGGTATGTCGACAGGCGCGTAGACTACAAGCGCTCCAGATGCGTCTATGCAAGTCTCCTGAAGAATTAGCATACTACTCTGATTCGCGTTCATTGCCTGTAGAGAGTTGACAAAACACCAAAATAACCCTTAGATAAAGTGTTTATTTACGAGAATTGCCACTCTGACCAAACAGTAACGCTTCATGGTGAAAAGAAAAACAAGTCAAAACAACTTTTCAGATAAGTAACCAACAAAAAAAAGGAAGTGGTGAAAAGTCAAAAATATACAGGAACAAGTAAAGGTCGAAACTGTCCAATTAATTTTGACTTTTGAAACGCTTACAAAAGCTGTGACACTTTTGTTTTCTACTTAATAAACATATAAATTGAAACTATAGTGTCATCTTTTGATACCACCCAAATTCCTAACTTGTCCTTTCCCAATCCACTCTTTTGTCCGTCATACCACCATCACCCCCAGGGACAAAAACGTCACAATCACCTCATCCATATTCCCCACAAAAACCCAACCAATCACACACACCTAATTAGCTAAACCGGAAACTCTATTATACAGACCGGTTTTACTGAACTAATATCACCTAACCGGTCAGAATAGCAATGTTAAACCAGGAGTACGTGATATGAAATAAAACTTACATTGGAGCGGAGCAGAGAGACACCTTGATCTTGACCTTTGGCGATGTGGGCCATCTCCTGCATGGGACCACCGTTGGATAGAATATCCCATTCGCATCTCATCCGTTCATTCCGCAAGAAATCATACAGACGCTGCGGCGAAGCCGGAAGCCAAACAGAAGTGGCTGCACTCAAAACAATCCCCGGAGGCTCCCCTGGATCATCCACACTCTTACGGGTCATAACTCGAACGTCTGGGTCAACATTTCCGACAGTGAGCTTGCTCCAACTGTGGACTGACGGCGCGGAGATTCCCGAGCAGAAGTTGAACGTCATACGTTGAGCTAACTTCAGCATGCTTTTCCGACCACCAGGCGTTATAGCTGTTTTTGCATGTAATATATATAGTTAAAAGTTTTGCAACCAGAGATTAAATATGTTAAGCATATTGACAAGTGTGTAAGAAACGGACATGTGTTGTCGTGAGACGTAACGGAGGAAGACATGAGGATGGCGAGACACTGGCACTGTCTCTGAAGGGTAGCGAGCCATCTTTGCGAGCCAAAACCAAGGCCTGACCGTAGCAATGGCCTGTACAGCTGGTGGATTTGGTTTTCGTCATATTCTGCATGCTCCACCCACGTGACCTGTAAAACCGGAAATCAAATCCTCATTTATAGCATACCAACCAGCAAACCAACCGAACCGGTCTACTTCTAAGTGTATATACTTGCACGATGAGATAAGATGTTAATTTTTAATGGAAGGATAATACGATAAAAATTCAAGATAATAAGACAATTGAAATAAATATGTACTATACTATTTGTAGATGATAGAGACGGGATATACGAGGCCGCATGGAAGAAAGGAATAGAAACATGAAAATTGATTTATTTAAACGATGATTAGAAGCTTTTTTCAATACATGCATATGAAATTAATGTGTTCTTTCCAAAATGCGCACAAATAAATTTGGACAGATGCTTCTTGGGGAAAATGAGATATCAAAATAATAAAGTAAATAAATGAGTTTTTCGATTTTGGAGACAGACCCAGTTGTCGAAAACTTGAAATCTAATCCAGAGAATCCGACAGAGAGAGAAGCATCCGGATCCATAAAATTTCAGCAATATCGGAAGGTTCGGGGATCAAAATTCGAGGAAGAAAAGGCCTATTCAAATCATTTTCTTATACTATTCTGACATAAAATCATATTAAATAAATTATTTTAAAAGTATAACGTTTGAGAGGGAAGAGTAATTAAAAATGAGAATAATGAAAAAAAAGGACTCCAAAGAAAAGAAAAAAATAAATAAGAGTGGAGAATAAACTCCAAAAGATCAAATTTGGAGAGGTAAGATTAAAAAAAAGTTGAGAGTGACAGTGAAGTGGGTGCAGCGAGTAATGGCTAAAAAACAAGAGTCATAGATGCTTGAGCTTCTTCGTCTAGTGATCACCCAATTAATAACCTAGAGATCCTAATTTTCTTCATTTTTATCGAATTTTTCAAAAACCAATACTAATAAACATTTTTAGATAAAAAGATTCCAATATGTTTGTGATTAATTATTACTAGTATTATGCAACGCTTTATTTGGGTTAAAAGAGTTTACCTTAGAGTATCCATTGGACATATCCTGCACTACACAGCCTGATGGCAGTCTCCGGATTACCGGGGCGCCACCGGAGTTTTCCCGGACGGGCTCAATTGATACATCCACCACCGCCCACACACCCTCCGCATGCTGTTTGCAGAACCGGAGGAAATTTACATTGCGAACCGGGACCAACGGAGACAGAACTTGTAGCTCCGCATTCATCTGCACGTAATATATTCAACCGGTTTACTATAGCTAAACCAAACATTAAACCGAAATGTGATTGATTAAGAAGATAACGGTTTACCAGTTGAAGTGCACCATTTATTGTTCCAGCCATCCCACTGGATATAACGTCGGTGGTTGTAGCTCTTGCGACGTTACACGGAAACATCTCCGTCCACCGATTCTGAAACAAAAATAATAATCAGAGAGCAAAAAAAAAAATGTAGGAAATAAACAAAATAATTGTAAATAATTGAGAACTTACGGAGTCCATTAAAGTCTCGACGAGAGCTAAGCTATTGATGATGACCATACCGGAGGTTCTAGAAGCTTCGGTAGCTAAACCGGTTGGTTTAGTGGATGAAAATGTTCTCATGTACTCATCTTGGTTTAGCTCATCTCTCTCACCGTCTAAGCTTTTGACCCATAACGGTTCTTCACTATGAGCAAGCTTCACTAACTCATCCATTGCGGTTAAAGCAAGCTCCAGCAAAACTGACTTCTGATCAATCCCATCAATCCCTGTCGGCTGTTGCTGAGGCGGCGGTAAGCAACCACCACCACCGCCGAAATCAGGAGGGAAAGCGAAGTTTCCGCCATTGTTGTTGCCGACAGCGAGTTCGAGGGAAGAGTTGTAGTGGTGATGGTGGTGGCCAAGGAATTTACCGGTGAGGTTACAGACACGATCAAGCTCGTCTTTTAAACGAGCGTTTTCGATACGGAGATGATGTTCTTCAAGAGAGACATCACCGAGCATGGCAGGTCCACCACAATTGGTGCAGATTGGATTCCTCATTGCTTCACGAATAGACATGTTCTCAGCTCTTAACTTATCGTTTTCTTGTCTCAATAATGCGTTCTCATGCCTCTCTAATTGAGTCTGCCAAACGATTTGATTCACACAAGATGTTATTACTTATTACCACCAAACTAAAAAGCTTCATTGTTTTGGATTAAAGATGTGATTGATCTCAACATACCTTCATCTGAGTCCGACGATTCTGGAACCAGAACTTGACTTGTCTTGTCTCTAAGCAAAGTCTCTTACTTAGTTCCAATCTTTGTTTCTCGTCTGGATGTGGACACTCTTTGAACATACTGATAGAAGAAACTAATTAGATCCAATGAAAGAGATAATGATAATAATATGGATTGAATCGAAGAGAGAAGAGAGGATAATTACGATTCGAGTTCTTGGATTTGTTGAGGAGTGTGTCGGTGATAACGTTTCTTCCTAGGAGGCTTATCGGCGGCGTCTTGATCTTCACCGGAGATACCTTCGACGTTATCACTACCAGATCTGCTTTCATGTTCCTCTTCTCGGCTTCTTCTATTCACACTCCCATCGAAATTATCGCCTCCTCCGACGTTATTGTTCCTCATCGATGCTTCTCCACGGTTTGTTCCTCTCTCCGGTTGTTCCTGTCCGAACATAAACCAAAACAAATTAGGTTTTGTCTTTTTTTTTATCTTAAGTAAAAACATATATTATTACTAGTAGAGGAAGACGACGTCGTACGAGGGCTAGAGAGAGGCCTGAAGAAGCGTAAACAGATTTCGTTAGAGGAGGAGAGAAGAGACTAGCAGCCGCCGCCGCTTGAGCCATAGCACCACCAGGTAAAACGTTAGTTGCGGCGGTGTGGTTTCCATAACTTAAACCGGAGAGGAGTCTTGCTCCGGTAGAGCCACCACCGGGTGTATTATCGAAGAGACTACCGAAGTTCATCAAAAACACAACAGAAACTAACCAGATTTGACAAACAACTAGAGAATTAAGCGAGTAACTTTTCACGGAAAGAGATATGAGTGGATCGAGAACTGAATCACACAAAAGAGGTAAGAAACTAAAAAAAAAAAAAAAGAGAAGAGAAGAAGAAACTCAGGAAAATTAAAGAAGAGGAGTGTTTATTACTGAAATGGAGGAGAGAGAAAGAGAACGAAAGCGGAAATTTGTTTCAACTTCTCTCTCATGTGCTCTTCGTTCTCAGTCTCTCTCTCTCTCTTAAGAATCAATGGTTTCTTCTTTTTTTGTGTTTCTCTCACTCTCTCTTATTGTCTTTCAGAGAGTGATGTGGGGAAGAAGATGAAATGGGTAAACCCTAGTTTTGAGGTAACTGATGAGAGAAGAAGAGTCTTTCTTTCTCTCTATATTCACACTTGCATGTTGATATTGACTCTCTTTTTCCCCTTTTTTGTATTTTTTTGTATATTTTAATTTGAGTTTTTAAAGACAATGAGAGGGACGGTCATGGCTTTTTTAGATTTTGTTTTCTTCTTTTATTACTACCTTTCTTTTTCATTTTTGTTTAATGCATTTTGACAATTTTTTAGTTTTAAAAAGTGTTTCATCAATTTTAATAAAAGTGAATCTATTAAATTCAAATCCAAAAAGACTCAAACTAGTCTTAAAACTGACCTGACTTTTCTTTTATAACTGTTCTGACTTTTTTATTTTATTTAAACATAATTGTCTTTATATTAAAATCAAAGCTAAATCTGAACTAACTAATGACATTTGTTTATTTTAACATCTTTCAAATAAAATAATATATTTTTGATAGAAAAGGTAGTGAAACTTAAGCCAAAATGTATTAAAGTTAATTCTACTAGATATGGTTTCAAATCCATTTTTTAAAATAATATATTAGATAATAAAGTCAAGTTTGTAAGTATTACCCTTTTTAAACATAGAATTTCAAAAAAGAATCAAGCCAAACCATTGATTGAATGGTCTTACTCCCATTAGCCCTAATTATATTCTGATTATAAGCAATTTTATCAACGAAATTAATTAAGAGGGTAAGCAAAAAAGTGAGAAAAACGTTAAGAGGATGATGAGAGATATGTGGACTCTTGGAAACCTTACGAATGCACGAGACTCTCTTACCAGAACTAGTCGGTTGACTTTTTATAACGCTTTCTATATATCCCACGCGCTTTATCTCTCTACTCGCGTTACTCTTTTCTTTTACTCGCCAAAAATACATAAAACCATTTTTGATTAATTTTATATAAAACTGAATATATATGAAAGACTTTTTGCTCTAGTACCCACAACCGTTACCAGATTTTCATGAATCCATATATGTATTTTTTTCAATTATTAAGATGAACATTTTTATTTTATAGTTTGAGAAATTATACTTCCTCCTCCTAAATTATAATCAAATAGGCTATAGAATCTTTTAAGTTGTGAAAGAATCTACAAGTTTTAAAGTAAACGACATGAAGAAGCGAGCTTGTGTCAACCAAAAAAGACATTCCATAACTAGTCTTTCTAAGCTCCATTATTGAGCAAAATTTTATGCCCTAAATGGTGAGATGATTTGGTAAATTTATTAAGTACAATTATTAGATTGATAATTGAGAAAACTTAGCACACTGATTTAAATGTACTTCCTTCTAGTACTCTGATCAGATAGCTTTTAAGGAATAGCGGTTAATGCTAATTTGTGCGTATTCTAGTTGATAATGGAAGATACCCATTAATTTAGACCATTTATATAAAATAATAGTAATGCCAAGTGATGGTTGTTTTCCGACTCTTGGTTCAAAATGTTTCTTCTTGAGACAACAATATGGCTATGACAAATTTTGAAAGGACGAAGATGAGTTTGTCTTTCCGACTTTCTGATGTTTAAGTCATAAAGGTCAACAACATGACGACTGACTAGAGGATCTCTTTTTAGGCTTCCCAGATGGATTGGAGCTCCTAGAGTTCCTCGTTAGCAACCAAAGTATTGAACCCTCTACGTGAGATTTTTTTTTTTTGGGAAAAACAGGATAATTTGTCGACTTTTCTGGTCAAAATGGTGTTCACATATGACTTCTAGGTGACATCCGGAAAATCATCCCAACAACATGAAATGTAAATATTTCAGTGATAAATTTTATAGCGGACCTAAATTTATAGAATATCAACCAAATCGCGCAACTATTGTTATATGTATATAAATCATGTTCCATTAAACATAAAAACTGACGACAGAAAAGAAAAACATACAAAAGCTGAGATTAGTGTTTGGTGATATCTAGAGTTTAGTGTTTACAAAAGCAGAATTAATTGAACCGAATATATGGATCATCACACTAAAAAATAAATGAAAATAACAAAAATCATGGAAAACAATTTCAAAAGAAGGGAAGTAGTGGATCATATTGGTTTAGTTCGGTTTAGAGCACATGGGAATGTCGGTTCCACAGAATAACCGACCAGCAAGAGTTTGTCACAAAATAATTTACACATAAGAAGATTCTGCCCAAAATAAAAATGTGGTCTGGCTTCTCTTATTGGTGTGACAGAGTCATGAAGAAATTAGTTTGGTGAATAAAAGGTTGAAAAGTAAAGAGGAATTTTCATTCCCCTGTTTGATGATATAAAGGACAACGTCATTTTCATTGTTGGGTTAAATTTGGTAATTACTAGATTACCACAAAGCACAAACTATTCAACTCCAATTAACAGCACTGGATCAAATTTCTACCATAGCTCGAGTAGAATTCAAAACTCCACAAAGCAAAAATAAGTTGAAAATCTTTTTGCCAGAGCCATAAAATTGATATTCAAAACTTCCAAGTGTTATGTGAATGTTAACACTAAAAAGACCAGACTATCGACCATGTTCATGTGGATATTTCAACCTCAAAATAAAATTTGAAAACGATAACAAGATAATGAACTATACCGCTGCTAAATATCTGTGAATTTACCATTATATAACATTATTGAACATAGAAACAAACCAAAGACCGTTTGAAACATAGCAAAGACTAGACTTTTCTACAAGAAAATTCCATCAAGAGTCACATCTAATTGAATCCTCTAGTGTGTCGATGATGTTATGTTCAAACCGAAAAATAAAACGATCAGATTGTCTTGGACGTTATGGCATAAGATCATTTATTGAGACAACAAATATGGTTCAAAAGAGGACGGGACGACCAAACCTTTGTTGCATTAATGTCCTCAACTTTTTTTCCAATCCAATTGGAGACTTCTTTCTCTCTCAGGTTTTTTACCAAAATATGTCTCCCCACCTGAAATCAAGTACTGAAAAAGAGAACTCTTCTATTGTGTCCGTTTCTCACCCAAAATCCATAAAACCACAACAAATTTTTTCTTCTAAACCATTGAATCATAGGAATTGTCAGTAAGTTGGGAGTTGTTCAATACATAAATACGTATCCAGGACGTGCACCTACTAATACATGGTCTCTAGTACAAAACTATACGCAGAGTCACATGCATACTTTACTCATGTAGGTCACAAGTTGCTTCTAAAAGGTAGACCCCTCACATAAATCACTGACACAACCACGTGTGACCAAGAATTAACAATATCAGGACATTATACGATTGTAATACATTTAGATGCAATGTCAAGAACACAAAAAAAGTATATCATCTGGTTGGTGTCTTAGGGACAGACAGATGGGTGCTGGAGAGAAAGTGACAGTACCTACAAGATTGAGAAGAGCTTCTTCCTTTCTTCTTTCTTTGTGTCTTCAGTGGGAGTTTGATGGCAATTTCCAGAGAGATTTGGTTGCAATAAGGATCTTCTCTCTTCCATGGGATTCAGGTTCTTTCTCGTGTATAGAAGAAGACCATCTTACAGCATGGGCCATTCGTGCGACTTTGTCTAGCACTTCAGGAGAATCTCGGATCACAACCTTTCCTTCTGGACGCAATATTCTGTCCATCTCTACCATTAGATCTACTAGACTACACCTGCATGCATATCAGACCATTCAGTTTAGGTTAAGTACTTAAGTAAATAAGATAGAGACCTGTGTTAGAAATCAAGAATGGTTTTACGTTAGTTATACCTCGATTTGCTTGAGTCTTGTCGTTTTATCAGTGATTCAATTCCTGATACATGGATGAAATCATACGTGCGGGGATATGTTGAAAATGGTTCACACCTGCAACAAACAAATAATAGGGTTTTGAATCTAAGGAATTGCGAAATAGAAGATATTTCAATCCTTAATGCTGGCAACGGCTAAGATACAGAACAAGAGAGATAATATATCTAAGTCTTTGCTTTGATCAAATATATAAACAACAAAAGTGACTAACCAATCATGGTAAACACCGATGAGACCTCTGTCATAAATCACGTCAAGAGTTAATGGCTTCCGAGCTGGAATGACATTCATAACCCACACAGGATCAGATGCAAGGGCTGCGGCAAAGCCTCCGAAGAATGCGTTCATATCCATGACATTGCGGACAGTTGGAGATTTCAGCTTCAAGTCAAGAGAATCCCTGTAATAAGCAACGCGTCTTGCCCACCGCCTTGCATCTGCTTCAAACACATCCAATCCGTTTTTCATGACAATGGCCCTAGAAGGAACTTTAGTAAGCCTCTCCGGCCACTTGGAAATAGTTCCCAAAGCATGTTCTCCTTTGACGGATGATGGCCTGGTCACACACCTCTTCAATTTAAAATACCTGAAAAAGGAAAAAAAAAACAAAGACTTCAATATTGTCTTTTACATGGCTTCCATACAGGTCAAAGGTCACATCCACAAAATTATACGACAAGAAAAAATCACCATGCATCACTTGGCGGAACAGACTCATCACACAACTCAAGCCCAAACTCATTCTGGCTTGGTAGACATGAATCTCCAACAGGCTTCTTCCAGATGACAGTGTTTCCATCAACCGCAATTAGCTCATAGCACAAAGCTCTAGCCACCGCCTGAAGATCAGCCCATTCTTTGTCTTGTTTAGGCCATTGTACAGGTGGGCCAGAGATTACAAGATATCCTCCAGGGCGCAGTAACCTATCTACTTCAATGAAGTAAGTTGCATCTGCAGACAAATCACCAAGCCCGATAAGAATAATTGCTGCTAAAAACCGCAACACACACGACATAAGAAGAGTTGTGTAACCCAAGGGACTCACTGTAAGCCGTAAAAGGAATCAAGCATCGGGAACAATGCATCAGGTCAAAGGAGTATGCAGGAAAGGGGAGTCTACGAGTGCCAAGCATGGCAACAAATGCAGGGACTCCTCTTTCCAGGGCGAATTGAATTTGCGATTTATGTGAATCTCTTGGAGCAAATGAGAGGGCTAGAATGCCTTGAGATAGTAGAGTACCTCCAAAACTAGCTACCTGAAAGGTTTACAACAGTATTATAACAATACAAAGACAAACGTAATATAAAAAGACTAATGATGTTTCTTACCCCGCATCCCATGTCAAGGGCAGTTCTTAAAGTTCCACCATTAAGCGGAATATACTGTGCAAGCTTTTCAATGTATTGGCCAGCTCCGCCAGGAAACATAGTGCCACCGCCTGGGAAAGTGAAGTATTCCCCTTCCCTTTTCATCCATCCTTGGTGACCTTTCCGGTCAGCAATTTTGTTATATGGCATGTTTGCATGCCAGATCTACAAAGTTTAAACAACCATCATCTTTAACAGTCCATGCAGAAATCGTACTAGCTCAAAGCATTCCAAGAACAGGGCTAAATAACTAGGTTATCGATCAAGCTTTTTTGCAGAAATTTGAATCTAAATTCACTCCTAGGCAATGATCTGCCTACACTATCCTGAAATACATAATCTACAAAACCATAGTTATAGCAGCTTGAATCCAATAAGAAAAGCACCTTGTGAAGACTCTCAGGCCACGGAACAGGAATTTTATAACCAGAAGGAGGAGGAATCAAACAGAGAGGAGTTTCCTCAGGCAAAGGACAATGTCTCTCCCTATAGAAATTCATCTCTCTACTAAGCTGACTATTCCTCCTCGGATCCTCACAAGGCATATGAGCAACAGCTTCCGCAGGACAATACTCGATCGGCTGCAAATGCTGACCAGCTTCAACTAAAGTCACCAATCGCTGCCGCTGCCTCGGATCTGACGCCGTTGAGAGAAGCAGCGTTTGCCGACCAGAAGCAGCCATGGAATCACCAAGAGGAGTAAATAAAAGGATGAAGAAGAGAAGAACGATACCGAAGAAAGCAGCGGTTACGATGTCGAGGAGACGCCATTGACGAGGATTACTACTACGCTTCGATGCAGGTAGATTCAGGTGTCCCATAGCTTTAGCTTCACCACTCGAATGATTCGTCTTCTTCGAGAGACCAGATCAGATGCAAATCTTAGGGTTTATATTTGGAGATCTGAAGAATTTTGTCGGCGATAATTATAAAATATTACTATTTCTTAAATCGCAATCCGTTGTGTGTGTGTGATCGATCCCATTTGTGTTCTCAGTGCTTTAGTAGCGTCTGGTGTCTGGTGTCTGGTGTCTGGCGAAATTGAATTAAGAATATTTAATGGAATGTTTTTCAGGTCGTTGATTATTGTTTTTTTTTTTTTTTTGGGAGACTAATGGACTTGGGCCTTGAAATGTAATTTGGGCCCGCTAATGGGAAATAATATTACTAGTGGATCATCCTTTGACGGTCCAATATAACATACAAACACATCAGTTGGTTCATAAAGATATTTTTGGTTAATTACATTTGGATGAAACAATAGAGGAAGGCTACATTACACAACGGTAATCAAATTTGTTTTTGTCAAATACAACCTTGCGTGATTCTAGCAAATTTCATGGGCTCATGTGTTGAACTTATGATGTTCAAAGATAGATAGACCAGTTTGGGTTGTCTCCAGTCATTGTAGCTAGTCAAAGACAACAAAAAAAAGAGAAGGATCATGGGAGCTCAAATGCAAGCTCTTTATATCTCTAAAACCCATTCCCAAGTCTTTATTGTTGCTTCAAACCATGAACTAATTTGGGAAATAAAAACAAAACATTCTGAACAAAATCTCCTACAACCCGGAAAAACGTCTGCCAGAGAAGTAGATTTTATATGAATATGAATACACACCTGATCCTCAGTCCTCCCAAGGTTGGGAAACTGCACGTCTTAGCCGCTACGATGTTTCACGCTTCACAGTCCACACAATACAGTGGTCTACTTTCATCTCTCTTTTTCTTGGCTTATTTTTTTACACAAACAACTAAGCAATCGACCATTTTTCGTTACATTTTTTTATTTAGACAAACAAAAAAGTATTTTTTGCTTTTTTCTCAATGTTTATATTCTTCTGGTCATATACAATGGATTTCGTTTTCTTAATTCGTGAAAAAAGAAGTTTTTTTTTCTCTACGTACATGGAAGATATAGCTTATTCAAATTAAACACATAAATAATTAATTTATGCGTCTTTATTTTGTCATATTGTTCTTTTTGCTTTTTTCTAGTTCGGGTGATCCAGTTCAATATATACCATAAACTCCGATTTAGATCGCATATATATATTTTTTTCTTAGTTCTCAGATCAGCAGGTTATGAGATCCGACCAATCCCGGGGCAGGAAAGCCATGTGAAAATCCTTAACACCCACATGTTTGTGGAATAGTTTTTGGATAGATTGATCATGGGGTAGTTCATTATAACCTCCCCTAAGTCTTACAATCACTAGACCACGCCTGAGCGATTTTTGTCATATTAGGATAACCATTGGCTAAAGCAGCTGCAATATCTTTCATTATTTTTTTTGGACATTGAATTCCAAGTTTTTAAAGATCAAAATAGAACACTCACACAACAGTAGTCCACATTCTATATTGTAGTACAACGTTGTAATAAATTCAGTCGAAGCCATTCACGTGCTACGCGTCTCCGGAGCGTCGCTTGGAATAGTCAGCTGAACAAAAATACTATAGTATCACTAATTGATTGCTATACAATTTGATTTCTATTTTAACCATATCTCTTTAAATGGTAAGACGAGTAAATTAATCCACTATAGTCATTACGCGTGTTAGGTGATTTAAAACTCTGAAAAGTGACTAACCGCTGTGTTTAATGTTATATGCATTTAGTAACTAATTTGAAAAACAATTTTAGATTTCAACTTTAATTGTATCTCTTTAAATGGTTAGACGAGTAATAAATCCACTGTTGTCATTACACGTGTTTAGCTGGTTTAAGACTACTAAAAGTGACTAAGTGCTGTGTTAATTGTGTATGCATCCATTTATTAAACCAATTAATGACGATAACAAAGAGAAAAGAAAACAATTTATAAACTTTTATTTAATACAAGAATCTAAATTATTACAGTATTATGAAATAACTTCCAAAGCAATGCCAACTTTACAAAAAATCAAAAAGACCATTGTCAAATTAATAATAGATCGATATATGGAAAATTATTTAACACTTTTTCAAAAAAAGATATATGGAAAATTAGAAAATTTTAGAATATAATAAATATTTAATAATCTACGTAGGTGGGACGATATATATTGAAAAGCTCACTCACATTTGTATAAATAAAAGCATTCATCTTACTTACACATGCAACCAAGAAACTTATAAAAAGGAAAAAAATCACATATTTTGTGAAATTCCGAAGACAGTTTCGTTTTTTTTTCTTTCTCCGGCCAGTCATGGCAAACTATCGGTGGCCGTCAAAGCTATCGAAGTTATCACTCAGAGCAAAACATACCAATCTATACCGCGTCATTCTAATCGCGATCCTTTGCGCCGCCTCTTACTTCGTCGGAGTATGGCAACACTCCGGCGGAGGAATCTCACGTTCTCCCCTTTCAAACCACGAGCTCACGTCCGTGCCCTGCACGTTTCCTCACCAAACCACACCGATTCTCAACTTCGCCGCCAGTCACACAGCCCCTGACCCTCCTCCGACAGTGACAGCGGCGCGTGTTGCTCAAATCCCATCGTGTGGCGTTGAATTCTCGGAGTACACGCCCTGCGAGTTCGTGAATCGGTCTTTAAATTTCCCAAGAGAGAGGCTAATCTACAGAGAGAGACACTGTCCGAAAAAACACGAGATACTCCGGTGTCGGATTCCAGCGCCATACGGTTACACGGTGCCTTTCCGGTGGCCGGAGAGCCGTGACGTGGCGTGGTTTGCTAACGTGCCGCATACGGAACTAACGGTGGAGAAGAAGAATCAGAACTGGGTAAGGTATGAGAAGGATAGGTTTTTATTTCCTGGTGGTGGTACGATGTTTCCACGTGGAGCTGATGCTTACATCGACGAGATCGGACGGTTGATAAATCTTAAAGATGGATCAATTCGGACAGCCATTGATACTGGATGTGGGGTAAGTTAAGACTTAAGATCACTCTGTTTGTTTCTTCTTGTTGATTTTGTTTCTTTGTACTATTCATGTGATGTCCCTGTTTTTTTGGCTCTCTGTTCATGTTACCATGTTCATGCCATGCTTGTGTGATGTCATACATTTTGAATTCTTTTCTGATTCTTTGACATTTATGCCTCGTATTTATTTTTGCAATTTTATGTGGACATTTGTTTTGTGTTATGTAGTGGGTTTAGTGGAACTAGTCACAACTTGTATAGTTCAAACTAATTGATGATTGTGCAATTACATTGAAATCATCTATTGATGTTCCCTTTGTTCATAGATTAATGCAAATTCCTGTATACTAGTATTATATATACTCACTTATTAGTTGATTTAGGTCAAATCAGAGAAATTAATTCCAAATTCGCCTGTGATATCATACCCAATTAGATGTAATATTTGTTAATTGTTTTTTAAAAAGGTAAGAATTTTGGTCAGTTGTGTAATTTATGACTAGGAGAATATTCTGACACAGCAGAGTGAGAATGATAGATAGGATTGTCTTGATACGGAATTTATAGCATTGAAAGTCACAAGTAGCTAAAAATCAAAAGGATCAAAACTAGAAACAATTTGCTAAGTTTTCCTAATTTTATGTTTCTCTTGTTGGTAACGAATAACAACTTTATATTTTCTATTTTATTGTATATCAGGCTGTAATGCTTTTAATTACCTTTTTAATCCCAACAAGTAATTAAATTGTAGTACAGGTACAGCGAAGTTAATGCTGGCTAGAGAGTCATCAGATAGAAAATTTGGATTTCTTAGCATCGATAGTTTCAATCTTCATATGGAAGTAAAGTGGTCAAAAGACTATTAAACTGTTTTTTTGTCTTATTGATGTAAATGTAAATGGGTAATTTAACTATAGCTTTTACGATGATAGGTTATGTGAATTTATGACTGTCTAAACTAATGATGGTAATAGGTAGCGAGCTTTGGGGCGTATCTAATGTCGAGGAACATAGTAACGATGTCGTTTGCACCAAGAGACACACACGAAGCTCAAGTTCAGTTCGCACTTGAGAGAGGAGTCCCTGCGATCATAGGAGTGTTAGCCTCTATCAGACTCCCATTTCCGGCCAGAGCCTTCGACATCGCTCATTGCTCTCGATGTCTCATTCCTTGGGGCCAATACAGTAACTTCACACTCACCCTCTAGTCACACTCTGTTTTTTTTGCAGCTGATGTGTGTGTGTTTTGACTACTGTTTGGTGTGAGCAGATGGCACGTATCTGATAGAGGTGGATAGGGTACTGAGACCGGGTGGGTATTGGATTCTGTCTGGACCGCCGATTAACTGGCAGAGACATTGGAAGGGTTGGGAGAGAACCAGAGACGATCTCAACTCGGAGCAGTCTCAGATCGAGAGGGTCGCTAGGAGCTTGTGTTGGAAGAAATTGGTGCAGAGAGAGGATCTTGCGGTATGGCAGAAACCCACCAACCATATTCACTGTAAGCGCAATCGGATAGCATTAAGACGCCCTCCGTTCTGCCACCGGACATTACCCGACCAGGCCTGGTATATAAGATTACTACACAAGAGGAGATTGTCTCACTAAAAAGGAAGATTTGTATTTGACTAGACCATGGTTTGCTCTGTTTTGGTTTTCAGGTACACTAAGCTTGAAACCTGTTTGACACCGCTGCCGGAAGTAACAGGATCTGAGATCAAAGAAGTAGCAGGTGGACAGTTGGTGAGATGGCCTGAGAGATTGAATGCTGTTCCTCCGAGGATCAAAAGTGGAAGCTTGGAAGGGATCACTGAGGATGACTTAGTCAGCAACACAGAGACATGGCAGAGAAGAGTGTCTTACTACAAGAAATATGACCAGCAGCTAGCGGAGACGGGAAGATACAGAAACTTACTTGACATGAACGCTCATCTTGGGGGTTTCGCCTCAGCCTTAGTCGATGATCCTGTCTGGGTCATGAACGTTGTCCCCGTGGAGGCCAGTGTCAACACCCTTGGAGTTATCTATGAGCGAGGGTTGATTGGAACATATCAAAACTGGTAAGGTTCCTACTCTTAATAACCGTATAAGCATTTTCTTGGGAAACTTTCATTGATTCTTTTTGAACTCATAACAGGTGTGAAGCAATGTCAACTTACCCAAGAACGTACGATTTCATCCATGCCGATTCAGTGTTCAGTCTGTACAAAGACAGATGTGACATGGAAGATATCTTGCTAGAAATGGACAGGATTCTAAGACCAAAGGGAAGCGTGATCATCAGAGACGACATTGATGTGTTAACCAAAGCGAAGAAGATTACAGATGCGATGCAATGGGAAGGGAGAATAGGAGATCATGAGAACGGACCTCTTGAAAGGGAGAAGATTTTGTTTCTTGTGAAGGAGTACTGGACCGCACCTGCGCCTGATCAGTCATCAGATCCTTGATCAAGCTTGCAATAATCCATTCTTTTTTTCTTAAAATATTTTGTACACACTAATAGACTTTGGGGGAAAGAAGAAACAAACACCCGATAAATTGTTTCAAACCGGAGATTCATTGTGAGCGAATGAACTAGAGAGTCTACTACAAAGTGTGTGACTATGCAGTTAGCTACGAAAGCGCTTACAGACTTATAGTACACTGAACTTCAACTAGTTTCTGCTATCTTAATCTCTGGTTACACTGCTACTCCAGTAGTTCCAGAAACAACGCTTCTTGTTTGTTGGTGAGACTGAGTTCCTCAAAGGTTAAGGCACCGTCTTGAAGGCTGAAAGCACGTCGAGGATATGGTCTAATCTGTTTACCAAAAACACTTGCACCACTTATAAAGCTTGTATTACCAAAAAATATGAACCAAAATGCAGGGATGGCAAAACTCAAATCCTTAGAAGTTGCAATGAAATAATGCAGGAGAATATCTATCGCACAGCACAGGACTTACCACTCTATATGTGCCAGGTTTGACTAATCCAGCAGCATCTATGAAGTCAAAAAGGTACTGCAATTCAAAAAACAGCTGTTAGGGAAGTTTGAATACGTAAAATTTGATTACCTCGCTAATCACTTGAGAGTTGAGACTCGTGAACTTCACCTTAAGCTTGTCTGATTTGAGAAAGCGACGACCATGACGGCTGCTATCTGGCATTCTAACAAGTAGAGTGATGGCATCTTCATTTTCAACTGACGGCTCAATGGGAAAAGCTACCTTTCTCTCAGGTTCCTGCCACAAGTGAGGTACCCAAAACAGTGAAAATGAGAATAAACAATAAAATTGACGAACCAAAGGAATATCAGCTTTTACTGGACAGGGCATTACGACCCAAAATAACTAAAGGATACCTAAGATAAGGATTTCTTCTAGTCATGGAATCAATGTTAATCACATTTCACAACCATTTTGCTTTAAGATTCACGATGATCATATATTGACTGACAGACTGAGCATATAGAATTTGTTGATGGTTGAAAATCTACCGGCTCACTCTGATTACAAGCTCTATTTTTGTAGACTGACTTCTACCTATGGATCTATGGCAGAGGAGTCGTTCACAACCTGGATTATGCTCATGTAAACGTTTATGTTCCAACTAATGAATGCCTCACAAGAAAATCGGGTTACCTGTCCAACGACCCTCTTATCGGGAGATTGTGACTCCTTGAGAACTCCAGGTTGACTATTATGCGAAGCACTTTCTTTAGCTACTCCACTAAAGAGTGCCTTTTCCAGCATTATTGCCTCATGTAGCTCTTTTGACGGAATGCCACCCCACTAGTAGCAGTCAAGCAACAGAAGGTGAAAACAGGGTAAGAAGAACACATGATCAACTAGAAGCTAGTCATTAAGAAGATGTTAATTTGTTCTTGACTGGCTGCTTTCACTGATAAGAATAATCGAACTAGTTTCGAATAATTTACCTCTTCAGGATAAGAAGCTTCAACATTCTGGAGATCATGTCTGTGCTGAGAGCTGGTATTAATTGGCTGCTTTTGTTTCATGTCTTCACGCTTGTCTTGCACTGAAGAGCTCCCAGGCTTCAAGTGCAAAGGTTTTAATTAGCAAGATAGCTTAAAGAGCTTCAACACACTATATTAAGGAGAAATTAATAAAACTGTGGCTAACTTAGTATGTAACATAGATGTCCACCAACTAAATTGGTGAAACTGTAAAGGGAAGCATCCCATACTATACCAATGAGCATGCATATAATATTATTCGATAGTTTATGAACCCGAAGGCTGGAAGATTGAGGCTTATTAGAGGTGCAGAGAAATTTAGTTTCACACCTGATATCTGGTACTTTCATTTGTATTAGATTGACATGGGTCATGATGCTCCACGGACTGAGGCATAAATTCAGCTAGTTGTTCTCGCAACGCATTCTCATGCTCTTCCATCTGAAAGACATTTATGCTAAGGTGAGACATCGCCTATATCGTGCATAGCAGATGAAATATCTATCAATGCCTACCTCTAAGGACATCGAAATTGCACGGGCAATGTCCTCATCTTCCCGGTTAATAACCTCTCTTGGAGATAAAACGCTAGATGGATCCTGCATCAATAACAAAAAAAAAAAAAAAAGGAAAATATGTGAGGCTCATTCAAACAAGGAGCTAGACAGGGTGAAGCTAGAATACTATACATTGTCCAAACTATATCTAGTGTTGTGACGACCCTCTTGAAAATCCTTCTTCGAGGCCTCAATGGCAGCTCTGATCATTTCTTCTTCTGCATCATTGCTATGGACGGGTGATGCAGCATCCCTATGTGTCCCACCATGGACCTGGGATCCATAGGTTGGTGAATGTCTAGCATAACCGTCTCCAACCTCTCCAAGTCGAGGAGGAGGTTGAGTCTGATCATTTCCCCAGGTAGAGTGAGCAGGGAACCCTGTGACTTCTCCTGTGTGAGGTGATGGCGAAGGACTTCCAGAGAGAGCAGAGCCGCTGAGCTGCCTAAAGATATTTCGTCTGTAATTGGGATCTAGAAGCAAAGACGGTCTAAAAGCCCGAGCAGCCGAGAGGATAGATGGAAGTGCGCCTGGGACTGGCCTAGGCTCGTTGACTGGCCTAGTCTCGTTACCACGAACGTGATTGTTATCTTCCACAACATTGTAGTCTGAACGACTGTCTAAGCTTGAGTCATCATAACTGGAAGGACAACCGAAAAGAGAAAGGCAACAAAACAATGAAAAAACAAAAATCAAAGAAGAGAAACTCAAAAACTGTTAAGAAGATTGAGAAACATACATGCTTCTTTCCACATCTCTAAAGTGGGAATTGATGGCTTCAGGGAGATTATTGCCATGTTCCTGATCAAATTTCACAGAATTTCAACTTTTAGTAGTGCAATAACGCAACGATTCATAGATCTACACTGATAGACTAACAAACGAGTTCGATGCTGCATGTGAATCAGCACAAAACCTAAAACCCTAACTCTCCCAATTCCATCACATTTCAAATCTATCAGTAGCATTTACACATTTGATCGCAGAACTAACCATATCTTCTCTAGATTACTAACGATTCAGAACTAACCAAATCTATCAGCAGCATTCCATGAAAATGCCAGTAATGTCCTCCCGGAGAACCGGAGAGAGAAATAAAGTTTTGACGGAGAAAGAAAAGAAAAGAACGAACCTCAAGTCTCTGAATCGCGAGTGACTCGGACGCGCCAGTGATGCTCATATAAGATTGGATAGCGTCTCTCGTTGGACTCACCATCTTCGCCGGAGAAATCGGTGGCTGTCGGTTAGAGACAACAAATGATTCGCCGGGAATTATGGAAGCAGCGGCGTCCTAATATTGTATTTGCTTTGTTAAGAAAAGATGATTAGTTCAACTGATTCGAACCGACGATGATGAGTCGCCACAACAGTGACGTAATCAATAAATAATAAAATTTCTGAAATCTGTCCTCAATTACTTTTATACTCTACCAACTAGATTTTAACCCGCGGATGATTTAATTTTAAAGTTAGTATAAAAATAATTTGTAAATTGTATCTCGTTATAACATATTTATTTATATTATAGTTTACAATTGTTATTAAGTAACGGTATACCACGAGTCCACGAGACAATTATTAATAAATTGAGGATTTAACCCGTATTAAAGCGGTATATAAATATTGATTCCAATTCGTCCGCTATATAAATCTTTTCCGAAATATAACTCGTTTCGTAATTTCTTAACCCGTCCCGTGATTTGTTTTTATTTTAAAATTTAATGATTATTTATTATATATAAAAGTTTACAAATCATATCATTCTCTAAGACATTTATATTTTAATAAACTGAAGATTTAATATGTATTAAAGCGGCATGTTAATGATATTTTAAAATTTTATAAAATATTTTTATTAAGTAACATTATACCACGAGACAATTTTTGGTTTTACACAATCTTTTCTAAATGAGACTGATTTAATATGTCTAATATTGGTGGTATTAAAAAAATAAGGATTTAATCCGTATTGAAGCGGCGGATTAATGATATTTTAATCTTTTTATTATTGTTGATTAAAAATCCGTCACGCCAAACCCGTCCGGCCAAAAAACTCATTTATTTTATTAATGTTGATCTTATTTATGATATGATTCTGAATCATTGTCTAAATATTTTAATCGATGTAGAACGTTGAACACATATTTTCGTCAATTGGATAATATTTGTCCGTTTTAAAAATTTCGAATCACAGTATATGCAGAAAAAAAATTGATTTTTTTTTTTTACTTTATGTATTATATGATGATTCAAAACAGTTAAAAACAAATCAAACAAAGATGATAGGAGAATCATAATTCTAAATCTTAATCAAATCTTCTAAATATCTAAATTATTAAATATGAAATATCCGGTGTATGAGTTGGGTTAAATATAACCCGACCCAACAATTTTTTTTGTGAAGAAATTTAGAAAACGGGTCGGATATCCGATTAACCCAGAAGCATTTTTACCCACCCGTCACCAAAGTGTTGCAAAAATACTAGTATAGATTCTGTATATTTATTTTCTAAAATTTCATATACATTAAAAGTATATATATATATATATTTAATTAATAATAATAAAAGTATATTAATTGTTATGATATTTTAAAACTATTTTAGTTTTTAATTTTTGGATCTTTTCTTTTTTTTGGTCAAAATTAATATTAACACCTAAGATAATACATTCAAAAAAACAATAATAAAACGACATATAATTAAAGAAGTATATCTAAACTTTTTGTACATTATTTTCGTAGATAGAAGACCATAAAAGTGAAGCCTTCCACACTCATTTTTTTGTTCTTCTGTGATTTTTTTAAAAACGTAAATATTAGTTTTTTTTTATAACAATAGTTAAAAAATATCAAATCACCATAAAATAACCCCATTGAGAATAAGAAAAAATGAGATTAAAATATTATTTTAAGGATGAAAATAGACGTCGGTTGTCCAAGGTAAATAGACGTCGGTATCTCTAATCCTAAAATCGCCGATTCAATTCCTAGGGTCACCATCCATCGCTCTATCTCTTTGATTATCGATAAGAAGAAATTAGGTAAAATAATTCTCTCTCTTTTTGCTCACCGGATTCTACATTCCAGCTATCGTTTTCGTTGTTTCTGCGGCGATATTCATCGTTGGTTTCCTCCGATTTCGCAGCCTTTGTCTTTCACAATTTCAATTTCTGATGAAACATTCTACTTTCCCTTCTCCCAAATCTTCCTTTTGATTTGAGTTTCGAGTAATTTGTGATGTGAAATCGAAAAAAAATATGTAATTTCATTGTTGATTTTAAAAGTTTCAATCTTTTGTAGGGTGAGAATTGAGTTTTATCGAAGAGGATGGATTTCGTCAACAATCTTGATACCGACACGTCGCTATCGATTCTTTCTTGTCTAGATGATCCTTCAGATATTGTCCGTGCTAGTGCTGTCTCACGCTCCTGGCGACAATTTGGTAACCTCATAATCCTCTTTAATGTTTGTTATTTACTGTTAATCTCAGTGTCGAATCTTGAGTTTGGTGGATTAGAATTTTACCTCTCGTTTCCTTAAAACAGCTGGTTTTGCATTTGCAGTGATTAAGTATAGTCTCTCCAGGAATCTATGCTTGAAGTTGTTCCATCAGCTATCTAATGTGGATCATATAGTAGAAACAAGTAATGATAGTAACGAAGGTTCATCTGAAGCCGGGTCAAGCAGTCTCATGGATACAAGGCTTCTTGAAAAAGAGCACCGGGCTTATGCCTTATTGGCTAGAGGATGCATGTCGTCCCCTATCCAAAGCTGTATAGCTGATGCCATTATAGCTTCCAGCACTGATAATTTCCCAGCAGAGAGCATCTTAAACACACTCGAAGAAAGAGATCGGATTGGTCGAACCCCTTCATATTGGTCAAGTACTGGGCAACACAGAACTTCGGTGCCTGAAACACTTCTTTACAGGTTGAACGGTGATTTGTGTGTCATTACTGAAATCAACATTCAGCCTTTCCAAGGTACCAATGCAATCCTTGTGTTAATGTTTTTCTTGTTTTTTCTGATTCTATTGCTTAACAGTTCCCCATTTTATGTAGCTTATTTTCAGCGCGGTCGTCCGATATACTCTTCACATTATGTTCGTTTCCGGTTGGGTCACCACAACGACAATTCACCCAACTGCAACAATTCACAGGATAAAAAAGGTGAGCCAGGAAAGAGTTCAGTTGAAAGCAACTATGTATGGACTTACACTTCACAAGAGTTTCCGATGGCTCAGGTGTGTTACAAGTCATTTTCATCTTTAGCATAATATAAAACTTGTTCCTGAACTGTTGATAACCAATGATGGTTTCTATGAGTAGGAAAATCGATTGCAGAGCTTTAAGCTTCCAGAACCTGTTCTTTGCATTGGTGGGTATATCCTAGTCGAGTTTCTAGGTAGAGTTCAGACACAAGAAATGGATGGCCAGTACTATATATGGTACATCTTCTCTCCCTAGTGGTCTAGGTTTTCCTTAAAAACTTCACAACTTTCTGCAATGTGAAAGTAGTTTCTGTTGATTGTTTTGCAGCGTGTCACATGTCAAAGTGGAGGGAAGATCTCTAGCAAAGTCATTTCGAGTTGAGAATGTGGATGACAATGGAAAATTTGGATTGAAGGTTTTGAGTTACAGTGATCCGAAAGAAACGGAGGAGATGGATGCAGAGGCGGGGCAGGAGATGGATGCAGACGCGGGGCAAACTCAGCTGAGAAACCTTGAACAGCTCTTGAATTTGTTGCACAGGCATCCTCTCGAGGTTGTCAACTATGTTTGGCCTGAGTCAGACGACGAGTATGCTGAATCAGAAGATGAGGCTTAGTTACTGAATTACTATTTCCAGTTATTTCCTCTTTTTGGCTTTAATTTTTAAAGAATCTTTTAGGTGTTTTTCATCTTTTGTGAGCGGTTTTAAAAGCTTTCTTCTCCAGCCATCCTTATTAAACATTGTGTTAAAGACCTTAACCGAAAGTTAACAGCCATTTTGGCTCTCTCTTATCTTTCGGTGTTGTAAAGATTGTCAAGTTTCGGAAATAATAATTTTTCGCGAAGTAGTAAATGCAAAAGATTGAAGGTTTGTGCCAGTATTAATTCATCATTCCAGAGAATCAAAGCAATCTTTTAAACAACAAAGCAAAGATAGGAGTTTATTGGAAATTTTCAAGAAACCAGTAAAGCCAATTTGACTGAAGACATATAAAAGACATAACTGAAGAAAAACACAAGTTCTAGACTTCTGGTTCAAGTTCAAACATAAGACGCGAGAAACACAAACTTAAAAACCAAAGACAAACATCTCATACTCATAAATTCAGTAGACAAACAGAGCAATGCAGAGCTTTGTAATTTAAGGTTTAAGCTCTTTGGCGAGATCGGTGAAGATCTTATCGAAAAGCTCCTTATTTGAGCCCTGTCCCTCCTCCAGATCAAATTCGAGGTCAGAGAGGCTGATTCCATCCTGCATCACTTCTTCATCTAATGCTTCATGTGTCGGCATTTGCTGCTGAGCAGCAACATTCTTGTTTGAGGACTCTTGCGGACTCAATGGAATCTCATGAGGTCCCACAGACTCCCCATCGCTCTCCAAAGGCAGAAAATCTTGGTCTTCGAATTCATTTTCCACTGTCCAAGACCAAATTTGGTTACTTCATCAAGTACAATACCATAATAGACCAAGAATGGGATTAGAAACAAAATGTTTCACATAATTAATACCATATCTCAAAGATCACCTATGACAAAGCAGAACTGGAATCTTAAGTAACCTAAAACATATGCATTGTATGTATGTATATAAATTCAAAAATATTGCAATCAATCCAATATTATTTGAGATCTGAGAGGCTCACCAGAAGCAGTTAAATCAATAAATGGTTGAGCGGACCAATTTTGAAGTTCCTCCTCCATACAAACCAGTTCTGGGCTCTTCTTCTCACTACCTTCTCCATTCTTCTTTATCTCTGTTGGTTCCTTTCTTTCATTGTTGGCTTCTTCTGAATAAACCATACGAGTTTTCACATTGGTGGATACAAGTTACCAAAAAAGATATCGATCAGTGAAACTCACCTATATTTGGGACAGCTTCTAAAGTTTTGGTTTGTAGGGCATCTGCAGAAATAAGTTTTGGCTTCTTTTGGTCTCCCAAATCAGAGCCATTCTTCTTCTCTGTATGTTCTCCAGTATCTTTATCCGCTCTTTCCTTTCTTTTGCTACCTTGTCTGAGTTCATCTGCATAAAACAAAGTTTTAGTAAAACCTCAACAGCAAACAAAAACGCATCAGGAGATGAAATGGAGATGTTCATCATCTGTTTCTCTAAATTCGTTCTGCATTTCTGAAAATTCTCACCTTTGAACTTATCAAGATCTTCTGTTTCAACTTCGTTATTTTTCTTAAGCTCATCTCCAAGAGATTGATTGTTGGTGATTGAATCATTTTTCTCAGGTGGGTTGATGTCAATTTGACTAAGAAAGTCTCGCTGTCTCCTGACTGTAAACTGCCACAGAAGTTTTAAGTCATTCTCCTTAAACGGCTTCTCCAGACACAATTTGGCACCTCTGCACAGACATTCCACAATGGCATCTTTCACATATGCACCCGAAACTGTTATCACACAGAGAAGAACAATGATTAAAAGCAAGCATCTCTCAGACAGTCAGACTTGTCATGAAAACATCAAGGATCCAGAAGCATGGATTAGGGGCACATTTTGCTTACCAACAACCGGAATCTCACAAATCAACCTGATTTTCTCAAGAAGTTCATACTTGTTCATCTCAATCAAGCGGAAATCTGCCAGTAGAAGATCAATCTTTTTATCTTTGTTATTGATGATAAGCGGCAAATCCTCAGCTCTTGTAGTAGCCACAACTGTGAGATAGAATTAAACATTCCAGGACAACAAACCAGTAGAGGTGCTCAGCAATAACAACAAAATGCGAAGATAGTTTTATCAAAAACATAAATTTAAACACTGGGTCATGATATACCTCTATATCCGCATTTGCGTATCATCTCTGACAGATTCGCCAGACATGTCGCATCGCTGTCTAATAGCAAAACACAAATCTCCTTTGAGAATCTCTCTGATTCTTCAGTATTTTCCATACGAAAATTCTCTTCACCTTTCATGATTGACAATAAAATTAATGCTTATAGTCAGAAGCCTCGTAGAAGTAGAGAAGACGAGAGACTTAATCGCATGTAAAATACACGCAAAGCGACTTTTATAAGCGGAAAGAACAAGAATGAGGGGAAAGGCAATCTAACGTGTTTAAATTGGAAAAAAGAATTCGCAAACGTATCAAGAACCAAATCTGGACCTGGATACACTTCATAAATGCAACAACGAGCCTCCACGTTTCACCATGCGCTGCGTTGCAACAGATTCTAGTCAAAATCTTTAAACCATTTAAAAAACTACCATACAATATACCACGAGTTTATCCCACGGATGCAGAGCAGTCGCCGGTTCTTTTATTGGTCAAAGATACAATATACCAAAGTATATGATATTCCGTTCATGAGGGACTGCAAATCTATCAGTCAAACAAATTAATCTTGCTTATGTATGCTTAGTAAGAACTTTAATCAAACGAGACACTTTACAGTTCGTTTAACCAAAAAATAGCTGAAACTTCTTAGTAAACAAAGCTATGAAGACAACTCCCGAGTATATATTGTGCAAAGAACTCTTGAGAAACCAGAAATTGAGTGCAAAGATGAAGAGATCGTGCAATATAATTTCAACCTTGCGACATTTTTTTCTTTTTGATTCTCGCATTTGCTGACAGTAGCAATACGCAGAGAGCATAACTATGGCGATGAGTCAAGCATAGTTAGCTTTCAGAATGGGCTCATGTCATCGGTGTCGTGAGCCCATTCTGAAAGCTAGCTATTTTGACACATCAGAGCTTTTGCAGTGCAGAGCGTGTTCCCAGTGAATAGTTATGCTGAAGATATGCCGTTGCAGACATGGGCTGGATGAGTGTATAGTGTATACATGTGATGCTGTTTAAGGATTCATGCTCACATTTGTAGCACATATATAGCAAAACGATAAACCAAGAGGCAAAGGTAGAGTTACAGTCAGGGCCAAAAGGCAAATAGAAGGACTAAAAAATCATTACCTTTTCACATAGTAATTGCTAAGCGTCGCCTCAAAAGGCAGGCTGAACATGTCCTATGCATTCATCTCATTCACAAGCTGTCAACATAGTCATGAACCTAAGGTTCACTTAGTCCATCCAATGAATCAACAGCCTCTTTCTCTTCAATCAGCCCATCTTGTTCTACACATGATTCTGCTGGCTGACCATGACTACCACAAAATCGTATGCCCATATCCTGTATTCTGCACGAAGTATCTCACCACATTTATGGATGTTTTTCACGAAATAAAGTTGTTCGGGAGAAACAATTGCAGTCAAATAGAAAATCGCATCAACACAAGCATCTGAATAAACCTTTCGGGTATCGGTGATGGGAACCTACGCACAGACGACAACGTAGCCCCAAAGAGGAGGTATCAGAAGTGATAGGAACATTCACATGGCATTCACTGTTTAGCTGAGCACAGAACCAAAAACCTGAAATTCACTCAACATGCAGTGAATAATAAGGTAAAAAAAAAGCTACACCGACAATTTTCGGTCATCTGCTCAATGTTTAATATTGTTGGTACATACGTAAAACAAAAGACTTTTACAGGTTTGTCAACAAAAACAAAGAAAACGAAACCTCATTTTTTCCCAATTGAGATAATTTTTAGAAAAGGTAAAAACTATTCTTTAGTAGTACCGACTTTAATAGACATCACCAGGTCACTGGACCTTGTGACTAGATACAAGAAATGAGTATAGCAAAGCTCCAACAAACTTTTTGAGTTTCCATTACAAAATTATAAACTAATAAGCACATAAGCAGAACCTCCAAATCTTGCTATACGTAGAGCGAAACATCCTAGGTCCCACATATTTTGTCTTATTCTCTACGAACTAACTTAATTATATATTAAGCAAAAAACTCTGTTCCTTTCTTTCTCTCAGACTGTCATCATCTTGAGATCTTCATCAAGAAGCTGCCTCTCTCTTTCCATAAACTCACATCAGCCACACATAAATACATCTTAACACTCCTAAGCATTTCACTAGCCCACTTCCGTCTTTCAAGATATTTTCTTTTTGTTTAAGACACTTTCTTGTCATCAGTTCAGTGACTTTCAAGTTCAGCTGCGTACCTGAGCCAAAGAGTGTTTCAGGATGGAACTAAGGCCGAGAATGCTCAAAGACTGTCTCTTGGAAGATTCCAACTCCTGTTCCTCAAACGGGTTCAAATCGATTCCCAGACGGCCTCCTCTCAACCATTTCCCAATGATACCAAAGAGGAAACAATCCAATGCATTGCAGGCTGTGATTAACGCCGTCAAGAACCTCAGTTCCAACGCCGTCAAATCCGCTCCATCGGGGATCTTACCAAGGAGCCTCTCTCGGCGATTAACACCCAAGAACAAAGCAGAAAACCAAGCAAGCATCACCATTGTTCGGGTCAAAGACATCGTGCGGTGGAGTTCGTCTAAGGACCTGCATGAAGACATATCACATTTCGAACCGTCTCCGCCTCATCAGTACACAACCAAGACAGCAACAACAACCACAGGATCCTCCACCACCAGTGGCACATCCTGCAGCAGTTGGTGTGACTCGGATTTTACATCGGAGTTTTTACCATCATCATGGGGAAGTATCGTTGAGGAGTGCGGTGAAAAAGAGAGTGTTAAAAACAACTTACACTGCGTCGGCGAAGATTCTTGCACAGCAGTAATAGTCGCCGACACTGAAGTGGGACCTGAGGTAAGAATACTATATTAAGAGAAATAGAAACTCGTACTTATAACATTAATTAATCACATAGTTTAACTACTACATGCATAAATAAAGAGAAAATAGAATCAAATCAATATTAAGAAAGAAATAAAGTGACAATGTGATTTGAGATCTTATGGGTTGACTTTGCTTCAACCGTAAGGTCGCCCATGCTGTCTCTAAATACACGTGCAGCTGTTTGTTAATATAAATTCACATGAAGACAAAACAGAAGCTGTCTTTGTCCTTGGTATATATAATAGCATGTACTACAGTACCCTTTAATTCCTTTATGACTACGAGTATATCAACTTAATGAATGAGTCTTATAAGAGTGGCTCTGTGTTAATATTTAATAAACTGAAATTATTACCCTGTGCACTTTACTAGTTGGATGATTTGGCTGGCCTAATATGTAATGATCATGGTCAGGAGGACTTACAGTGTGAAAAGGAGCACAGCAGCCCTGTCTCAGTGTTTGAGATTCAACATGAGGAATATGACGAAGCATCAGACTCTTCTTTCAGTCAATGCCTTAACAATGTGGAAAGTGCGTACAGATTTCCTTCATTGCAATCGAAGCAAGTTCTCTTCTTAGATTTCTTTCAGACTTCGAAGTTCTGAAACACACGCTATGTAATGATTTTGCAGGAACCAAACAAAAGCTTATGCAAACGATTCAGCGGTTTGAGTCTTTGGCCAACATTAGTCCTTTCAATTTGGAAGAATGGGGCTCAATGGATGAAGAATCTTGCATGGAAGGAGAACAAGAGACATGTATCAAATATGATGATGATGATGATGATGATGATGAGAATTGTGATACTGTTGACGGAGAGACTGAAGATGAAGACGCTGATGAGGTTGAAGAGAAGGCAGCACAGCTATGGAACCGGGTCAAAGAAAGACATGCCATTTGGATCCACGAAGAACATCTGATAATGGACTATTTCAGAGATGAATTGATGCAAAGGACAAACTCATTCCACGAAACTCAACACTTTAAGGACCAATTGGTGGCAGAGGCAAAAGGATGGTTGCATGGATATAGAGAATCAGACCATGAACGCGGAACAGTTGAGCAGAGGAGACAAGCATGTGTTAAAGAAATCGAAAGACGAGATTGGAATGAGAAACAGAGAAACGAGGAGGGCGATGTGGTGGTTACACAGATTGAGGAAGGACTCTTCGGCATGTTAATGGAAGAAACGTTAACTGCGCTCTACCAGAACTGATTCCAGTCCACCTGAACATCGCAAACAGCAACATCAATGCTTAAGCTTTAGAAAGTAGAAGGCAAAACATTTTTGAATAAGGCTTTGACTTTAAAGCTCAGTTTTTAGCTCTACTTTTGTAAGTAAGAAGCAAACGAATAATACAATGTACATTAACATCTAAAACCCATAAATGCCAGCCTATGTTCTTGCTCTAATTTGTAGAAGAAAACAATGCACATTCATATAATTGCATTAACACTAAAAATTGAATTCATTCTAAGCAAATAAAGGTTCATATAAAGAAAATATAATTTTGGGTTCATCGCAGGAATTAAGCACTAAGCGTGGATTCGCGATCGCAGCCATTGAAATTAAAAACCCTAAATCAAAGCCTATATAGTGAAAACCAATGAAGATAGAGTTGAGAAACTCCGATAGTCGAAATTGGAGAAGTAAATTGAGAAAAATGGAAAGACGAGGGAAATAATAAGTTGGAGAGGTTTACCGGTGGTGGTCTCTTTCCAGGTCGGTGAAGCTCCGATAGTCACTGATACTGTCACTGAATTTATATGATTAATGGGCCCATTTTATTATTTCATGAAGCCCATTATGTTTTTGAGGGTCAAGAAGCCCGTTTTTTTAGAAATAAATGAATTTACATTACTTTTGTTCACTCAAAAAACAAAAGTTTGCAAACTAGGGGGAAACTTAAATAAACGGATACTTAACTTAGAGATTTTGGACTTTTGGGGGAAGAGAACTCAGGACCCATGACTTGGATCGGAGACTCACACCAGCTGAGGTTAGACGGGTTTTGGGTCTCCGGGTCGAGTTTAAAGAAGAAACGTTAAAGTAGATTTCCCTTTCTACTTTGGTTTCAGATAAGTTTAGAATTTAGTTCGACTCTACGAACGTGAATATATGCCCAAAAGATGTGATGTACAAATGCTTATCAATCTCGAATCTCTCTCTGTGTACTGTAGCGTGTAATCCACGGTGGATATTTTTGTTCGATTCCATAAATTTTGGGGACAAAACAGAGACATAAGCAAAAACATGGGATCCCCATAAATAATTATAAACTCTTGTCCCTGTATAAATAGACTTACATCTTCATATAGATATGTGTATGTATAAGTCTCCTCCACTTAAGAAGAATCAGTTTCATATCATTTGCAGCTTCTTACAATGTCGCGACCAATCCCCATTGAAGGTAATAAAACATGACTTTGTTGTTTATCTCTTTAGTCTTTATCATTATCATTCCAAGTTTTAATAATTTTCTCTTTTTGACAGAAATGGTAAGACTGTTCAAAATACATCACCCAACATCTCACTTGTTCAAGATAGACAACTTCTCTTTACTCAAAAAGCATGGAGTCGAAAAGGTCGAATCCTCTGTTTTCGATCTCGCTGGTCACAAATGGTGAATCTTTTTTTTCTTCTTATTATGCTTATTGACATACAAAAGAAAACAAAGAAACAGTTATGATCATTAACCTCAATATATCATTCTCTTGACTTTGGTATGATAACAGGACACTCTCTGTGTACCCAAATGGGCATAAAAGTGCTAAGGGGACTCATGTCTCCATCTTCTTAATGAATCAAGTTTCAGTAAATGTTTTGCTTACATATGAGCTCTTTGTCGTCAGTCAACTAGAGCGAAAATGGCACACCCATGGTCTCTCTCTCTCTCTCTCCCTGCCTTCAATCATATATCTGTGTGTATATATGTTTGATATGGCGTCCATGTTATATGTGCAGGAAGAGATGAATTTGATACAAATCCAGAACCGAGTACTGAGGGGTTTTTAAGGTTCATATCTTTTGCTGATCTTGAGAGAAAAGGTTTCCTTATTGGAGATTGTTGTATGTTTGGTGTCAAGTTTTATGGGATTGAACCTGCTAATCCCGGAACAGCGGAACGTTTTAGCTTAATTGAGAAGCCTCTTAATCACAAAGTCACTTGGATGATGAGCAAGTTCTCGTCCTTCAACCCTGGAAAGGTCCATCAGTCTAATGAATTTGTCGTTGGAGCCAGGAAATGGTAAATATATATATTGATTCCAACGACTTTTTATTCCCAATTAGAAAAACCTTATACTAATGAAAATGCATCACAATATTTGATCAGGAGAATTGAAGTTCATCCAAGAGGGTATAATGAGGAAAAAGACAAATCATTTTCTGTGTATCTATCCGCAGAAGGATTTATCAACAATGCACCAAAGACAAAAACTTACGCGAAGTTCAAGCTGCGGGTATTGGATCAAGTTAGCTGGAATCATGTTGAGAAAACAGGTATATATATGATCCACCTTTTTTGGAAATGAAGTCTTGTGATGGTAAAGTAGTACTAATCTTTTATTTTTGTAGATTCGGAGTGGTTTGATTCAGAACCTGACATCCAAAGTGGCTTCGAGGATTTCATGCCTCTGGGGAAACTAGATGAACCTTATTTGGTGAAGGATAAGCTTTATGTGGGAGTTGAGTTTGAAGTCATTTCTACCACTAATTACTGTTAGCTTCTTGGCTTTAATAAACCTTATTGTGAGCTAAAAATAGCAACAAATATTATTATGTATTAAATAAAATGCTGGAGAATGTACTAGTATATGTACCTACTGATGCAGTAATGAGTAATGGCTTGGAGGTAGGACTACATCGACCGAGTCTTAGCCAAAGTCATATTTCTCTTTTTGTCGTTTGTATAAGTAAATAATATAAAGGAAGAACAGTTTATTTGCTTCCAAGTTTTTAGGAACTGTGAGGTTCTTCCACTTTTTGTCATCAAAGTCACACTTGCAATTAGTAAAAACCTCTGTCCTGAGGGTAAATTGCAAATGGCAATCAAACAAATCCAAGCTAAGACTAAGAGGATGAAATTGTCGTCACATGATCTCTTCTATGGATCAAAAAGATAAGAAGAAGAAACAAACAATTCCTTGTCAAGCAAGCATAATATTAAAGAAAAAAGAGCTTTATTCTAATTCCATGTTGGACATGGAGATCTGACATTCTTTCGGACTATTGTTGAAGGCAAACACAATAAACTTGGTTCAATATTAGCGTCAAATAGATTTTACATATCAAGAAAAAAGAAAAGAAAAATTTAGTGGTTCAGTCATTGTGGATAGTAATTATTGATGGTCACACATGTTTATGCTTCAATTATGTTCAAGGAATCGGAAACTTTATTCAATTATGCCATATTATGCCATATGCCTTCAAGAACATTGAAAGTTTGAAACCAAATTGCATGCAGCAGTTTACAAAACAAAACAAAGCAACACTTTGATACGTTAGAATCACCCTAATTGCTAAGGTATTACAAAGAGAGCTCTCTTTTTTGCTGAAATATCATCTGATCCAACCTAGGGAATTTTTTTGAACATTGGTTATATAATTAGTTTTATTACATTTGGTACTATACATCAAGTTAATAAAGTTAGTAATTTTCCTAATTACACAAAACAAAATTTAGTCCCACCACAAAACTTCTCGAGTTCCCCAAACTGTGAAGTTTCTCCTATCTTCTGCTCGTTTTGTCCTTTCCTAGAGCTTATAACACAGTCATAAAATTCAGGATCAAATATCAATGTGTTACCAACTCTTGGCCTATAAAAGAAAAGACTTACCAAATCTTGACCGAAACATCGATCCTTTTGCTTTCGGTTTCTTACCCTGTCCGGTTTTTACAGGTTTTGTGTCTTTACCGCTACTCTCTCCCGGGGTAAAACCCGAGAGTCTGCTCACTTTTTCGTGGTACACAGCCGGAGGTGCAAGCCTTAATCGAGGCAAGCTCTCTATCTGTACCAATCTCTGATCTTTCTGAAGGTTGGTTAAGATTTCAAACTGCAACGTTGAACAGTGTAAATTTTTTAGTTAATTGCAATGAGGTTTTCAGTTTTAGAATTATAAACATCTTACCCGTGATATTTGCTGGCTATGAGAATGATCGCTCGTTTCATTCTCGTGTGAGTAAGGCGAAGCACGTTGTGAAGACCCGGCATTTGACGAAATTGTGCTTATCAGTCCATAATCTAGGTAGAACGATTTACCTTTAGCAGAGCTTTTGCTCGTCTTCTTGGTCATACAGACAGGACAGCCTGACGAGGAGACATGAATTGATGATGACGATGATGCCATCTCATTCTCTGAAGGTTCACATTGAAGATGTGTTGCGTGGCCACAGTTGAAAACACGCACACGCAGAGCAGAAAATGTCTTGGTGAGAGGGCAACTGCATATACAACAAAGCAAACTTCTTGGTGCATACCCGTGAGAAGCACCTTTCTTGAGTAAGTTCATGGAGTAGAATGTATCATCTTCGATTAAAGACTTTGCAGTATCCTGTCCACGGTAAAAAAAAAGTTTTAGAACATTTGAAGAGAGATCAGCCAAGCGATGCACGAGATTACATGATTAGAGAGACGCATCAGGTACATACCAGTATTCTCCGTTCGAAGCCATATGTTCCAAGCATTCCCAATATTGTAAGTTTAAAATCACCAAACTCTTGAGTACTGTTTTCGGAGAGGAGTTTAGTCATGATTGTTGGAAGACGAACATATCCTATCATTCCTTCAACAATCTCTTTGATAAATTGAGATATGAGCTTTCTCAGGATGTGTGTACCCGCCGTATCAGATCTTGGAATCCTCCACTTAATTGCAACGTCTGATTCATTGACATGAAGTTCCAATGATTTAACACCTAAAGGACCTTTGTTTCTTCCATCGATGTTCCTCGGTTCCCGATATGAATCCATCAAAGGTTCACAGAAACTACATAAAGCACGAAGAGACAAAAGTACGATCATCATTGCCTTGGATTAATAGCTAGGAGCGCTCGCTCAGGCTTGTTAACTACACATGATATTAATTGCATATGCTTAAGAGTAACTATGACGTGAGTGTTATTAGGACGATAAGAAATTGATAAGTAGAGATCAGGTGTATGATCAGGCTTACGTGTCAAGAAAGCGAAACCAAAGTATCTCTGACTCCTCCGGATTAAGACGAGGAGTGTTGCGCTGACACAATCCTACACAGGCTTGCAGAACACCTTGTATGTCATGTACCTGAAGGATCATAAACAGCATGAGAGAGAGAGCCAAGTAGAGCACATTTTCTTATTGTAAAGAGATGTACGGACCTCTTTCAACTCTAAAGCACTACTGAATTGTTCCACACTGGCTCCTTCGCTAGCACCCAATTTCATTTCTGACATTAGGCATTCCACTGCAATTTCAAGCTCGACATATTTTTCATTGAGTCCAGAGAGTGTAAGTGACAAAGCACTTGCTGCATCACCCACCCTCTCCAAGAGAAATGCTGCTGCATCTACAATTCCATATTCCTGGCAGAGGCGTAGACAGTGTTCCACCCTGTAGCTGTCAAAGGTTTCCAGAAATCTCAAGACGGACTTCGGTTCGTACTTGCATAGTAGCTGTTAAAATACACAGAGAATCATCCGTTATTGAAGTGATTCGATGATGCTAAATATTCCCAAGGACCCACTAAAAAGGACAAAAAGAGGCAATTAAAAACAAGCCGATTTAGCAAGCACTATCACTTTTCCCGACAAATAAACCAAACAAATTTCCCTTGTAATAAAAGCAATGGGGGTTCAATCTTGCAAATTCTGAAAAATAGTGGAAAGAGCTATAATATTTGCAAGATGGTGATGAAGAGGGAAGGGATACTTTGGCAGAGACATAAAGACCTATTGCGGACTAACATTGTCTCACTGGCTTCTGCAGTCACACAAAAACCAAAATATTGTTTTCAGAGGCAGACTGGCAGGAGTACTTATATCTATTAGAAAGCTACCATTTGACATAGAAAAGATAAGGAATGCATTTGACTTAAAAAGATAAGAATGACCGCAGAGAGAGATTCAATTGAACGAGTCTTCACAAGTGTAGTGTTTTACCTCCAAGTAAAGCTCAATCATGTCATCAGTCACATTGACTGGATTATCTTGGATGAATTTGGGAAAGCCATTGAGTCCTTCCAAATAAATCTCCGCCTCTTTGGGTATATCCCTTCTAATGTTTTCACCCAAATTATCTACAGCGTCATATTTTCTTAGACGAGAAAAATCAAGACTCCCAGACAAGTGAACCTCAATAACAGTCTTGAGATACAGGAACAAGCTTCTTGGATGAGAATGGAGCTGCTCTTGAATGCGTGTAATGTTGTCTTTTAAATTATCAATAATCAGGAAGAATGCTCCCTGTCTGCAAAATGCCAGACATCCGATATTATTAGTCCACTAGACCTAATCAACAGAGAGAGAGAGAGAGAGTAAATCAACCTTAAGTTACCTGCTCAATTCAAGAAGCTCGGGAATCCTAGAAATTACTGCAGATTGAAAGGCAGTGAATTCATCTCCACTCAACTGTGACAGCATCTTGTTCACATAGCAAAACGAATGTATGGGTTCATCTGCCTCTTTCATGTAGCTATCCAAAGCTGCAACGTACCTTCGACTGATAATATGAATATAGCCACAAACCTGGGGAAATTGGAAACCATAAACAGAGATCAAGGACAACATCCCAAAGTAAAGCATTGCAAGCACGCTATAGGTGAATGATGAATGTCTACCAAGAGGATACCTGATAAAAATGTGCTTTCTCACAAAGCTGTGTTACATAATTTACATCCCAATCAGTCTCCGGAACAGCTTTCAGAAGGTTTAGTAATTGGTTCTCTCTCATTTTAGAAGACACGTTATAAGTTGGAAGAATGTGATCTGATGTTAAGTAATCTAAAATCTGTGCCAATACGCTCTTGGGAATACTAACTCTACCAAGTGCTGCATAATATGCAACAAACTCAAATAGATGACTTGTATCCTCCTTGCAAGGCCAATTTTTATCTGATTTTGAATCATTTGGATTGCCAGATTCATCAGCCTTGCTTAAGCCCCCGTCAAGAACATTAACTAGAGCATCTATAAGATTCTGGATTAGTCTATCGTTGCTAACTTCGGGTAAACTGCCATCAGTCTTGGACTCTAAACTTACTTCACCGGACTCCAGCAGGTGACTTTCATGCTTCACCATTTCATTTTCTACAAATGCATATCTTAGGACATCTAAAGTGGCTTCAGTATCCATTTCTAGCAGATGGTAGAGGTTCAAATAATTCCATCGAGATGTTACACATGTACTAGAATCACGAGCGTTTGATTTCTCCAGTAGAAACAGAATCAGCTCAGTCCTAAGTGATGGCAAGCGTGTAGGATTTAGAGTTCCATGTCCTGCAGATAAAACTCAAAATAAGTTTGTGAAAATGCCTATATAAAAGTTTATAGGTCACCGGATACCATACTCGGTCGATTGCAGTTCATAACATGCAGTGAAACAATAATAGAATCCTACCTGGTGGAAAAGCCAAACCAAGAAAGCAGTACTTTAGATAAACAAGCATCCGGTACCTGAAGAAGGAACAGAGTTAAAAAAAAAAAGAACTCGTCAGTTATGTGGCTGCAAAATATACCTTTGTTCAGACAACAACTATTGCGTCATACAGGAAATCAAACCTT